ACGGGAAAATCAGATATCATGCGATTCATAAGATTCGTGATAGTTGCCTTGCCTAGAGTTCGTACAAGTAAGGAATTGTATGACTTACTGGCAGAATGTAACTTACACCAGCCCATGCTATCGAAGTGTAAGAGTTGGCTCGCGCGGCAGCATTCACGTAGTCGTTGGCCAAGCCCATAATCTTTGAAACAGTCGCTGGTGCCTCAGTTTTGCCAAGCTTTGCTCTTGCGTTGACTTCATTCATCTTCTTCTCCAGCATGGTTCGCAGCTGGTCTTTCATACATGTATTCGATCCGGCAGCAGGGCTACACTGGAGGTTCTTTTCATATTCAGCGATAAGAGCGCCGTCTTCCTCCCGCAGTCTCTCGTACGCCACGTTCCAAAGCTCGCGGATTGGAGTATCTTCTATTTCTTTGGGCTTTTGAGCCGGTTTATTTGCTTGGCTCTGCTGGGCGCCGTTCTGAGTGCTAGACCCTTTTCGCGAGGTCTTTGTTTTGGTAATCCTCTTAAATCGGTCCCTGAAACCCATTTTTGGAGTTCTATCATCGAGGCAGTAGTAGCAGTAGCAGCAGTAGCAGTAATAGAAGAAGTAGTAGTAGTGGCAGTAGTAACAGTAATAACAGCAGTAGCAAGTGCTAGATAAATCTAAAGTTGAGCATTATGTGCTGACTATTTATGCATTCCCTCTTTTCTTCGCACGCCTTGACTGGGTACACGTAATAAGGATAGCTGCAGCAACCATTGGACGGAAACCACATATGCATGCAGCCAATTGCGGCAACCATAGCGGATCAGTGTATGCGAGATTACCAGCTCACGAAAACTGGCTCAAGCTGAATCTTACCTAATGCTGCATTTACCGGAGATTTCCTCATTCGCCGCTGCTTTTGTTGACCTCTTTAGGCATCCAAGTTTTAATATGCTTGCTCTCAGCCTGCTACCAGCCCAACCCTTCTTTCACAATGGGAAAGGCTATCCAGCACCCCAGTCCTATTACCCAGCATTCTACCTGGAGCTGAATAAAGCAGTCAGTCTACATATTAAAAAGCATGTTTAATTGCAGGGTTCATATACACGCAAAGGTAGCAGAAGTAGCAGTAGCCCACGGTATAGGTAGAGTGCTGATTAACACAACCGGGGTGCTGGATAACCCTTTTTTATATTAATAGTGGGCGTGTAATGTCATTTTGTTTGCGCTGATTATGTAGGCTGTTTACATGAGTTTAATATATATCATGTAAGGAGAATAATGCATGCATGTCAATAAGCCTACGTTAAGCAGTAAGGTACATATATTTGTGCTAGCTGAATGAGGTGAGGCGAGCAAGTTCAAGTAATCTTCTCTCAGATACATACAGATGAACTGGGCAAGTAATAATCAATAGCATTGCTATCATAATACTAAATCAATACACATACCAAGCCTGTGTCAAAGGCAGCGTAGTCGCTGGCTCGGCACTACAAACCTGCCCGTCTGCTTCGACAACATAGCTTTCTGGATCGACCCTCATCTTGGGCATGGTATCGTTGAAGCGCATGTCCCGCTTCGATACGCTACGACATCCCTTGACGGCCTCTACGCGCTTGCGTAAGCCATATGATTCGATGGCGCCAGTGGTGATGGATTCGTTTGAGACAAAGAGGATGCTGGTTTGCGGCACGAGGGGTGCGAACATGGGGCGGGCGATGATGGGTTGGACGGTTGGGATGGAGGCGTTGGGGTCACCCTAAAAAACGAAATGTTAGCTGGACGGGAATTAATAGCATCATGCCACGGGAGTTGGGGTTATCCAGAAACTGACCATCTGAGCCAAGGCAATGAGTCCGCTCTTAATCACAAGCGACGGCTTCGTGCCAAACCAGGCTGGATCCCAGACCACCAAGTCTGCCAGCTTGCCCACTTCGATACTACCAATGATATGGCCGAATCCCTGTGCTAGGGCTGGATTGATGGTATACTTGCTCACATAGCGCTTCACCCTAAAGTTGTCGGCACCCGTTCCAGCATCTTCTTCCAGACTGCCCCTCTGCGACTTATTCTTGTCGGCTGTATTCCATGTCCTGAGGATGACTTCGCCGCATCTTCCCATGGCTTGTGAATCTGAGCTCATCATGCTAATAGCGCCAAGGTCGTGGAGCACATCCTCTGCGGCGATGGTCTTGTCGCGGATTCGACTTTCAGCGAACGCAACATCCTCAGGGATATCCTTGGATAGATGGTGGCACACCATGAGCATGTCCAGATGCTCGTCAAGGGTGTTGGAAGTATAAGGTCTGGTAGGATTAGTCGAAGAAGGAAGCACATATGGGTGCTCAACCACCGAGATGATGTCTGGAGCGTGGCCACCACCTGCGCCTTCAGTATGATACGTGTGGATGGTGCGACCCTTGAAGCTTTCGATGGTAGATTCGACAAAGCCAGATTCGTTTAGCGTATCAGTGTGGATGAGACACTGGACATCGAGCTCGTCGCAAACCGTGAGGCACGCATCAATTGCTGCTGGCGTACTGCCCCAATCCTCGTGCAGTTTGAGGCCACAAGCTCCGGCAGCAATCTGCTCACGCAGGGCGATAGGAGAGCTGTCGTTACCCTTGCCGGTAATTCCAATATTCAAAGGGAGCTCATCACAGGCCTGGAGCATCTGACGCATATAGTTTTTGCCCGGAGTACAAGTAGTTGCATTGGTGCCAGCACTTTGTGATTATATTAGCCAAAGCCTCAATATCTAACAGTTGTAGATGCATCGGGTGTGTAAGTGAAAAGGAGCATATGCGACTTACCTAGGTCCCACACCACCTCCCAGCATCGTGGTGATGCCTGAAGCCAGAGACTCATCCGCTTGCTGTGGGCAAATGAAATGAACATGGGTATCGATGCCACCGGCCGTGATAATCTTCCCTTCACCAGCAACAACATCAGTGCAGCTACCAACGACCATTCCAGGCGTGACGCCATCCATGACATCAGGATTGCCTGCTTTGCCGATTCCTACAATGTGGCCATTCTTAACTCCAATGTCGGCTTTGTAGATACCCGTCCAGTCAACCACAAGCGCGTTGGTCACCACCAAGTCCAAGGAATCTGCATCTAGTCGTCCAGATGCTTGCCCCATACCCTCTCGCAGCGTCTTACCACCACCAAACTTACACTCATCTCCATATACAGTGTAATCTTTCTCGACCTTGATCCAAAGGCTGGTGTTTCCTAGACGAACTACATCGCCGGTCGTGGGGCCAAACATGGTTGCATATGCGGCACGATCTATCTGGAAGCCGTCGATGTGAGCAGAATCAGCAGAAGGCTCCGGCGTGTGCGCGAAGCCAGCTTTCTGAAGACTTTGAACAATATCATTGACTCTCCATAGCTCCAGACCTCCAGTGGCGAGGTTGTTCCCTCCACGAATGACTTTGTTGCCTCCAATTTCCACAAGCGTCACTGTTTTGGTGTCTCCGGGCTCGAAGCGGACTGAAGTCCCCGCAGGAATATCAAGGCGATGCCCATACGCCTTTTCACGATCAAAGTCAAGTTGCGGGTTCGTCTCAATGAAATGATAATGCGAGCCCACTTGAATAGGCCGATCACCCTTGCTTGTCACTCTGAGCTTGACCCTCTTGCGATTCGGGTTCAGCGCTATCTTGCCCTTGACGGCCACAACCACGCCAGGCCTCGAAGTAGGCTCATACTCCTCTGGAGCCGCAAGAGGAAACAAGCTGACGTCTGGGATAGGCAGAAAGCTTCCGTAAAGAGCCCGAGCAAGATCACCGTCGTCTGTGCGGACTGGGTTGTGGACAGTCACCAGATAAGTCCCTGTGGGGAACGTGCCTTCAACCTGAATCTCTGTTAGAGTAGCACAGACGGAAGGCTGGACATGGCGACGGCCCAGCATGGTAGACCCGATGTCCATGAGATCTGCGACGCTGTGGTTGCCATCGCGGATGAGTTCATGCAGGTTGTTTGCGATGAGCGCCTGTGAGCAGCAAGCTGAGTTAGCATATATGTAGCTTTATGCTGCACAGATTGAAAGTAGTAGGAGCTATATATTAACAGCATATAGCGAGTCAGAATTCCAGTTCCGTACCGTTGCTTCGCTGTAGTTCAGCTTGACGCCTCTGGCAAGCCGCTTCTGCGCCAGAAAGCCCACCTGCGAGATGACGAGCTTGTCGAGCTATATGTTGATGGTTAGGCGCGAGATCCACTATAGCTCTGGGGACAGGACAGTGTCCGGCGCACCTCTTTCGGTACCAGCCGCATTGTATCGCGTCACACAGCTTCAGACGAGACAGATGATGAATTCTGAGAGCAGTTTATTGAGCTGTAGGAAAGACAAAACCTGGCATCTGGGGTTGTAAGTCAAAGCTTGAGCTGTCATGCAGCGTTTCCCCGCAGAGCGATTCTTGACGCTGAACCTTCACTGTCTAGGTACATGTATAGATAAGGACGGCTGATACGGGCGGTAGCTGTTACGTACCCGTCTATTCGCCTTTATCTTTGCACCAAGGAGCGACTGTATCAATTGAGGCCCAGCGCTATTCTTACTACAAGCGATTGGAAAGCTGGACTGTGAACACCATAGTCTAATTGTGTGAATCGCTTCCATATTTCTCACAGAGGACTTAGAAAAGACCCGAATTAGCCATTAATATCACCTCTGTATCTATCGATATTTAATTAGTCATGAGGTCCATTAACAGGCGTTGTCGCCACTTGACATATGAAGATACCGACATAAAAAAGAATGTCAAACACTCCGCGTACCTAGGCATTTTCAACAGCTTAATATGTACAAACTAATGATATCTTATCTTTAAGCGTCTTGCGCAAATCAATCCAATCCCCTCCCCAACGCCAGTACAATCAATAATACTTCAATAAACCATGTCTCCCATATTACCCAGGGCCGCCCAAAAATAACAAAAACGAGGCCAGCCTGTCAAACACCCAAAAAGATAGAAAGAAAGAAAGAGAAAAGAAAAGAAAAGCCATTCCGAATCATCTTGATTTACTCCTCCTCAATCTCGTCGTCCCATTGATCCTTCTCCTTCTTGATTAGCTCGGCCATCTGTTCAGGCTTAAAGATAGAGCTGTCAGGGTCTTCGTCTCGTGGAACCTTGTTCAAATTCTCTCCATCAAAAACAGATCCAATCGTATCGATCCATCGCCTCCGCCGCTCCATCAGCGTCTTTGTCAGGTCTCCTATTCCTGGCCGCGCCATGCCAGCTGCTCCACCAACAAAATGGCTGCCTCCGCCTGCGCCTCCAGGGCGCTTGGACTTTTTGCTCTTGCCCATTGTTCGCGTGCGCTTCAGGTATGCAGCGTTGACTTGCGAATCCAGATCCTCAAGAATGGTTTGATACTCCTGATGAGCCATCCGCTCCCTGATCACATCCATCAGTCGTGCTTTGCGCGCACCATTGACGAGCATCTGGTCTTTCAGCCTGGCCTGCAGTAAGCGCAGTCTACCCGCGACCTCGTCATCAAAGTGGCCATCATATTCGGTTTCAATGCCTTCTTGAGGGAGAAAGCCAATATGACGAAGCTCCTGCTTGAGTCGCTCCTCAACCTGGGCATATTCAAGCTTTGGATGTGTAGCTTTTTTCCATGCTTCGGAGGATGACTCGGTCATAAACGTAGCCGGGGGTACCGGGCTTGATTTGTCCTCCGCAACTCCATTCGGTTCGTCTCCATTAATATCCCCATTCATGCTGACGTCGCCATTTGTGATACCGTTAGTGGTAGGCTTATCGTCAGACGAAGGTATTCGCGACTCAGGGCGCAGTGCCTGCAACAATCGTGTCGCAAGGGGGCCGATGGACAGTGCATCCGTCTCAGCTACACTATCATTCATATTGTCAATGGTACCACGAGGCTGGTTTGGAGGCAGCTTGTCACGATTCTGCTGAGGTGTGTCGATGGACATGGCGCCGTCCTCTTCAGCCCAGATTTCAGTGTAGTGTCTTTTGCCGCGCTTTGGCATGACAAACGGCGATACGCGATCACTACGCTCTCGCAGAAATGCCAAGTCTTCTTCGGAGAATGGGCGGAAATATGGATCAATATATGTCGAAAACGTTGAAAAGTTGATTTGACTGCTTGGTTTCGTATTACTGAAATCCTTGTCCGGGGGGTCGCCGGCAATCAAGTCGGCAAGGTCGCTCTTGGGGTATACGGCGACAGAGTAAATCTTCTTTCTTTCCTCATCGGGCATTCCATCATATGTAGGTAGAATTTCGTAAACCGTGGGGTCTGGAAACGTCGATGGATCATCGCCAAAGGTTTGCGCTTGAGGGAGTTCACGCCTTGGAGGTGCTCCTTCATCTTCTGAGCTCTCTTCCTCCTCTTCTTCCTCTTTCTTGGGCTTCTCGTCGGTTTCCATGGCGTTGGGAGATGCTCCTCCTGCTATGGGGGAGAGCGAGGAGCTAGCGTCGTCGTTGTCGCGCGCGTGCTTTCGCTTTGGATCCCTTAGCGGAGATGATTGATCTGTTTATGCAGTCAGTATCGTGTAACTTGAGATGCGACTCCTCATGCGCTCGCTGTATTGGGTCAGAGACATACCCTCGCCGGCTGCATCGGTGCCCTTCTTTCTCTTATGCTTGGGCCTCTTCGAGTCTTGATCCCTCACGTCGATACGCATATCCTCGGGGCGCTTTTTCCTTTCGTCGGCGAGATATCTCATTCCTCGGTCATAGAAAGTGGAGCGTTTTTCCATAATGTTGACCAGCGTCTTGAGCTTTTCGAGCATGGCATCAACGCTCCGCGACTCAGGAACTGGAGCGCTGGAGGCGCTTTGGTCCACCAAATTGTCAAACGTAAGATTCGAAAACAAGATGACTCTCATATCGAGGTAATCTGGGTCGTAAAACTCTTGTGGCGGAAGGGCCGAAGCTGGGGCCGGGACCGGCGTCGAGTTTCGGCTCTGTTTCTGCATAGCGGCCGAGTTCTTCTTGCCGGTGCCCTTCTGCCCAGATCCGGGAGGCATGATGGCGACGTCAGCGTGCAAGTGCTATGAATTCATAGATGGCGCTGCAAGGTGTGGTAAATGTCGGAGTTGGATCTCACGTGTGAAGCTCTGCGCTGTGTTTGCTTGTGATGGAACAAAAGCCCATGTTGGCGCGTCTGAGGATCATGTAAGTGCGTAAAGTAGCGTCATGAATGGGGGGTGTCGTGATCAAGATAGATGCGCTCGGAAGCCGAGTTTTTCCGAGTGCGTGATTATGTAATCTTCATTTCCAAAGTGACAGAAGAGTAGCAAATGATGGTATGATGCGCATTCAATAATGATTCAACATGAATAGCCTGTAATTCTTGTCGATACAATAGCTTTGTTTATATACCAGCCTGCAACAACAATAGCCTTTGATGCTCATTCTGAAGCACAGCCAAACGTTCACCTCAAGCTCAGCTCAGCTTAGGGACGCTGGCCGGTGAAACTACCCCACTATCTGGAGACAGCATCAACAACTGAGGTCCGTCAACCTACCCTATTACATTCCGCATTTGCTGCGCTGTTTGATGTGAGCTGACCAGTTGAAAGTGAACAGTTAAGGAATCTCTTTTCGTACTCTTCAATGCTGCGATATGACAACTCAGATACAGGCAGATAACAGGCAGCCTCTGTCAGCCGCTGCCGATAGCTGGCGCCCAGTGGCAAATATATCATGGCGATCATTTATATATCCATAATACTACCGTTCTGTAAGGTGAAATGTTCCTACGGGCCAAGCTCTCCATTACATGTGCTGTGGGTGCTCTGCTTGATTGGCGGTTCCCCAGCCAGGAACTAACTCCACTCGCTTGACACTACGCAAATAGCCTGAGTGTGTGGATGGATCTGACTTGCTGCTTGGGCCAGAATCCAGGGACTGTCAATCCTAGCCTAGAATTGGGGGCACGGGGGCCGTTGAGGACCCTGAGGCGCATTCTGCCGGCGCCATCTTTTGTCGCTCATGTCGTAACTGTGGCTGGATGGAGCCAGGGGCTATCACTGAATCTTGGAGGTTTCTATAACTCAGCTGATGTTACCTGCCAAACTACTTGCCATGAAGCAATGCAATGGCAACTACTGCTGCTGCCAATGCAGACGTGCTGTGCGAGCAAGAAAAAGCCATGACATCAGCAGGACCTGTCGTGATTCCCCACGCCGGAATCCCAATGGCATCTGGAATCCATACACTATCCCCCACTCTTCTGGCGCCCCCGCTAACATGGAGGTAGCTAGAGCTATTCGCGATGAACCCGTAGGCAAAATACGGCCTTGCAAATGCTACCCACAGAGTTATCGAGGGGAAAGTGCTCGCTTGAGTATGCGAGGTGGCCCCAGGGTCAAACAAGCTGCCATCATTGACTCGTCCGGATCCTTGATTGATGTACCGCACGGAGCTACTACCGATGGCGTTACTACGGGATAGACTATGGAGCAGCTTCTTTGCTCACCTCAACAATTTGCACGTGTATGCCCAACAATACGCTACCCTGGCGCAGCTCACTGTCCAAGCATGTGGTTCAGTCATTGGCCAATACCGTCGTGCTCGAACCGCGATTTCCACCTTGCGTTCGCGCGCTACCCATGGCTTGACACAGCTACAAGCCATTGTACAAGACGATGATCCCTGACACCTGAGTGGAGGTCCCTGCGCTCTATTCTCGTTGACAGGAAGCTTTTGACATGTGATATGCGCATGATTACTACGAAGTCGTTGTACGGAGTGTGCTCTACGGAGTACTGTGTTCGCTCCTATGTCGACTAGCTGGTTTTTACCAATTGAAATCCAGCACGGCCGGGGATATGTGCCTCTCGTCCCCAATGTCGCCCAAGGATATCCAAAGATAATGCTGCCCGCACTCCAAGGTGGGTTGGTACGTCTGGTGTGACCCCAGGGAGCTCGCTTCCGGTCAACATGGCAGTGGATGTAGTTGTAGCTGAGCTGCCAGGTGCTCATCATTGTTTACATGGGCAACGCCAGATCCCCCGTGTATTTATCCTGTCCTTTCCTGCTCCTTTCCTCTCTTTCATTTTCATCTTCTCGTCATTTTCAACCTTTTTCTATTGCTGGATTCAACACCAATCCTTAGCCCGTGATCAACATTTCTACTTTATTCTCTCAAAAAGTAAAATGAGAGAATATCATGGCTTTTCCTGTACCTCTCACCGATTCACATCAATTTATGAACTCCTTAGCTAAATGACTTCTCTTCCTAGGGTGGTAACATAAACATTTTGCCTTTTGGCAACGAGATTAATCCTCTATATGCTGGAATAGCAGCCTCTGTCTTAGGTGGCCTTTGCATCTCCGGCTTGGTTGCCTCTCGAGGCACCGGGCAAAACAATGATTCCCCTAGCGTTATCACCTCGTTTTTCCTCTTTTTCTACTCTTGCTTCATCAAACCCCACCAGGGCGATTCCAAGGCTTCCCAGCAGGACGCTCTAGAGAGCTTCTACAAGAAGCAAGCCGGGGTCTATGATGCCACACGCAAGGTCCTTCTTCGCGGTCGTGAAGACATGCTGGCCCTTGTTGCTGCCCAGCTTGAGGCGAAAGCCGAGACAGCTGCTGGCGGCAACAAGACCAAGCGTATTTGGGTTGATGTAAGAGACTCCATTGCTAAATCTTATCTCGACAGCAAAATACTCCCGAGGGATAAAGAGACAATCCAACTGACACCAGACATAGGTCGGAGGCGGCACTGGCTGGAATATTGAAGCCATGTCGCAGTTTGTCGATGTCCCCAACTTCTTCTCCAGCGTCTACCTCGTTGATTTCTCTCCCTCTCTCTGTGAAGTAGCAACGAAGCGTTTTGAGAGACTTGGTTGGAAGAATGTTCGAGTTGTCTGCCAAGACGCTCGCAAGTTCCGCCTAGAAGATTACGAGACTGACTTGCCTGAGCGCCAAATCGCCCCAAGATCCCCTGCGCTCAGCTACCTCACCCAGCAACGCCAGGACAATGGTGGCGCTGATTTGGTCACTTTCTCATACAGCTTGTCCATGATTGTAAGCCTGGAAAAGTTTTATTTCATCGAATGGCCACTAACTCTCAATTAGCCGGATTACTATTCTGTGGTCGACTCTGTAAACTCGCTATTGGCTCCTCATGGCATCCTTGGAGTGGTTGACTTCTACGTCCAAAACCAGATCGACTACTCTTTCCGCAACTACACTGGTGGCCTTGTGGATCGTCATGTTAATATGCTATCTCGAAACTTCTGGCGCGCCTGGTTCGACATTGACCGCGTTGGTCTTGAGCCTGGCCGCCGTGATTACCTCGAATACAAATTTGGTACCGTCCTCAACTTCAACTTCAGAAACCGCACTCTCGGCTACATTCCATACTATGTCTGGGTTGGATGCCAAAAGAAGCCGTTTTCGGCATCAAGCCTGCCTCATGAAATTATTGAGCGCATTGATGCGTTGGCCACGGAATCGCCCTACCTGTACCCGGCCAACCAGGGAGATGCTCTGACCCGTGCGATTGAGAGATCTGCACCAGAAATTCGTTCCAAGGCTTTCATCACTGCGGTCGAGAATCTGTCTGCCAACTTGCCTCTTCCCTCGTTTTTTTATCAAAGCCACCACTGGCGCATCTACTATGATGACAGGCTGCAGAAGCACACCCAGTTCAATGACGAGTACATCTATGCGTTTACCTGGGAGGATGCCCGTGTTGACGAGCGCCTGCTGAAGCTTGGCCCTGATGACAAGGTTCTTGCTATCACTTCCGCTGGAGACAACATCATTTCCTATCTTGCCCAGAGCCCTGCTCGTGTCCACGCTGTTGACCTCAACCCTACTCAAAATCACCTTTTGGAGCTCAAGGCTGCTGCTTACACGGCTCTGCCATATGAGGATTTCTGGAAGATCTTTGGTGAAGGAAAGCATTCTGAATTCCGTGAACTGCTCATTTCCAAATTGTCTCCTCATCTCTCCGGCCGCGCATTTCAATACTGGCTCAAGAACGTCCATGTCTTCCAGAACAACAAGGGATATGGTCTCTACGACACTGGTGGCTCTCGTCACGCCATTCGTGCTTTCCGCTGGATCTCCCGTGTCTTTGGATTGAAAACTGCTGTCAAGAAGCTGCTTGAGTCTCGCACCTTGAACGAGCAACGAGAAATGTGGCGCAACAAGATCCGACCCGCTCTGCTCTCTAAGCTCATCTGCAACTTGGTCGTTTCGCAAGAAAGTTTCCTTTGGGCCGCTCTCGGTGTTCCCAAGAACCAGCTCGCGATGATTGAGAAGGATCATGCCGAGTCTGATATTGTGAAGCAGGGCAAGGCAAAGAATACTCGCTCCCACGCTATCTGGCACTACATGGTCAACACACTGGATCCCGTTGCCGAAGAAACTCACATTGGCACTGACAACCCCTACTACTATGTCTGCATGGACGGCAAGTTTTCGCGCAAGTGCCATCCCGAGTATCTCCGCCCTGAGGTCCATGCCAAGCTGTCGCGCCCCGGTGCTTTGGACGGTCTCCGTATTCACACTGATGAGCTCGAAGAGGTCATTGCTCGCATTACCCCTGGGACTCTCACTGTCGCCGTCATCATGGACAGCATGGACTGGTTTGATACCGGCTCTCAAGCGGCGGCTGCTCAGATTAGCAAGCTCAACAGAGCGCTCAAGATGGGCGGCCGTGTTCTCCTTCGTACATCTGCTTTGAGCCCATGGTACATCAAGGTCTTTGAAGCCCATGGATTCACTGCCCAGTGCCACGGATCCAGAGTGGATGGCGCATGCATTGATCGCGTAAACATGTATGCCAGCTGCTGGATCTGCACCAAGACTGAGAACCTGCCCCCGCCTACTCCTGAGTTTGATCGAATTGGAGGAGGCGATATTACAAGCTTGACCATTTAAAAATGAATGCATAAGATTGGATTGATAGGTGGTAAAAAAACCTGAGTTAGGGGTATCGTCCAACACTGTACCCAAGGAATCTGAGAATGATGCGCAATTCTTATATGAATAGGGACAAAAATAGGAGTGTTACATCTCATAGTACAAGAATGAAAGTCAATAAATAACTAAATGAAATTACGAATCCTGATCCGAACAATTTGACTGATAAACTGAATATTGTGTTTGTAATGCAGTAGTAGGATTAAAACAGTGCTATTGTATCGACTACCCTTGTCGCATTCTTCCGCTGCAACATCTTACATGCAGCAAGGTAGTAGTCCCACGCTGACATTCAACACGGGATACTACTGCATCCAACAGTTGCGTATAAGGAAGGAAAGAAAAAAGGGAAATGGATGAAAGAACAAGAATATAATGCAAGTAGATGAAACCCAAAAGGCCACAAAAAATAAAATAAAGAATAAATTAACCATGCGCTCAGTAAGCAAAAAGTCACAAAAAAAATGTAACTCTTCTCCGTAGAGATATCTCTCCGGGGACGGAGTCGAACCGCCGACATTCTGATGAGATGTTATCCATTACAGTCAGACGCCATGAACCAACTAGACCACCCAGAGGTAGAAGAGTTATTAGGCAGTCTTGGGTATTTAGTTTATAAGCTTACGACGGCGTAAGGATTTGGAAGGGCGGGACGGCGGCTTACCTATGTGGGGTTGGAAGGAGTTGCTGGTGGGTTTGTGTGCTTGGGTTTGTGGTATTCTTCGTGGGGCGGGATAATGTCGTAATAATTGTATAACGGTGCTGGTCTTTTTGGGAGTTTTGGAGGACTCAAGCGCGGTTGTGTGGAGATTTGGAATTAGGTTTGGCGGTTGGTTGTTGTTAGTGGCAGAATAGTACAGTATAGAACGAATAGACCAGGAAGAAACTAGATAGCGTCCTAGCCGACTATAAGACTGTAGGATAGAGTTCCAAGAGCTATTGCTAGTCTGTGGAACAAATTAAGAACAAGAGAATATAATATAAGGAAAATTGACGAGAAATGAAGTTCGAATCCATAGTGTTGTACGTTTGCTTCTTTTTTCATAGTACTTCTATACAAGCGCTCGCAGCCTTCTTCGGCGAAATAGCGCATAATATCAGTTACAAAGTACCAGCCTTCAAACCCAATGATTCACTCCTGAAACCAACTATAAGACACATGAAAGTTTCTTCCATTTTCCATCCCTTTTTGCCCCTCTTCAATGTCCCTCCTTATGCCTTCCAGATTCTCTTGATAGCCTCAGTGACGCCAACGTCATTGGTCTCAAACTCGTACAAGCCAACGCCAACAGTGACAGTCGCCAGGTTCAGGCCCCACCAGAAGAACTTTCGCAGGCCGGGGTAGGTTCGGTTGGGAATGTAGTCGATGAGGACGGACTGGAAGCCGATGTGGGAGTGCAGGAGGACGGCGGAGCACAGGATGGCGTCGGTAGTGGGGTTGAGAGAGCCGGCGGCAAAGGGCGCAATGGAGAGAGGCACGAGGCCGGCGGCGAGGAGGCGCTCAAAGGTCCAGTGGTATGAGCCGTCGACGGCGCTGGGTTTGGGGATGGGAGCGGGATCGTTGACTGTGGTTGTGGTTAATATCGTGGTTCTTCGACATGTGAGAGTCACGGTGCCATCGGTCGTATACCTGTTCCCTCAATTCGCTCTGTGAAAACGGCATTTTAGTATAGGTCAGATACAATGTAGCAATACCGGGGATTCTTACGAGGTCCTGGAGGCAGAATCGCCGAGCGCTGGGTAGAAGTGTGGAAAGCCGCAGCCTTGACGGCATTGTTTCGGAACGCAGGCTTCGCCACCAGCGCCGTCTGCCGCAGCACAGAAGATCGCATTATGGATGCCATTTTGATGCAATAAAAGGTCCCGATTGCGATTGGAATAGCAGTTGGCGCCAAGATCTAGAGTCGGCAGACGCTTCGCGCAAGCTACAGGGCGATTCGAGTCGGGATGACGGGCAGCAAAGACGTTGATTTCTCTGCTACGCAAACCGGACGGGAGAGGTATTGCCGAGGATCTTGAATTGGGAGCTCCATGATTGGCTGCGCCGGTTCCGAAGCCCGCGAGCCGGAGCGCAACAATATGGCGCCGTGCGAGAGCACCAGGGCGCTTCTGATTGGCCGGCTTTTAGAGATTGCATGTGAATTTTTGTGCTCCATATTGAAAGTCATCAAGGTGGGATGAACTTTTTGGAGGGTCCGGTACTCTTCAGCCTGTGTGATCGTCATCAAGGCTCGAGAATGTGGGCGTAACATTTGGGGGATATTTTATTTTATTTTTGTTTCTGGCTTTGATTGGCTTCGGTTGAGCCAATACCGTCGGCAATGGCGCCTCAAACAGCGATATCGAAGACCCTGCTCGCCATGCGATGCGCCGGCTCACGACAAGTTCGAAAATCCGCCTGGGCTTTGGGCCGAATTCAGAATGCGCGCGGCATTGCTACTTCGTACCTGGAAAAGGTGGCTGAGGGCAACAAGCGCTGGGAGGAGAGGGCAGTGAAAATCCAGAACGGCGAGCTGCCGCATGTGTGGGATGTCCTCGACGAGAGAGGCTACATTAAAGATGTCGCGGGGTATGCATTGGACTCAGACTCAACGTTGCTTGATGTTGGAGGGTCAATTCAATATCTAATACGGTCTATAGGACACCCGAGAAGATCAAAGAGCTCATGCGAATCAAGAGAATAGGCGCCTACGTCGGTGTTGACCCTACCGCCGACTCTATGCATGTCGGACACTTGCTTCCCATGATGCCCCTCTTCTGGTTGTGGTTCCACGGCCACCCGGCCGTGACCCTTCTTGGCGGTGCGACTGCTCGAATTGGCGATCCTACCGGCCGCTTGCAATCCCGAGAGATTATGTCGAACTCGGATATTTCGAAAAACGTCACAAAGATACACTACCAGCTGTCGAGATTATGGCATAATGTGGCGGCGCTGAGGGACAAGTACGGCTTCGAAAAGGACTGGGCGGCGAAGCAGAGCCTGCTCAACAATGGCATGTGGCTGCAAGGCTTGACCATGTACGATTTTACCAAGAGGCTGGCGCGACATACCCGAATTGGGCCCATGCTGACGCGCGATACGTAAGTGATGATGCTTCTATTGAAGCTATGTCTCAAAAGCTAATCAACCTGCAATTAGTGTGAAGCGAAAAATGACAGAGGGAGACGGCATGTCCCTGGGCGAATTCATGTATCCCCTGTTCCAGGGCTGGGATTTCTGGCACATGTACCAGAAGATTGGCGTTCAGATGCAAATCGGTGGCTCCGACCAGTACGGAAACATTGTCGCCGGTATCGACGCTTTGAAGGTTATCCGAGAATCCGAGGAAATGCCCGAGATGAGGATTCCCCCAACCTGGACGAACGAAGCCGTTGGCTTCACCGTGCCGCTACTGACGGATTCTGCTGGCGTCAAGTTTGGCAAGAGTACGGGTAATGCGATCTGGTTGGATGAGTTCAAGACGACGCCTTTTGAGCTCTACGGATACTTTATGCGCCGGCCTGACGAGGAGGTTGAGAAGCTTCTCAAACTCTTTACATTCATGCCCATGAGCAAGATTCAGCAAGTCATGGCTGAGCACCAGGCTGACCCATCTAAGCGCATTGCCCAACATACCCTGGCATTCGAGGTCCTATCCCTTGTACACGGCTCACAAAAGGCCGTGGAGGAGGCCCAACAGCACCAGTTTCGCTTCGGCGGCCAGCTCCCTTATTTTGTCAAAGAGCCCAAGCCAGAGACGGGCATTCTGACGCCAAACACCGCGCCAAGGAAGGACATTGAACTTCCCCAAGCTGTTCTGAAGCTCTCTCCAGCAAAGATTCTATACGCAGCCGGCCTTGCTAGCAGTGCCAGTGAAGGTCAGCGTCTTGTCGTGCAGCAGGGCGCCTACGTGGCTGCTCGACCCGGTCAGCAGCGAGGTCTCGTCCCGGGCAACCTGGACTGGACACCCATGAAAATGTGGTTCCCCGAAGAGACGGCCAAGTTTGTCATTGACGATCGCCTCTTGATCCTGCGCAAGGGCAAGCATAATATTCGAATTGTTGAGATCGTCAGCGACGAGGAGTGGGCAAAGAGCAAGAGAATATACCCCGGCCAGCCTTTTACCGGTGTTATCAGGCAGGTCAAGGAGCAGTTGAGAGCCGAGGCGGAAGAACAAGGCGAGGATTTGACACCTAGAAAAATCGTCACGGAGCTCAACAGGAGGAAGAGAGAAGAAACGGTAAAGGTGGCAAACAACCCTGATATCGAGCTACCAAGGCCGGTGCCAACATGGCTTAAGCGGGGGAAAGTGAAGAAGAACGACTCGTCGAAGCGATAAGTCAGTATTTTTTAAAAGCTACCATTTTTGACGACTTACCACCTTGTATACTATTTTTGGGGGATGGAAGGAAGGTGAGGAAAAAGCATGTATGATATGATGTAATGCAGTTTATAGATCTCACGCACAATAAACCTAGAAAGTGTATATAAAACGATGCTACTATTCAATTACTCCGTAACTCCCCTTGAAACTAATTATTTGTAAAACACTGAGATGTCACCTCTGGGAACGGGCAATGTCTTTAGCCTTTCCATAACCTGATCATTGGTCAAGTTCTGTTCCGTCATAATTTGATCCATGTTGTGGCATCCATCTGTGTATTTCTGTAACGGATCCCCCCCAGCTAGCGGCTTGCTCTGCCCCGATGCCAGCGAGGCCAAATATTGCTTTGAAACAACATATTTGTGCACGCGGTAGAGACAGCCCTTGATGACGCCAAATTGCACAAAACGCCTAATGTCGATGTAGGACATGAGTTCAAATCCCATTTCTCTATGAATATAGATCCACTCCTTGACGCTCTTTCCGGGTGCAAAAGCCGCCATAAACCGGATGAGGAGGTAATTGCTGACCCGCGCCCTGCCGTGAGACACGTAGCTGGCGCATTCGTCGACGATGCCGTCTACGTTACGGATGAAGTCGTGGATGCCCGGGCGGGGCGCGTAGCACGAGCCGAAGAAGAAGATGTCGAGGAGGAGGATGGTGTCGTAGTAGAGCAGGTGGCGGATGGCGATCTTGGCGAGGTCGAGCGAGACGGAGGCTTCGTGGGCGATGCGGCGGACGTCGGAGACGCCGTCGATTTTGGCGACGACTTTTTGGAGAGTGATATCCCACGTTGGATCGATGATGTCGTTGAATTTTGTCTTTGCGACGGGTACGTGCCAGCCCTGGACGGCGGGGGGGTTTGTGTGGTGGGGGAAAAGCTTCATGTTGATGGTGCTTGCTTCATCTGCGGAGATGTTAGTGAAATTCGCCTGCGAAATGAAAGTGACGATACTTACCAACTGGAATCATACACTCTCCATAGTTATTCAAGTCCTCCTTGACAATCTCAAGCAAACTCACAATCGGCCTCCTCGAGCCGTCGCCATCCGGGCCCTTTGCCTCACTAAGGCTCAGGTACTCATTCTGCTTCTCCATCTCGGCGAATGTTTCAGCCAGACACCTCACGACGCGCTCATACGGGGTCTGGTCGCACTCGGCCTCGACCAGCAGGCCAAAGTTGAAGATGAACTCATTGCGCATGTACTTTGGATTCCGAATGACGACGGGGTACCCCAGGATGGTGTATTTGCCGTCGGGTGAGTTGATGGTGACATAGCGGTTGCAAAAGGCCTGGCGGGGGATGATGTACTCCTGCAGGACGTCGAAGTCGACGAGAGGAGGCCGCTGGCCGTCGGAGGAGGTGATGCAGCCGGGAGGAGCCTGGGCGACGATTTTGGGGCCTAAAGGGCTGTTTTAGTGGTGATGAGTTGTTGGGGAGAAGCGATGGAGAATTACCTTCTTGGGGGAAGAAGCGAGCGTAGAAGATGCCTTGGATCATGGCGGCGTTTGCGCGTTCAAGGCATGAGTGTGAGATGAAAGACTGAGGCTCTTTGGAGCCGTTATAACATATCGGGCTGATGCTGATGCTTGAGCTGAAGTGGTGATTTGATTTTACACGGTTGTATTTACGTGAATGTGGGAATAGTCTGTTAAATTGCGAGGTGATGTGAGTTCAAGACGAAGAGTGAGAAGGGAGGGGAGCTTGAAGTTTGAATAAGCTTTTCGGTGTGTCGTCTGTTAGTGGCTGGTTTATCGCGGTGAGGTTATGAAGTGAGGCTGCTACAGAGCTGAGCAGTCCCCGCTAATGAGCCGCTAAAGGAAGATGCGGCGCAAAGGCGCTTCAATCTTCAACTGCGCTGTGTGTATTGTAAATGCCATTTCTCTTCCTCGTTATTTTCTTACTTAATATATTACATAATATATACAAGATAAATAGAGCACAGTTGAGATCGGGATCTTAACCGCGGCTGCCCTGTTCTACCTCTGGCTGTACCTTCCGCGATGATGGCCCTTGCCTCCGCGAACGATTTGCGCTGATCCATGTAAAGCGCTGTAGACAAAGCGCCGCGGAGTTACATGTACTAGTAGTAACTAGCGCCACAAGTTGACAGCCACTGTTCAATGTCCGACCAGCCTTTACGCGTATTCGTTGTTAGAGGGCAGTAGGGATCGAAGCGTGGCCACAGAAGCCTACAGACTGCGATGGAACATTAACCGGGCCTGTACTGTACATGTAAGCTATGGCCTGTTGAAGCTCCGAGCCTCACCCTTCGGCTTCCTTGATATTTTTCCTCTCTCTCTTTTTGGTCATTTCACTGTCACCTCAAGTGCATATAATCCCACGCTTCGAAGCTTGTCCTCCTTTCTGTGATAGGCTGTTGCGGCCAACTCTTCGCGCAGCTGCAGCAATAGTGCAGCATCCTCCAGGCCTATCACAAGCACTAAAGCGATCCCCAAACGCGCCTGCTGCTGGGCGCCTATCTCGAGACGCTGCTGCGCTAATAGTGCCCCATAGTAGCGACGTCGTACGGCACCTGCCCCACCACAGGCAACAAGCCTCACTCCATTATTAGCAATCGCAAATCTCGCCACAGGCTCATTCACTCCCACCTACTCATTCGATAGCCTGATCATCGGCCTGCCGTATTCTCTGGCCATTTCCTGCTACGGCGCAGAATCTTTTACAAACACGCTTTTATCCTGTTTCGGCTGAGCGGCGGCTCTCTGGATAATCTCTCACGACTCCACGCCTCGGGCCATCATCATTCTCTCCCCGCACAGCTCGCTGAATGGCTGATAACGCAGAGGCGGGCAGCGATGCCCAGATCACCTTCAGGGTCAAGACGTCGCAGGATGGCACCCACACCATCACCATGGCCGAGTCGGCCACCGTCCTCGACCTCAAGACGAAGCTGTCCACGGCCGAGTTCGAGAACATCCCCGTCGACCGCCAGCGCCTCATCTACTCGGGCCGCGTCATGAAGAACGACGATGCGCTGGCCACGTACAAGATCAAGCCCAACAACACCATCCACATGGTCAAGAGCGCCGCCAGCAACCCCAGCCAGGCAGCTTCATCGTCCACCCCGCCGCCAGCGGCTGTGCCGACCAACATGGCCTCTGGCACCGCCAACAACCCTCTTGCGGGCCTGACTGGAGCCAGATACGCTGGCCACCAGATTAACCTTCCTGGAATGGACATGTTTGGCCCAGACGGTGGTGTAAGTAAACCTATGCATGCTTGCTATACAGCCGTAGAGCGGTCTTGTCGCTAACATTTGGGGCTTGGAAAACAGATGGGACCTCCCATGGACGAAGAGCGACTGCAGCGCATGATGTCCGACCCCAACGTGCTGCAGTCCATGAACGAAGCTCTGAACAACCCGGATTTCATTAATATGCTGATTGATTCAAACCCCATGCTTCGGAACATGCCCAACGCTCGAGAGCTCATTAGCTCTCCGTTTATGCGACAGATGATGAGCAACCCGTCGATGATGTCGCAGGCTCTGCGGATGCAGCGGAATATGGGTCGATCTGAATCCGCATTCCCTGCTCCTGGAGCAACGGATACGACCCCTGCCGATGCGCCTGCGGCCGATGGTACAGCTGGCCAGGGAAACAACCAGCAGCAGAACCCTTTTGCGAACCCTTTCATGATGCCAGGGCTTATGGGTGGCGCTGGCGGTGCTGGCGGTGCTGGGGGGGCTCCTGGGATGCCCAATTTTCCACAGATGCAGCAGATGCTTCAAAATCTGAATGCCATGGCGGGAGGTGGTGCATTCTCGCCTCCGCCAAGTGGCGCGGCGACGGGAACGACGGGCCAGCAGCCCGCGGCGGAGAGCCGAGGTCCAGGAGGCGACGCAGGTGCAGGTGCAGGACAACCCCAGGGCGGTGCGGCGGCGGCGAACCCCTTTGCGGCTTTGTTCCCACCATCGGCCGCCGGAGGAGCAAATCCCTTTGCTCTGTCCCCGGAACAGTTTCAGCAGATGATGCAGGTGTTTGCCCCGCAAGCGGCTCCTTCGCCCGCAGACAACCGGCCGCCGGAAGAGCGATACGCAGAGCAGCTCAGACAGCTCAACGATATGGGGTTCTACGATTTTGATCGAAATGTTGCAGCGCTGAGACGTAGTGGTGGAAGCGTGCAAGGAGCTGTTGAGCATCTGCTTGGCGGTGGCAACTAAGAGAGTTATGGTCGGCAGCGAATCGAATTTCCTGGAATCAGGACAAAAGCGTGAATAATGGACGTGTCAACATATTGAATTATGGTTGACTACACACACGATGACAGCGCAAGCTTGTGGCGCCTTTGAGCGAGGAGATATATGGACGACACAAGCTTCTTTTTCTTTTGTTTCCTCCCCCCTCAGGAGCCGGATTTCAAGAGCTTGCGAGCATGGCAATCGGGCGCGATTCAAACAGTGTAATTTTTTATTTTCAGTGACGGTAATACAAAGTATTCGCACATAGGGAATTGATACGGTAGTGACAGCGATTTGGACTGTACATGCTTTGAATGGTGCTGGCATCGTGGAGTTCATGAATGGTGGCTCAAACCTATCGCTTTCATGCCAGATCATTGAGATAATAGTAATTACCTGTATATAGATATTTGCGTGTACAGCCACGGCATACAGAGAGGAAGTTGATGAATGAGAACTGAGACAATATCGTTGATGAATAAACACACGGCTTACAATTCTCCGGCGAATCTTCAACAAAATCCGGAGCGTGGGGCAAGCCGTTTCGGCAAACAGCGCCGCCCGTCCGCGCCGAGCTTTTTTGGAGATGCCTCGGCACCTCCTCCTATTTTAGCTGTACCCCGGATTTAGTCTTACGGGGGGACCTTGAATTGGGGCGGCTTTTCATTTGCTGAGAGGCTTAAACTTTCTCTCTCTCTCTTTTCACTTTCATAAAAGGCTGACAATATAGTTTCGTGTTTGTTTATCTTTCTTCTTTTTTTGAGTCAATTGTTGCCTTATTTACAAGTTGGCTTTTCATCAGTTGTCAAGATGCGCGGCATTGAGATCCAGAAATATGTCAAGGTAACACTCATCTGTCTACTTGTTACAGTGATAGACTGAAGTATCTAGCTAACTGAAGAACCGCAATTCGTAAATGAAAACAGAGCCCTTCAGAGCTCATAGTAACCGATCTGGCCGATCCCGTGCCCAAAGACACCGAGTATCTCATCGAGGTGCACGCCGCGGCAGCCAACTTTTTCGATATCCTGCAGGTTCAGGGAAAATACCAGAACCAGCCACGTGAGCTTTCTTCTCTCTCATCATCGTCATCTGTCTTTTAAAAAAAAACCAACAACACTAATTTTCATCTCTAGCCTTCCCATGGATCGCCGGCGCTGAATTCGCCGGCATCGTCATCTCCACGCCTCGCAAAAGCAGCACGCCGCGCTTCCCCGTCGGCACACGCGTCTTCGGCGCCGGGCAGGGCGCCTTCGCGACGAAGCTGTGCGTGAAGGAAGATGCGCTGCTGCCGGTGCCGGAGGGCTGGTCGTTCCGGGATGCCGCGGGCTTGTATGTGACAGCGCCGACGAGCTACGGCGCGCTGGTGGTGAGGGCGGGAGTCAAGGCTGGGGATGTGGTGCTGGTGCATGCGGCGGCGGGAGGAGTTGGGCTGGCGGCTGTTCAGGGTGAGTTCCTTTATTGTTTTATTTGTGAATGAGAAAGGGTGATATGATGTGAGTGAGTGAGTGACAGATGAGAGCGACTCTCACTCACTCATATCATTATCAACTGACACATACCACAGTCGCCAAAGCCTTCGGCGCCACCGTCATCGCCACAGCATCCACCCCCCGCAAACTCGAAATCGCAAAATCCTTCGGCGCCGACCACGTCGTCTCCTACACGGACCCCGACTGGCCCAACAAGGTCAAAGCTCTCACGCCCAAGTCCCGCGGCGTCGACATCGTCTATGACCCCGTCGGCCTCGTCGACAAGTCCACCAAATGCACCGCCTGGAACGGCCGCATCCTGATTGTGGGCTTCGCCGCGGGCGCCATTGAAAAGGTGGCCATGAACAAGGTGCTGCTGAAGAATATCTCGCTCGTGGGCATTCACTGGGGCGCGTATGCGATTCATGAGCGGGAGATGATCCCCAAGGTATGGGAGGGGATTATGCGGTTGGTGAAGGAGGGCAAGATCAAGGGCACGGAGTATACGGATGAGGAGTTTGTTGGGCTGGACAGGGTCAAGGATGCGCTGGTGGCGCTGGGAGGGAGAGGGACTTGGGGAAAGGTCATTATCAAGGTTCCTCAGGAGGGCAATAGCCGGCTGTAAACGTTTAAATCAAGATAGACACGAGTCGAAGCATCGCTATTTACTACCAATAACACGAAACAAAACAAAACATAACCAACATCCTGGCTCATGTCTTTTGTATAGCATCTATCAACTCAAAAATATCTCTTTCCTTTCGTCCACGTTATAACGTGTAAGCTCGTCATCCAAGTCGTAAGCTCATTACCACCACCAAGACTCTCACATTCATCCATGCTCCCGAATATCCCACCTTCACTGAGATGTGAATGTGCCATCCATGAGCCTTTGGAAAGCATCCATGACTTCCTTATCGACGTTCACCGCCCAGTTCGCATGCAAAACCTCCTGGCCTCCGATGCGCGCAATTAAGTCCTGTAGTCTAGCCTTTACAAACTGCAGTGCGTTCACGCAATGTATCGGATCTTTATGCTGACTCTCGCGCTCTACGAGCAATCTAGGAGCATCATACTCAAACTCCTCAACTTCCGCTTCCCAAATCAGGCAATCCGTGCCGTCAGCTACGCCGTCTTGCAGATCAATGATGACGTTGATCCACATGTCCATAAAGTCTTGTAGCTTACTCAACACCAGTTCCTGCATTGGAGAATCCAGTTCGAGCAGACGGGTCAGAGCGAGGAGATAGAGTTTCTGGCGGTCAATATTGTCCATCCTCGATTGGTAGCCAAACCATTCCACGGATAGCCAGCTCCACACGTCTCCAATGTTTCCAAACGTGCTCAGCATTTGCACAAACAGATTCGGCTCCGCAAGTATAATCCGGGCCAGAATCGCAAAGTAGTCGCCTTGCGTGATCGTGTTTAGCTTGCTTTGTTTTCTGTTAGGTCCCGTAGTTTGACGGGCCTCCCACGCGTCATGGAGGTTTGCCAGAATCTTGTTCATGAAGCCTATTTCTAGCATGTCTCCAACAAGGACCGATATTCCCTGCGCGCCTCCGAGTTCCGCCGCCGACCGAATCAGATATTCAATGCAAGTTGTGCCTATGCGGACATGCTCTCGGCTCTTGGAATCCAGCGTGCCGCTAAGCGCAGTCAGCATCGGTCGTCGCAGGGTGTCCTCCAGCATCGCCGAGGGTGCGATGATGACGTAGGATTCAATAGCCGATAACGCTTGTGACACTGTTTCTGACTGATACTCCAGAAGAGGGAGCAGCATCTCGGCAAGATTGATAATCTCTTGCGAAAGCGGAGGTTTGCATTGCATGAGAATCGAGTTCAAGAGCTCCAACGACTCGTCAATGAGGTTATAATGCAAGTCTGAGCCTTGCCTTGCAGCTTCAGCGAGTAAGGGAAGCATGTAATTCTGATAGCGCTGGAATTCGGGGCCCATGCTCATAACCAAGGCAGAGAAAATGGCAATCACCGCTTGCTTCACCATGTACTCTTCTGCCCCTGTACTTTGCCACACAGACGGCAGCGCAGCCATGAGCTGGTCTCCAAACTGGCTGACTTGCTCTTCCATCCGCGTCACCAGGATTCGGATGGACTCGAGTATGGCTAGCTTTGTTTCGTCGCTGTCCACGTTCCGTACGAGGTCTATGAGGTTGTTGAGAACATCTGCAGTGTAGGGCAGAAATGCCTCGACGTTGAAGTCAATCTCGTCGGCCACCCACCTGAGCTGCCTTGCTGCTGTGATCCTCACCACAATGTCATTCGTCTCGTCGGCTGGAGATAGAAAATGCTGGAAAATCTGATACACAATCGGCCGGCTGGTGTCCCCTAGTTTGACTGGGGCCCATAGACTGATCAAGATGGCAATACGTCGCCGCAGGACCTTGTACAGACCGCCTTGTTGCTGGGCATCATTCACAATGGCCGATGCCAGCACTGCGTCAAAGTCAAGCTGGTGAACCACGTGCGCTGCTGAAAGACCCATGGCCGTATAAACGGCCTCCTTTGTAGCAATATCCGTCTGGGGAGACTGTACATTATGGAAATATGATAGCAGCGGTGGCACTAGAAGATCCTTGAAATTGGTAAGCAGGTCCAAGAACAGCTTCTCAGCGCATGGCCGAACTTCCCATTCATATGCACTACCCTCATGCTGCTCCTGTTGTTCCCAATCTTCGGGATCTTCTTCCCAAGCCTCAAGATCCGACCTGCGGAAGACAAATAGGTGGGTGATGATGGTATTGACCATTTGTATTACTAAGTCATCCTTGAAAAGCTCCGTCCTTACTATGCTCTTTGCTTCTTCTTGTTCGACTTTTGTCTCCTGTGTTCGGTACTTGAAAGTTTGTATTGGCGAAAACGCGATTCTAACACAAGCACGCAGAAGAAGCAACCCCTTCAAGGCAAGCTTTTCCATGAGAGGACCTTCCGTCTTGCTCTTGGCTCCCGCATCGCCAGAGCCCTGGCGAATACCCCCAGACGAAGCAAAAACTTCAGCAAATTTCGAAATGAGGTCCCAGTACGCATTGACGAGGGACAGTGAATTGGGCAGAAAAGCAAAGCTGGCAGCAAAATGCTCGGCTTGGTCGATGTGGAACTTGGAGAACTGGAGGAGATGCTTTCCCACCAAGTCTTGGTATGGTTCTGGTACTCCAGAGTCGATGAAGCCCAGAAACTGACCAAACTGGTTTTGCGACAGTGTCCAGAACTGGCTTACTGAGTTATCGGTGTGAGGTCGCGCGTAGCCCACACTGATGAGACGACGGAGGGTCTTTAAGGCTGAGAGGCTGTTAATCATGGCCAAGTTGGCTTCGTCGCTGTTTCCCTGTCCGGTGCTCAAAAAGTTGATCCATATAGACGACTTCTCTGAGTATATCTCGGACAAAACGTATACAATCTCGGGCGTAACTGACTGCAGCGCTGTTTGCGACTTTCTAAGCCGTGCGCTTCCCATCTCCTTTATGACTCGTAGCAGGATCAGCAGTGTGCCGTACAGATGATACTGGTTGGCGTTCCTCGTGGATCGCAGAAGATCGATGATGCTGGGCAACGCATCGGGCCAGTCGTCTGGATAGTCGATCCGGACTATTTTAGCAATGACCAAGGCATTGTGTAGAGCAAGATGCTTCGCCTCCTCCTCGACCGATCCCTGGAACAACCGTGATCGAATCAAGCTCTTCTCCTCGGCAGGTATTCCGTTCTTCAAGTGCGCATGCAGTCTCCAGCACTTGTCTATGCCGTTTTTGATTTGTATGATCGCCAGAAATCGAATTTCGAGAGGCAGGGACTTGTCGAGAAACACCGACTTTTATGAGAGGAAGCAGACAAAAGTTAGCTGCTGCGAGGCCGATATATTACAACGATGGAGTGGTAACAGAGACATACTTGCAGCGAAGAATAGTAGCCAGGCTGTGACTCCCAAGTCGTGAGCTGCTGGCCGGCAGCCTGTCGCTGGACGTGATCCGAGGCAGTGGTAGCCGCGTGAAGAGTGCGGCACAGCTCCTCCAGGGACAGCGGAGCGGCGTCGCCTGGCACTTCGATCGCGAAACTCATGGCTGCTGCCGAGGCCGTTCAGGCGGCTACTCAGCTCTGGTGCGATGGCTGCGAGGCCCGTAAAGCAAACAGAATCGCGGAATTAGTATGAAAGTAGCAAAGCAAAAGTCGAGGTCCCAGAAGCTGTAGGTGCTAATAGAATAGCCCAGCGCTTGGGTGATGGTGGGGCTGAGTTGGTTTGGCTGTTCGGTGTGAGAAGAAGATGGAGGGGTAGCAATAGAATGGAAGGCAAATAGGCGGGAAAGGCCAACAAGGCTGAGATTACAAGGAACAGTACACAGGCAGTGACTTGATAGTAGAGCGGCAAATAGAAATTAGGCTTTTTGAAATACGTATTTGTGTTTATTCTCTATAGTCGTAGTGAAATCTTTCCCAAGCCCGAAATCCTGTCATTAACTGGTCCAAGAGACATTTACAGCGAGGACCCTTGGGCCTTATTAGCGCCGGTGTATCGGCCTATGCTCCACCGCGAAGAAGATGCAAGCTCAAGCTTCAACTTCGTAGAGACCTCTGCTCCAAGCAAGCCATTGCCCGCTGGCATTGGCACGTCCACAGGCCATGATCCGCTCACGCACCTCCAGGCTCGCAGCCTCTGCCCTCGCGAGGAGGCAATGGACGTGCCCGGCATGCCTGTCCAAGCGCCAATACTCCAAGCAGCCCGAAAAGCGTGAACCTCCCGATCATCGGAAGCTGGGCAACCAGCAGGAGCTCTTCATGACGTCGATATATAGCCCCGGGTCACCCATATTCTTGCCCAACGGCGCTCGCATATTCAACCGACTCGTCGACTTCTTGCGAAAACAGTACGTGCGATATGGATTTCAGGAAGTCATCACGCCGACGATATACAAGAAGTCGCTGTGGGCAAAGTCGGGGCATTTGGAGAATTATGCCGAGGACATGTACTCTGTGACGGGGAATAAGAGGGCTTCGGACGTGGAAGGGTGCTGTGGGACGGATCATGCTCAAGATGCAGTGGAGGAAGATGACGATTATGGGTTGAAGCCCATGAATTGCCCTGGGCACTGCCTGATCTTCGCATCCAAGCTGCATAGCTACAGAGATTTGCCGGTCAGATACGCTGACTTCAGTCCCCTCCATCGAAACGAGATATCAGGCGCCTTGTCAGGGTTGACTCGGGTGCGTCGCTTCCACCAAGACGACGGCCATATCTTTTGTAGACCAAGCCAGGTGGAGGGCGAGATCAAGAAGACGTTGGAGTTTGTCAAGACGGTTTACAGCGTTTTGCGTCTTGGTGTCAGCTACCGCTTGGCACTGTCTACACGGCCGAAAGACCATTACATTGGCACGGAAGAAGAATGGGCGCGCGCCGAGGATAGCTTGAAACGAGCGCTGGACGCTTCAGGCATGGAATGGACGCTAAACGAGGGCGACGGCGCATTCTACGGCCCCAAGATTGACATCGTGCTCAAGGACTCGGAAGGCAAAGAGCACCAGACTGCGACGATTCAGCTCGATTTCCAGCTACCGAAGCGATTCGAGCTGGAGTACCAAGCACCTGCCCCAGAGTATGAAGCTCGCGGCGAGACGACTGAAGACCCAGAACTTCTCGCCCAGTACGGCCCCGTGCGACCGGTCATGATTCATCGTGCGGTGCTGGGATCTGTAGAGCGGCTGCTGGCGCTCTTGATTGAGAACTATGACGGGAAATGGCCGTTCTGGCTGAATCCGAAACAGGCCGTCATTTTAACAGTTAACACGTCCGATCCAGTTGTAGAGTGGGCCGACGAAGTGCGCGACATCCTCCTCGGCAACAAGAAGCAGAAGGGAGATGGGTTGCCGGCTATCGAGAGTCTTTCCGGGCAGACGGGCCTGGCGGTGGACATGGATATCACTCCGAGATCACTCGGGACCAAGATTCGGGAGGCCCACGCGAGTGGTTACGGTCTTGTCTTGGTGGTGGGCGAGCAAGATGTTGAGAATAAACAGGTCAGCTTGGGCAAAGAAAGATTGAGTCCAGTTGAAATGCGCGATAGAATGCTGCACATGGTAGATACATTCGAATAAACAACTCTCCCGTCTATTCCTACCCAAAGCGCCGATAGTAGTAGCCTGTATTCCTTTTACTGACCTCCAATCCCCACTGAAGCCGACGAGTGTATAGTATAGTATGGTATAATAGAATCGCTTAGAAAGAAGGCTCGCTGCGCCTTTTCCAGCTTTTGGATAAATGATAAATCAAGTTCGCTTCATAACGCTCTGTATCTCCTCCCTCGCTGCCGCTTCAAGGACTTGGCAGGTCCTCTGACCTCTCATTAAAGATATTCACCGGCTGCTGGGACCTTGTCTTGAAAGATGGGCGCCCCTTTTCCCAAGTTAACCTCCATCGCCGCGCAGCATCTCATTCAACTCACTTTTTGAACTTGGGGTCGACATCTCCGCCTGCTTGCTCGACTCGATCAACCAAGGCCTGCCTCTGCACGAGCTGCTCGCGCATGTAGTCCACCGTCCTCTTGAGCACGAGACCCTCTGAGCGACCCTGTCCCTGCAGACCGGGCACGAGCTCAGTGAGCCTATCGAAGCCCTCTCGAATTGCCTGGCGGCGCTTCTGTTCTAAAGGCGATGTTAGCTTTGAGTAAGGATGAGCTTTACTGCCATAGATTCAAACGTGGGCGTGAGAGCGCCATGGGTTTTGGTGTCCGGGCTCGCGTGTTTGCGTACCTGATGCGATGTGGTTCTGCTTCTTCTCCTCTTCTGTGAGGCGTGGCTTGTCGTCGGCGCTGGCTGCAGCCGCAGAACCGTTTTTGTTTGCAGCATCGCCAGACGAGCCTGAAGTTTGGCTTGGTGAGGCTGACATACTTCTCTCTCTCTCTCGTTCTTGTCGTTGAGAGGTGCGCTGCTAGGTAGATTGGAGGAGGACTTATGGGCGATATGATAAGCACATGCGAATCAGGACACCAGTGCGCATAGCCAGCCAAATATCAAGATCTATAGATTCGACGGCAATCATTTACGCGAAGTGAGAAGGAAAGGATTGAAAAGAATAAGGAACAAGGAATAAGACAACAGCAGAGAGAGGTAGGAGCGCTATTCCTTCGATTTTTGATTGGCGTGGTACGACACCAGAGCGTTGAATGTCATCAATTGCTGCAGACTTTTGGGGGGATCACATGCGTTGCACGTTGCACGTTGCACGCGCGCCGTGCTAATTAAAATTGAGAAATTGAATTGATCGAAAATAGAGAGAACAACCAGCACTAAGATGACACCAAAAGCCACCGGCCGCCAGGCCTGTTACAGCGCTAGGAGGAACAAGGATCTTGCCCCAGATTCTCGGGGCCGAAGTGCCGGTCCCTGCGTCTAGCTCCCTAAAAGAGCAGCTGGGCCACGTTAACGAGATTGATTTGTGTGGTGAGGTAGCAGTACCTTCCTCTGTTTTTGGAATTTTTATATGTAGCCATTGTGCTTTGCAAGTGCTTCTGTTTTTGGTTTATTCTCCTCTTGCTTTTCATCTCTGCCTTTCGCAGTTTGATGTAATGGGCGGTGCGGCATGCCCAGATAATGCCTCCCTAAGATTTCCGAGTCTGCACCATGCCGCCAATCACATGCCAAAATACTTGCTGCTCCGACCAAAAGCTCCATGTAGACGGGGGTTCATCTTATTTCCTTGGACAGCAGCCACTGGAATTGAGGCAACTCGCCTCGGTTGAGCTACAGGAAGCTTCATGATGAATGGGCGTTTCCCTTGATTTTGCGAACATCACAAGCTTTGCTTTGCTTCATGTCATCATCATCTTCTTCACATAAAGGGCAAATCTGACCCATAACGCCCACGCGAGGGGCGTTGAAACCACGACGCTAGAGCCGCCTCAGTCTCCATCTCAAGTCACTCGTCTATTTCTCATTCTGAAGCTGATCCTGCATCGTCATCAAACTCGTCACGGTCTTGCTGGAAGATGACCTTTTCCGCCAGCGTCAAGGTTCGCTTCACAGGCAGTCCAATGACATTATCAACGCTTCCCTCAATCTTCTCCACCAACAACATGCCTGCAATGCCTTGGATTCCGTATCCACCAGCCTTGTCAACGCCCTCTCGGGTCTTGACATAGGCCTCAATCACATCGTCTGGCAGTCCGTTCCCCTCTTCCCAGAAGTAAACCTTGGTCTCCTCTGTGTGGGATTGGATGTCGTAGCCCGGAGCCCTGGCATCTTCTCGCGGCGCTAGCACAGTAACTGAAGTCAAAACTCTGTGCATGCGCGTGTCACGCAGGATCTTGAGCATCCGAACGTGGTCTGCCTCACTCCGAGGCTTCTCCAGAATGCGTCCATCACGAGTGACAATGATGGTATCAGCGGCAATGACCAGCGCGGGATCAGGGATGGATGCTAGGCTGGTCTCTATGCTTGTGGTGTAAACGTCCAGACACTTGTTATGAGCGGTAGTGGCGACATATTCCCAAGGTCCATACGCCTTTTTGTCCAGATCCTCAGGTTTGGTTGATGGAGTAATCTCCAGATTAGTCAATCCGATCTAAATTGGCATATGTTACTTTTAGCGCCACAAAGGCGACTGCTGTCAGTCTTCATGTTTACGAGCGTCATACCTGCTGGAGAAGCTGCTTCCGTCGAGGAGAGGCGGATGCCAGAATTACTCGCTTTGAGTTGAGATGCCTGATGATGGGGATATCAAGGGGCTGCAGCGGCCTGCGCATGGATCCGGCTCGAGGACGCCCGGCGGCTGGGCCGGCAGAATCGGGGCCGGCGTCGCCTGGAGCGTTCGGGGCCGACATGATGTGTGAGGAGAGCTGTTGATTGAGGGGATTCTCCAGCAACAGATGGCAATGCGAGATGAAAGCTTCGGGGACAGGAGCAAGGCGGTATAGGTTTTAAGGAGCTCGAGTCGTCATTGATGGTGGGGTCGTGTCTGCAATTGACCCCACTGCGCAGTAGGCTGTAGAAAGGAATGCATGACTGAGTGTGAGTGAGGACCTCTACCGCTACAAAGGGCAGCTTCCGAACGCAGCGTGTCTCTAGGCAGCTGTTTGGACTGATGAGAGTTAAAAGCATTGAGTGGGGTTGCTATATAATCCCCCATCAGCTGCTTTTTTTGCTCTTCTGTAAAGAAAGTGGAATTCTCAGCATTGGCGTCTACCTACATACATGCAGGTAAGGTATCTGTTAAGGTATCTGTTACACCATAGGCTGCTGAGGTTTATTATTGTATTGTGTCACATTTCCATCGCCATTGTGTTGTTTTCATGATGGGGAATATCTACAGATACAATATGATTATCTACAAATGTGCTACTTTTCCCTTCCACGACCATCAAGCCATCCTCATGAGCTACAGCTGAGCTCTGCCTCGTGGCCGGATCGGGACTAGGCCCAGCCGCGGTACCTGGCGACTTGTACCTTGGCGAGGTACCCGTCCAATGTACCTGTTCGTCAATCTCGCTCCCTGTTCCCGCGCCCTGGAGCGAAAAAGCCAAAACTTCGGCCCTCCAATAAACAGCACTCAACGACACTAAAGCACTCAATGCTCCTCTAGGCCTGCCATCACCGCAGCGTTCTTGTGTCCACCAGCGGAATAAGTTTGATCAGCACTGCCGTTGTCCGCTGCAGCCACGCCTGTGCAAAAAACCGCTGCTCAACCGCTGCTACTCCAAAAGCCATCGCCGCTCCAGAGCCCTGTAGCGCGCGCGACCTCCCGCCACCAAGGGCACAAAAAAGCATCCATCAACACGCGTCTCTCCACGCTGGCGATCGCTGTCGCCGGGCCGTGGGTTGCGACACGGGACTCTCGAAGCCATTGAGTCCTCACGCCTGCGCCGCAGGTCCCTCGTCGCCGCCGACGGTAATGCGCCTGCTGTAACGCTGACGATCCAGACCAAAATGGAGGCCAAGCGGAAGGCGAATGGAGCCTCCGATGCAGAGGACCGCAATGCGAAGCGGCGCAGAGTAGCTGTGAGTGTGGTCCAATTCCAATGCGCGTCTGGATGGGGAGGCTCAGTTTCAGGAGCTATCCTTCAGTGCTGTGTTCTGCGCTCCCCTCCTGCATCTTTCTTGCTTTCTTGAGATCCTATTCCTTTTCTTTCCATCACCAATGGCACTGCCCGCATCTGCATCCTTCAGCCCTGGTTCGCGCGCATTGATGGAAGTCGCACGCTTGCATCTCGCATGCCGGTTCTGCGCTAACAGCCCTGTCTCTACAGCAAGATTACGATCTTTCCAAGGGCGAATCCCGCGAATCGACCACTGCGCATGGGCTGGTATTTCTCGACCAGATCCGTCGGACCGCCGATAAAAGGTATACTCGCTGCAGCTACTGCTGCTGTTGCAAAAGAATCTGGACTGACCGTGTTACAAAGTGGCCGTCTTGTCGCGACAGCCTTTGAAGAGCTCGTCTCTCGCGAAAGTAACCCCGACTACTACAAAAGGACGCGACTGCCGATTTCCCTGGAGACGATTGAAGAAAAGCTCAACGATGGCTATTTCAAGAGCCTCGCAGAGCTGGAGAGCTACTTCAAGCGCATGATTGCCAATGCCAAAGAGTATTATACGCGCGGATCACAAATCTTCGACGATGCCGAGCGGGTTCGCAAAGCGCTGAGCAATTACATGACCAAGACAAACCCTGCATACAGCAATCGGTCCTACCAGGCAATTCCTACTCCATTACCGCCGGAAAATGCAGATGATGAGGATGAGGAGGAAGAAGATGCAGAGGGAGAGGATGAGGAGGAGGGAGACGAAGATGCTGATGGCGAGGATGCCGAGGACGCTGAGGATGCCGAAGGTGAGGACGAAGACGCAGACGGCGAGGACGAGCCTGAAGAAGACGAGCAGCCAAAATCAAGGCGAAAGGCCATTATCCTCAAGCGGAGAGGATCCAGCCGCACTCGGAGAGGCTCCAACAACGATAACCCAAGAACTCGGTCACCACCACCAAGTCGTCCCGATCACGAGTATGAAAACGTGCCGTACAAAGGCCTCACTTTCCAACAAGCTCAAGAAAAGATAGTGGAAGAACTGATACGACACCAAGAGCCAGAGTATGTGGACTCAATCCAACCCTTTAATGGTCAACCTTTTTCTTCGTCTAGACTAACTTGGTCCATTTTTAGCTACGACGATGCCTACTTCGAGCCTTTCATTAACCTCCCTCCTCGAGCCTTGAGGGACTACTACAAAGTCATTACCGATCCCCTATCGCTCAAGAAGCTGCAAAAAATTGTCAAGGGCGTGCATGGGCGGAACGATGCAACTGGCGTGAGCGACTTCAAGACATGGAGCGCCTTTGAAGAAAAGTCAAAACTCCTCTGGACCAATGCCTATTTCTACAACGAAGAAGGCAGCGATATATACGTGCTGGCACAGGAGCTTGAGGTAAGAAGCATGCAGATGAGGACCGTTCTGAAGGATTCGTAAATCTGACCACGGAAATAGAAAATGTTCTACAGCCACCTTAAGAAGGCACAGGCAGCTGTCTCAGAGCCATTTCAACAGAAGATCAAGCTCAAAGTTGGACAAGGAGGATCTGAGACACCCAGCTCGTCCAAGAAGATCACTATTCATGTTGGCGGGCGTGACAGCTCTGTAGCTTCGCCAGCCCCTCAAGCAACCCAAGCACCAGAGGCCAATGGCGCGGCAAACACCAGTGGCTCTACCCAGCTTTCAGCCAATCTTGAAGCTCCTCGAAGTATCTCAGCATCTGCGCCCTCCCCGACTCCCTCATCACAGGTAGGGCTAAAGGTGGAGGATGGTTCGCGGGCCTCTCCAGCCGTTGCCAACGTGCCCCCTGGAATGGCAGGACAAGCGGCCTTGCGACCTCCTATTCCCGCGATCCCATCTCAGCCATTCCAGACTAATCCGCTGGTGAATGGCTATGCGGACCAGAGAAGATTTCGCGCTACTGGCAAAGGTATAGTGCACATCTCATTCATGTCAAAGCTGCCATTCATACAAGGTACTAATCTTGATTTTTAGGAATCGAGAGTGCACTGATTGAAAAACTACGAATTCAAACTCTTCCCAGCATCCCGAATGAGCGCCCCACGCTACTCACCGTTTTACCCAACGCAAAGGAGATGCAGCAATCCGCAACCGTCAACTTGCCGCATTCTCAGACTCGCATCTGGATTGTCGTAACGCTGCCATCTTTCCTACAGGATCGTCAATATAGCCTGTGGACCCTAGTGGACAAGCAACCCTGGAAGCAGTTGATGCAGCCTATCCCGAACCAGACACACCACGAAAGAGCATTTGACGTTATGCTGCATCCTGGGCTTAACGTCATCGAAACCCATCTCATCGCCGCAATTCCGCGCCACGAGAGAGAACCGGGGGGCCCTGAGGCGGAATTAGAAGTCTTCACTGTGCTTATTAACGTGTCGCGGCCGTACTAGACGTCGGATGCATCTGAAAGGGCAGTGGGTGTCGTTGAACCAGATGCAGAGTAGAGTGGGCAACTCTGTCCGCATCTACTCCGAGCCTCTGCACGGGGGCACTGTTCGGGCCATTTCTGCACAGCCCTTGGCTATGCGAATCGACGGTATCGAAAATGCTAGGAGGGTGGAGTGGGCGCGCTAATCCGCCTTTTCCGTGTTGCTTTTGCGGAAACTCAATGGTTGGAGTTACTGGTATCAGGTAATAGCGAGCGACTCAAACAAAAATTCTGGGCTTTGGGTGGAACCTCTGGCAGGGTTGCGTGTGTCTTTTTTTGTCTCTTTAGTTCTTCTATCTAATGATTTCGGCCGAGTACGGGTGGCGGGCCAGGGCTGATCCCTGTTTTCCGGCTGCTCTTATTATATAATGCCGTCGGATGCGGATGTGGGATAGTACAGGTATCGGCGTCCTCCTCGTGAACAGGTTTATGTACACCATCACCAGTGGCCGTGCAGTCAATCTCAGTTTGGGTAGCGCAACATTACTATTGCTGGGTGAGTAGCCACAGAGATTATTTGAAGTGTCTTGACTGGAATATGTTGCAGCGGACGGTAGACAATTACTAGGTAGTCTAGTATAGAGGAGATGTGAAAGGGGGGACAGAAAAAAGACCTAAATATTTTTATTGATCTTTACGCTTTAGTATACTTGCATATTAGGAAAGTGATCAAGAACGTTTGTGCTGACTTGATTCTCGGCCAATTGCGACTCAGATACTTTGGGCCCTACGTGTTTGAGTTTGAGTCAGGTTTTCCGTATCATTTCGGCATGCATGAGGCACATCGTTAGTAAGTTGTTAGTTTGTCCCTTGTCTATACTACACTGGTATCTCCCTCTACATCTACCGAGATGGCTAGCCAAGAGCTATGCTTTCCAATCGCAGGCATATCTTTGATGGCTACTAGGTAGGAGACGAGCTGAACAAGATAGACGGGGAGAGATACGCTGGCTATTCAGCTCATGCTTGTACGGCGCAACTCCCGATTCAGCACAATCAACTGAACTCAGCAGGGTTACTATGCGGCAGCCTAAGGATTAGTGGGACTAAATGATCCCTGCTGATGGGTGGCCACTGAGTGAAATACTGCTGGAATAGGAAAATGTCTGCCCGTGTAGATGGATGTGAGTATCGGGAATGCGAGATGAATCAGGTGCTATTAAATCCGAGACAACGGCGTAAATGGAAAAAGCTTAAGATTGAAAATTAGAATAGATAAATAGATAAATGATTTAAAGTTAATGGGCAATTTATCGATTAAACTTGGTAGATCGTATTTACCCAGCAAGCTGATTAGTATTCCAATTAATATAGCCTCATCGCTAGGCCAGCCCTAGACCGCTGAGCTAAGAAACGGATCGTGGTTGCAGATTACAGAGCATCATATTTCATATTTGTCACCGAGTCATGGGTTGTTTGCCAATCTGGTGTCTTTTTACTTTCTTTGTTCGCTTATTTGTTCTGTGACATATGGGTGAGAATGGAGTAATCAGATACATACAGGTATATGTTTTGATACATGATTCGCTAATACCATTACTGTAACTTGCTCACTCACTTGTGACGCCAATTCGCTTAATTAATAATGAGAAATGAAGAGAGAGAAATAAACGAATGAGCAATTGGTTACAAAAGTCGATTGGCTTATTTGGTAATTATCATGCCGGCCGTGTTGAAATACGGCAGTTGCGTGTTGGCCGCCAGTATGCCGCTCCAAGTGTCAATCCAGGGCGTTGGTTGAAACAATAAAATCCTTTTACAAACAAAGCACCCTTCAGTCTAGACCTACTCATTGTTAAGCAGTGTCGCATTCTGAGTAAAGTGGTATATAAAAGGCTTTTTCCTATACGGCTCCTCACAAAGACCATGTTCAACTCGGAGTCTTTCCTCAAAAGAGTAATGCGTATTCTATGACTTGTCTCCAAACCCAAAGCGGCTCAACTAGTATCTGTGTAACACGAAGCTTGCGGGGCTATTGCTTACGACTAGAACAAGTTTAAATTGTGTTAGAGTCTAGTAACGGTAAGATCCAATACCTTTAGCGCTACGAATTCTATAGGCATTGGTAGTGTTGTGGGGAATGTGCAACTCATTGGCTATATGCGGCAATGTTGTTACTTCGGAACTTCCGCACAGAGAGTTTCGAAGTCATAGGATTGGTACGATGATGCTCTCAAGGCACAGTCATATGGAACGCCCGTAACCACATGAGGAGGTTTGCCATCGGCGGAATCATTGAAAGAAGCTTGCAGATGAATGACGATTGAAGGCCCTGTAGGTACATGATCTTAGTCAAGTTGTCAATTTATCGAATAGGGTTGTATCTACTAGTTTAGTGATGCTGATTACGCTTATGGCCGATACAAAGTTCCTAAAACTAGTACGTCAACATATGGAACTCAAGCACACGCGGCCTCGCCGGTGTAGCCTATACGAGGGCTGCATTCGGCGACCCTGCCTTTTGTTATTTCCGTAATGATTAATTTCCATCACCTGAGAGTTGTGGGTTCAGGCCCGATAAGACGAGTAAACTCCAAGTCGATACGAATCTCGGAGAGTATTGTATTATGATATGTGATTTTCTTGAGTGTTGCGACGTAATGTCAAAGGTGGGACGGAACTTCCGAGAAGAAATCGTACACGCAGTGGATTTCTTGAAATTGAGATTACACGTATCCACAAAGATAGACAGGGCATATTCTGAGGTGGTTCATTAAAAAGAAATAGGAGTCTGATGTCGTGCTTGTGATAAGACTCGTCTTAATTGAGTTTGTGATTAAGCCGACGACAAGAAATAGCATGATGACTTGAATCTACAACTGATGATGGACATATAGAATTGCATAATTCCATAGCTGCATATCTAGTATTCCCGTCTTCAAAACGTTCTATGCGCAAATATGTCATCGGATATATGTGATCACAAAAGTGAAGATACATGGGGCGAAGACATATAAATAAAGTAATATTACTAAGGATTTTGGTCAAATGTCAGCTGAATTAAGGTAAGAAGTAAGGTCATGTGCACCGTCAGCCAAAGCGGAACCAGCTTCTTCGCAGTTTCTCCTTTCGGGACTGAGTTTGTAGGACAATGATAACAGCTTAGACGCAGCCAAAATGAAGTCTTTACTTCATTAGCAAGATATGTTAGCAGTTTTAGATCTTCAAACCTCGGAAATATATCCGTGTCTTGTATCTCCACAGTTAGTCTGGGGTACGCTTAGAGGCGAAACTGATAAACTGAGGTCGGGAAAAAGTAAGTTAGCTATGCAACTTCAAAAGCACTGTGAAGGTCAGCTTGCCTAGTCTAGCTTGGAGGAAATTGTGCGAAAAGGTTGATGGCTCCTGAGAGTCGTTAGGCCTGTATATCCATTCCCATGGAGCTGAGCGCAAATGTGGAGCAATGTTTATTTCAGTTCATAACAAGGCAATTGGCTGAAGACAAGTGATGTTGCTGGCCCTTGGCTCTGAACTCTTTTGTTACAAATCCTCATCAATAGTACTGATAGAACCCGAATGCGTGGTTGATTCCTAAACCTTAGGATATCCCGCTACTATACTTTGTAGCGGTTGGATCAAATCGGCAAATGGATACCGAGCCAGGACGTTACGAGAATTGAGCACCGCTAACAAGTAGCTCTAGTTTCTAACCCCTTTTTCTACCTGCAGCTTAGTGACCTATTTTACGTCTATCACCCATAAATTCCGTCACGACCGAAATAGGTATTGCCGACGAGAAGGCAATTTACGTCGAAATAGACCGAGTTCGGGATTTCCAATTTATGCGACAACGTAATAGCCCTCCTTATTGAAACTGCCGTGCTTATTTGCCGCGTCTATTTCGTATAGCCAATTCGGTATCCCTTACAGCAAAAGTATCAGCGTGACAGGCTGGGGATCTGATAACCATTGACTATTTTGGATTCCAAACATGGAGACGTTATAACCGGTATCTAGTAAACCCGCTCGTCTAATACTTATATGGGGAATGACTCGTATTTCGGCCCAGCTTATCCGGAATATACTGCATTTGGTGATCTTTTTTGGCCATTTATCGACCGACGCTAGTTTTGGAAGTAGCCGTATAGTTGTATCGGCTATTGTGCTTCGTGTATTGTTGATGGCTTCTATTAAAGTCTCGACTTTGGGAACCTATCCATTCCATTTGTTGTCGTGACTCGTGTCAAATTTGAGAAATAACAAGTCATAAATGTAGTCAATGCAAACTAGGTAATTCATTTACAAACACTTATAGACGGTTATAGGTCAAAATACAGTACTGAGGTTGCATGGACAAGGGACTGTTGACAGCTTACACGTACTTGGTCATGCATCGGATGTTAAACTTACAAGCATGACTCGGCGCTTGTTCCGTTTTAGGTACAGTAGCGTCATCACGAAGCAGCGAAACCGCCAGAGATGACAAAACATGGAATCCCATACCCTGCAGGCTGCTGACAGAACCATGAAGAATCCAACGTTCGAGACATCATTACGACATGGAGCGGAATTACCGAAATTTCATGCTGCTCCGAGAAAATAGAGGAAATACAAAGAATTAGAAGAAACAAAGTAAAACGGATTAAGATAAAAAAGATAAAATATTTGACGTGCATATCGACTAGGATAATGAGACAGTTTATTTTGAAATCTTCCCTTGTATTATCCGACTGGTGATTCATGACCAACACCTCGTTACCTCACTTCAACTTTGGCAAATTCTCTGTTGTAGGTACAGTAAGTGAGGTTATGTGAAGTGGTATTCTCGACTCTTCACTGACGTGCTCGCATACCGTCTTTATGTACTGATAGTGCTGCGGATCACAGTGGAAATAAATAATGCCTATGAAGCCTTCTGCAGTTACCGCATGCAGTGTATTCTGTTTGCGTGCCAGTACAATCTTTCTCTCTAGGATCTGTTTTAGGGGTGGTATCGTAAAGTAAACCCAAAAGGAGGCCCAAAACCCCAGCGCCGATCCATGCCATGCCATAACCAAGCCGTAATGCTACTATGTGCTCAATATTTGTACATATATCAAAGAAACGAAAGTCAATCGCGTGCCAAATGTCCATAAAAGTTAGCTCCCACCCCCCGGTCTCTGCTTCAGCTGTAGCAGATGCTTCAGTCCAGTCTGGACGCCCATAAACTTTCGTTGTTTCGGGTCGTACCACCCCAAGACGTATACAGCCATGACCGCAGATTTTCCCTGCAACTCTACAAGCCCATCAACTTTGATACATCCGCGGCTTGGCGGCTGCCTTGCAGGCTGCCAGTTTTTCGTAAACGTCACTGTAGCTGCCTGAAGGGCGGCTTGAATCCGCGGATCGACTTGGCTTACGCCACTGAACGGCGTGCCAGGTATTTCGCTCATCCCAGTGTGAAGAGGAAAGTTTGCCTTGTCTGGCTGTCCTGGGACTCTGACTGTTTGCTTGCCAGCTGTTCCGAGCTCGCTTTGTTCTTTGATGCGGTTTAGTATGGCAGCCTGCCATGTGGCTTCGGGTGGAGGTGGTGTGTTGAAACCCAAAGCTTTGGCAATGTCTTGTGCTGTTTGTCTGGTCAACGAATCGATAAATGCCCACACTGATAATGCCACTGCCTTGGGATATATAGCTGTGTTCAGGTGGTTTGCGGCTAACGAATCCATTGGTCGATCGCCCCAAAATATGCCGTCGTCATCGATGATGATGCTGAGTAGATATGTTAGTATTCGCCTTCATGAGTGTCAGCCATCTCATGACTTACCCAGAAACATAGTGTTTAGGAGGCGGTGCTGGGGGATAAATAATATCCAGCCAGAATTTTTTCAGTTTGATATCTCGGCCGCCAAGCAATTGAACATAGGCAGGGTTTCTTTCAACTCCTCGTCGTATAAGTTCAGCTAGCCCCACTATAACAGACAAGTTAGCGGCTATCATGTGCCAGCGATCTGTGTCCCTATGAACTTACTCTGGATGTCGTTTTGCAATTGGCGATCTTTATTAACAGCGAGGAATGTTGCCCACTCAGGATCCGAGCCCTTATACGGAGGTTGTTTGACCTCTTTTGTCGTAAATGGGAACGGAAGGAAGAGAATGGGTTCGTCTTCCTCCGCCATGTCTTCCATCTCTTTCTTTTCCTTCTCCGACAAAGCCTCCCATTCGTGGTCTGCCCAGTCTAATAGCGGATCAAAAACAACGGTCGCGAAGATCTGCCAACAGGCATATGCAGCTAGTGTTGTGAAGAGTATGCGGCTGTGTATTGATATTAGTTTATAAGATATCGTACCGAATGAGCCGTTGTGGGAATAGTAAAGCCTACCCTAACTGGCGTCGGAAGGCACCCGGTTTAGGTGGGCTGCTGGGTTGCGCAAAATAGACCGGAAGGCCTTCCGACGTTGATTTTTTCCGCCATGGCAAAAACGATATCGGCCGTCTGATAGAAGGGATGCGATAGGCGGGGAGATGCGGCGTCGCATTCGTCAAGAGGGCTGCGTGTCCAATTCGCGGAAGGGCCGCTGCGCGCCGGAGCATCCCGACTTTTAAGCGTATGTTCTGTATCTCCAAGCAGTATAAGAATCAGAGTGCGCCTTCGAAGAAAAAGAAGTATAATGTCACAAAAGCAGGCGCATGATGTGTTTCGAGCTATCGCGAGGGAGAATGGAGATGAAGTTCTATGATGGGCGACATCTGCTTACACATTTGTCGCATGTGGCTACGCAGGGGTCCGAGCCGGAACATCCCCTATTCCGACGCACCCAACCACAACGAGCTAGAGTCAACCTGAAGCGTCACCTACGTACTTCGTACTTTATCGGTGCAACTTGTGACGCCGAGCCCTTTTTGCGCGTCTTCACCATCACCAGCAGCTTCAACAAGGACGATATCCATCATGAAGCTCACGTTGGGGCTTGCCGCAGCTTTTGCGAGCTGTGTGGCAGCTTCGCAGCCCACTGCTGATGTTTATATTCTGCCGAACGGCGAATCCACGTCGCCGCCGTCTGTCTCCAGCAACGTCGCCCGACTGATTGCATTACAACGATTTTCCTCCAGCCGAGACATTTCCGTCAATGAAATTCCGGAAGACGCCGATGTCGAAAACGTCGCCTCGTTATTGAATCAATTTGGGAAGCCGATCCCTTCGATGTTTGATGAGGACGCCGATGAGCCCAACCAGCTGATTATTGCGGTAACGGGATTGACAGAGGAGCAAATTAGGGATACAAGAAAGAAGCTGAACGTGCAGCCTGCATTCACTATCCCGGATGCTTCTTCTATTGACCCGCTGAATGGGATCGGAGGCTTCGACCCTGCTGATTACCAAGGCGCGGCGAAAGGGCAGAAGTGCTCTTTTGACGAAATTATTAACCCACTTGAAGAGCGATGCTGGACTGCAAGGGCTTTGTATACCGAACTTGATATTCAAAAGGTAAGCGTTGCAAATGGAGGATAATTGGATTCACTTTGAAATCTTGGGGTAAAGAAACTATTCAACTGACACAGTCTCCTGCTTTTGACAGCGACCACAAACCTTGGACGATGTGATTCAAAACTTCTCACGACTCGATTCTCTTGCCAAGATTGGCGAGATGCAAACTACCTTGCTCCTACTCCCAGCTGTCAGTGGAAAATCGGGCTCGAAGCCAGGATCAGGCCAGCAACCGGAGCTCCGTCGCCGTCAGGCAGAGCGGGTGCTCAATTCATTTCACAAGGCAGCGCATGCGGAACCGACTACGCCTGCACCCAACAATATCCTTAGAGCTCCCTCAAAAGCTGTTCCCGCTTGCTTCGATTCTCTTGATAGCTGCGTCACCGGCACTGGAAATTGCTCGCACCAGGGACAATGCCTAAACAAGTATGGATCTGCGGATGCTGGTGGCAAGGCTTGTTTTTCATGCCACTGCCTTAGCACCAGGGCAGGCGAAGACGGCGCCCTTACTCATTGGGCAGGACCTACATGCGCTAAGAAAGACATCAGCGTTCCGTTTTGGTTATTTGCAGGCTTCACTCTGCTTATGCTGGGAATATTGTCACTTTCTGTCACAATGCTTTATAATGTGGGCGACGAGAAGCTGCCAGGTGTCATTGGAGCTGGAGTTTCCAAGTCGAAATAAGTGGCTAACAAAACCTCCGGTATCTATACTTTTGTCAGGGTATAGGTTAATTTCTTCTAGAAGTGGGGTATGTGATGGACAACGAGAGAGTGGCCAAAGAGCAGCAAAGTTCTTGCATCTTTGAGTCGGGGAGCAACTGCTACCTATTGTCGATGGTTCTACATACCATATAATCATTGGAGCCAACGCCTTATGTATCATACAGATGTATTCAATAGCGATTTTCTTTTCTTCTTCTATCTTGACCTTTCATACACGCGCAAGTCAACGACTAAGCTGGGTATCTGATTCTGTCTGAAACAAGGACTGCGTGCATGTGCGTCTTGACCGTCATGGCCGTCTTGACGATAGTAGTCTCTGGTAGAAATACAAGGTAAGAGGTAGCATTGGCATGTGAATGCGAGTTGGCCAACTACCTATCTGCTGATTGATGAGAATCTCCAAGCCGTAGCTGAGCCAAGCTTGAGTGGCAGTTGATTGTCTTACGTTACCACAGCCTAATAACAACAATCCTTACATGCGAGTCATTCCCAAGACGAGTCTCTCGTCATGCAACCAATGTACCGCAACTACTTATTTTGTTATAGCTAGCACTCTACTTTGCCGCATTCTAGCGGCCTGGACAACTTGCAGCGGAATAAGCATAAGGTACACCTTAAGATACGAGCACCCTTGCATTCAAAAGACCCAATAATAAGGTTAACTGGGGATAGATTCTGATGGCCTCGTAATCGGCCGAGAAGCACTCTAGGGTATTGCCCGCTTAGGACTAGCAATAAGGCTGTCACGCTAAGCGCGTCGCGAATAGGCCGTTTGATTCCTGTTCAGGACTAGAGAGCTCCTGCCAGCTGAGCTCCTATTGCCGTCCATGCGCCAGGCGGGTTGCGGCAGGCACAAGCAGCGTCAAACAACAAGAGCGACCCCCGTAGCATCGACCATCATCGGCAGCGAGCATTGGCAGGCACGAGCGAGAGCCGCGCCTAAGCCCAGGAGAGAGCGAGGGACGCGCAGCTGCCCCTTTGGTGTCGCATCATCTGCGTTTTGGCGGCGCATTTTCTTTACTTTGGGTGGCGCATCTCAATCTTGTGCACTTCCAATCTGACTGGGATATTCTCCGGGGCTGAGAGCTTGCGGTATCGACGCGGCCGCGCCTATCTTGGCCAATCACACGCCCGGCAACCCTCCGGCGCCCCGCAATGTCCCGACCGGACTTTTGGCAAAACGCCGTTCCCAAGTCGCTTGGTTTGAGCCATCGAGGCTTTGACGGCCAATCTAAAGGATGGCCGTTGGCAACCTTTAAATCGAAAGCCCGCCGGACTTCACTCTGCTTCATCTCAAAGTCCTGGACGACCATGTACCCTCTTTTGGCTGCTTGCATATCTTAGGGCGGGTAAAAACCACTGATTAAGGATGGATGCTGGCGCTGAAGTCTCGCTGCCAACCACTAACAGCTCTAGAGAGCGGCCCAAGCTGCCCACGGCCAAATGGGGAGCTGCCTGTGCGCCGTGTGCCACTGCAAAGGCGAAATGCATTCGATCCAACGACACGCCCGGAGCAAAGTGTGATAGGTGAGTTGAGAAAATGAAAAGATGGAGAAGGATGATTCGAAAGCCTCACGGAATTATGAAAAACAAAGGCAGAAAGTCATTAAACAAGGGTGGGAAAGAGTGTACAGAGATATCAACTTTACCCTTTGCTTTCACCTTCATGAATGGCACCATAGCACCATCTGTATTTAATTTAGCGGGAAAACGCTGACAAAACCAATTGTTGTCGCAATACATAGGTGCGAGAGACTCTTGAAGGAATGTTCAAACCAGATCCATCGCCCGCGGAAGAAAAGACAGTCCAAACCCTCGTAAGTCGACAATCTCTGTCTCTTTTATAAAGCCATGCTAGCTGCTCGAATTCCGGTTTTGCGGTTCTCCGGAACCATTGGTTTGACCCTGGCCTCATGATTCCGAAAGTCCGTCTGAACGGAGATTTCAAAAGTGTCGACAGCGATGGGGCCAGCAGCTCTGTCACCTCCAAGCTTCACTAAACAGCGAGCCCTTCACTTATGGCTCCTTTCTGTGGATAATCGATCTAACAGATCCTGAGCAGCCGAACAGCGCAGATCGAAGAGCGGCTCAACGGCCTTGTCAGTCTTCTGAAGGCGTCCGGAGAGCTTTCCGGAACTCAGCGTGACCCACTCTCACGAGACGATAACAACGAAGACCGCGGGACTGAAGGCTCATCTGATGACCTGTCCTCGTTCTCAAGCCCGTCTAGTGCCATTCCCAACATCACCAACCAGGCTAACACCTGGATCATCGACCCGACATACAACTCGTTTACACCGAAATCATGCATCTGTCACCCAGACACTCTGGATGCACCCCCGCCTCCGGAGCCGGACGAGATCCTTCTCGATTACTACCGGAAGAATCTCCAACCCGTCCATCCTTTCGTCATAGTCCCGCCCAATATCACCGCGGCTGTCTTGGCGGTAAGAAGGCCGTTCCTAATGGCAGCTATTCGCATGGTTAGCTCGTTTCGAAGTATACGATCGATGAGAGCGCAGATGTATCATCTCATGAAACACCTCGCAGACTACATGCTCATCCGCTCGGAAAAGTCTTTGGATTTATTATTAGGGATCATAGTCATGCTTGGTTATCAACAATACCACTGTTGTCTCCACGGACAGCTAAACAACCTAATTACTTTGGCCAGTAGCTTGATAAGCGACATGGGGCTGAATAGGCCTCCAGGGTTGAACGAGCGAACGCGTTTGATGGTTGTACGCCTGCCAGAGGTGAATGGCCGAAACAATGAAGAGAGGCGAGCATTCGCAGGTGCATGGTACTGGGCATCAGTGTATGTCTTCTCCTCCCGTTCCTCATCTGTTTATTAATATTGAACATCACATGCTTACCCCTTCTTCTACACTTGCCAGAATTTCGATGAATTTTCAAAGAGTGGAACCGATGAGATACAACAGCTATCTTTCAGACTGCATACGATATCTGCAGGAGCATCCTGAATACGAAAGCGATATTTCCCTCGTCTACCTCGTCAGAATACAGAGATTGACAGAACGCATTGCCGAATTTAATTCTGAAGACAGGGCTACTGAGGAAATCTCTTTAGTGCCTTCGGCTCCTGTCTCGGCATACATTTTAGCATTCCAAAATGAACTCAACCAAATTCGCGACTCTATGCCTAAGCATCTGCAAGAAGACAGTTAGTAGCATTTCTACTAGATTTTTTTTTGGGAAATTTTGATCTAACTTTGGCCTTAGAGACTTTCCAACTCTTCCTCAATAGTGCCAGCCTTCGTCTATATGAGCCTCCTGTTGTCGACAAGAATCTGATCCGCTCACTATCCAAGTCCCTCTCTTCTGTATCGATGGCTATGGATTCGCCACTCGATAAAATATACCGATCAAGTGCCGTTCTTACAACATGGTTCAATTCCTGGCTTGCCCTCCCCATCTCCACATATTATTTTCAAACTACGGCCGTCGGCTCGCACCTTGTTTATGCCCTTGTTATGCTAGCTCGCTGGGCAAGATTGTCGACACCAAGAGCCATGTACGAAGGAAGAACATCAATGCCAGATGACCCGAGCGCAAACAATCCAAATGTTGCTTTATATGACTCTGATATGGCGAATACGCAACGCGGATCCGGCATGGCATCAAGCAAGAACGGTGCACCTCATGACCATATGCCTGCGCGTCCCGATCTAGAAGATTCGGACCTCGCGGCTGCTGTGGCCGTGTTGCGCACGCAGCTACAAACACAGCCCGGCCTGATGATCAATATCCCTGAGATCCTTTCAGCGATATGTAATCGCTTTGAACATGCCAACGCGACTTTCCAGCTATGCTCGGTAGACACAGAAAGAATCAACAAAAATATTTGGATGATGACTGCTCTGAAAGTTCGCATCGCAAGAGCCAAGCTCGAGAAATGGGCAGAACTAGTGGCTGAAGGAGGAGAGCGCCTTGGTCAAGAGAATCGAGCAGACGGAGATCAAAGAATGGCAGAATGGCAAGCGGCGATGCACTTACCTCAAACCGAATGCATGGGCCTTGAAGACCTGGGCATTGTGCCGACAGAGTATCAACAACAACCCCAACTGGAGAATACATGGGGGCATTCGCCGAACACTCCGTGGACTACTGATCTACTTTCTGGTTTCGATCCAAGTAGCTTCTTTGATGGATACCTGGACTGGAGTTCGGTTGGTATGAATGTGGCATCTCCAATGGAAAGATGAATATACATTCGTCACCATTTACTACGATTGTATTGTTTTATGGAGTATTTCTTTTCGACTTTGACTTGAGCCTTGCATATCATACCCCGGAGCATTTTTTTCGAATCTACTGTCTACATGTTAAATGACATTATGACTACACATTAGGATATTGTAATATTACCAAGAAGCCATGGTGAACAGCACACTATGAAATCACGATAGGCCTCGTCAATTTAGTTGATATCTTGCTCGCGCCAGTTCAGCTGCCATACGAGCAGGCTAATAGTTTGCGAATATTCTATCGCACACCATAATGAATACAGCACAGTATAATGACTGTCCGTTCACAAATCTTTGGGGGAAAAAAAAAACTAATGAAAAAGAGCAGGAAGAAAATGAACTATTGGCAGGAATTGCACTGATAAGCTGTTCTTGAACTGTGCTGTTTCCCATGCCTCGCCAAGCCCTCGAGTCGCGGCCTTTTGGTCATGGTTTATTAAATGCCATATAAGATTAAAGGTTGACGATTTTGAATGAAACCTGAATTGGAAAAAACGGAACAGAAGAAACTAGCCGCATCGCTACCCTCGTTTGTGAAGATGCTTTGATACCATCTATCGGTTGGTGGCTGTGTCTATTCCTCGAGTGGCCAACAGGAGCTTGGCCCCTATAAGTTCTATCAGGGCAACTCAATAGAATCATTGTCGTTGAAATAGTCGTTCTAGTAGCTGGCAGCTCCGATCATCATGATACTCATATGATTTGGCATATCATGGCCGACTTCTGCACTGTTGTGCGCACATTAGTAGGCGTAATGAAAATGCAGCATAATTTGAAACACTTGTTGAACATTACAACGCACTCTCAAGCGTAGCTACTTCATCAAGTCTGCAATGCGAATTGACCGTCTTGCTGCTTATTAGAGTAGGTAAGGATAGCTTATTTAGTATTGGGGAATGCGGGGTCTGGGAAACCCCAGGAAAGCATCGTTTTCTCACAGCTCTAATTTCAGCATCTGGTTCATTTGTTAGACTCAACTCTTCTTTATAAGGCTTCTCAAAACCAACATTGGCGACAATGGCATCTTCGACACAAGAAGGCGGACCCCTCAAATTCGAAGAGATCCCGCCGTCTGGCGTCTCGTGCGATCTCATTGAGCCTACTGAAGTTTACGAGTCGATTGAGCGCGTCAAAGCGGTGGGCCAACACGCACACAGGGACTTTTTACTGGTTGATGTGCGTAGGACTGACTGGGAGGGTGGCACGGTTGCCACGTCTGTGAATTTCCCGGCTCAGTCGTTTTATCAAACTCGAGGGGGAGTGTATCAACTGTGCAAGCAGGCTGGGATTAAGAAGGTTATCTTTTACTGCGGTGAGTGCCTACCGGCAAATACGTTGAATGTAACGCTTTGGAAGCTGATAGCAGGTTGGCCACATGCAGGGAGCTGTGGCACTCGAGGGCCGAAATGTGCAGGCTGGTTCCAGGAGTACCTCGATTCGATTGGCGAGACTGAGATGAAGGCCTTGATTCTCAGGGGAGGCGTCAAGGGATGGCAGAAGACATACAACGGCCAGTTGATGGATTATTATGATCCGGGCGCCTGGGGTTCACAAAGCAAGTAGACATGGGGAGTGTCCCGTGCAGGTAAATTTCATCTTTTTTTATTATATCTTGAAGTCGGAAAAAAACCCAAAAATCTAGCAGCGATAGATGATCGTATCAAGTCCCATTATCACCCCTTCGTATCGTTTCCATAAACGCCAAACAAGTACATTTCAGGTATCCATTCACCCATCTTGTTGTCGTCCCAGCTTTATCGGTGCTGCCTATCGTCGCCGCCGATTCTCTCCAGAGCTTCCAGCATGACCACGGAGTTGCCGCGAATGACCTTTTCATTTTTAAGTTAGTTTACGACCCAGCATGATGAAGTCATGGGAATCTTGGACAAGTACGCACAACCATGCCCAGCCTGATCTTCTCTCCACCGTCTTTCTCTTCGACCGCCTCGTCCAGGACAACATTTAGGAAGACCTGTGTGAATTGAGTTAGACTTTTGCATCAGCTTCGCTCGTGGTATTCGGATTTGTCTTACATCGTATCCACGGAGCACTCCGATGACCTTGCGACCACCGTTAAGCTGGACGAAGAGCCGCTTGTCGAGATACTACGCCCAGGTGTTAGATGGTTGGTGTCGTCACTTGAATAACGAGTCATTGGCTGGTTGGGGTGTTCGCGAAGAAATGGAGAAGCTTCCGGATTACGGATTTCATCGTGATTCGAGGAGAAAACACACCTTCTTCAGCTCAGGTTGGGCCGGTGCCATCTTGAGCAATCAATTGAATGTGACTTTGTAACTGTTCGAATTGCGACGCGATGCTCCAGCACTAACGTAGGTTGAAGCTTGTTGCCCACCTTAAATTTCGAGTCACGTGCCGATAAGATACCAGGCCAGGACATTGGCGATGAGACGAGGATGCGCTCAAACAACTTGCTCTTCAGCTTATAAACTAGTGATTTCTTACAGATATTTCTTACAGAAAATGAGCTCGTTTGGCTCAAAACGCAAGGCGCGGGTCATCAAAGTTGATTACGATGACGACGAAAGCAGTGGCGACGCGCCGCTCAAGGCTGAGGGCGGAGGCCCCAACGACGGTATGTTTCGCATGACTCTTGTGGCGATCGCTTTTGCTGATGGAAGTCAAGGCTGACCTGACTGAACGGCAGATAATGTGAAGCCGGCGTTTAACTCGAAGACGGCGCGAAAACCATTTCGACAATCAGGGCTGCGTAATACCTTTGACCCTCAGGATGGAGATACACCAGGCGACAGAGACGAGACATCGGGAGGCAATGGCGACGACGACAATGGCCCCGTGGTGGTTCGACCAAGTATCAATCGATCAGGTTTATCGAAGCAGAAAAAGAAGATTCCTAAGTCGAAGCTCTCGTTTGGTGGCGACGCTGGCCAAGAAGACGACGAACCTACAAGCGATTTTAACCCGTCAAGAAAGGCTGCAATGGGACAGAAAGTACTTGAAAACAACACTCTAAAGCGTGGAATGGCTGCCCGAGGATTACCGTTACCAGTGCGATCATATCAGGAGGATGACGACAAGCCAAGATACAGCAAGGAATATCTCGATGAACTTCAATCATCAACACCAAATACCCCCAGCGACCTCTCATCATTAAAGGCGAATCTCGACGACGAAATGGATTTGGATCCGTCTGAGCTAGAAGGTGCTCTGATAGTAGACTCCCCGATACCATCTTCTAATGGTCAGGCTCAGGCTACTCAGATACTCACTGATGCGGAAATTCGCGAAAGGAAAGAGCGAAGAGCACGGCTAGCGAAGGAGAAGGACTATATTTCCATGGAAGATGACGATGATGGGCTATTTGGTCGAAAGAAAAAAGATGACACCCGATTGGTTGCTGAAGATGAGGATTTGGGAGAAGGTTTTGATGACTATGTCGAAGACGGCGGATTGTCATTAGGCAAACGCGCAGAAAAGGAACGACGGAAACAAGAGCGCCAAACCATGGCTGAGCTCATTAATGCAGCTGAGGGACATTCTTCGGAATCATCAGAAGACAGCGATGCCGAGCGGCGGATTGCGTATGAAACAGCGCAGACGCGCGCCGGCATGGACGGTTTGAAGAAGCCGCGAAAAGATCCCAACGAAGAGCTGCTACAGGTTCCTCCCAAGATAACGCCTTTACCAAGCCTTGCAGAATGCTTGGTTCAGCTACAGGCATCATTGAAAATGATGCAGGGAGATCTCAATATCAAGACAGCCACAGTTACGCAGCTTACTCGTGAAAGAGACGACATCGTTAAAAGAGAAGCTGAAGTACAGGCATTTTTGAACGAAACAGGCAAGAAGTACGAAGAGGCCATGGGCCGGAAACCTGATTCGGCTGATGGAGTTGCTGCTGCTGGGCCAGGGGCTGAGTTGGCTGGCGAAAGAGGGCTGGAGAGCTTGGGAGCGACGCCGATGAAGGAAGTTGACATGGAAGACATCGAATAACGACTGCTTGGATTCCCATTTTCAATAATGACGATTTAATCATGTATACTAAGACACTATAGCGAGGTACTTGGCTGGCTGTTGATACTGAGCACAGCTGGATATATTAATGACGGACTGTTTGGTCCTAAAATTCACGGTAATTGCTTTTTTACGAATACCCTCTTTTGGACTTTTCCATTCTGATCAAGTATATGTATCTTATGTGGCTATTTTGATAGGATGCTCCGCCATCAGGGTATCAAAGAGTTGGAATAAATGTCCACCGGTGTGGAGGAAATAAAGGTGAGTGATATATACTCAAGATTCGTTTTGCTATTGATTAGCTTATGCATTCCGACTAAAGATGACGCTTCGTCATCGTTACCCAGAAATCTGACGCAAAAAGGAATATCGAAGCAGTAGTCTTGATGGGTGATTCCGGATTCACCACGCAGAAGTCAAAGCGTCGTATGAGCTGTCAGACAACAACTGAATTAGTCATATTGCCAATCTTTGCTAGACTGTGTAACGTACCTCAAAAACAGCCTTGTGTAACTCCATCATGGCAATCGGCTTCCCGAGACAAGAATACTTGCCATAACCAAAATGCGTGTCCACAGCGTCCGTCATCTCCTTGAGTCGATCCTCCGGGGCGTTGAGCCACCTCTCTGGGCGAAAGACGTCGGCGTCCGGGCCCCAGACGGCCTTTGAGCGTCCGACGCCGTGGAAGCCCTGGCCGATTTCCGTGCCGCCGGGGACGAAGAGACCGTTGATGTGGTCGCCTTCCGGGGGCACCGTCTTGAAGCCGAGGCCGCCGACGGGAGGCCACATGCGGAGACCTTCGCGGATGACTGCTTGGAGGTAGGGCAGGGTCTGCGCTTGGGCCCAGGTGATGGGAGAGCTGACGGTGGGAGAGGCGCGGCGGATTTCGTCGATGAGGGCGTTGTAGGCTGGTGGGGAGGTGATGAGGGAGAGGAGGGTCATGCGGAGGGCGTGGGCGGAGGAGTTCGAGCCGGCGATGCTGTTTTTGAAATACAATGTTAGATGATAAAACTAAGGGACGATGTGGTGATGCATTACATTGAGAGAAAGACTTGTTGGATGAGGTCGTTCTTGGACATGCCGCTGTCGATGTGGGCTTGCATCATGTCTTGGGCTCGGGGGGTTTTTGGATCCAGTCTCGTATCCACGTAACCTCGCGCAAAGCTTCATTTAATTAGCACAATGCTGTTATTTGATAAGAGTATTCACTCTGGGTACGCACCGCATCAGACGACCGAAGCCGACCTGGTCGCCCTCCTTTGGCAGCAGCAATCTTAAGGGCCATGTATGGACAATGTTTGCCAGCGCCGGCATCACAGAGACGACATTCATGAGCGGTAGCGACGTTGTGTTGATTTCGTTGTACTGGTACAAATCTTCATCCTTGTCGAGATAGCCGAATGGTTGTCCGAGAGAGATGTCGCCTATGGCGTCCAGGGCGAAGAACTGTGTCTTCTCGGCCATGTCAAAGGGACGCACGTCAGAGCCGGACGAGACGTATTTGCGCTCAAGGAGATCAATGAAGCTTAGCAGTTGGCGATTCATGGCGGCTTCGAAGCTGTAACCTTCGTTTGCCTTGCCGGAGAACTGGGGAGAGTCAGTCGACGAACTGGTACATTTACACCTGGATACATATATCTTGACTTACACCGGGGGCCATCAGGGCGCGCATTTCTTTATGCTTGGCCGGGTCTCGCAACGAGACGACATTGTCTACGCCGGGGACAATCTTGCCGCTTGCGTAAAACTTGCCCTTGGTGTAGCCGCTGCGAACTGCCGACATGCGACGGAGGACTTCTGGATCAGTGGAGAGGAGCTGATTGGGTCCGATGCGCACAAGAGGGCCTTTGTATATGAGACAGCTTAGAGTGAGCATACGAAAGAATATACACAAAGTAAAAGAAGACTTTGATTTGTTTTTAAAGCTTTACATACCGTAAGTGTCGGCAGCTTGTTTCAACCGCTCATGATAACGTCCTGACAAGGCGTTTGAAAGCTGCCACCATATTGTCCATGCTGCGCTGGCAGGGCCGGGGATGTGGCGCAATCGCTGCCAGTGGTATATTCGGCGTGCCGTGAATGTGAAGAATGTTATGAGGAGTATGCTGTAGAGATAGATTGTCATAAGCGGCATTGTGTTGAAATTTGACGACGGGGATTCTGTCTCCTGGCCGCGCGACTCAATGCGAAACGTCCGAGGAAGAATTGCGCTGGTGGTCCACGATGGTGTGGTGTGTGTACGTGGGTTGCGCTATGAATGCATGGAATAATTCGTGGAAAAGGAATGATAATTGATATGTACAACTAATTACTTGAATCGCTAAAATACTTGTAGAAGTCGAAAATGAGAGGACAGGAGGGTGGAAGGGGAGAAGATCCAGTGGAGAGTGTCGATGACAGAAGCATCCATGTCCACATATTATCCTTTTCTGCTCCACGGGCTAAATCTCTATCTAGTTCCACCCCGGGCTTTGCGGTAAGTCAAATATGGAGTAGGTCTAGAAGCTCTAGGCAGGTAAAAGCAAATGAAATAAACCGTAAACGGTCGTGGCTGAAAGTGATGACGATTTGGACTGGGATTCAATTTGATTCGCAGATTACTCAGGGACAATCTGAACTAGAGATGCGTGCCATTACCGCGCCCATGGTTCCAATACGACGATTCTGCAGCTCTGTCCGAAATTTCCTGCAGCAGCGGCTTAATTTTCTTTTCTTTTTACTTTTTTTTTTCCAGCAAGAATTATTGGAGTCAAGGACCCAGACCCCAATTCCAGAAGCAAGGGGGGCAATGAAAGCTCCAGCTTTTCCAGGAGGGGCAGCTCGCGCCATGTGCTATTCCAGATGCTGTACCAGGTGTGTGGTCCGCGTGGCGGGACGGCGAGGGCCGGGCCAAGAAAAGGGAACGGCGCCGGGGGCAGAGCAGCGAGTTTCCGGGCCCAGTGGCTAGTGCTGCAGCTAATTAATGGGTGGCAGGGCGGGTTCATGGGTAACCTACTTGTATGCAAATAGTAGCTGTAGCACTGCAGAATTGTTGCTTTGTTGGTGTGTTGTGATTCCAGACTTGAAGCTGTCAATGTGACTCTCAGCTGTTCTCGACGCCGATATAGCGTGCATTTAATTTAGAAAACGAAGAAACACTGTGGAAAGTTTCACCTGTAGTAGTGGCTGTAAGGAGTCAAGGGAGGCCGAGACCAGGAAGAGGCAACAACGGTCAATAATATAGTAGCCCAACGATGCAAGAACCCTAGCAGTTATTCGCGGACCCTTTGGTAGCGGGCTACTCATGGCAGCGGCCGAAGTCTGCTGAACGCCGAAATGAGCGCATACCAAACACGGCGCCTGACAGCCTACGAGGAACTAATGAATTTATCGGCCAACTTCAATAGTATCAACTAGCTGCGATCAAAATGGCCCGAGTTACGCGCGTAGACGAGCTGAGCCCTGTCAGCCACAAGCAATAAATGCCTATATATAATACAGTCAAAGAAATAACACGGTGTTGTAGAAAAATAAGTGACTTGTAAAAGACAGGCAAAGGTTTATACTTGGATTATATGTGATGTGCAACAAAACACAGCCCAACAGCCTATATAGTAGACTTCAAATACAACGATTTACTCTTTGCTCGGACCGCGGCATTTGAAAAGGATGGCTTCTTCCCTTCCCGACAATTCGGGTCGTGCTCCATAATCCTTCGTGCGTGTTGCACTGACAGCGGTGCCATAGGATCGGAGAGTATTGGGGGCTGAGACACGACTACGTGTTCAGCGCTAACATAAGACATGCGACAGTAGGCCAAGGACCCGGTTTACTGGTTCCCTGGTCTCTGCGATGTGTATTTGTGTCGGAAAAAGTATTTGTGGTTTCAAATATAGATACGTGGCATCTCAAAGGAGGATAATAGTCCGTTAACGGTAGTGCTATTCTACAAATTATTCAATCATTAGTGTAGAGACGTTGAGGATCGTTTTGGACATTAATGTATTTAAAAGATAATGTGGACATTATTCCATAGACTCGGTCTTCTGTTCGTAAATAGCAGCGTCTAATCTCGCTCACTTTATATCTATGCTGATAATCAAGCAATGTTATCCAAGTCTTCAAGGCGGCTACTAATCCTGCCACTCTAGACGTGGCGCCGTCTATACCAATCATTTAACCTTCTTGGCCTCTCTCTTCGTATACACCAGACCATCCCTGATGCTACCAAAACACAATGCCCACAGATCAAGAGGATAGCTGACGCGCCCATAAAATGGAGCTTTCCCCGTCGACTTGGGGATGCGGTCTATTGCTTTTGTAATGTAGTGGCTCTTCACATCCGCACTCGACAATCGTGGCATGCCCTCTGTCCTCTGGATGACTGGGACAACGCTCGACGCATCGTCTGCCTCCATCTGCTTGATTACTCGGATGGCAAGCCTGGCCGTGGAGTTTGCCCCAGGAGTCCATGTTGTCGTTACGTAGCCGAAAATGGATGCCGCGTTGGGCACGCCTTCGATCATGCAGCCTCTCCAGGCGTACTGCTGGCCGAGATCAATTTCCTTGCCGTCGACTCGGGGGAGTATCCCGCCGAGTAGCTGTATGTGCAGCCCAGTCGCAGTCACAATCACGTCTGCTGAGAGCTTGCGGCCGGATTTCAGAAGTATTCCATCTTTGGAGACTGTATCGATCAAATCCGTGATTATCTCCACGTCGTCTCGATGCAGAGCTTTGAAGAACTCGCCATCTGGCGTCAGACACAGTCGCTGTTGGAAAGGGCCGTAGGTGGGATTGAAATGCACCGCCGCATCAAGTTTCTTTGGCAGACTCTTTGGCAAATCCATTGTGATCAAAAAGCGCCCCAGGCGAGGGTATCGCAAGCACAGCTCGGAGATGAACACCTCGAACCAGACATCAATACAGCTGGTAATCCAATGTACCCAAGACAAGGGCAGTATCGCCGCCAGAAACTTGTCAAAGCCCGAGCTCCTCTTCATGGACACAACGTATGACGGTGTTCTCTGGAGCATCGTCACGGACTTGGCCTTGCCCGCCAGCTCGGGTAGAAGCGTGATGGCGGTCGCGCCACTGCCAACAATCACGACATGTTTGTTACTGCAGTCGAAGTTCTCTGGCCACCACTGCGGATGAATCACGGTTCCAACAAAGTCGTTGATGCCAGGCACGGGACTCTCCAGTGCCTGTTCATACGAGTAGTAGCCCATGCAGCTGAAGAGAAAGTTGGCCTTGAACAGCTTCCTTGTGCCATTTGCATCAACAACCAGGGACCATCGCTGCTCGTCGCTGCTCCATTCGCTGCTGAGGACTCTGTGCCGGAACTGGATCTTTTCAAAAGTGCCATCCGTTCTGGACGCGTCTTCCAAGTAGTCGCAAATCTCGCCTGCGGTGGCAACCTTGTGGGGGAGTTTCCAGGGGTGCCAGTCCATGCCAAAGGATCGGAGAGACGAGTCGCTGCGCATGCCGGGATACTTGAAGAAGCTCCATGTGCCGCCAATAACGTCGCGCGCCTCGAGGATCGTGAAGGACCGGTGAGGCAGTTCTGTTCGCAGCCGGTGGGCAGTGTTGATGCCGCTGAGGCCTGCCCCGACCACTACGAGGTCGTGCTCTTCAGTGGGCAGGTCAGCAGTTGTAGGTGGTGAATCTGACATTTTGGGTGCCTGTACAACCCGCAGTGCAGGCGATGTCGGTGTTTCAATCAGCGGGTGAGACGGCTATGCGGATGTGAATTTGATTGAAATATTGATCGATCTGGCGCCCTAAGCTTTAATTTGCGATGGCGGGGTATTGCTCTAGCATGCACTTGCAGTAGATCATCAGAACATGCCAAAGTGAAACGATGCCTGGTCGACAACAGCGAAATGATTTGTGCAATGTATATATATCGTATAGCTGCTTTATTATTACCTCTTTTTCTTCGGCATTACTATTGCCTGAGATCATGACCTTGAATATTTGACACCATTTGGTAGCTATAGTCTACAGCTAATACGCACTGCTTGGCGCTGCAAGTATTAGCGGCTAGTGGTATCCGCACTCAATAAAGTGCACGCATGAACAGCGGTATAAGATAAAGACATTGCGCGATTACTCCGTAGAGAGACAAAATACGAGAATTAATGGCGGAAAGCTGTAGGAGAGGCACTCGTATACTTGTTATTTTTTTTTCTTCCTTTGCTGGTACAAGTTGTTTGTCGTATCATCAGATTTGTTGGTGCTGTCTCTGTTAGATATCCCGAGTTCTGTTTAGGGACTGAATTCGCTGCCCCTTTGCTGGGTTTCCTTGGCTATATCGTTTATTTACGTACATGTGCTGCTTCAATCTACTCTTTGGGCGTTGACCAGTTGGCGGCCAGCAATAGACATTGGCTGGGTACCTGCCTATCGGTACCGCATAGTACTAGTATCTTGGTGTTCGTAAAGAGCGTGGATGAGGTGGTTTTCATTTTCCTTTGAATGGCCCAAAAGCCTTTGAGTCCAAACATTAATTAAATGAATGATCAATGTCTTTATCTCTCATATTTTTATTTTTATTGAGCAACTATATACTAGAATCGGCATTTCGTTGTGGTATTTTTGCATATCTCGGCTGCATTGTGCTTGATGATATATGCTACCGGAGACAGCGAGTAGCATAGTATTCTGTTCAATCTTGAGAAACATCCCCACCACAGGCCATTTGAAGTCATTGTAGAATATATTGTTAATTTGATTTGTCTTTATCGGCTCACCAACGAAATCTGCGTTCACGAGGCTCACGATGCATTCTGTTTGTCATTCAGCCTTGTGCATCAGAGAGCCCCACACCAGCTCCGGCCTATGGAAAATCCCAGAGTGGGTCACAATCCCGCAGCATCGAAGCAGCTAGAAGGTACTTGGCGCTGGGCATCTTAAACTAAAAACCCCACATCGGATTTCATTTCTTTCATCTGGAGCTGATCATCTCCAGGCTTTCTTCTTCTGTGTCTTCCGACTGCGAATTGAACCTCGCCTCCATTTACCTCTCCTACAATCCGTCTTCACCATGGCTTCCGCAGACGAGCTCAAAGCTTTGGGCAACAAGGCCATCGCCGACAAGAACTTTGATGAGGCTATGTAAGTTGCATTTGCATCACCCCACTTGACCCCTCCGAGATGCCTGCAAACTTCATCTTTATCTCCATATTCAGAGAACTTGTAAAACATAAAGACTAACGTTTTGCAGTGACAAGTTCACTCAGGCCATCGCTTTGCAGCCCGAAAACCACATCCTCTACTCCAACCGATCGGCCGCCTATGCTTCCAAAAAGGACTGGGACAATGCACTAAAGGATGCCGACAAGACGACCGAAATCAAGCCCGACTGGGCCAAGGGCTGGGGACGCAAAGGTGCTGCTCTTCATGGCAAGGGAGACTTGCTGGGAGCCAACGACGCCTACGAAGCTGGTCTGAAGCATGACCCGAACAATGCGCAGCTCAAGAGTGGCCTGGCCTCTGTTGAGAAGGCCATGCAGCAGGAAGCTGGAGGCGGCAACCCCATGGGCGGCCTCGGTGACATGTTCAAGGACCCGAACATGATTCAGAAGCTCGCTGCAAACCCCAAGACAGCCGCCTACCTTGCTGACCCCTCGTTCATGGCGAAACTGCAGCAGATTCAGCAGAACCCTCTCATGTCTCAGGACATGTTCAGCGACCCAAGAATGATCCAGGTACTGGGCGTCATGATGGGTGTCGATATGGAAGTGCGCGACAGCCCTCCCGAAGGCAGCCAGTCCTACAACGTCTCTGAAGATACCCCCATGCCAGATGCACCAAAGAAGACTCCTGAGCCAAAGAAGGCTCCTGAGCCAGAACCCGAACCCGAAGTTGACGAAGAAGCTCTAGAGAAGAAGAAGAAAAAGGAGGAGGCTGACAAGGAAAAGGCCCTTGGCACAGAGAACTACAAGAAGCGAAAGTTTGACGAGGCCATCGAGCACTACAAGAAGGCGTGGGAGATTTACCAGGACATCACCTACCTCAACAACCTCGGTGCGGCTTACTTTGAGAAGGGAGATTATGACAAGTGTATTGAGTCGTGCCAAAAGGCAGTTGATGAGGGCCGAATGATCTACGCTGACTTTAAGCTTATTGCTAAGAGTTACGCTCGTATCGGCTCTGCTTATGAGAAGAAGGGCGATCTTGCCCTCGCTGTTGAAAACTACAACAAGTCTCTGACCGAGCACCGAACCCCTGATGTCTTGAACAAGCTCCGTGCCGCTGAGCGAGCCAAGACCGAGGCAGCCAAGCAAGCCTACATTGACCCGGCCAAGGCCGAAGAGGCCCGGGAAGAGGGCAACAAGAAGTTCAAGGAAATGGATTTCCCTGGAGCCGTGGCCGCTTACTCTGAGATGGTGAAGCGAGCACCAGAAGATCCCAGGGGCTATAGCAACCGTGCTGCTGCCTTTGTCAAGCTATTCGAGTTCCCCAGCGCAGTAGACGACTGCAACCTGGCCATCAAGAAGGATCCAACATTCATTCGAGCCTACATCCGAAAGGCTCAGGCCTACTTTGGCATGCGCAAGTACTCTGAATGCGTGGATGCCTGCGACGAGGCTATGCGGGTTGATATCGAGCACCACAAGGGTGCCAACGCCCGTGAGATTGAGCAGCAGCAGCAAAAGGCTCTCTCCGCCATGTACTCAGCCCGAGAGAACGAGACAGAGGAGCAGACAAGACAGAGATTGTCGCAAGACCCAGAGGTAAGATTTACTCTTTTTTTGAATAAAACTTGGTCGGGAAACTTTTCGCTAACAATTGCTTTCCAGATCATGAGTATAATGCAAGATCCAGTCATGCAATCGATTTTGCAACAGTCACAGTCTGACCCAATGGCTCTGAACGAGCACATGAAGAACCCAAGCGTGCGGTCCAAGATTCAGAAATTGATGGCTGCGGGTGTCATCCGCGTGGGAGGTCGATGAGATTAAGGAGTAAAAGGCGTGAGATTCTAGGCGTGAGATTCTAGGCGTGAGATTCAAGTTGTTATGTAAATCACAATAATGAGCCAATGAAATTAAGTTAAAGCCAATGATGCTATGTTTTTTTATTTTTTATTTTATTTTATTTTTTCTCAGTATATCTATGTGTACTTATACTTTCTTGTAATGTTTCCGCTAATATCTCCTATCGTGTATGTGAGATTGCTGGACTACTTCAACAATGCCGTGGCAACACCAAGAGGAGTTTTAATCAAGACGCATCATTATCACTTGATTGAAAAAAAAAAGAGAAAGAGAAAAGCATCGCAAAAAACATACAACAGCCGGTGTTCGCTGATGGTCACCCACTCAACTACTAATCTGCCTCTCATTGGCTTGACTCTGGGAGAGCAGACGGGATCCCGTATTTTCCAATGGATATGGTCGTATGTGTTTGGATGTCGAGGTTAATTGCTTTATATCTGCAAGTTGCACGAATCTACTAAAAGGCAGAATCGTGCATCAGCGGATGTTACTGATAGCCACCGTTCAATTATTAATCCGCGGGCTGGAGAACAAAGTCAGCACGCAATGGCTGCTGAGCTACTCAAGCAGGTTGCTAATAAGAAAAGCGTTTTCTATGCCCACTGGCTTATTGACTATTCATCATCTAGCTGCGAAATACTCGTTGCATAGTTAGACTCATTCTGAGCCTCTCTATTAATGTCGACGCATAACAAACGTTTAAGTCAGACTAGGGGTGGGCTGCCACCCCCTAACTACACCAACCTAAAGCTAGAAAGAATCGAATTAAGACAGGCAAGTAATACACCAGCATTATAGCAGTCATCTATATGGCAACTTTTTACTGTCTACTCTAGCAATGCAACAGCTGAAACATTGCTAAAAGCAACCGTGTGATAAAGTTTTCTTATAACGGACTTAATAAATTTAGGATAAACGGGCAAAGTGATCCAATATGCTAAGTCCTGCCTAAATAATAGTAACACCTGCCCCTAAGCCAGAGCATTCTGTATGTATATAAGCTGTGGATAATTAACCAAAGTTGAGGTTAGGAAAATGAAATAACATAGTTTATCTACACCAGAACCTCAATTCTGTGACCCCCAGGCCTATCTCCGAGTTAAGGTAGATAGCATTGCTACAGGAAGGATCTTTGCTTATAACAGCGTCCCAAAGATGCTGTCGGGTAATTTTCCAAGCTCCCGGCGTAGACGATGCATATCTACACTTGCAACCCCATCCGTCGTCGAAATGGCCTACCTCAGCTGCAGATCTCAAGCCCCATTGGCCGGCCATTTTGTCCATACACTCTTGATACCAGCCAAGGTAGTGCGCACCTGCAATATTGGCATTGCAACAGACCATTACCACAGGTGCAAATATCGCTGCGGCTTTGGAGGGTATGGTTGCGTTAACATGTGTGGCAGCATCCACAGCAAGACTGTGAGCGCCGCTCCAGGTGCCAAATAAGGCCAGAACAGGTAGTCCAAAGGATGTACGCATCTTACTTCCTAATCATAAGATCCCCTATATTAGTTTTCCTGTTTTGCTTGATTGTTTTCATTATCGGGCCACCTGTAGGACATCATACCAATGCACGGGATTTAAAGGACAGAATGGACACAGGATAGCCCTCCTTCAATCTTGAGAGAGGGGGGGGGAACAGAATCGTAGGGTCAAGAGGTTCAGTATCAGTGGGAAAAGACAGGCTTGCTGAAAGGACTGTCTTATTCTCCGGTCACTTGAGCATTTTATAGAGGTTATATTCAATCAGGATGTAAGGGTCAGCAAAGCAATCACAGCTAGCTATGCCCCAGCCTTTGGTTCACAGATTAGGATCAATCCTCAGCTTAATCCAATCGGGACAACCGATCGTTTGTTTGTTTGTTTGTTTTCTTGTTTGTTATTTATAAACAGCTTTGCAGATAAAACAGCAAAATCCTTTATGGGCAATGAGGTCGGTCCGAGCTAGCTATGTAGGTCCTATCCCTCCTATAATACAAACACAGGACTATTCTGGGCACGCCGGTTAATATAGGAAATAACAAAGGGAAAAGAACCTAAGAAAACCCTTCTGTACTATAAGAAAAGGGAGAAACCTAGAAGTAAAAACCTCCAAATAATAGCTTAATCCCCAAGAAACAAAACCCTCCTCTTTTTATCTGGTTATTATTACTGTATAGTATAGATTGGAAGGAGTTCCTCTTGTAGCAGCCTATCCGCCTAGATTAGCTAGTGTAGTTGTTTATTTGGAGGCAGCAGGCCGGAGCCTAGTAATAGCCTAGTAATCCTCAGTACACTGTTCACGTCTCTTTGATCCTGCACTCTTACTGTGACACCTGTTCTCGGCCTCAGCCGATGACAACCTTTATAAGCTGTGGCGTTTCAGGTGGGTAAAATCATGAGTTTCATATTTGCACAGACGTTTTCCTATTTGCACAGACAAGGGCTACATTACAAGCTAGGTTCACCCTCAAATTGCAATTGCCACACCCATACACTGAAATCCATTCTTTGTAAAACAACACATTATATCACTATCAACAATTAATCTAGGCCAGTTCCCTTAAAAACGCATTCCTAATGTTTTTAATTTAATAAAATTAAGCCTTGTAAGCCGGCTAGCTTACTATGTCGTTATTGCCTAACTGCGTAGCTGGATGACCTTAATAGAGTCCTCAGCCTTATCAACGGCAGCAACAATCGCGGCAAGCCGTACCGTAAATACCTTCCTCCTCCTTACGATTTCAAACTTGGTGTTTTACAATGCCTTTAATTAACTACGCAATGCGCCGGATGATCCTACTGTAGGTACATGTAATTACTTGTAGGCTGCTGGTTGGTGGCGTAAACAGCGCGGGCACGGGCCTTATATGTGCAAACAGGATTTTTTTTATCTGTGCAAATAGAAGCAAATAGAAGAACTCAAAATCTTGCCATGCCACTCTTAGACTCCCATAAATTTGTCCTTTATAGTTTTCTAGTCCTCCCAGGCCCGACTTTTAGATGTTATTGCCTTCTCATTATCTTGGTCTCAACAGAACACGCTCCTCGATTCGTTTTCATGGCTTCCAGTCAGGATGGGGAGCAAGCCCCCCTTCTACAAGCAACTCATCATGGCGGCAATGCCAGAGAACCTGCGGTTGGAAATGCTCCTACATCGCGTCTGGCTATCATTGTTAAATGTCTTCTGTTGCTCATCTTTGTGGGGATTGGAAAGACACTCATTATACGACCAATAAATCAGATACAAGAAGACATTCTATGTCACAAACCCAACATGAATGACACAGAGGTTTTAGACAACTCCACTTGGGGCCACGACGAATTGTCTCTACTTCGAAGCTGGATCGCGGCTTCGGAAAGTATCATGAGTTTCTTAACCACTGCGCCATATGGTATGGCGGCTGATATATATGGACGTAAACGAATACTCCAGCTGTCCATTGCAGGTATCATCTTGGCGCAGGCTTTTGACGCGGTTATATGTGCGTAGATCTATACCACGTGATGTTCGAATACGTTTAAACTGACTAACTGACTGACCTTATTATACTGCAGGTCGATTCCCAGAAACGTTCCCAATCCACTTGATGAGGTTGAAGGGACTTTGGGCTCTAATTGGGGGTGGTAGCACCGTTGTTTCGGCCATGATATACACCATAGCGGGTGACACCAGTCTAGATACGCAAAGGTAAGGTGACCAAACTTTTCCTCATCTACCTTTCACGCGAATTACTAACATCCTTGGCTGGTCAACTACGTTCTTTTATCTTACGGGTGCTGCAATATCGAGCGAACTGCTCTCCTATCCGATATTGCTGGCTCTTACATACGCAGGCAGCTGGATTTCCATATACGCCGGGTTTGGTTGTCTAGTTGCGTCGTTCTCGATCACGCTCTCCTTGCCAGAAACTCGCGTACCAGGCCTCAGGAGTGATGACCCAATGATAACATCTGAGATACGAATCCCTTCATCTTACAATTTCCGACTCACCAAGTTCCTAACGTCAATGGCCAGGTTAACCCGTCGTGCTTTCACCGAGAACAAGAAGCTAGGCATGCTTATAGTATTCTGTGTATTCACCACGACGGGCAGCAACGTACCACTCCTTGTCACCCAGCAATCTTCACAGCGACCCGACTCCGCAGACATACCAGTTAGTTCAACATGTTTTGCGAAAGGCGTCTATGAACCATCTTCCATCGCTAACCACCCGACATAGATATTGCTGTCGATTTTTTGGTCAAGCAGTTTGAAAGTCGTTTTGTTGACCATGATACTACCGCTAATCAGCCGCTTCCTGATCGAAAAACTACGCTTTAGCCCAGTGAGAAAGGACATGTCTATCTCTCGGGCTAGCATTGTAGCTCTTGTGGCCGGATGTTTGGGGATAGCAATTGCAAGACAAGCCCAGTCAACCACAGTGGTCGCAGCCATCTACGTCTATGCTCTTGGATGTGGCTATAACCCAGCTATGTATAGCCTCCTTGGCCTTCTGTCCGGGGGCCATCACATTGGCATATTGTATGCAAATATTGGCGCAATGCAAAGCATAGGTACCTTTATAGCCGGCCTAATGTTTGGGGTCTCGGTTGAAATTGTGCCATTTACTTTCACAGTTATGTTTCTGGCTGTTGTTGTGGGTACCTTATTTTATTTAAAGTTGGAAGAGACAGAGGAAGGGGAGCCAATTTGGATTGATTTGGATTATCTTGAATCGTATAGCAGTTCATAAAATAGCTTTTAGGTATTAAGTTAGAGTTAGAAAACTTTCGTATAGCCAGTAAAAAAGAACAGCAAGGAGCATTGAAAATATTGCGCTTTATATGAGTATGGCCATTATGACTGTGAAGGGGACGACTGGAGCATGGGTCCAGATTTCGAGGACGAAGAGTGCTTGATTGAAGACTTGGCATGCTGTGAATGTGCTAAGGAGCACGACAACGCCGAGCTGACAGTCACCATCTACTGCCCCATACCAGCAGCATTACGCACTGAACACAGAGGGCTTCTAATTCAGCACAGCAGAGGCATCGCCTGCTGAGACGCTGAGCGAAGCCTGTTCTTGCCCATTCACCTTGGAGGCGCGAAGAGGACGGCAAAAGGCCATTGTGCCGCTGAGAGTGGCCAAGCCGCCTCTCATAGTTTCTTACCAGCATTCAGACGCATGTTGCTGGAGCCGTTGGAGGTCAATTCGGGTGCAAGGGGCCAAAAAGGTACATGTAGTGACTACCTGCACTAGGAAACATTCGTACCAAGAAGATCAGAAGCAAGAATACGCCCGCGTTGTAGCATTCCAACTCGGGTGGTTCACTGGTCAACCTGGGTCAGACCACAGGGAGTTGGCCCGACCCCTCTTTCACTCAGCTCACCAAAACATCGCCCACCCGAGTTGGAATCCTTTTTGGCGGCCAGCGTACACGTAGACAACCCTCCCCTAAAGACGCTGCTATATAATGTCGGTATAGTATTATTACAGCAGTGTTTTTGATCGGTGGCTTTTTTCTCTCTCTTTATCCATTCCAGCTGCCTCAAAAGACTTTCCCGATTCAGGTGGACGACGTGGGCAAAGCAGAGGGTGGGCCGCCCACCCGTGGTCTGACTTGATCGCCCACCCCCCATAATCGCCCAATATCTGCTTGACCGCTCATGTAGGGCCAGGAAAAATCGCTTCTCTTTCAGCACCATCAACATCGTGTCTTCAACATCAGCACCTTCGCTTCCAGCATCAAGACCGCATTTATGTAAATCGCGGATTTTCCGGAAAGCAATTTCTCGCATTGCAATGTTTACTAAAAAGAAGCCTTCTTATTCTGAAGAGGACATTCTTGCAGCAATTCAGGATATAGAAAGCGGGATTTCACAAAGAGTAGCCGCACAACGCTGGAAAATTCCAAGGTCGACACTTCGTCATCGCTGCAAGGGCGGCCTCAACATACATGAAGCAAGTGAATCTAGGCAACGGCTTTCCAAAGAGCAGGAAAACCATATCGTTGAATGGATTTTAATCCAAGACGCGCTAGGCCTTCCGCCTACACACCAAGAAGTCAAGGAACTCGCAGAGAGAGTCGTCAGAGCCGGCGGTGATAATACACCACTTGGGAGAGGGTGGACAGAAGGCTTTTTGCGAAGAAATCCTAAAGCCAGGACTGTCAGAAACAAACCTATAAGTCAGACTAACTTTACCAACCTGAAGCTGGAAAAAATCGAATCAAGAGAGGAAAATAATACACCAGCATTGTAGCAGTCATTTGTCTACTCCAGTTGCCAAGAATGATGTTCCGAATTTGGGTGGGCGGTTGAGGGGGTGGGCGATCAGCCACTGATCTGACAAGCCGTCCAAAAGGGGAAACCAGCTCCAACGCGGCTCGGCACAAGATCTGGCAATCATCTGCTTATACTCCTCAAACAACCACAACTCCTCACAGCCAAAAGATTAAGACACAAAAATTAAAAAACATACAACAGCCGGTGTTCGCTGATGGTCACCCACTCAACTACTAATCTGCCGGTTAGTGGCTTGTCTATGGGGGAGCAGACGGGACCCCGAATTCTCCACTACCTATGGTCGTATGTGCTTGATGATAGCTTCAACCAACTTATATCTCGTCAACAATAAGGAAATTACTCTGAAACTTGTTCGACTTACACTACACTTGACAACAGAAACCTGCCTTGTATGATGCCGATACGTTTTATCCATCTAGACAGAGGAGGCACATTGACTCTTCTGGTCGGCCCAAAACAGCTGATATCTTTCTACCGCCTCTTCACCACATTCCTTCTCAACTTGCTGAAGCCAAGCCTTGTCGACCTCCTGAGAATGGTAGCAGTCCGGACTAGCCCCATGATCAAGAAGCATTTCGACAATGTCCCAATGACCCCTAAAGACGGCCGCATTCAACGGGCTGCGGTACTTCCCGTTGCGAGGATTGACATCAGCTCCTTTGTGAAGCAGTATTCTCACCACTTCTGATTTGCCCGTCCACGTCGCTGCTTGCAAGGCTGACCCGAATACTCCGCCTTGTATGTTGAAGTCGAGATTGGGGCTATTCTTGAGGAAATGTATAGCTTGGTCTTCGTAGCCATCATTAAAGCTATTGTACCAATCGCAATTGGCCTCGGCTTCCATCGCGCATGCCAACTGGAGCGGGGAGCCGTATATCCCGGCCACCAGGTTGACGTCGGCGCCGTGATCGATCAAGAAGCGGATCCGGTCGATCGATTCTTCTACTTCTGGATGGGCAACCCATCTCGCCCCCAGTGACTCCTTCTGGAGCACTCTGCCAAGGGCAGCGTGCAGAGCGGTGGGATGCTGCTTCCCGCGCGCATCGTTTATGTCAGCACCAAGGTCCAGCAACTGCTGCAGCACTGGGGCGAAATCGCGGTTGAGCTGCGCCGCGGCGGCGTGCCAGATGCTGCCGAAGAAGCCGCCCTGCGCGTGGGCATCAGCGCCATGCTCAAGCAGAAGCCTGAATATACCAACTCTATCTTTATACTTGCCGACACAAGCCGCCTGGAGCGCAGTTCCGTACTTGCCTCCCTGCACATTCACCTCAGCCCCTCGATCAAGCAACTCGCGAACCACTTCGAAGAAGCTGCCTTCACAAGCTGCTTGCAGCGCCGTGCCGCCGCGTCCACATGGTTCGTTCAACTCGACGCCTCTGCCCAACAGCTGTCTTATGAGTGGCAGTTGTTCCCAATCAATCCAGGTAGTATTCCTCTCATCGTATGGTAGGGGCACTTCCCACCGGATGAAGAGACACGCTGCATTCAAGGGGCTGCCATACTCTCCTCCGCGGCTATTCACGTCAGCGCCCTTATCCAAGAGCAAATGCACAATGGGTTCGTATCTTCCCTCCGAGCAAGCGGCTTGCAATGCTGTCCCAAAGTAACCTCCTTCCGCGTTTACATCAGCGCCTCTGTCCAGCAGGAGCTTGATCTCCTCCAGGCAGCTGCCGCCGCTCGCGCACGCTGCCTGGAGAGGGTAGCCGTATTTTCCACCCGGTAAGTTCACGTCCGCGTCTCTTTCAAGCAGAAGATGAAAAAGTTTCTTGGCATCATCCCTTCTCATGTTCATCGCCGCCTTGTGGAGCGCTGTCCCATGGATGCCGCCGCCCCGCCTGTTTATATCAGCACCGGCCTCTAGAAGGTACAACAAGCATTCCGAAGACGAACCACCATTATACTTATGGATGGTGGATGTCAGAACACAACCAGACTCGTTCGATGGAAGGTCAATATCGGCCTCACGGCTAACAAGAAGCTTTAAGACATCGAGCTGGCTGGCTTCCGCAGCAGCTTGGAGAGGCGAGCCCCACCCACCACGCTGCGCGTTTATGTCTGCACGGCTATCCAGTAAGAGTTTCACAATCTCGATATGCCCACCAAAGGCCGCTGCCTGCAGGGCGTCTCCAAAGACCTCACTCTTCGAATTGACGTCGGCACCTTTCCTGAGGCATAATTCGACCGCTGCAATGCTCCCTCCATATGCCGCATCGTGGAGCGCTGCATTGAGATCCCCTTGTGTTAGATATTTATTTACTGCAGTCTCTCGCGAGAGCAGCATCTCGGTAAGCTGCGTGAAGCCAAACCGCGCGGTATAGCACTGCGGTCGTAGCCGCAGGTGCATGGATTTATCGTCGTGGTAGAGCAGCATGCTCCCTGGAGGCCATTTCTCTCTAAGCTGGTGGTCTAGCCTTGGACTTCTAATCGCGAGGGCTTGTCTTGCGGCCTGTGTTACCTCAGCTGGCCAAGATGTGCGCGGCACCATCTCGAGATGCCATGGCCACTGGACGGCTGCATATTCACTCAACTGTAGATCAAAGTCGTCCTCGGCCATAGCGCTGCGTTGTAGGTGGTAAGCCAGGCAGCAGTGGGCGATGTGCAGATGAGCGTCTGCTTCGCTAATCGCAAAGGCCTTGGCGGGTCCTTCACATATGCGACTGGATATCAAATACTCCTTGACTGAGAAGTGAGCTAGTCGAATGCATGTATCCTTCTTATAACGGCCTCGTTCTTCCTGAAAAACAACGACCAGCCCAGATAAGTACTTCAGAACGTCCTTGGGCTTAAAAAGCCGCTCCGAATCATCCAAGGCAAGGGCGTGCCTGGGGCGAAGAATGAATATTTCAGCTAGTTGCTTCAACCCAAGGACTCCATTTGAGAAAGCGAGCCACTTCAAGCAATTGATGACATGGGACCTGAATTCTACATCCAGGCCCAGAAGCAGTCGGTCGTACGTTGCGTCGAGACCAAGAGGTAAGTTCTGGAGTGCCTCGTGGATCAAGTGAGCGGAGGAGAGTCGCCGAAGAGTTTCGAGCTGGAAGAAGATGTATTGAAACCTGGGGCTCATTGTGAGATTTGCATGCTTTTATGAGCACCAGAAGCCTTGTAGATACTTACATGCCGTCTGCCTTCTCAATCAACGACTCTCTCGCCTCCGCTCTGATGGTCTCTGGCCATGAGCCGTATTCGTCAGATGTCAGTGTCGAATCGATGAATAAGCCAATGTCGTGATCGACAACATTCCGCCGAATAGTCAAATCGATCATAGTAACCTGTAAAGGCGAGGGCAGGAGAGTTCCCATTGCTGAATCAATGTCTGCCTCCCTCCGGCTCGTACAAAACATATGGACATTAGCAGGCGCAGCAGCCATGATTTGACGCAAGCTGCTGAAAAGCATTCTCCGTTCTCCATATAGAAGTGGGCATTCATCTAGAGCGTCAATGGTAATGTAAACGGCTGAGAAACCTCTTGCGACAGTTGTCAGTATGGCCCCAAGGGTCTTCGTATCTGGGCGTTGGCCCTTCTCCTTGTACTCGCTTAGGCTTTTGATTGGCTGGGGAGTGTCGGGTCGTCGCGAGCAGAGCTGTTTAACCAGAGACGCAAGCATCTGGTTTACGTTCTGCTTCTCTGAGTCGCTAAAGCTGAAGAAAAAGTATGCGAGCGCCGTTAAGGAATCGGACGCGTACGCATCTTGTAGGTGTTTGATGACGACTGAGCTCAGAACTGACTTTCCAGAGCCGGCTATAGGTTGTTAGTAGAGCGGTATTCAGAATATTGTGAGTCAACATATGTACTCTCAATTCGTAGACGTACCTTTTCCGTGAAGCCATAGAAGTGAAGAAGGAGACTCTTTCCAAGCTTTAAACTCCTCGCTCTCCATTGTCAGCCACTCGCCTGTACCAGCTCCATGCTTGTCGCGAGCAGTATTGTATATTTCAGAAGGATCAACATCGCTAAGCCAATCCAGCAGCTCCTGGCGATTTCTCTCAACTTGAGCATTGCGCATGCTCGAGAGATCCGTGCTAATCTCACCCAACTTATGCAAAGATTCCTGGTGCCGTTTCTTAACTTCTGAGCACTCCTCGTCGTACCTGGAATCCCGCCAGAGTGCTTCAATAGCGGCGAATCTGCGCTCCTGGTTGTGGATCTGGCCTAGCAGTTTGTCCCAATCATCCCATTTGACGACGTCTCGCCCCAGTCGGAAGGCATCAATACTGGTATAATAGCAGTAGCTCATTGCCTGGAATCGCAAAATCTCTCTATATAGCACCTCCAAGCTGTTTTTATATTCTTGGTGGGGCAATGCAGACGGTTCTTGTTTGCCAGTTTGAGCCTTCGCCTCGTACCGCCTCACGTAGAGATCCTCCCGCATACGGCTCTGGACGAGTAGGGACGATATATCTTGCAGGCCCTTCGCCAGAGAAGCAGCTTGCTTGGAGTGATTCAGGAAGAGCTTTGGATGGTTCACAAAAAATTAGCACCTCATGCGTCTTGCGTATGAGAAATCGCCGAGCCCACTCACTGGTAGAAGTAAACTGATGCCTGCCCAAGCCATTGAGGCGCACGGATTTAGCGTCAGAGCGCCAGTGATATACTCATTGGCCCAGTTGATGACGCCCAAGAATGGCTGCGCCAAGTCCTTCACTTGAACTTCAGAGCTCCCGAACCTAATTTCCCATGAGTTATGGTTGACCTCGTTCATTTTGTTGCGGAGAACAATGTCCATCTGATCTCTTATGCTGGTCTTTGAGTCGATTACATGGCCATTAACAGCGCTCAAGTTCTTTTGAATCTTAGCCTCATAGTTTTTAATGAGTTGTTCATCTTCTTTGCGTAATTTGTCATATGCCAGATTCCATAGGTCACGGATCGGCACATCATTGTCGTCGAAACTCGACGGCGGTTGTTCCAGCTGATCCACCAAGGCAACTCGACTCGTAGAGCTAGCTTCAATTTTGCTTGATTACTCCTGCATGTTAACAGCTGTATCAACGCGATAGGTGTTCTCGGCCAATGAGGGTATTGGTCTCACCCTGTCTGGGCTGGTCGGGCAGTGGTGCCGCCTGTCTGAATGACATTTTGCTGAATGACATTTTGCTTGGAGGTGCTGATGCCCAACCTCTGCTTTAGTCTTTTGAACCGCATTTCCGTTCGTGTTTCTTGACAGAGCTTGCTTTTCCGTTACACATCTCTCTGTGTTTCAGCTGGGGATTTGTATTGTGTTGGAAGCGAGAATTAAGCGCCGACATCGATTAGGCTGCAAGGTCACATGTGCCTGCTTCAAAGTACCAAGGTACATAATAAGATCTGCGATATTTTCCAGCGCCTTTTTTCTATTGTATAATCCAAGCCGGTCATTTCATAGGAATTGTTATTGTTAGATTTAACAAGGCTTACTCATTAATGACGGGATACTTCATATCGACTTCCGTTAGGTGCATATGATCTCCAAGAATAGCAGAGACAAACTCTCTTCAAGATGGAATTAAGTGAACCAGCAATTGAGTAGATTAATCGTCCCTTATGGCATATGCGAACCATAGCGTGCGATTCAATTATACAAGAGCTGTAGGATATAGCTCATGGACTAATTACATATTCATTGATCAGAAGCCCTACCGTGATTTATATCAGTGGCTGATATATGGGCACTGAATGGGAGATTTGCAGTTGCTTGATCAAGAGTCAAATGGTCTGACGTCTCCCATAGCCGAAACGGCTATCATACAATATACCAATTTACATACTTAGACTTCAATTATAGGTTAGATAATTGACGTGTTATAAAAGCACATCTTACTATAACGACTATACAGAGCCGGAATGTGATACTCCGAGGAGATTTATATTGCTGAGGTCTTTATAGTAGCTCACTCTCCTGTTGAGTATTCGCCGTAAGAGCAGTCTTAGCGCCGGTCTTCCGCAAGAATTGAACTACTCCCCCAGAGATCCGCTATATCCGCCACAAGATCACTTCTTGGCTCTGGCCGGTGTCAAATTGCGCTTGAATCTATTCTGCCCTTCTTCTTTACCTATCGAATTTGTCCAATTACGCTGGATGTCTAATGCCTCGTCAAAGAGTTGATCCACTTCACCGACAGCGGGTGGCACAGGCGTGTGATAGCTGCAAAAGGCGCAAAGAAAAGTTGCAATGGCGCCTGGCCTTGTGGATAATGCAAATCCTGCCGGCGCAAAGACTGCTGCTACACCAAACACAGCAGAGCGCTGTCACCCGTAAAAGATATCAGATATGGGCGCGAAATCAGTGAACTGCGTGCAGTTTCAAGTGAGCTGGATCATACTGTCCCGCAAGTAGCCGATTCGCAAAAGCAGACTAATACCAACGTTGCAAGCTCTTCTCATACATGCTCTATAAACGTCAAGGATGATTCAGAATAGCAAAGGCAGGCCTGGTAAGGTCTAGTGTTGTCCGCATGTTGTTCTATCATCTAACTGAAACTGCTGGTTGTTATTCCCAGAGAATCTGCCTCGTCAGCGTTTCCGCAAACTGCACAAAGTCCAGTTACGGCTGTAGCTGAGTCGTGTCCTTATATTATACATTTCACCCCAAAATTTTGAGAAAGCATATAAGCTAGCTCAGTCCGAACTATGTTTTCGCAACTTTGATGAGCTTTTTTATTCACTCTAGCTATTATAACTACGTTTTAAAACCCGTATGCAGTAAAAGCATCACCACTGCTGGTTAGTGCCGCGATCCGCTGCTATCATCCCAAGGTCTAGATGATGCACATGAACTCTTGAAACATATTGCATTATTCTCTGAATACACGTACTCGGGTTTATTTTGGACATCTTTGCTGCTCATGGCTTCACACGTGGTGCTCCTGGCTCACTGCCCTCCGGCACAGGCACCAAAGCCGACCTTGTGTAAATATGTCTGGCGCCCTCTAGATTGAAGCCTTCGACGCAGCCTCCTTTGACCGCAAGTGAGGGCCTAGGTGTACCATCTTTGAAGATTACCCGATGCAGGATACGAACGCCACACTCCTTGCAGAAATAGCACTCTACTGTGTTGCCGGAATCTGCTCGCCTGGCCCACATGCCAATATGTTGTTGTAAGTGTTTGGGGAATGGCCACATGCCCTCAGATGGGAAGATAGCAGAGGTACCAAATGCAGAAGCCGATTGTTTCTGACACTCTGTGCAATGGCATGCATATTTGCTGAGGGGTTCAGCGCGCGAGGCTGTGAGAGAAATGGTGCCGCATTGACAAGTAATCTTCGGGTTTCCGTTCAATTTTTGGGATATATTAGAGTGGTAGCGAATAGATATTGATGAGGTTGCATGTGTTATTCCCGTGGAGTGACTCATGACATACGGGCGTAGTATTGAGCTGGCTGGTGGCCGCAATGCGGTCCGCTGCCGAAAGGCAAGTAGTAAATATGTTTTTGAGGAGTTCATTGAGAATAAGAGTGTCAAGACTGATTACATAGGTTCACGATGCATGATGCAACCGGAGATAAAGTCTCGTTGGCTAGAGGCCTAGAGACATTAGTTTCGTGATGTAACTAAATGCTGACAGACTGTCCATAGAGAAGGCACTATGGAATAACATTGTTCCTTTAAAGCCCAGTGAGGATCTTATGAAAAGATTGAGGCAATCCATTCTGGCTAATCAAAGGAGAATATATTGAAAAGAGTTCAATAATTTCTTGGGTGGAAATATGATTAGTGTCGCCCGATGAACACAAGATTTCCAGTTTGAACCGTTGTCTGGAAACAATCTGAAACAAGAGAAACATGCGAAGAAAAAAAGAAACAAACTGAAATTAAACTAAAATAAGCCCCCCTCTCTCACTTTGTTTAGACTTCCTATTGACTTCCTCATTTTGCCATGTTTATCTTCAAGACTTTGAAGACTCGCCGGTTGCTTCTTTTGACTCTCATGCGCTTATTGGTGACTCTGTTCTTTCTTTCACCTTTTTCGGACTCCTTCGCCACTCTGTATCGATGAATGTTCGCGAGGACGGCGAGTGCTTGTGGCAGCAGTGCCCACGCAAGTAAAACAAGCAGGTTGCGATATAATTGATCGACCGCTCCACCAGAAGTGATTGTATTTAAAGTCTCGTGAAAATTTGGACCCGGTAGAGCATGCATGAGTTTAGAGAAACGTGGCGCCAAAAGGCTGTATATCAATATGGAAACAATGTTGACGAAAACACATGTAATAATGGCAAAGAGCGCATAAGCAAGGGGGAAGAATGTCGTAATGACATCCATTAACCCAGTGATGATGAGCTGGTAAAGCAAGCTGATCATCCAAATAAGGGCCAGTCGTCCACCACTTAGACCCAACTCTTTTTGATACGCAAAGATGCATCCCGCCAAGAATAAAGCTCCGAAGAATGAAGATATAGCGTAGTACAATTTGCGTATAGTACTGTTTGTGCGGACCGGAAGACGGGAGAAATTCTGGAAATTCTGGCTTGCAGAGTTGATACCCATGATAGGCAAAACTTGCTGCACTGAGTGCACGGCGGCTGAAGCTGTATTGGGAAAGACTCGTGCTCTCTGATTTTTTGGCTTGTTATGAATCGAAGACGTGTCAAATGAGTTGAAAAAGGCCTTCAAGGTATTGGTGTCAGAAGAATTAAGGGTGCGAGAGCTCCAGTGCCGATTATGTCATAGGCCGAACGAAGGAAGAGAAGAGAGGGTGCGTCCTGTGCGTCCTCGGAGATACCTCCACCTCAAGGAACGCGGAATTCCCGAATGAGGAGTGCATAAGGCTTGATTTCTCTGTGACAAAAACAATGGGGGCTAGCTAGCTACCTATATATCCATGACGACCGATCAGGGGCTTCCTTCCTCCGGGGATGTTGGGTAAGCGTCCCCAACAAATTAACTTCTAGTATGCCAGTCTACTTGCCCCAATTGATGCTTCAAGGTTTGATTGAATATATTCTGCCGATTACAGAGAAAAAGCGCTCTGTTCCGGATATTGCAGGTTGGATCGGTAGGGTTGTACTTGATTGCCGCTTGACCGCCTCGAAGCGCAGTATCTAACCGATTCAATGCACCCGAGATGGAATTTAGCCCTCAAATATCTTCCTGTACGTTCCGCGCCTTTTAATAATTCTTATGTTGGATACTTGGACACTGGGTGAACCTAAAGCATCCGGGATGAGTTGCGCCTCAGTTGATCGCAGGCTGCAAACAGTGACTCTCCAATTGAGCCATGATCATAATCCACCGGTAGGATATGAAGACGATGAACTTTTTTCCGATTTCATAATGCGATCCATAAACAAGCGGCAAGTCCAGGAAAAATACTAGTTGTACCTCAAAGAAACTGATCCCCACAGTGAGAAAGAGCGTCTCCTTTGGCCTCGCCAGGCTTGGCCAAAAGGACCCTCTGAAGTCGTCCTTTGTAAGCTTAATGGTCATTATATAATACAAATCCCCAAGTAGATATTCCGACCTTCCAAGGTGAAAGAGTGCAAAACAGCACACGCATATCAATGTCCACAATATGTACAGGCAGAATTATTTATGCCGGAAGCTACGGAAGGACCAAGATCCAAGTTTAACACCCAGAAGGTAAGGTATTGATAATACAGTCAGACTAAAGCAATACTGAATAGATTTGAGCGTATCATATACATAGAAGAAGAGATTTGGCAGTCATTATAAGGGTCTTTGCCAGATCCCCTCGCAGCCTGAGGGAGATAGTCGTTGGGCCATCAAGTACAGCATCCGGTTAGGCATCCGGAACGCTTCCGATAACTAACGAACAGGCATTGTTTGGCTTACTACAAGATAGAAAGCTTCAATTTTCCTTTGCGTACTTTATATTAGCTCTAGACAAGTCACAATCTAAATGAGCACTGTTTGTTACTTCTGGGCGGATATAGACACGCACGTAGATATGGAAAAGGGGCGGAATTTTTACCACACTGACAATCCACGATCATACTAGGCTTCAACTATCTGAACAGAGTGAAAGGAATACACATCGTAATTGAAAGCCAACTGAAGTATCCGGCTATTGCTTCCGACTATGAGCTGTATTAAAATTTGCGTCCCATTGATTGATTCTGCAATTTTTGGTTTTGCTTACATGTTATTGGCTTGTCTTATGACACCGTATTTCAAGTATATCTCGCAAACGAGCTTCCCTGCCTTGAATATCGTACTAATTAGAGCGTCACTGTTGATAATACATAGGCATCAACGTTATTGTAAAGGCTAAGGACAATTTCTTGCGTTCAAATATAACTCCATTGGAAAAGTAGTTGACAACTACAAAACGTAAATAGCCAAGGAATCACTACAGTCGTAGCCGATCTTAGTCCCAGGCCTATTCTATACAATTCATCCACAATCGCCAAGGGCAGCTATATCATGCCTTACAACTCTTGTCTTCGCAAAGCTGCATTATGTCTACAATTTCGCCACATACGCCATCAGGCAATCATCACACGGCCGATCTTCCTTTAGTCAAAGCCGGAGTCAGAGAACTGACAAAATTGCTGACAGAAAAAAATGGGTGGGATCAAATTGGCCGCTCCTCAGTATATGCATGGCCATTGACCCATCTGAAGGATTGGCATCAACTAGACTAATTTAGGCCGCTTCCTATTTACATGAATAGTCTATAATATGGAAAAGCTGGCACACTCCCTTATCAAAACAGTGTCGATGGTACAAGTAAGTCCCAGCCGTTTGAGAGTAGTGGCGACAAGAGACTCTTCTCTTGCCAAACTTCTGTCCTGTAGTAGCATATTCTAAGAGTCTGGCGTAGTTTATGTTTAGACAGGTCCTCTACCAGTGGCATAACAGTAGGTTGCGAGATTTCAATGTTCCTAAAAAGAAAAGGCTTACAGGAGGCGGCAAGCTTGATGGATTCCATATCACTCGTAAATCCTGTGGCCCTCACATTACCTTTATCGGAAAAGATTCCGCTCTTAGGCTCGGAGGTATTGCGGGCAACACCTCGGAGTTCTCGTTTACCTTTTCTAGGCATTTAATTTGCAAGTATGACATTCTTGTTAGTAAATTTAACAGGCTGAGATGGTTTGCTGATATTTTCTTAGTGCGCCTTTTTGATCAATAGTTACACCACTATTAGCTGCATATCTAGAGGATTTAAGGCGTTTCCCTCCGCCCAGTTGCGGTGGCGTTTGAGGCACATTTTACCCTTATATAATGGCTTTGTATATCTCAACAATGTCCTTGACAAACATACAAGAATCTCAAACAATGACATAAGTTAACTTTTGGTCGGTACTCATATACTTACCTGAACAACTTGATTAATTGAGTAGAGATTTACGAAGCGTTACCAGGTTGGCGAAGATTTTTATTAATTTATTTATCATAAGTATTGCTTAGTGCTCTTAACTTCTGTATTAGTGTATGTCAGGTAAACTTACGTTTGATAGCCCGCAAAAAGTTTTGGGTGTGCTCCAGAAGACATGTCCATTAGTCTTATCCTTCAAGCCACAGCTTCTTGAAACCCTACTCTATAGGTACCTAGAGAACAAGCCGGAACGTTCAACCGGACTATTGGCCAGTATGGGCCCGCTACCTTACGACCGAGAGAGTCGGTATGGAGAAGAGAGAAGCCGAAGTTCCTAATTAGGCAAAGTATAGTAGGGCTTTCAAGTGGACCTTTCCTCGACAGAGCCAATGGTACTCCCGAAAAAGATCTAATCTAATCTGATGACTCGGGTTATCCATCTGATAAGATCAAAATCAGTCCATCCTTAGCTAAAATATTGAGTCACTTTCGACGCGAGGCATTTAATACGAGATCTAGAACGTCGATCAGGCCCATATCTAGGAGTACGCCTCCACTTCAATGAAGTTTTTTAAGAGCTGAACGTAGTCTTCCAAAGCCTGTGAATGATCACGAAAGGGCGTACTAGCCCATTGGAGATGGAGCTTGGACTATGCATAAAGGTCGACTATGTGGAATTGAGAGCCCTCAGTTGCGGGAAGAGGGACTTTGGCTAAGAGAAAAACTCAACAGTGATACTAGCAGATACATGCATGTGATTCACAGCCAGAATATATACTATATCTTACTACTTCACCATGGAAACTGCCAAGCTGCCAAGCTGATCGTATTACTCCCGGTACTCAAATCTGGGAAGATCTCGCACATATCCCGTGGATATAAGTCAGTCTCGAGGGCTCAGTAACTTTATGGTGATGATAGCCATGAGATATCTGTTCAGAGTCAGCTTGGGTCTTATCGGCTTATTTCCATGGCTTGGACTCTCCCTTGATGTCGCTATCCACCAGGAATGTGTTGCCGCTGTTTTTGGTATCATCGGTAATCTCAACTTTGAAGGCATCGGTTATGGTGAATACTATTTGGGAGTTTGCCAAAACCCTCTGAAAGTCACTTCTGTCTACGCTATTTCTAGGGCGTATTGCCCGCCCAATGACTTAGATACCGGGATCGCCTACTTCAGCTTAGCCTGTCAGACCTATGGCAGCGTGGAACTCATCCCAGTGGCAGACATAGCTACAAATTTGACTGATAAAGCAGTTAGCAGCTTTCCTATCCTCGATCAGGATGATGAGAGGATTTTGACTAATCTCACGACGCCAATTCTAATCGCGAGAGATTGGTTTGAATTGGGTTTTCGCACAGAGGTACGCTTTCTCCATTCCAATTCTTCTAATTCATTGCCTCGCTTTCGAGGAGATTCATTAAGATCATACAGGACACGTGGGATTATGAAGCCCGAACGCATGATGCCTATGGGTGAGATTTAGTTCTGCCATCACATATTCCCGGCCTTGTAGAGGAGTAGACATTAACATTTAACTTACGCAGATACGCGATGTATGGATTCTGGGGCGGTGTTCTTGTCATTGGAGTTCTGCATCGAATTATCACCTTGATCAACGAAAGTCGGCTGTCACCTTCATCCATCGACCCTGAGAACACCGGAAGAGCAGATAGTCGCGAGAAAGCAACTGAGAGAAGCCGTCCATTTGTATCGATGTACTCATGGATCCGGAAGAACCTCATTACTCCCAGCGCCTTGCCTCCATATCGCCGCCAGCCCTTTTTCGGATGCACCATACCAACTCGCATTGAGGTATTCATCGTCTTGTCATATTGGGTCGTTAGTTTCATACTTTGTTGCGTAAACTACCGCGGATTCAAAGGCAACCTTTAGTAAGTACCTATGTGACTGAGAAGTAGAAAACACTTTGTGAGGTACAGAAGGCTGACATGGATTGATGGAAAGCTGGTCTGCCGTTGCTCCTCAGATATGGCGATATATCGCTGACCGAGCGGGCATCATGGCTTACTCCAACTTACCCTTGATGTGGATGTTCAGTGGGCGTAACAACATTTTCATCTGGCTAACTGGCTGGCAATTCTCGACGTTCAACCTTTTCCACAGACATATCGCTCGCATAGCGACTTTGCAAGCTATCATTCATTCCATTGCCTATACGGCTTTCTATTTCACTTCAGGCGATGGTAAGTTCTTATCAGTGCTCAAGAGGATTGTTTTAGAAGTCATTTATTAATGGGATCAAATCTAGCGACTGATTACCGAGAATCGTTCCATGAAGCTTGGTGGTGCCTAGGAGTCGTGGTAAGATACTGTTTTTGATCGGCAGTTCTGAAGATCCCCGGAATTTTCGCTATTTATACTGATGTTGGTTGACTCTAGGCCACGATTTCAATGAGTTTTATTGTTCTCTTCTCTTTCAGTTGGTTCCGTCGGAAGATCTATGAGTCTTTCCTTCTGATCCACATCATTTTATCCGTCGTGTTGATTGTCGCTCTTTTCCAGTACGTTATTACCATCTCAATGACCGGAGCCAATGTCTAGTATGTACTAACTATGACTAATCACAGCCACACGTCCATATTCGATGGAGAATACAATCCTTATTTGTGGCCTCTTGTTGCCATTTGGAGCTTTGACCGTTTTCTGAGGATCGTTCGAGTTATCTATTGCAATCTCCACGTTCGACTGCGCACAAAAGCACTCCACCGTAGTGTCGCCGCGATTTCCTACGACCAGGACGCCAATATCGTCCGTGTCCAAATCAACACGCACGTGAAGCCAAAACCTGGCCAGCACTATTATCTCTACCAGCCGTTCCACTTTACTGGCTGGGAGAATCACCCTTTCACTTTGGCATACTGGAGCCAGTCCACAAATGAAACTGCTCAGAGTCAGACTGACTCTCCGGCTACGAATAACGTCACAAATCCGCCGTCGAGAGTTCATGCAGTCGCTGAAGACGAGTATATTCTCTCTTTCTGGATTCGCCCCTATGATGGCTGGACACGCCGTGTTCGTGATATATGTCTGAAGTCTCAACCTACATCCAAACTCTCTTCAGTCTCTGGAGAGACTGTCCTCCTTGAAGGCCCTTATGGCATGGCCGAGCCACTATGGGCGTTTGACGAGGTCCTTCTTATTGCAGGCGGGTCAGGCATTGCGGCTATGATTCCGTATATACTTGATCATGTCTCACGGGCCGCTGCAGGTCAAACACGCATACGTGGGCTGACATTGGTTTGGTCTGATCGCAAACAAGCTTATCTCCATCGAATTGCTCAGCGGGAACTCGCGGCAGCACTTACAGGGGACGACATCAAATGTTTATTTTACTGTACAGATTCTTCAAAGGTTTCCGTCGGCTATTTAACTTTACCGTCTCCAGATGAAATCTCATTGGAGAATACATGCAAAGAGACGAAAGAATGTAGTGTGCTTGAGGATAAAGAGGCGACTGGTGATGTACACCAGGCCGATTCTTTCATTTTCAAGACGGGCAGACCTGACATTCCGACGCTCATTGAGAGTGCAGCGGCGTCCGCTATCGAGTCTGGTTCACGGCTAGCTGTGATGGCCTGTGGTCCCGGTGAGTTGGCGGATACAGCCAGGGCAGCGACACATCGAGCTATGCGCCATCAGAGTAATTCTGTTGAATATTTTGAAGAGGCGTTTGGATGGTAGTTTTAGTTCCGTGAGTGTTCTGTACATGTATTACCTAAATAGTTTTGTTTTCTTAGTTGCCACAAGCCATTTTCTCAGAAACAAATCTATCTATATGCACTATGAAAAGATCTACATCGTACATGTATTGTACCCCTTGACGTCGGTAATAAGTAATTCTCTATTATTGCAGCAGCAGCTTGGAAAACGTCCCCGCTGTTGGTGCTCTTCGCTAAGGTCTGACTTACCTACTCTCCCGGCACCCAGTCCAGCAAAGTACGTCAACGCATTTGGGTCCTGCAGAACCTCTGCGAACAGTAGGCTTCCCAGAGCCGCCATAGCATGCAATTAACGCAGTCTACTGATCATGCAAAATATGCGAAGCTTTTCCCATCTTTAGAAATGCAATTGCTTGGGCATATTGGGGTCGTCGATCAGAATTGGGCGAAAAATAATCTGCTTGAGAAGCAAGGCTGTCATTTGCCCTGCCCCTAGCTCATTTGAGTGCAATGTTAAACCCCACGATGCATGCATGTGTACAAAGGGAAAGGGCTTCTTGCCCGTGCCATGTCCAAAAAAAAAGAAATGATGTAAGAATTAGATCATTATTTAATAGGCAAGGCAACCTCACTTGAGACAAAGTTTCATTTACGACGTACCAAGGTCTGTTAATCTTCGTTAACTCATCTCTTGCTCCCTTTGCATAGATCCTGACACTTCTACTCTCCTTTGTGGTCCCTTGGCAACGCCTGGCTAGAGCCCTCTAGCGCATTCCATAGGTGGGAGAAGCTTTCATTTCCAAGTAGAAGCTAGATGTAGTTCTGGCAGAAATAGCTTTAGATCATAAGCTCTAGGTAGCCCCATAAAATGCTGTTTCTCCTGTTTATTCATAAATTAAAACCAATGCTCCATTTTAATGTATCCTCAATGGCTGCACTTACGCAGAGTACGGAGGCGGGAAGTTTTAATAATATCAAGGGCATGCTTCTCGCAACCCAAAAGATCGCAAAATGATCCTCTAGCCCTCTAGCTCTCTGACGTATACTTTTTGCCGTAGGAAATTATGAAACATATTCAATAAAAAAAGCTGGCCAATAGAAGCAAAAACATACAACAGCTGGTGTTTGCTGGTGCTAGGATAGGCCAAGTACATATATTTGCTAACCATGCAGAGAACTATTGTACTGCGCCAATAATGTTATTCAACCTATTTAATAACTAACACTGGAAGCAAATATCAAATCTCTGCTTGAAAAATCAATCCTTCATGCTAAATGAATTCACTAAGATATTTTCCATTGATCCTTCTGGGGTGAGAGCATTGGTACCGCTAAACTTTTCAAGTAGTATTTCCCTAGATCCGGGGGTTTTGGATATCATATTATTGTTGATATGGTCTCTGACTTTGTCAGCAGGTGTCTTGTTTCTGTGGTCTTCGTTATTTGAAGTTTTGCCTAAGACTGCTAGCTTATGGCAAGTAAGAATTAAAGAACTCAGACCAGCTGTAAGCGCCGTCGAAACAGAACTGCCCGAAATGCGCTCACTAGAAGCAATAAATGGGATAACGCCAGCTGCGACATTCTTTCCTCGTAGCATGAAATCAAATTTGTTTTCGTTAGTCTCACGAAGAGTCCTTCCGTACTCGTCGCAGGCTGTAACAACAATAACTTCATCTCCCATCCATTCGGCTGGATAGGATGTCGTGATACTGGATCCCTCATCATGGGTACTGCAGACGATAACAACTTTGTTTTTCTTAGCTTGCAGGACTTGGTTTTTAAGATCTTCATCCTTCTCAAGCATAGATATACTCATTGAGATTATATCAACATCTTGATCGAGAGCCCATTTGAGTGCCTAGAGATTGCATATGAAAATCAGAATGCCTGCTTGGGGCAAAACAAATATGAGGTGGGGGGGGGGGGTTTACCCTGGCTGCCCTTGCGGATGTGATTCCATGTGTACGTTCTGCTACTCTGGCCACATAGAGATCACAAAATGGATCCATAGAGCAGATGAGGTTTGCCATCTGAGTACCATGAGGATCGGAAGCGAAGAGCCATGAACTAAGCTTTGAGCCATCATCCACAAATGAACGACCCCCTTTGATACGACTGGAAAGGCTTTTGCTCGCCATATTTTGCCCTGTTTGGCCGCCATTCAATGGTGTAGTGCTCGTCTCTTGCGCGGCTGACGTATGAGTAATACTCAGCACACCATTATCGATAATGGCCACCTTTGTCGGTTGAAAGTTCTTTATCACTTTTGGATCTATATTTGAAATATGGCGCTCAAGGTCTTTGAGGAACTCCGACAACACAGGAGACACCATGTGAGCTCTAGGGGAGTTGTTAAATGATCAGCCGAGAATGTCAATGTTACCAATAGAGCTACAGAGAGATTGTTGCCCTTGGGGTACATGAATAAATATATCGAGGCTTTTTACCAACAGGGATTCCACAAGAGGCTAATAAACCACTTACATTTCGTTTAAGTTGACAAGAGTTTGCGTTTGAGCTGGATTCCAGAATATGGTATCGACTGTTCTGTTATCAACTTCGACCATACATGTACCTTTCAGCTTTTGCAAACCCTCCATGAGATAAGTCCGAAGCCTTTCAGAATCTTGCTTCGTCATCGTTTCCTACAGCATTATTATCAGCTCTCATACCAAACTCTTGTAATTGAAGGATAAACAGAGTGCATAAGCTTCGTTGAGGTAGTAGCATACCCGTACGAGATGAATATGAAGCTTTTTGAGCTATAGCTTTCGTACTCGATGGTCAGCAATGAGTAACGTACTAATTTTCATGCTCTATAAGTGGACTTGGCTAATAGACCAGTAGCATTCGAGGAGATGATGGCAAACGGGTTGCACTCGCCTTGGTAAAAGTAGGAATTCCGTCTTTCCCCAACCAATGGTCAATAACAGCTCGCTTACCGCTAGAATATAGGTGCAGCTCTTTAATCCTCTCGTTAGCTTCCATCTTATTCTTGTTGGTCCCATTATCAGCGTTCTGTCTGTTGTTGCTGTCTCTGCAGCAGAAAATAGAGAGAGAGAGGTCAAGAAATCGCCAGTCAAGATATTCTACTTGGAATCTGTTAATGTATTCTGCAATACCTTCCTCGTTGTGTGGATTTATCAGTCTGTCGCGAACTCTAAGACTAACAATCCGTTCAACGTTTTTCTCATCACGTAGCCAGTCTAGGATTTTAAATGCTTCCTTATGTTGAACTGTGAGGTAAGAGTTATCGCCAAATGCCTCTCTTTCGTCTATCTTCAAGTCGAAGGCCGGAAAGTCAACATAGCGTATAGTCTCCTCGAACGAGAGAAGAGTTTTATTTTTCAGTTGACTTGTCACGGAGTATACCAAGTCTTCAATGCGGAACTGCCTAGAATCGAACCAGGTTAAGTCGAAGCATAGCTCTCCAGCTTTTCTCATAAACTGTTATTACTTGACAATGACGATATCTGAGTGTGTTTAAAAGGACCAAGGAGTGGATCTTACTAGTCTCTATATAATATTCAGCACATGTGAGAAATAAATTCCTTCTCTCCTATAACCAAGATGCATGTAATGCATAAAGTGGGATGGAAGTTGTGGACTTACGCCCAGATTCATGGAAAATCTTCGACAGCGTCTTCATCTCCCTAGTCTGTCGGACTATCCAAGATACTAATATTGCGCGTATTCTCTTCGATATTTCATCGGGTTCTCGATCGCCCAAAGCAGAGCCATTCCACTCTTTACCAATATACCAGAGCGGATAATGCTTGTCGTTAACAGCATCGCCGTTCCGCTTTGTGCTCTTTGGTAGCGCCTGTTCAGTTATTGCCCACTTCGAATATTTCTCGTCTTTGAGAAATTCAGTGATAAATGAGACGCTTCGATGATACACCGCCAGATGAATTAAAGAGAATGTCTCTTGAATTACGTCTGCTGGAACCGCTTTCCAAATGCTCATCCAATCCTCATCGGCTTCCAATGCCTGCACTTGCCTCTGATCCTGTTTGATTGATTGTAGTTCGATGATTGAGTCAATAACCTCGCCATTCGTTGTCTCGGAGATTTTCATCAGTTGAACTAGTTTCTTGATTATCGCCATATAAGACTGATTTCCATCTGACTTCCTGCAGTGGTCCATTGCTACTAGAATGTGGTTTCCAACCATGAGTTGCTGGGTCAAGTCTTCTTTTCTGAGTAAAACGTTCACAGCCTCTTCTTGTCCATTTCGCACGGCGCTTTCAAACGCCTCGTTAAGGAGGGCGAAGTTTGTCATACAAGGGAAGTCAAGAATCTCTCGTAGAGTATCAATACCTTTCTGGCCAGAGTCAATTGCATGTTGCAAAGCCGTCTTGTTTGCTCTTGAATCCTTCTCCTTGACAATTTTGTACGCGAGGGCTCGGTCACACTCGCTGTCAAGTAGCGCAATTCTCATAATCTTTATCACGGCGGCGTTGCACTCCTGGGCCGCGTGATGAAAGGGTGTTTGTCTGCTCTTCTTTATTTTAGAGTGCCCGTTACTTAGATTGCATCTGTCTTTGATAGATTTGAACTGAGGTCGGCTAAAGTTTCCATCGGGAGTTTCGAAAGAGAGATTCGGATGTTTTTGAGCCATCATGATGATAAAATCTGATTCAGCGAGATCAGGTTTACTGTAGTCATCACTGGCAGCAGTATATAAAAGGAGCCACAGAATACAGTCGTCAATCTCATCTTTCTCGGAATCCAGAAATTTCCTTACGGTATCGAGCGTCGCAGCTTTGGCAGAAGCGCTGTTTTTGGAGGCCTCGGATATGGCCTCGGTGATGTGATTGAATAGATTACTAACAGCGTATGCTTGCGACTTTACAAAAGTTTTCTCTTGCCGAGCACTTCTCCATTCTTTCAAAAATTTGTCGACGTAATCTCGGCTCTTGTCATCGTCTTTCCTTTCTGGCGTATTCATGATTGCTGATGAAAGAGTATGCTTGGTTGTAGGTCACTTAAGAGACGTGATTAATTGTTGGACATGCAGGATAGATTGATGTAGAAAGTTCAATCACTAAATAGTTCTGCCTATCGAATTTTAAGCATCGACTTGGATAATACTCCTTGTACTGAATAGATAGGTTAGTAGATACTCTAAAATGCCAAATATAGGCATGTATGAGGGTGTTGCCCCCAATAGGTAGTAGGTACCTAAGCCAAGAAGGCCATTGAGGGTTGGGTAGCGTTGCATGAAGTGTGAGTCGCATTTCCTGAGCTGCAACCCCAACGGTCTATCCAAAGCCTCTTATCCCCCTATCATCTGCTAGTATTGGCCATACTCTTACGTCAGTTTAGTATTGCACTTCGGTGACGGATTGGTTCTGGACCTCATCCGATGGCATCCGCCAGGTTCTTTTGCAAATTTGCATCCCAAAAGCCCCAAATCTACTGGGTACATTCGGGAATATTTAGGCAGCAACTCAACAGTTGGGAATCTTACGACAATCTCTTGATATAGTATGATGAACGAAACCTCAAGAATGGCAACCACTAGACAAATTATTACTTAGATATGAGAAATCGACCGATTACAGAAATACGTGCATATGAAAGTGCCAATCATTTATCTTAATGAAATCTTTCACACCAGGACTTTTCTTCTATTAGGAGATTATGTTTGTTTGTGACTGGAGCTGGCAAAATGTAGTGCCTACGGCCCGCAGAGCTTGTTCCACCTTGACCAACTGAGCGTCTCTACGTTCAATGTCTCGTCGAAGCTGGGCTATGATGATGTCTTGAGTTGCTAGGCGTGCTTCCGTCTGTGCCGCTCGGGCTTCAAGAGCAGTCAGCCTCCTGGAGTCATGCTCGACGCTGAAGCCATCCACTCTCCAGGCTGGCTGAGGCTGTTCCTCATGCGTGATGAAACCGCCCAAATGACTGGTACTATCAAGTGGCTTGTATGGCAAAGGCGGCGCCGGTGGCTGCGACAATAGTGGTTGCGCGCTGGCAACCTCTGACCTTTCCACTTTGTACGTCTCGGCTTCATCTCCGATGGTAGTTCTTGGTAACGATGATTCTTGGTTTGTGGCGATGTTATTCGCAACTGGGGGGCTCCAAGCATTGTTAAAATCTGCTTTATCACCACCAATCAAATTTCCGAGATTTTTAAGATCAATGTCTTTGTTTTTCCTTATCTTTTCACCTTCCGCGTGGTGATTACTTTGGTCCCACATACCTGGACGAGGCGTAACTGTAAAAGAGCTTGAATCGCCTTGTCTCAGTCCCAGAAGCCGCTTAACATTATGTTTCAAGTCGTCGAATGTACCCGTTTGCACATCAATTCTGAAAGTAACAAAGTATGGATCATGCGCACTGTTCCTCTTGAGGAGTACAGTAGCCCAGACCTCTGGCGTGATCCCGTGATTTTGCAACTTGTTCTGTTTCATAAACCATGTGACACCAAACGGTCTCCCCTTCTTATTATACTCCATTTCAGACACGCCTTCGTCAAATGCAGTCTGATTCCAAGAGACAGTGAATTCTTTGTCCCATCCAATCGAAAGCGAAGAGCCGCTATAGCCGCCCGAAGCGGTCATGTTCCGCTTGCTGGAGGATGTGACGTCAGCTGCTGAGTGCTTGGACCTCTCCAACTTATAGAAAGGAGCCCATGCCTGGACTTCTGGGTCATCTCCACGGGTTTGGTTGCAGTCTTTAAAAGTCAAAGTTGCTCTCATAGTCTTGATTTGGAGATCTGCGCTGAAAGATTTGAAAGAGAACTTGAGAACCACAAGAGTCATGGGGTCTTTTTGCTCTTCTTCGCCATTGATAGTGACGGTCTCCCGCCATCCATCAACCCAAGCAATTCGCTGGACGGAGACACGGTGGTCCGACCTTTCACCACTGTCGTAGAGGGGGATGCCTTGTGGATCAGGCGAGTAGTGAGATTTGGTGCTCCCTTGGGCCACCACTGCCGCCGCTCCAGATTTAGTATATAGATCAAACGGCATAGGCGTAGATGCGTCAATCTCTTCAAGGGGTGGGCAGAATTCATTGTATACAGCATGTTCGTCGTATAATTCGTTATTGCCCAAAAATCGTGACATCTTACTGAGCCTCTTTTTTTGTAGTCTTCTTTTTGTTCAAATTATTATGAAGCGCTCACATAAATATGACAGGCCGAGAAAAAAAAGTCCGGGCTGCAACGAGCTACAAATAGTAGGCTGCTCCTACAACTGGAATTCAAAACTTCTATGTATGATCAGCCTCTAAATAGAACCCTGCTTGTTGTAAAAGCCTGTCGGCTTATAAATACTGCTTTAGGAGCACGCCATTCGACTTGCAAAGCAGAGCAAAACAGGGAATCTATAAAATATCAACGCACAATACTCCAAATACGTGCACCTCCGCAACGCCAATATCTGTAGGTGGTGCGTGCACATTGATTCCGCTGTCCTGAGATTATGATCCACCGCTTGCTTGCCTCTTTTCCTGTTTCATGCAGCTATTGTGTTGCATTCACGCCTTATAGTCTTGGCTAGGCAGCCACATGCAGTTGTTGAGCTATTTAGCAAACGTATTGAGTACATTGTGAGACTTCTTCCCAGTACTTCATTGATACATTACGCTTTAGAAACACATCATTGTACATGTACAACGTGACTTTGCATGCATTGGTCTTGTCTGCCACCAGTGCTGCCTTCGCTGCCTTCGCTGCCTTCGCTGCCTTCGCCATCTTTGCTGCCTAAATGAACTCATCTTGCAGAGTTCTAACACTTTCGAGCCGATAAAAGCAAATTGACAAAGATACTCGCAAAAAGATCATCTGCTTAGCTGAACAAAGGGCACAGAGACGGTAGAAAAGCAAAAATCAAGAATATCAAATAGCCAAGTACTACCAAATCTCCTCTCGCGATAATATTATTTTTTCTTCTTTTTCTTCTTCTTTCTTTTTTTCATTTTTTGGTTTTTCAAAAAAAAAATGTCACAGAGTAGGGATGTGATAGCAGCCAAGAAAGATATGTCTGGAAACAGCCTGGATGACGACCCAGATGTGCTTTCGCCGGGAACAGCCAATATAAAGAAAGACGCAGAAATCTCGCCAGACAAATTTGCAGCAATTGATATGCCAATGAGCGACGAATCTTGGGCTTCTCAAAAGTCTATTCCTCCTTCAGGGCGTGCATCCTCAACCTCTGATACTGCCCAGATGATACGAAGCTCAGCACCACGAATCGCATCATCAATCGATATTCATTCCAACTCCGACAATGATGCTCTGGAACTCTGGGATTCTGCATATGACATCCTAAAAAATAGTGATCGTACTCTTTTAGAAGCATACGAAAGGATGTTAGCACCCTATCTATCGCTAGAAAATCTCAAGGGCCAGGTAGAGCGCCGCTCTTCCGTAACCACGCTCCATGAAGAGGATCTTGTCCATCGATATCCCTTGGAAAGGAAAATACAGATGGATCGAATCATTGATACCTGGAAGGCGGACGACGGCTGCGCCGTTTTGGCCGATTCCGATGTGAGAGTCCATCTAGGGCTCTATATGGAAGGGCCAGCTCGTTCCCTCCGTAACATTATGCGACCGATTCTCGAGAGATACCGATACGCGTCATTGGTTTGGGTACCACTGTGTCTGGCATTGGAGGTGAGTCCGTTGTTGGTGATTATAGACACTCATATGGAAAGCTTTACTGATCAATCACATCTTGACAGGCAAGCATGTGTTCAAGTACAATACCTGAAGGTATTCGATCGGATATCGTCGTTATAGCCTCAAAAATGGAGTGGTATATCGGACTTTCTAGGTTCTTATTCAGTCCAAGCGACAGCGATTCCGATGACCCAGCCCCTCTTGTCATTGAATCGCTTAAAGATTTATTGATAAGGCTGTACAAAGCCGTTTTATTTCATACGGTTCAGCTATCGGTGGCTCTTATACATCAAAATGGCCACTCGCCGCATCAGGCCTCAGCTAAAAGAGTTTTCGAAGAAGAAGAAACTCTTGTGAAAGAACTCAGAGGCCATAAAATCCATACGGAGCTTACTGAAATATGTAGTGACGGATCGATCCGTGACATTCGCCGCGTAATGTACGAAGAGAAAGCCCTTCCAGAAGATATTCAAATTAAGTTGGGGCTGCGGTTATTTGACTTACCTTTGGAATTGGATGGCCATGATACCTCCCTGAATCAGCTCTTGTGCGATTGGGCGTGGGATACCAGGGAGTATCAAAGCCTATTTGATGGGCGGCTTGATGACTCAAGGCATTGCCGTGTGCTCTGGGTGTCAGGCCCGCCGGGCCTTGGCAAGACAGTGCTTTTAAAGGCAACTAAGGAGAGACTTTTGCAACTCATGGACACACGACGCGATAATGAGAATTTCAATGTCATATACTTCTTCTGTGATAGCAGAAGTCAACAGCAGCATGATATTGTATACCTCATCAAGCATCTGATATTGCAAATCCTCCAGCTGCAACCGCATCTTAAAGGACATTTGGAGGAAAAACTGACTTCAACGAACCGTAAAGCATTTGACGATGAAAACAACTTTTACGCTATATCAATGATACTATACAGTATGCTTGATGATTCTGAGTTTAAATTAACTTATGTTGTTCTTGATGCTATCGAGGAGATCTGCGCCGACATGACTCGTCCTAGCGAGACATTGCAAGACCTGCTAAAACTGATTATCAAAACTTCAGAACTATCACCGCGCCTAAGATGGGTGGTCTCTATTGATCCTGCCAAGGTTGATATTACTCTCACGCCATCAAACGAATTTACGCAACTCCAACTAGAAATCGACGATCCTAGATACCGCCATGATTTGCAGAAGGTAGTCGACAAGTGCATCTCCTTGAACGTCGCTGAAGTGGCCGAGGCATTGTCTTTCTCAACCATATTTCGGGAACAGATTACAGCTCTGATGTTGAAAATGGCGCCTCGCAATTTCTTGTGGATTGATATTGCCTGCAGTCTTATAAAGTCCGACGGCATACCATGGCATGCTCAAAGCATCATCGAAAATTTGCCAAAGGACATTCCTTTGCTCTATCAGGAGATAGACAATGGGCTTAAGAAGCTTACTGATTCCGATCGAAATTGGTGCTACGACGTCCTATCTACTACAGCTATTGCATTTCGATCACTTCACATTTCAGAGCTCAGAAGTCTTATTAATTTACCTCCACATATTGACCTGGTGACGTTGGTGAATAAGTTTTGTCCTCAGTTCGTTAGGATATCCAAGGGTTACCTTAGCTTCGCACACACATCAGCCCGCGACTATATACAAAAGTGTCTCATAGCCAGCAACAAAATGTCATCGAAACATTTACTCATGACCGAGCGTTGCTTAGCGAAATCCAGCGTCATAAAGAAAGAAAGTGTGAATACATATGCCATCATCAGCTGGATGTTTCATCTGTGTGGCATCAATGATGCGACTGACATGGATATCGGAATCAAGTTGGCGAATGAGTTTCTCGACGACTCTCTCATGGAATGGGTAGAAATGGTAGCATCGCTAGGCCTTCTATCGAGAGTGATCGTATTGCTTCAGAGGTTGCATGAAACTCTCTTTAACGCAAATGTAAGTATACATGTACCCCTTTTGCGATATATAGACACATATCTAACATGTAGTTTCCAGATTGATTGTTCAAAATTGAATGATTTTGAGCGTTTTCTCAGCAAAACACGAGACATAATATATTTCCTTGAATTTCACCATTCCCTTAACGCCCCTTCAGCGCTCAGCCTTAAATGCAGCCTTCCATTTCTGCCTAGCGTATCAGAAGTGAGACGAAATTTACTTCCAAAAGCTTTCCCTTGGTTAGAAATTGCGCCGAGAATCAAATCAAATTCCGAGATGGCTATTTACAGTCTTAAGGGCCATGAAGATTGGGTACGCTGCTGTGCTTACTCACCAAATGGTCAACTTATCGCCTCGGGTGGGGATGACGGAACGGTGCGTATATGGGATGCTGAGACAGCTAGCTTACAAAACATATTCTATGTGGATAGCTACGTCTATCGCATCCTGTTTACTGACCAATTCTTGTTCGCCCTCTCCCGCTCTACCATTCAGATTTGGGATGTGTTCACCGGTAAACATGTGCGGTCTGTATCGGCCTCGCATTATGGCCCTTTGCGAGATATTAGCTTCTCTCCAGTCGAACAGACGCTCGTCGCTACAACCAGAGATCATGTCCTTATCTGGGAACTTCCTGTCGATTTGAGGCTAGGTGTATGGATTGAGAAAACTCTAGACCAAGATACTACCGATCGGATGGGCGTGGCCATGAGTGTGACATTCAGCCAAGATGGCTCCTTTTTGGCATATTCTTTATCATCAAAAATCATCATTTGGGATCCAAAAAGCGACAAACGACATCTCTGCCTTGAAGAACATGATGATACAATCTGTGCGCTCGAATTCTGGCCAGACTCGAAGCTCCTAGCTTCAGGCTCAGATGATGGAACGCTGCGTATATGGTCAACAAGTATCGGGGAGACTCGGTCACTATGTACTCTCCGCGAAGGTATGGTGGATGTTACCTGTCTTTCAGTCTCATCTGACGGCTTGCGTCTCGCCTCAGGTTCATCTGACTCAAGCATCAGTATCTGGAAAGTGATTCGCGAAAATTCCGGACATGGGCTCTCGTGCATTTTTGAGCGAAAACTGTCTGGACATGATAGGATGATCTTTTCGGTGGCTTTTGCTCCACAAAGGCATAAATTAGTATCTTCGTCTAAGGATCAAACTGTGAGGATCTGGGATACTGATACTACTGAACAATGGCGTATGGGGCCTCATAACCAAGTTGACCAGGCTGACCACCGACAAGCCGTTAATCATACAATTGAAGAGCACACAGAGTCAATCAACTTCATCATATTTTCTCCGAGGAGAAATCCTCCTGACAAAGAAATATTTGCTTCAGCTTCTGATAATCAAATATGTTTGTGGAGTGCTGACACAGGAGAACTCATCACATCGCTCGGGAAACATGACGATGAGATCCTCTCCCTTGCATTTTCTCAGAATGGTGATACTCTAGTCTCAAGCTCTGAAGATCGTACAGTCTGCGTTTGGGACGTAGATAGCTACAAAATGAGATGCTGTCTGAAGGGCCATCATGATTGGGTGAGGTGTGCGGAGATATCCCCTGATGGGCACTTTGTGGCATCAGGATCAGACGACTGGTCAGTAAGAGTTTGGGATATCACGCAGGGCGCCCATGAAGAACTTGCTATTGGCACCGATGCCGAATCTAGAATAAACTCTGATGACGATTCTGACACTGAGAGCGAGGGGAACGAACAGGTAAGAATATTTTCAGCCCATACAGACTATATCTATTGTGTCGCATTCAGTTCAAGCGGCTGCTACTTGGCGTCCGGCGGAGATGATCGCAGAATTATGATTTGGGATCTTCAAAATGAAAAAGGCAACCAGCGTGAAGCAAAGAGCGTTCTTCACCACTCTTTGCCCCAAAAGAGAATCCATAGTCTTGCATTCACGGAAGATGAAACTCGAATTTTGTCTCTAGACATACAGGGGACTATCAAGATATGGGACCTTCGAACCAATTTTTGCCACAAAGTACTACAAAGTGGCGAACAATTGATTCAAACAATTCAATTTGATAGCCGGTTTCCAGGCGTCTTGATCACCAATATCGGAGCATGGCCAGTCAGCATAGAAGATCAACTGCCGTCAGAGCCCATAAGTAACTCATCTGCAAGAACGGCATTTTGTGAACTTGCTCGAGAATCTCCGCCTGAGTCATATCCTTTTGGCATCAGTAATGATCGGAATTGGATAACTTGGAATAACAAGAACTTGATCTTCTTACCTTCTCAATACCGATTTGAAGATCCTGATTTAATTACATGTCGTGTCTGGGATAACAAAGTGATTATAGGAATTGGCTCAAGGCGTGTGCTCTTTTTTAAGTTTTCCAAGCGTATAGAACCCAAGCTCTGAATTCTGAGTTTGTTTGGAATCTCTTATATTCTGTTTATGCCTTCTGCATCTTAGTCTATTTTGCTTTATTTCTAAGGTATATCAGTCACAATATTCTGCGCTCTACACTGTTTGCAACGTGAGTGAATTTGTTGAATCTCTTCTTACGCCAAGCCAATCCTTACCTCCGGCCCGATTTGCGGTATCCCGATCAAAAATGACTTGTGTTGCTCCAACAGTGATCATATGGTACCATATAATGAGTGATTGTCTTAAAGATGCTTGGCAATTACCTATCCTTTATGTCTTGATCCCCTTAGGTTAACTGTTCCCAGCCTTATATAAAGGGAGCTTCATAGGCCTCCAAAAAACCAAGCAATGTGACTTCGCATTTGGAAGCCACCCCACGCAAGACAAGAGCTTCACGAGATCCCGTATATTGTAGTGGATATGGTCGTATGTGCTAGCTCTATTTTTTTAAAAATGACCTATGTACCATTTGAAAGTCTTCGGAGAGAAGTAGCTAGGCCGGCACAACAATGCCGTACTTATCGTAATCGAACTGTTCGAGGCTCAATATACATTCGGCCCAGTCATCATCGACCTCCCCTAGTTGCCAGCTGTCTCCAAACTCGCTCAGCCCCGTCCTCCCTGCCAGTACAAGCTTTTGCCTTTCACGATATTCGACCGCGAAATCTGGATGTGGCACCCAAACAACCCTCATTCCAGCCCGCCTCCCAGCTTCTACACCAATGACGCTATCCTCAAATACGAAACATTCTCTTGGCAAGATCGTCTTCTTATCAGAGCTAGCCATTGTCGAGTTTAGTGGCTGCAGGGCGATTAAATACATGTCGGGAGCTGGTTTCCCCCGACCCTTTGGCACTCTTGGATCGTCGCCCAGGATTCGTTTATTTGGCTTGAAGGAGTCAAGCAGCCGCTTTGTTTCCGGCGTTGATACTTTCAACTCAAACTGTGACTCTTCGTGCTAGATGCCAATGGCAGTTCGATCCTGTCGCCAGGGGAAGCACTGCGTGCACGACTGAGGTTGGACAACAGCTTCTCCGCACCAGGTAGCGGCTCACAGCTTAGAAAAAGCATGTGCATCTGTTCCTTCGATTCACGAGCGAATTGTTCGCGAGAGATAGGCAGCTTTGCCCAGTTGTGGAATACTTCACCATTTGTCGAATCTGGAATACCCATGAGCTGGGCCCGAACGGACAGAGTCAGAGTAGGCCTCGAGTACTTTTGAAGCTGATTCGTAGACTGAGTGATTATATCTTCCGAGTTAATGAGAAGCCCGTCCATATCGCAAATGCAAGCCCGGATTGGCGGAAAGCTGGCGGCAAGTCGTTTTATTTAGCTTTCCACTTGTGCTTCAATGGCGATGGCCATGGATTCCACTGCTAGGGGCTGCCTTTATTACGCAGGAACCCTACTTACTCTGTCTTGAGCTGAGCCATAACTCCTGGTTGATCCAAGACCGGCCTTGATCAGGTTTAGCGGAGTTGATTAAAAAAGAGATACGAGTTGTGTTTATGTTCTCGACTTCAAGGTAGTGCTTGCTGTTTGCCGAGCCTTTTGCTTCTACCCCGCTACCAGTTCCAGCTTATCCAGCGTCCTTTCCGTCAGTTCGTGAAGCACACTTATCTACAAGCGCTATGATCGTTCCGTGTACCGTGGCTACTTTAGTAATGTAAATTGTTATGCCCAGCCTCGTTAGAGTATTACGCATTGAGGCGGCTGCTAAATGAAACTGCATGGGTGAATTATCAGTTAAATCTGAGATCGGACCTTATGATCCATAAAGCTAATACTCCGATACTAAGTACTAGAGCAAATGGAGCTCACTAAAGGGCCGTTTAATAGAGCAACTGAAGGATTTTTTTTATTGGGCTTCGAGCTGGTATATACCGCAACACTAAGCCCCGAAATGCGGAAAATGCTTCATTTACCATGTTTCCTGCTCAATGGGTATTCTTCAAATGCGGATTTCTGTGGCCGGGAAGATATTTTGGAGCGCCTTGCGACCGAGCTATTGCCGTCCAAGAACATCATGACGGGCTCGGAGACCTCTTTATAACAATTTGCGTTTTGCGGATTTGGGGGGATTGGAAAAATGGAAGTAGCTCGCAAGTTTGCCCGGCGTCACAGGGAGTCTTTCGACGCAGTATTCTGGGTCGTGGCGGATGAGATTGCAAAGCTTGACCACCAATTCCAACAAATCTCCTTAGCCTTGGGGCTTGAAATCTCGTCTGAGTGTAAGAGCCAGGCGGTAAACAGAGAATTTGTGAAAGGATGGCTCTCTAATTCTAGAAAGGATTTATCAGCACCAGACGAACTTATGCAGCCTGGCCAAACTGGACCAGAAACGACATGGCTTCTCATATTCGACAATGCAGACGACCCAGTGATTCTGGCCGACTACTGGCCTCAAGGTAGCGGATCCATCCTGATCACCAGCCGTGACCCATTGGCGAAGAGCATGTTTACGAGAAGACCTCTGGGTCTGAATCTTGCTCCTCTGTCAAAACAAGACAGCTTAACCCTCTTCAGCCACCTGACTAGCGTTTCTAACGAGCCAGATTGCGACACGGCACGAAAAGTTACTGATGTACTTGGTGGAGTTCCTTTAGCCATCTCTCAGATGGCTGTCGGCAAGATCTTACCCTGTCTGAATTCTTGGAGCTGTATGCAGATCATGAAGAACATGCTAGCCTTTATGAGACAAAGTTCGATACCAACTTGATCACATATCGCCACTCTCTCTCAACTGTTTGGCCATTTGAGAAGCTGAAACCTCCAGCTCGACAATTGTTGGAATTGATTTCATTTCTCGATCCAGACGTCATTGGAGAAGACCTATTGACGGCGGCATCCATTAAACTGTTTTCAGATGGCGTAGAGTTCAAGCAGAGCAATTATATAGAGGCTCGACCAGAACTCTTACAGTCATCCTTGGTCTACCGAGATAAGCAAATGCAGCAGGTATCGGTCCATCGCCTTGTCCAAGATACCATTTTAACAACAATAGACGATGGAAAAAAAATACTAATGTTCGGACAAGTCGCGCGAATTCTTTGGGTGGTTGGCCATCAGCCATGCCCGAACCATCAGAGGATCCAGAGCTTCCCAAACCCAAATCAACTGGTGGTAGATTGCATGTCGCGAGATGACCTGTGTGCGCATCGATTGACCCTCACGTTCTACGGATGCATCAACTTTGGTCAAGAATTCCCAAGATTTCTGATGCCACCAATTTCTTTTTTTGCAAAACTACTAAGTGAAGCTGCATGGTTCGTGAAACTCTCTTATGTTGAGTTTCCTCTTTCTCCCACTGCGTAGCTAATAATACCATTACCAGGTATCAACAAAAGCCTGGACGGACGAAACATTTTGACGGCTTCTTTGACACAGCGTTGAGTATCTGCGAGTCATCATCACACGCAGACCAAGAAGCCCTTACTTGCGGATATTCATTTTTGCCTAGGAGCCATTGCCATGGATTCGAGCGACTTCGATGCAAGTCACGATCATAAGGAACATTCCCTCGAGCTAGTGTCCAAGATTTGCAAAGAACTGGATGCGTGAAATGCCTAGCTCTGCATAAGCGAGATAGAGTCGCTCATCCGCAGCTCCCAGGATAAACGATACGAAGAAGGCGAAGCTCATCTCAAGAAGGCCTTACGCATACGCAAAGCTCTTGGCAACTACATTCCTCGATCAGGCGAGGCTAATCTCAGCTGGTCTCTGGTTGCGCAGGGCAAGCTTGAAGAGTGTAACACCCTTCTTTGGGATAGCCTGGCGGGCAGAGGAAAGGCCTTGGGCAAAGATGACAGGGAACCTGTGCGAACGGGGCTGATTCTTTACTCACTTGGTAACCTCCGTGCTGCGCAAGATAAATGGGACGAAAGCTTCGAATACCACCAGAGAGCATTGCGTCACATGCTTGCTACAGTGGGAGAGAAAGACTTTTACACAGCCCAGTCTCCAACAAGGTTATCGAGCACTTCATTCGCTTGCATCGAAACGAAGAAGCCATGTAAGTATATTCCCCTGGAGCCCTCAAGAAGGAGTTGTAAGGCTTTTGGTCTTCTGGCGACCACTAGAGCAATGATCAACGGAGCGATAGATATTTGGTCAGTAGATCCGGCTGTTCACAAGAACGAAATTGCACGCACGACTTTTCCAAGGGCAAATTGTTTGAAGCAACAGGCAAGGCTCAAAAGGCTTCCATTGCTCTTAGGGTTGCGTGTCGCTTGAGGAAAGAGATTACCAAGGAGGACCAAGATTCGAAGACTTTAACAATGAATGATTTTGACGAGATTGTTGCATTCTGGGCTCGCTGATAGCTTGCATGGAAAGCATAATGTGCTTGATGACTCTTGTATCACTAGTTAGTGATCCTAATCGGCAGCTTCTATATATAATTTGAGCTAAATTATCACGATCTCGCGGTACTGTGCACCACTCAACCAGTCAATTCCATATCTTGACTCAAATTGCTCTGTTAGCTGAATAATACCGACGCGTTGGTAAGCACTCAGCTTCCCCTTCCGCTGGGGCGTCTTTGACAACACAAGACATACCCTTGGAAAGAGTGCAAAGATGAAGAGGTTTCTTGGCTTGCCCCTTACCTCATCCTCAAGAATATAATCTGCTGAAAACGGTAATCTTATGGACGGTACTTTGCACGAAGAAGCTGAAGAAAGCTCTATCTCAAGTTCAAATGTGGCCATGTCCATAGATGGCAGGGAGTGTTGATCGACGAACAGGCGAGCCGGGCGCAGAAGACCCAAAACAGCCAAAACGGCAGAAGAAATCTCGCCATAGTAGTTCTTTCCCTTGGCCGTAACCTGAAGAGATCGAATAATTGGCCGTCTGTAAGATGACTCGCCCCGGTGACGACCGGTATTATGGACGAAACTCTGTCTAGGTAAAAGCCAAAGGTCCTCTAAGTTGAAATACCGAACCCCTGTATTCACAGATACCCAGGACCAGGAAGGGCCTATATATTCCTGAGAGCGATAACCTGAGGTTCTGTCAGCTCTCCAAGCCAGATCAAGAAATAGGGATGATCTCCATAGCCCCGCATGATAAGCGCCGAGGAAAGGAGCCATGCGATGTGCAAGGCCTGATAGCGCTGGGAGGCGATCAGTTCGTTTCGTCAAATTCAGCTTAGAATAGTGCTCAACAATGTCATGCCACTGTTTGATGGGCACAAATGCTTCTTTTACTCTGTGGTTGTGAGCGTTTAAGGCAAGTTCCCTTGATGCTCCAATTCTCCGCTCTCGGCTCTCAAGTTGATCATCGACCTCGTCAAAGTCAGGGTCGATTCTTCCAATTGACTGCCGCTCATTCACCCGTGATATGACAGATTGTATAGCATCCTCTCTGCGTGAGCGTCCACTTTCATCTTCGGGCTGTAAATTGCTGACTTTTAGCTCTGTCGCAATCGCGAACAGTGATTTTAGAGTCAGAGTGTTCGATAACCCGCCGCATTCGCAAATTGTGTGTTCACAACATTCCCAAATCATCTCTTGTAGACAGAAGTGAAGGACTCTTGGAGACAGCACTCGTTCCTGAAATACCCAGGCTCTGGAGAGCAGTGGGTTGTCCTTTGTTGGTATCGCCGTCGGATTGGTGGCCCAATGCGAATGCTTACGGCGAACTTTGAGCCTGTAGGTGTCTCGAGTCGAGTCTGTAACTTCCAATGAGTGCTCGACATATTCAGCTGACTGGCTTGAGAAGCACCCAGCCGAGTTGCAATCAGACCAAGTTGCAGCCAGCGTGAGATACGAAAGATGGTAAATGTCAGCCATCTTTGCGGATTGTATCTCCCAATCCCTTGGATCGTCTTGAACAATGCAAAGCGCGTCAATCCAGAGGTAGGATATATCGAGCTCCAAGCAGAATCGAACAGCGTCCTGGAACGTTTTAGGAAGCTCGTTCCACGATATGTCTTTTATTCTGCCACCTAGATTCGCGATTGTGGTGACAAAATTGTGGTTCAAGCCCCAACGGTGGCTCAAAGTAGCGTATTTACCTAATGTTTTCTTTGGTTCGGTAACACAGACCGTGATCTTGCCTTCAAGGGAAGCTTTGAATGAGAGAATCCTGTCAGGCAAGGGAGAGAGCTCTAGAGAGTGACAGATGTGATCATTGCTACACTCCTGCATTTTTGTCTTTACCCACTCTATTGCTTGCTTGGATAAGGGGTAGCCACTAGGGGTCGGTCTTGGCCAGATTGCTTTCCATAGCATCGGGTCCGGGCCTAGATTCTCAGTGAGCATAATGTGTCATAAAATGATTTAAGCTGCCCTTACAAGCTATATCGCTGAAAATCTCCAACACGAGCCTCGGCTTTTCCTTGAGGAAGTAGATCTCTAGGAAGAGTGTATCTCCAGAGAAGGCATAAGCATTGATAGCAGAGGTATCCACTGTAAACGACCAAGTCTCATCTTGCATGAGAAGAATTCCTTGTAACATAATGGAACAGAATCGGCATTTTTTGGCAAGTGCTGCATGCTCTAAGTCGTTTGATGTAAATTCGATGGCAAGCCTCATCCCTGATCTCTTCTGTTTGAGATCGTTGCAAACTTCACAGTTCGACATTTCATTCTAAAGGGCCTGGAAGCAGAGAAGGATAGCAATAACGAAAAACTGCGAGCGCTGCTATGATTGAAGCCTGCGATTGAGTATCTTTTCCTTCTTGTTGAGCTTGGCCCGTGCCAAATATTCCAGTCTTCTGGTCAGGCTTCTGCCTGGATTGTACGCCTTGCCTACATTTATCACGTGGGCACCAGACCTTTGTGTGGTTTGATCTAGCCTGATAGATCCAGATGGGCTCGCTCCTACCGGGCCGCAATGGTACAGAGTACATGTACATGTTCTTCTAGGCGCTGAACCACGTAACTTTGCACAACAGACAAGGCTTGAGAAGTGAGCAACTTGGACGCCGTTTAAAAAGACTCTGAAAGAGTGATAAATCGGAGGAATCTCAGCAACGCTCTGGGGATTCCGTCAAAGTCCAAAGGTGTTCTTACTATCAAAATGTCTAATAGAGGATGGAATACGATCTTCAAGTGCTCTGCGCAGAGACATACCACCAGTAGCGGAAACTTACAAGAGAGCGGGAGAAAAATAGAGGCAGACTTACTGTATTTGTAGCTTTAGAGGAGCAAACACTGCAGGGGTAGAACACTCATTTATCTTAACTAAGACTCTCACGAAGAATCATGCCATATTTGTAATGGCGTGCCGTATGATTCAAGCTGCCAGCACATCATTCCAAGCCAATTTGCATGTAGTCTTGAAGATATGAGTTCGCCTCTCTCATTTGCTTCGACAGGGTAGGAGAAGAAAGGCTGTATGGATAAGGAGCAACTGGCTACGACGAAGAGAAGGAAGGAGCGACTGAGAAACTCTTCCAGAACGTTTTTAGCCATACCTGCTAATAGGTCTAAAAATACCGAAATCATCGAATTCTCTACCACGAAGGAGCGCATCAACTCTATAACCAAGTCAACAGAGTCATGGCAGCCAGATCAACCCTTCCCCCGCACAGGAGTTGCTGCTTTGCGGCTTGGCGAGAACCCTGTGTCAGTGCGTCGCAAGAGGTCTGTGTCAAACTCACAAGGGGCTGAGATCTCAAATGCCTTGCCCCAGGGCACGGACCGCAATCCTTCCACGACGTGCTGCACGCTGTCACGGTGAGATGACGACAGTTTACCTGTGAAGAAGCTGACACAGACCTCAGACCGGATGCCTGGATGCAAGGTAACCGTTGTTACTGCCGGGCCCTGGCTGACTTACCATGTCAAATCAGCGAAGGCATCTGGATTGCTCCAAACAGAGTGCGGAGAACCTAGTCGTGGGATAGTATTGGATGTTGTTGAAAGTGAAGCAACAGACACGGCCGCAGCCTGTTCAGCGGAAGAGACGGCGGAAGAGACGGCGGAAGAGTCGGCAGGGATGTGCCATGTCAATCTTAGAGTGATTGAAAATGATATCTCACACTCCTCTTTTGCAAATTTTCTAGTCGCTGTCAATATTCTTGAGAGACTGCTGAATTGTTCTGGATCCATTAGGTATATCGCCGTGAACAAGGCGCACGGCCATGTTGCTACCCTGAACGACTTCGCGGTTCTCAAAGATGCGAAGGGGCACGGCCGAGCTACTCGAGTTGATAGAGCTTGAGCCAGGAATAGCCTCTACTTAAGGAGTATATTCATCTCAATCCATTCAATTATCTGACATATAATCACACAATTCTAGCTTACAATGATCTATGATCAGAAGGCCGGGAAGGGCTATCTAACAAGAATCTGTCAGTCAGGTTTTCGCAGGTGAATACCTAGTCCTTAGAGCTGTTTGCATTTTCAAGTCTATATTAATGAATAAAACCGTTCTAACGAAATATATTACGGATTCAAATAACAATATGACTATCCATCACCTGTCTCCAGATTCTAGTCCAGCCCCATTCAAATGCGATTTCATCTAGGCGTTAAGATGGCTAAACTTTCGTCGACTTGCACTTTAGGAACCTATTGCGCTCGGAGTTACTGGCTGGAAAGAGTATACTATTCGCCACTTTCAGAAAGAAAGGGCATGGAAGAGTACATCGTATAACAAGCCGAATCTCCCGACTCAAATGCCGGAACCATTTAGTTTTCCATCATAAATCATTAGCAAAGCTAGGTTGAAGTAGCCAAGATGACTGCTTCTTCTCAAAATGGGCTACATGTGCATGGGAGCTGCTATTCAAGGCTTGGCGTTATCAAACGTGGGAGCCAACGGGCCGTTAAAAGGCCACAAGGGTTGGTGTGCAGGGAAGCGGAGGATCAAAAACCAGGGCTCGCAAAGCCATTATGTGCGTACAAAACCGTAACATGAACGTCTACTATACCTATCGGTCCCTTGACACTGTATGTACATAATCACGACGTGTGTGCTCGAAATTCTCGCATTCCCCGTTTTTCTATCCCACGCTTGGCAGGGATTAGCTAGCAATCAGTGCGAGCCCTTCGTGCTGATTACCTGTCAGACTCTAAACATACACCTAACTCACGGCGCGTCAGTAATGATCGGTATCGCCACAGGCACTAGGTAGTTGTAGCCAGGTACAAAGCGCAATACGCCCGTCTGTATGTACTCTTTCTTCTTAAGCGAAGCAGCTTAGAAAGCGCTGAGTCCGGATCTAAGCACTAATCATGTTCAAGGTGCTATCTATCATGTGATGTTCAGTTCAATACGGGAATGTAACATTAGCTGATCCAAAAAGTGCTGCACAAGGACCAGGAGCCTTGTATCTTTGTGTTGATTACAACGCAAGGATGCAACACTATATGCTCCATGTACAGAAGTAAACGCCACCATGGCGACGTACAGTATACAGACTGAAGGTAAAAACTCCGTGCTGATCCACAAGCTGATCCTGGCAGGGTAATTTAGCGAGGTAGACCGATGGATAGATCTTTTGGCGTGGCCCATGGGTTGACACACCTAGACTGATGGTTTTACATATCGGATTCCAAATAAACGTCTCTATGACTCTTTGCGCTTTCTTTCACTCTTTGACGCAGGGAGACAAGGTTCTTATTAGCTTGATTCGAATGTTGGACTAATTGCTAGTTATACTCTAGGCAATTACTTCGTACTCTCTCTCATACTCTGACCCCTTGGAGATTGTCTTTTACTTGAGAAATATTTTACAGATTTGCCAATGAGACGAATCTATGTATAATGAGCTCGCTCATTATATCGGCGCAAAAGGTAGCTGATATCCTTGCAGATGTGGCCCAGGGATTGATCACCATCCTCTTTCGGTCAATATCCGGGTTACACTGATGATCAGGCACAACCTAGGAAATATTGTGACATCATTTGCAAATTGATTCATCCAATATTTCAGCGCCACGTGCGTGAAGAGCTTCAAAAATGATCTTGCAATGGGCAAGTAATTGAGAGGCATAGAGATGGCTAAGGAATCTGGACATCTTCACTTGGAGTTTCATTTCTCAAGCGGCACTTGACACCGTTGTATATGTACTTCCACTATCAAATATCTGTACCTGTGTGGGATTGTATGATCTTGAACGGTTATAAGATTCTATAGTCGATGAGCGTGTAATATAATGCTTATGCTGATAAAATTCTCCTGGCCAGCGCCATTAGCTTGAGGAACGAACAATTACAGCTTGCTCGCCACATTATGTATCGACTTTTGAAATGAGCACATTGGAGTGAATCGAGTTTCATTGTATGTAGTTGTTAAGCAGATGTGGTCAACAGACCTGCGTGGGTATTTACGAATTAAAATTAGGAAATATATACATTGGGTATCATTTTGTGTGCCATTATTTTGCTTCGATTTCATGCTGGACATAAATCACGCCCCGCGTGTCTGTCATAGCTTTGACTGCCGTCCCAGATTCGATTTTCGTAGTTACGGACGCGAGCTCCATTCCGTTCATCTGGTTAAACCCGTTATCGAAACCATCTTCAATCTGGCTGTAATGCTTTTTGCTGTGAAGGCCAGTCTTACTGTCAACTTTGGATGCGTTTCCACTCTGGCTGCGAGTAACTCGATCGGATGGGCTCGTTAATTTGGTGAGGACCGGCTTGACATAGCTTTTGAGAAGTGGTCCAAGGGTGGGAATACAGGCAGCAATTACTCCGAGCCATAATTCGAGAAGACTGATCAATCCAATGTCGTAGAGGTTGAAGACAAAGTCGGTGTCGTGGAGAGTCGCAATGGTGAATTGTAGTCGCCACGCCATAACACCAATAGTGCTGGTATAAGTTAGTCACTGTCACTTGTACGCAAATGCCAACATTTCTCAATGATCTTTTATAAAAATGTCAAAGGGCAATGAAGAGAAGACCAGGGGAAATGCTCACATGAGACCAATGCTAAACATGACGGAGACCACCAATTTCGATCGCGTCGCCAGTTGTAGTTTCCAGAGGACCGGCAGAGGTAGAAAAACGATTATAATGTCGATAACCATGTTTAGCGACACCGAGGTCAGCTCTTGAATAACGAGATCGCGACACGATCCTCCCGGATGTGGGTTCCATTGCTGATCGATCGGTTTACACTGAGTCATGAAGAGGACGAAAAAAGCGATGCCGTAACAGCTAACAACTCCCATCATGATATGCGCCTGTCGCTTGAACTCTTTCGTGCTGAAGACTCTTGTATACAGCCAGAGGACCGAAAACTTGATGAAGACTGTACCGAGAAGCCATGTTACTCCACTCGCGAGGATAAGCTAGTCGGCGCCCTTTAGTTTGTGATGCAAACTCCAAGGAGGTGTCCGCGCTGTGTGGCGGAAAGATGTTCGTAGAAGCGTACCTTGAACTGGACTCCGAACTCGTAGGGATTGAGCTCGCCCGTGTGCTTGCCTAGCCCATTGAAGATGGCCCAAATGACAACTCCTTCCAATGCGATGGTGTTGGCCTGTTGGACACAAAGGATTGACATTAGCATTGCATACCAGTTATTGATATAGTCACACTCGTAGACTTCCAATCGAACGAGTAGGAATAGTAAAATAAAGTGTACTTACAAGAGCAAACACAATCATAGCATCGTCTGGAAATATTCTGCGCCTAGAAATCGCCGCCGCCCAGAAACGCAGCGATATGATGATTACGCAGACCACTGTAAACACACACAGCCATATCAAGAGGTCGATGCCTCTCTTGCCCGCGGACATCTTCACGGCTGGCTTCGCGTGGCGCTGTGGATGCGATGAGGTGGCTTTGTTGGTTGGTTTTGAGGGGTCAAAGAAGCGTTGGCCGGGTTCATTCCTCGTGGCCCAACACCTTCGCATATATGTAGTATCCTGATCCTGACTGCAGGACAAAGAACCATGCTCCGCATATCTGCAAACGGCGCACGAGCGCCTGGGGCGATGCAACCACAGATGCCTATCAGTTCTGGCATTCAGTTGAGTATAGGTCTCATGGGTCATGGATGGTGTGGAGATGGAGGGGTGGCAATCCCGTTGCACCATGGCTATGCACGTACCTCTCAGACTCCGTGGTGGTGTGGCGCGGGCATGAGGTTGTAAATTGAACGCTGCTCAGAATAGAGTACTCTTTATCCGTTTACCACCTAGCAGTACTCGTAGCGTGCCTACTTTGCAACGGTATGCGGCAAGTATCCCTAGTAAGACGGGTGATAGACAGATACCCTGTCGCGCTCTGGTTCTCCACGCAAGACAAAGGGCAGGCATCCTAAAACGGGAAGTCCGTGTGCTATCAGCTCTGGGTGATTGGCGTAGACGCAAAATGCCGTCTCTTCGCGCACTGATCCTTCCTCCAAGTAGCAGTAGGAACACTTTGTCCTGCTAGTGGCAGCTTACACGGCAGAGAGCGCATCTCCACCGACCCGGAGACGACGCAAATACTTAAGAGCCCATCCTGGACGGGACGCCGATTCTCCCCTGGTTTCTGGTAGACTGGAAAAAGAAAAAGCCACGAGTTGTTCCTAGCAGCTCGTAAGCCGGCCATCATATCAGCCCTTTTGCAAGCATTGATCCGAACTTGCCACGAGGCCCACAGGGTATAATCGACTTCACTTCACTTCAGCCATCATGCAGCCTCCATTGCCCTCTGCGACGCCGACTTGGCGCAATGATACATATGCGGCTATTTCGCCCTTGAAGCCTGAGCTCAGCGCTTCCGGCAAAACCGTTGTCATCACCGGCGCAGTAAGTCAAGTCTGAGCTCTCTGTTTCACCCCAGCCACCACGTCCTACAGTACGGCACCTGTTGCCATTCTTGCCATTCAGCAGGCATGCAGCAACCAGATGACGATCCTCCCCCACTTCGCTACACGCATGTCAGCCAAGGGCCCCGTACTTGGTGCTAGAATGGTGCCATTGCTGGGGGCCAAAATCCTTCCACCCTGTAACTAGCTCCGTGTATGCTAAGCTTTTGCGTCTGAAAGGGAACCGGTATTGGACGAGAAACCGCCGTGGCATTTGCAGCTGCCGGAGCTGCGCACGTTGCTTTGCTCGGACGAAACAGCGACTCGCTCAAGCAGACAGCCTCTGCGCTGCCCTCTTCTGTCTCGAGTTCGTCCCATGTGGTCGACGTCACACAGGAGGATGCTTTGGCTCAGGTGGCCAAGGCAATTGGCAAATGGGACGTGCTTGTCCTAGGCGCCGGCTATGTATCATCGCCGTCTACTATCGCTGCCTCGGACTTTAAAGAGTTTTGGCAGAGCTTCGAGGTAATCTTGTTATGCTCGGTTCCTTCGTATAATTTTTTGTATACTAACTGCTTTCTTTTTCCCTTCCCTCTTAATCAGACTAACACAAAGGGAACATATGCATCGCTCCATGCCTTTTTGCCCACGGCCAACGCTGCCCATGCGTCGGTTGTGGCGCTGACCACGGGCACCACGGCCCTCCCAGCGTCCATGGTGCCGGGCCTATCCGCCTACATGTCTTCGAAACTCGCACAGACGAAGCTTATCGAGTTCCTGGCTCTCGAACACCCCAATCTATTTGCTGCGACCCTGCATCCGGGAATGGTCGAGACTGGAGTCTTTACTAAGAGCGGTGCTTCGGCAGACAGCCTGCCGATGGATAAAGGTGCGTGACAAGATTCCGTTGCTTTTTTCTTTTTCTTTTTGTTTCACGGGAGTTTCGAGACATGCAGTCTAGAACACACATCTAACGCTATGATGCTGGCAGTTCAACTTCCGGCGCATTTTGCTGTCTGGCTGACAAGCCCTGAAGGGTCCTTCCTAAACGGTAAGTCGGTCTGGGCGAACTGGGATGTAGATGAGCTCAAGGCAAAGAAAGACGCTATTCAACAGAGCCAGCTCTATACTGCTGGTATCAACGGCTGGCCATTTGCTCCATAGAGGGTTGTTAACTAGACATGCACTAGCAATAATTGGAACTATTGTTCAATCGTTAACTGTAGTCCAAACGGTAGTGATGTACTGCACAAGCTACAGATTTGGAAAGAGTTGCAGAGGTGATTATAGAATTGATTGCAAGACTCAGTGGTATCTTCTCATAACTAAACTGTATACTAGTGAAATTGGATAAGCCCGTTTGGTGCTATGTAGTGCTAGTTCTAATCTCAAATTGTAATTTCAAGATGCCTGGGTTAGATGTAAATTGATCTTTCACCGTTTCCAGGGCGCTCAGGCTATTATCCCCTGGTGCAGGCCGGAATCGATAGTTCTTCAAGATCCTTGCCAACACGAACTTCATAGTGTCCAAAGCCAGGGTTTTCCCAAGGCAACTGTGGTGGCCAGTGCCAAACGGTGCATAGGCCGCCGGGTTAAGAACCAATTCGGGACGAGTGGTCCAGCGCTCAGGGATGAACTCCGAGGCCTGCTCAAAACAGTCCTCGACTGGTAACTCATTTGTTAGTGCAGGCTCTCCTAAATTTTCTCCGTGGAAAGATGCAACTTACGTCTTCCAATCGTATATCGGGGAGCAACGATGGTGGTGTGAGGAGGGATAAACCTTCCACCGATGGTAAGGCCGGTGTCAGAAGTCTTTCGGTTGCCGCCTGTTAGAAGCGCGGGATGCAGACGTAGTGATTCTTTGATGACGGCATTGAGATGCGGAAGGGTGACAAGGGTCTTGAGATCTAAGGCATCTACATCCTTAAGTTCTTCGTAGATCTGATCTGTGTGCTCTGGGTGTTTGCCGAGCTCACAGAGTACGGCAATTAGAGCAACTGCAGTGGGCTCACTAGACCATTTCATGTTATTAAAGCTTCTTATCAGACTTGTGCGCCTTGGATGTATCTCACCTTCCAGCCACAATGGCTAGTAAGCTATCTCCTGCTGCCCAAAGAAACTTTTCGCTTTCGAAAGCATCTCGGCCTTCGGCGTCTTTCTCCATCAGGTAGTACGCCAGATCTTGCGACTGGTTAGAGCTGCCATTTATAAGTCTGTCCCTCATTTGTGACTGGCACCATGCTATGATGTCAAACCAGTCTTTCAGGACACTGACCCGCGGAGCAAGGTCGAAAGCGATATGTACGAGCCATGGCAATGGAGTCATTGGGCCCAACAGAGAAAGAGCACGCTGTAAGCGAACAATGATGTGGTGCCATTTCTGGGTCTCTAGCATGCCAAAGGATTTGCTGAAAACAAACTCGCCCATGATGTCAAAGCCGAACCAGAGGAGAAGGTTTCGCATGTCTGTTATCTTCCCCGATTTGGCATCTGCCTCGATGCACTGGTCAAGCTTATCGACATACTTGAGGATTTTGGCTTCATGCTCCAAAAGCGCTAAAAAGAATATTGGTATAAATGACGCAATAGAAGTTAAGTATTGAGAAAACGAACCTTTTGTTGTGAAACCGCTGTTCCATTCGCGGCGACGTGCCGCATGTAGTGGTTTATACCGCGTTGTGACAAGCGACATGCTCGGATGTATAATGTCATACCATTCCGCCTTAGCACATTCAGAGCGTGGCCCATCAACTGCCATGAAGACGTCTGGATGGAAAACCGTGATCTCGGCTGGGCCTAGATAGTGGCTAGTTTAGTAGTCCACTCTATATTCTTCATCTCGTTCGGCGATTCATACCTGTCCTCACAAATGCGCCATACTTTTTGTGTAGCTCGTCAAGCACAAGGTGGTTTTTCGAGTTTCTGGCTGCCCAAACATGCCATATTTTGGAAACTTTTGCATACCAAGGCCCCGGATAGCCAGCTGTGGTCAACGGATGTAAAATAGTTCGGTACACCAGAATGCTAGTCACTAGGCCTGCTAGGTATCCATAGGCCCAAGTTGTGATTCCGTGGAAAATATCTCCCGCCAGAGAGGCTTGCAAAATATTCGCTAATATAGGAGATGCGATATATAGAGCACAAAATTGAAGGAATATGTGAGGGGCTTGGAGGTGCCATTCACTCTTGATGAAGATGGTGACATGAATAACGACGCCCGATAAAATGCCCACGGCAATGAGAAGAGCTTCTCTGTGGGCGCGACAGAGTTCAAGTGCTTCCATTATGGTTATGGATTGACAGTCACTCAATTATCATGATTATCGAAGGTCTATCTGGGCAAATGCAAAGAGTATGAAAAGGCAGGTGTATTTTATGACCCAAAATTTTGCTCGATGCCCAGGTACTAGGTGTCGGCATAGCCCGAATTCTCAAAGGAGGTGTGTGTGAGTAGTACATGTATGACCAGGTACCTAGTACTACTGCCTGTATCTGAACGGAGAATATTCATCCTATAGACGAGCCGACCTTCTATCTACGGCAATCCGGTAGGCTAATCCTTTAGCTTGGATTTACCCTTTAGACTGGAATATGGTCTGTACCAAAAGTCGAAAGTGCCAGTACTAAATCATTCTGACAGCGTGCCTGATACTATACAACGGCCCGTAGCCGCGGCCGCTCTTTGTTCTCCACACGGCCATGAATTAGCACACAGCGGCTAATTATCTTTCTTTCTGTGATAAGCTGACTAAAGCTAAGCGAGAAGCTACTGCAGTACTTGTTGCTAATTCTAGGCCTCTTCAAAGGCAGTTGCTTTTCTGTAGAGAAAAACATGGCTGATAGACCACAGATGAGATATGCAGTTGGCAATTGACAACCAACATGATCTTTAGTTGTGTTAGCCTATTTAGGTACTGGTTGTTGCAGAAACTCGGCTAGTATTAGCTAACTTCACAGCCTCGCTTGGTGAACGCCGAGGCCGCTCTGACACTTTTTGTTGTTTACTCATAACTTAGTGAGCGTGTTGGTCCTTCTGTCGGCCATACCAGTGGATCCTGCCGATATGAGAAGTCGCTAGAAAGCTGCGTGTTGGTAATGCGCGTAGCCACAGAGTCGTAGCGCTTGTGCTTGTGGTGTGACAGGAAATGACACGGCATATGGTAGGCTGACAGCATGAGGATAGTGCTAAAAAGTGCCGGCGGAAGTTTAGGAATCCGAGTTGTAGATCTTTGTGATATTGACCCATCTCATAAACGCCAAATACTAAAAGTAGAATACTGCGGAGTTCAGCATCTTGAGAACTGCCAAGTTGAGCCATGCTTTGCGAATGATCTACGGGGCACGGTCAGAGCGTCTCTCGATGTGGCTAGTATCTATAGCCTTGCAAGGTTCATTCAGACTCCGCAGATACATATGGACCCCATGCAGACGCTATGGCCAAAGCCCACGCAATATGACAGAATATCGATACGCCAGACGCACGGCCAATCATGGACGCGAGCTAGGCCTCGTTGACGCAATTTGTAAGGAAATATGCCGCTGGCCTTGCGAGATGCGCTTCCCCTGTCGTACATACCTGCTAGCATGTAACCATACAAGTTCGTCGATCAGACGAAGTTGCATGCGGCTATCAATTCACTTTACAAATACTTGGAAAGTTTATGATTGTTGGTCATACTTGGAGGTGGGAGCGAGGGCTGTGTTGGTGCGGCTACCAGGATCATAGCCTGCAGGATCATGCAACCATTTCTTGGGCGGCGGAGGTGAGCTATTCGCGATACTAGCTGCAGAATAGATCAGACGACGGAGCAAGGCCGAGCTTTTTCTCCTCGCAGTATCATCACCGCAGTTACTCCGCCAACATCCGCTCGAGTTGGACGTAAAGAGCAACCTGTTAGCTCCGTGAAAGCCGCAGCTCGAAATAGATATCTGTAGAAGTTGTTATTTCATCTTCAAACTTCCTGGCCGGCACGAATCACTTTCTGAATCATCTTAGACAAACACCTACTCATTCTATCCCAACCAACCAAAATGTCCAGCTACGACTACATCATTGTTGGTGGCGGAACTGCAGGCTTAGTGCTCGCAGCGCGTCTCACTGAAGACTCTTCAAAGCGGGTCCTCGTCCTGGAGGCAGGCGAGGATCTTACCGCGGATGCACGTCTGTCGGTTCCCGCTATGTGGCCAACGCTGCTGAATACAGACGCAGACTGGAAGTTCAAGACAATCCCTCAGGTAGGAGATGAGCAGCCACTGGTAACTTGGTATTCGCTGCTGACCGGAATCACATCAGGCTGGCTTCAACAATCGTGAAATTGCCTTCCCACAGGGTCGGCTCCTTGGTGGTTCAAGCGCTCTCAACGGCCTCTCGTTTACACTCTCCACCCGGGCCAATGTAGACGCCTGGGCCAAGCTTGGGAACCCCGGCTGGGACTGGGCCAGCTTTTCCAAGTCACAGGCTAAATCATACACCTTGACCTCCGGGCCTGCTGCAGGTACAAGTGGCTCTGGGCCACTCCAGCTGAGCTTCCCAAAGGATACCGACAATCAATGGCCCAAGATCTGGCAGCAGACCATAGCCGCCCTGGGATTCAGCAAGGACGGTAATCCCTACACCGACCAGGTCAGCGGGCCAATATTTGTTGCCGATGCTATTCATCCGGCCACAAAGACAAGGAGTTACGCTGGAAATGCGTATCTGGAGCCTGCTCGTGGCCGAAAGAACCTTACCATTGTGACCAAAGCGGCCGTTGAGAAAATCATATTCACCAAAAACGGCGATGCTGTCGCAGCAGAGGGCGTCAAGTATACCAAGGATGGTGCCGATCTTACTGCTACCGGCACGGAGATTATCCTTACAGCGGGAACAATCAACACTCCCAAGATTCTTGAACTGTCTGGGGTCGGGGATGCACGCCTCTTGACGAAACTGGGCATTGACGTTGTCATTGACAACCCCAACGTTGGAGAGAACTTGCAGAACCACCCGCTATGCGGTCTTAGTTTCCAGGCCCTTGATAGCGAGGAGACAATGGACGGCCTTGCACGCCAAGATCCGACGGCTCTTCAAGCTGCCATGGCCGCTTATGGGCAGCAACTCGGACCGTTTGCAAGAAGCGGCACCAATGCCGCAGCTCAACTCCCGTTCCCGGGCATTCAGTCCGCCCAGGGCAAGGCTGAAGTTGAGGAACTCATTGCAAAGTACATTGCCCCTGGCAGCGGCGGAGACACTCCCTTCGCGGAAGCCCAAGCCGACTTTGTGCGCTCGGTTCTCACATCCACTGAGGAGCCCTCTGGCTACTTCATGTCGTTCCCTGGCTATGCGTCGTTCAACCAAGACGGAACAATGGCACCTCCTCCACCGGGAACTGACAAGTATTTCTCCATTGCCTTAATGCTGACGCACCCACTTTCACGCGGATCCGTCCATATCAAGTCTGCTTCGCCGACATCGACTGAGCTAGACATTGATCCTCGGTACTTTTCTCATCCGTTGGATATCGAGGTTCTTGCGCGGCATCTCCGCTTCATTGAGTCCATCGCCAAAGCCGAGCCGTTGGTCAGCCACCTCCAAGTAGGTGGGAAGCGAAACACGGCGGCAGAATCCGCCGGAAACTTTTTGGCCGCGGAGACCGGCCTCGAACAAGCGAAGGATTACCTGCGTCAAACGGCAGTGGGCGCGCACCACTTCACTGGAACCTGCTCCATGATGGCTAAAGAGCTTGGGGGCGTGGTGGATTCCAAGCTCCGACTCTATGGATGCCCCAACCTGCGCATTGCCGACGCCAGCATCATCCCGCTGACGCCAAAGGCAAATCCTCAAGCGACTGTGTATGGTGTGGCTGAGCATGCTGCGAGCATTATCAAGGGTGAAGTCTAGAGCACAGGTGCTATAGTAGTCTGTATGTAGGGCTAAAGAAGAAGAGCCGGTAGATCCGGCAAATAAAAGATGATCTGAACAAAATACATTTTCCGTATGATAGGTCGTACCTACTACTGCTTCATGTCACATATTAGCTTGAGTTCTGCTTGCCGTTTTGATCTGAGAGTGCATCATTCGTAACCCACTGCTATAGGCGCGCGAGCCGCTTAGAGAAGCTTCCTGAGAGTATCCATGAAAACCCCCCGGAGCACCCCTGTCAATAATTAATAGTAGTACCGAGCACCAGGATATGGTACCAGATAAGAATGCCTTTGCACAGGGCTCCGCTCTAAACGCCGCCAGTCACACCAGACTGGGCAAGGGACGGCACGGTACTCTCCCGCCAATTGCTAGTGGTGCAAGTGGTGTTAGTCCAAGCACAAGTGTGTGTGCTAGTGGCAGCTTACTTCGGACGGAGGATCATCTGTCATGATGTTGGATGAGCACCTAGTGCCGGTATCGTGGGTCGTATAGCGTATCTTGCCAAAATAGACCAGTACATGGAACAGTACCGTTGACCTGTTTAGTAGATAGTTCACAGCGCAAACTATATCAAAATTGACAAAGTGCCTGGCTAGATTTGCACGATGCTGTCACTTTTGCCTAATTCAGTATAGAAAATAAGCTCAAGAGGCGTGGGTAGCGGTTGTACGTTATGCGCTTTGTCTTTTGTAGCATTGTCAAGTTGATGAGAGGGTGTGAAGATAGTGGACGAGAGTCTAGCCACTCCACAACGTGTTGCCTCGCCGCCAGAAATAACAGACGAAAATTGGATGATGATATGATTAGATGTGGTGTAAAGTGCTACCGAGAATAGAAGCCTGTGGTGTAAGCATGTTTGAGTAACATAGCCGAGGAAGGGGGCGAGGCCGTCCTGTGACATACTCGAAATATGCCTTGCTCGATGGTAGAAGTATATACTCATAACTCTATCTCTCTCGGATATGTCGTTAATATTTTTTTGTTTTCCTAGTGAACAGAAGTTAGCAGATGAGGTTGTCAAAGACCTTTCAAGCTTTGCCCAGTTTTGACCAAGTTATCAAGACAACGCTCTCAAACACTAGCTCCTTCACAATGGAAAAAGTTCAAGATATCGGGTATCCCAATGGGAGACGGCAACTTACCACTTTCTCTGCAATCTTTTACATTCCGTATCTGATCTGGGAGTTTACAGAAAGTAATTTTCCAACATTCGTTATCCCAAACACGACGTTTGGGATGTTGGGCGCGTTGGCGGCCTCTCACCTTGCTGATGGGCAAGCCCCTTCCCTCTGGCAACTAGCTCAAGCGTTTCCCATAGTCATTGCATTCAACTGGTACAATGTTCTGATCTTCGACCTTGCGAACCAACGATCGGAAGAATCTGTCAAAGAAGACTTGATCAACAAGCCATGGCGACCGATACCATCCGGCAAAGTCACCGGAGAGCAGACCAGACGGTCAATGCTCATCGCAGTTCCAATTGCTCTCGCCCTCAACTACTATCTTGGCGTTTGGAGAGAGGGAGTCTTTATACAGATTCTTACGTGGCTCTACAACGACCTGAAAGGTGGAGACGAGGTCGTCAGAGACCTGATCATCTCCATTGCTTATGGCTTCTTCAACCACGGCTCACTGCAGATTGCGCTCGGGGCACATACGACTGTCAACCAGGGCGGATTGACATGGATAGCCATCATCAGCGGAATGATCCTTACCACCATGCAGGTGCAAGATCTCAAGGACCAGGACGGCGATCGAACACGGGGACGGTTATCCATACCATTGCTGCTGGGCGAGAGGTTCTCGCGCGTCTCTATTGCTGTTTTTGTTGCTCTTTGGTCTTGCGTCTGCCCTTTCTTCTGGGAACTTGAGATTTGGGCTTATACTTTGCCTTTGGCGGTTGGAGGCGCTGTTGCAGCGAACGTGTTGTTGCGACAGACGGTTAAGGCAGATGACCAGTCTTGGAAGATGTGGTGCTTCTGGTCCATGTGTCTCTATTCAATGCCACTGTTTGCTGCATTGTAACTCTCCCGGTGGCAGTTTCAGAACCGGAACCACTGTCAACTATTCAGTTCTCCAGGCTTCCTTACAACTACTTGTGGAATACCTTCCATTTACAACTACGGAGCCCACATTATAACTTTCTCGTCATCCATCAGCTTGTTTCAGGTCGAAAAGTGTATTTTTTAGCAGAAGGAGTTTTGTTTTCGGTTTATTTTCCTTTTCTTTCTTTTGTAACTATGACCTTCACTGGCTTCGATGAAGGCTTTTTTACATATCACTTTGTTAAATTGTACAGATAGTTGTGAGAGTAAAACTATGAGATCTCATTGTTGACTTTGTTGCTTAAACTACTGAGAAATCTGATGTGACTATCCTTTTCACTTAGTAACTGAAATCGGCATAGAAGATCGGGTACTCCGAATGAACGCTCGTATCTACAGGTGCAGTAAGGGTACAAATGGCAGGCAGGCACGAGTATGTAGGTATTCTCGTACCGTACAACGGCCCGGGACGTATTAGGCAAGAGTTATCTGCCAGTTCTTTCTTCTGCATGCTGCAGGTACTTCATATTGCTTGTGTTAAAATCGCTCAGGAGACTTGGTTCGAGACCGCGGAATATGTACTCCGTAATATAGGCCAGGATATAGATAGAGTGCAGCATTAGTGTAAATCCGCGGCCAATACAACAAGGAACGGAAATGCTTTCAATGTATGTCAAACATGGGGGCTGCGCGTCTCCATGCCTTATCTTGGTTGCCTCAAGAAGTAAGTAGCACCAAGGTCACTTGGTACAAACGTAGCTATGCAATGCAACACCAGCTTGGCTTCGTAAGGTTTTCGTAAGTCAACTAGAAGACATAGTACACAACATACAAAGTCAAGATGTGAACCCAGAGAAGCTAGACCAGTCGTCAATCGCCGTCTAAGCGATATGGCTAATAAGAAGCGGATTAAGCTCCAATAAAGCACCCAATGGAAGCCTGTCGCTAATACACGCAGAAGTGGCTGCATGGGCTTTGCACGTAAGCGACTTTCGAATCCAGCCAGTTACCTTCCGGTTAAGGCAGCCTCCCGCGGGCAACGGAGATCCCTACAGGCCGTCTTACCACCCTGGCGTTCTGCAGAGCAAGGGCTGATATCTCACCGTTGTAGCGGCGGGGCGTCATCGTTGCTTGCAGATAGTGCTAACAATGCGCAACTGATTCGCCTGAAAAGCCACCGAGCATAGACGCTAGCAAGTATTACATGCGGTTGGCCAAATGGCTGACATCACACAGCGCAGATTGTCAAAGCGTTCGCAGCAGGCATCCGCATTATCGAAACGAGTGAAGCAGTATCACAAGTTCCCAGCATGGAGCACCTCCTGTATCCGAAGGTATGTACATGCTGCCTTTGCGTACTTGCACATAGGTATGTTGTCAAAGTGCGGGGGTTTCATTCTCATCCAGCCGCTATGAATGCAGTGTTCAATGCTTACAAACTCAAATGGAAAAGCGGTTATATGCTGTGCCTTGGCCCTCCGCTTCCTGAATGCCTTTGCACGAGCAACTTCTAGACGCATTGCTTCTTACACGGGGTCCGTAAAGAGCATTATCTAAGTTTTGTTCAAGAGCAATATGGGTATCAAAGACAATGTGTACAGCTGTAAGCTCATAGGTGAAGTACATGTAGGAGCATCTATGCAGTGCCGCTGACATAACAGCATACTACCCGTATATACACCTAGTCTGTAGCAAAGACATCTTGCCATGGTATCAGAAAGCGTCAGTAAATTGAAGAACCGATAGTCACAAGCTAGCGATGATAGCTTCTAGAAGGCAACAACTAAAAATGCCACTTGGGAATCCTTCCGCCACCACATGAGGCGTAGGCTTGCATTTCACCCCGCAAATTATTTCATCTACGACTAGAGCAGTTAACAGCACTTGGCGATGGATGGATATGTAGCAATGTAAGAAGTCCACTTGCAGTATAATGTTGACTCAAGATATGGCTTGTATGTATTATGGTGGTCCTTGCCCATTCTCTTTGCCAACGTAGTAGTCCATATCAGGCTCTTCTGGAGGAGGGTTTTATTCGCTGATTTCGAGCCTGCTCAGTGCTTTGATAGCATCTAGACAGATTAGATGAATACGTCTACATTTCTAAGATACAACACATGTTTCTTGAACTTATGTAAACCTTCCACCCACTTCTCTGCAATGTTCTGTATCATTCCCTTATCGAGCCTGCACTTTTCACCAATCAACCTGACCCGATTCCTTGCTCCTGTGGATCGTACTGCAACCCATCCTTCAGCCGCGGCTGATGCAAATCTCCATAGTTCACCTGAATAATCTCCAACTCGCCTTCTGGTTCGCTCCGTCTCTCCATCTTCACGTGGCATCTGGCCACGACAAAACGCCCATGCGCGTGGCATGCCGTCTTCCGTCCCAGAATCTAGACTGGAGCAGGCCATGCGCCTTCCTGCATCCACCATCCGCGCCTTGACATTGGCCCGACGTGAATGGCCGACCCGACCAACCTGAACGGTGTGGCTCGTCTTAGTTGCTGCATGGCGTTAGTGGACAATCAAAAACGTGGTTTCCACATGGCCCCCGTCGAGAAGATGCAGCCATGACCCTGGCTGCCGGGCTAACGATCCCTCCCCATGACCCGCAAGCACTCTCCCTTTTCATGGCTTGGAATGTTCTTTGCTTATAACAAACTTCTCTTCTCGAGATCTTCTACTCCAGCTACTTTGTGGCTTCTATTATATATTCCTGGTCCAGCCGGTAGCTGTTCCTGCTCAAACCACCCACACTGGACTCTTACACAGTTCTCAGCATGGCTCGGCTCTTCTCTCTTCTAGCCATCGTGCCGGCTCTGGTATCTGCGGCTGCCATCAACACGACTTGTGTCACTGAGTCGAGTTGCCGCTGCTTACCGTCAGATTCGTGCTGGCCAACCAAATCAGAATGGACCGCCTTCAATAGAACAGTAGGAGGCCGACTCATAGCCACAGTACCTATCGGTAGCGTCTGCCATGACTCTTCCTTTGGCTCCTACAACGCTCAAAAGTGCAATGCCTTGAAGTCCGTGTGGGACTATCCCGCCACGCACATCGCGTCTTCCTCCGATCCCATGGCGCCGTTCTTCGCCAACGTCAGCTGTGATCCTTTCACGGCGCCTAGTGCGAGATGTATCGTCGGTACCCTTGTTCAGTACTCTGTCAATGCTAGCTCTAGCTCCGACTATCTGGCTACCATCAAGTTTGCACAGCAGAACAACATCCGCTTAGTGATTCGAAACACAGGCCATGACTACTACGGCAAGTCTTCGGGAACTGGAGGCCTGGCTCTCTGGACCCATTTTCTCAAAGACATCTCACTCGTCAACTATAAGCAAAGCTACTACACCGGCAAAGCGCTAAAGGTTGGAGCTGGCGTCCAGAACTCTGAAGCCCAAGCTTTTGCCCACAAGAATGGCCTAATAGTTGTTACTGGAGATGGCGCATCGGTTGGCTATGCAGGAGGTTACAGTCAGGGTGGTGGACATGGGCCAGTGGCCAGCAAGTTTGGCCTTGCCGCTGATCAGGTCCTCGAGTGGGAGGTCATTACTAGTACCGGCCAGCATCTTGTCGCTACTCCTTCTCAGAACACTGACCTTTACTGGGCTCTCTCTGGCGGTGGTGGTGGAACTTATGCTGCTGTTCTGTCCATGACCGTTCGAGCTTTCGCTGATATGCCAAGCTCTGCTGCCAACCTTACAATCACCAACCAGGGAATATCCGATGATGCTTTCTACGCAGCTGTTCAAACATTCCTCACGACACTACCTAGTATCGTTGACACTGGTGCTACCGTTGTCTACCTGCTTGCTTATGGGGCGTTCCTTGTCCAGCCTATAAATGCCCCTGGTGTTAGCAAAGCACAGCTGCAGACGCTTCTCAACCCTACGCTGAGCTATCTACAGAAGCAAAATATCACTTACGGTAAGTCTCCTTCACTCGCCACCATGTTTATTAATAGGTCTAATTTCTTCGATGACAGACTTCCACATTGACCAGTTCTCTACGTTTTTGGATAGCTTTAACGCCTACAACCCTCCTCCTAACGTCACTGAGTATAACATTGGCGGGCGTCTCATCCCACGAACGTTACTCGAAAGCCAGTCAAGCGCCACTTCTTTGGTAGACGCTTATCGATTCATTAATGAGGCCGGCGCTGTCATCTCTGGTGTGTGCGTCAACGTCAGTAACGGCACCAAGGTTCCAAACGCTGTGAACCCCGTCTGGCGGACATCTATTACGAGCAATGTTATCGGAGTGTAAGTTGTCTAGCAGTCGACTTTCCACATATAGCTTGATTTGCACTTACTTACGTTTTACTCATAGCCCATATGATCCTCTCAACTTCCAAAATAACATCTACGCTCAAAACAATGTGACAAATGTCCTGATACCCAAGTTGGAAGCTCTGTCGCCTGTTCAGGGTGCCTACCTGAATGAGGCCGACATGCACCAGCCTAATTTCCAAAGTGTCTTCTATGGTAATAACTACCAGACTCTCAAGTCAATTAAAAACAAATACGATCCTTCAAGCACATTCTACGGTCTTACTGCGGTTGGAAGCGACGATTGGACGGTGGACAGCGTTACTGGGCGCCTGTGTCCTGTCTCGTAAATATATATATATTCTTGGGGGTTATTGCCTCGCGTACATAGCTAGATTATACATTTTAAACATGTTCAACACAAGATAATAATGATTAACTCTTAAATCTCCTTGCTGGTGCTCAAAAGCGGTATCGGGGCAGATGCTGTCTTCACTAGACTCACTGATGGTTTGGGCGAATGGTAGGTTGCGATCCTGTTCAGCAGAAGAGGTATTTTATTGATCCAAGAAAGGCTTCTTCTCTCTTCCTTCTTTTTTCCCTTTTCATTCTTTTTTGAAGTAGCCTATCTACAAGACAGTCTTTTCGATCATTGTGATACCATACTTCTCCTTGAGCTCCTTCATAATAGGGTTGTTAATCTTGGCAGTCATAGGAGCCAAAACACCCTTCTCCGACAGGGTTCCATCCAAGACCTGCTTGGTAGCGACAGCGGCGGGCACACCTACCAATTTTGCCATGGCGCTATAGCCCTTGGGGTCGCCGTATTCGACTAGAGTGGAAGTGCGAGTCTCGCGAGAGCCATCTTTGTGCTCGATCTCGAACTTGTGCTGAAGCATGACCATGTCGCGCTCGTTCTCCTCAAATTGCATCTTCTGCTCGAGAGTGGCGCAGAGGGTGTCGAGAGAGTTGCCACGAGGAGTGATCTTCTCATCAGAGAAGATGCCAATCCATCGGAGACCAGAAAGAATTCGCTCACGGTCCTCATCCGAGTCGAAATCGGCTCTTGAAACGATGGCAGCTTCTAGGTCTTTGGGCTCAGAAGAAGAGATGCCAAGAACGGCTTTGGTAGCCTCCTTCCAGGCAATGGGGGTCTTGAGGGCTTCAATGGGAGTCTCCTCCAAGAAGCCGGTCTGCACAAGAACCTTGATGAACTGGGGGAAGCCCTGGTATCTCAGGGTACCACGGACGATAGTCTCGGCCTCGGGAATGTTGTATCGCTCCTTGTAGGGAGTAGAATCACGGTTAGGGTATGCGACGAAAGCATATCCTGGCATGATGAAGTAAGGCTTGGCAGTAGCCATGAGATCCTTGGACGCAATGTCGACAATCTTGCCATTCTGGTAGACCTTGGCAGCGTTTCTCAAGGCGAGTAGCACACCGCGAGAGGACCAAGAGAATTTGTAGCCCAGGGGGTTATCGGAGGCTTCAGGAGCGGGCAACCCGCCGCAATATGAGAGGAAGGAAAGGATCTTGCCGCCTGCCTGGTGGACTTCATCGATAGTCTTGACGGCATCTGAATAGGTCAGCATGAAGTAATAATAGCTGGACAGGACGACTTACACAGGTGATCAATACCGGGATCTAGCCAGAAAGACGGCATGGTCAGTTTTCAGAGTCATCATGGGATTCTAAGGGAGGGAAATATAATTACCAAGACCAATCTCGTTCATGACGGTGATTCCGGCATCCTTGGCCTTCTGGTCCAGCTCCATCATGGCGGGGGAAACGTAGCTCGTGGTCACAACATTCTTCTTCTGTCGGATCGCAGACTCAATGACGGTAGCATGGAAGGTATAAGGAATCAAGCTGATGACCAAGTCATGCTTGGCGACCTCGGCATCCAGAGCCTTGGCATCGGTCACATCGAGCGAAATAGGTGTCGCGAGCTTCACGCCAGCGGAAAGGCCCTGGGCAGTCTGGAGGGTTCGGCATGCTTTACAATCGGTCAGCATATGGTAGCGAAGTAGAAAGAAAAACACAAGCTTACCAACAGTGACAGGGATGCCAGCGTCAGTCAAGACATCAAGTGTAGGCCCTAATTGACTCTGTTAGCTTTGTTGCGCTCCATAGAGGAGGATAAAGCGCTGCTGCGTACGGGTGACGAAACCGGCACCGAGCATCAACACAGATCTACCCGCCGCAATCTAAGTCAGCAACGAATCAAAATTGGTCCCAAGATAATACACACTGTTGCGCCATTTTGATTATTGCGATTATCAGTTGTTGAAGCTTGCTGCGCGCTCAATTGACGGCTATCGAAGTGATAGCTAAGATGGAGTTTATATCAAGCAGAGCTTGAGTGCTAAATTTTACACTATAGCGATGTCGGAGCGCGGGGCAGAGTCACGCCGATGGGCCAAAGCCGGGCAATGACAGCATACAGTGCAGTCCCTCAACTCTTCACACCAGCGCAGATTTTGTGTACTTTCTGACTAATCTTAGTAGCAAATCGCTCCTCGAGAATTATGTGAAATATCACGATAAAGGTGCTGCGCTGGGACCATAATCGATGCGATTGCAAGTCGATTTTCACTACAGTATTTGCAGATTGTAGGGTGCATTGCATCATACTCTCTTTGCTCATGGTGGGGTAGAGGTGCGGGGCGATGGACGTTTATCAAGATGCTTGCGTGAGAATTAACAAGCAGTTATTATACGAGGAATATCTCATATTATTTCATTGGTTGATAGTGAAAAATCCTCTTTGTATATCTCCGGTTTGTGGTAGCTGGTGTAATCCATTCTTACTCATTAGGTTCAAAGAGAGTTCGACATCATTAGAGACCTGCTTGCATGGCAGATAGGCAGTAAAAGAAGCAGTATCAAATCTGAGCGAAAACCAGTCTCTTGGTTGGACTAGCCTCACCAGTATCTCCAGGTGTGAAAATCCAATAAGAGAAATCTTGGTACTGATTCTATGATGAGTTACATACTCAATTGAAGGAAACAGCAATACCCCTGTTCACCCATTGGGTAACTGAATGGCGACATCAATATAAAGAGCTAGATAGCTATTATTCGAAAAGCTAGCTGGGATATGTCGCCAAAATGAACAGGCGCCTTGGGCGTGCGTTTTACGAGAAACTTGCGAGTATTGTGAGGAGCCCTCTTGCGGGTTTCTCTCAAGCTCATATCAACCGTGATGCATGTTATTGCGAGGATGTAAGAAGAAATCGCAAAGATGAATCTTGTGCGTTTAGAGCATCTATCACTGTAGTAACATAAGCATTTGATCTGCCTATCGAAGTTATATTTTGTTTCTTTACGCTTCTACTACTGAGAGGTGCTACGCAGCCAACAGAAAAATGAGCAGTAAAAGTAACAATCTCCAAAGTAGCTCTCTAGCAAAATTGAGATTATGACGGGGTTGATGCTGAACATTCGCTACGTCTCTCCCAAGGATAAAACGAGCACTTTACAGGTAAGAGAAAGATAAGATAGATTCTGGTGAGGAGCAAGAAAAGCTGAAACTCGGTTAACACAATGATTTCAGGTAGCAGCATGAGAAGCGGTAGAGTTAGCGAAGGCCTCGGCAAGGCAGAGACTAGTTGGCTCCCGCGACTCGTAAAGTCTGGATTGTGTTAACGTCAGAACCGTAGATCCGATACGCGAGATGTTAAATAATACATAATCCGTCTGCCTTATATAATCATCTAGTATCTTTTCGCATGCTTTCATCGAGCCCGCCAAAAGAGTTCGACGCTAAGATTGGAGAGGCTTATGGAGCAGGTAAGGCTGGCCCCGCTGCAGCATCAATATCAGAGACTACATGGAAGTACGTAGTAGCAGCTCTCTTGTGAGCCCGAGATCATATGGGGAGCTTGGAACAACAGAGGAACGCAAAGAGAAAACCTACATCTAATTGGAAATAAGTACTGTATAATAATAATATTGTTGTACTGGTGGTTATAAGGTTCCTTGCTCTCAACGTGTAGAGCTATCGACGTGCATGTAAGATAACCCTTCGTGTAAATCGATTATCCATCTTATGAGGTACCTACCTACTCCTTGACTCACTGGTGGGATGTTTTTCATCGTCGCACAGAGTACCTACTAGGTATCTATATAGTACATAGGGGCAAATAAAGTTCAGAAAGCAGAGCTTGGAGCCATTCATAAAAAAAGGAGAGTGAGTCATAGTGGAATAAAAGAGCCTCTTTCCTCTCGTTTAAAAGTAACCAAGCTTTAAACACAACTCAGATCTCTGACAGATCTATCTAGCCTTGGTATGTATATTATTATTCTGCTATCCGCATCGACAGAACCTCAGGGCTTTGGGCGCAAACAGTGATGAAGGATATGCCGCTGTGAGTCATTTTTCTCAAAGATAGAAGAAAGAAGCCCGTTTCGAACGCGTACTGCATGCTAATGTACGCGACAGGATTTTCGACATGGAACACGATCAAAATTCCGAACCAGGTCCTCAAGTCTGCGGCAAAGTCGTTGTTCTCAATGGCTTCCCCGGCACAGGAAAATTGACCATAGCAACCAAGATGAAGAGCTACTTTCCCGAGGATACAGTCCGTCTCATCGATAACCACCTGCTCATTGATCCGGCTCAGGCGATTTACCCTGGCAGGAGTGCAGCACACTGCGAGCTACGTCGAAAATTTCGTGAAGTTGCTTTCGACGCCATTCGGAAGATTGCACAAGAGGGCAAAACGGTTCTTATGACGGCATGTCTTGTCGATAATGAAGCAGACATTAGAACCTTTGAAGAGCATATGTCCATAGTCCGGAACACGTATATACCAGTATATTGGCTCAATCTTGGATGCGATAGAGAAGTTTTAGAAAAGCGCGTCACAAGTATGGAGCGGCGAGAAGGGGGCAAAACCAAGTTGATAGATGCCAGTGTCCTGCGTCAGATAGTGGAGGATCATAAGCTTCTGAACCCGCGTCCATATGACTATGAGCCTGTGAGGTTAATCACGGAGTCGATGGATGTGGGTGGAACAGTAGAAGAGTCAGTACATAAGATACTGCATGTACTACAGGGTCGCTAGTAACACAAAGGTCTGCTGTTACGCGTCAAATGTAAAAAATTGAAAGGTCGGTATCTCGATACATCTTCATACTACCTACTAACCTAGATTAGACGACGTATTAAGGCCAAATAGCCCGGTGTACGTAGATGCTTAAACTGCCTTCATGTAAGGTACCTTGTGTAAAATGCTTCAAGCCTTTGGGTTTATACAAGTAGTTGCTTGGCGCAGGTGATGTATCATTGCTGACTGTAAATAAGAGACACTAGTTCTTGGCTAGTTCCTGAGATAATATGCTCCTCAGAACCGGCCGTTAGATGCGTCCAGATGGTTCACTGTCCGCCACGTGTTTGTGAAAAACTGGTCACCGGATCGATTCGTACCTAACATACGTTAAGGCGGCTGCACAGAAGGCATGGCAGTGACCATGAAGTCTTCACAGCAATAATTGCCATGTGATTTTACATAGAATGCTCTACAAATTCGGAATAGTTGTACTTCATCCAGCATTTATGCTACCATCCCTCACCTCTATCCACCCCGCCTTTCATCGAGAATGTCATACAATCACGACAAACTTACTTTATTGTAGCATATGGCGAACAAGAGAAATGACAGCGGTGTCGGCTGAAATGCAGCCTGATAGCCCGATCAGCCGGGGTAGTTTTGAAGTATTGGTGGATCGCGTTCTCGTTGTAAAAAGCATGGCTCCCGAAGTGGCCTGATTTCTTCCCCACCACAGTTGTTAAATCGGAGGCGACATCCCCGATTTGGGAATCGAGCACAAGGCATATCCGAAAGAACCCCTATTATTACCGGGGTGGAAGTACCTAGCAGGGAAGTTTGCATCGGGCAAAAACGCACGATGCGATAGAGTACGAGGTAGACCGTCCTGCTGGGCTTTACCGCATGGCGGATTGCTAGGGCTATCCCGACGATTTGGAGCATGTGATTGTTCCAGCACCCTGACCAAGTCGAGTACAAGAGGCAAAAAGTGACGGATAAATAACTTTTGCTATATATATTCTGCTGGAAGGTGGAGATTCGGACGAATGAGATGAGTCTGGACGGACGCGATGAAGTGTGGTAGGACTCCATAATAATACTAGCTGTACATTAAGAAGGAGTTTCCGTCCCACCCGCCTGGAGGAAAACGTAATAAGTGACAACCGTCATTCGGCTTTTTCTTCTTCGAAAATTTTCTCAAGTCATTTTTATCCTTCTTACTTTCTTTTGAGTATCCTTATTCCCCTTCCCTCTACTGCCATATACCTTCTAATCACAGCATCAACTCCATAAACTCCCATCCTTCTCTCACCATCTGAAGAAGGTGATATTATTACTTTTTACCAAGCAACATCATCCGTTTTCACCCGAAACGCCTAAAAGAAAAAGCGAGAATAAAAGGGATCACGAGCAACAAACCACGCACTTGCGAATCTGAGTCAACTTCGCCCTTACGGCCTCCCGCATCGATACATATAGAGCAGAGTAACAGCAGGCTACCGCGCTTTTCTCTACATACTACACCAAAACTCTACCACCCGATTCTCGACCAAAAGCAAAATGCGACTAACACGCGCCATTTCTCTCACCAACTTCATGGTCGCCACCTCCGCGCTCGGCTTCCAAGTGTTTGTGCTGTACCCCTGGCACAAAGAGCTGGACGCCGGCTTCGAAGACCTCAAGAAGGAACATCTCAAGGTCCTCGATGTAGTCGGAAAGAGCATCTCGGAACAGCAGCGAAAGACTTTTACCAACAAGTTCAACGAGCTGAAGCAGGAAAGCGCTCGACGATGGTGGTGGATGTAAAATATACCTGTCCTTGAAATGGACACAGAGACCAGATTCTCGAGAAGAGACCTGTCATCTGATGGCGACGAGAAGAGCGAGCTCCCAGAGGCGTATGAGATACGTGGAGGAGCTCATCGATCCTACAGATCTACACTGATGAAACGATTTTGGAACCGAGCGACATTTTCTAGATTTGTCAAGGCATCACATGCGTCTTGCTATAGCCATTTTCTGCGCCCTTTCTATTGAGTTATGTTTTCGGTAATAGACTGATGTATAATAGTTTTGCAGTTATAGTGTTTATACAGTTCTTTTTTTTTTCCCACTTGTAGGTATTACTTGCTCACATGTTCTGCCTCCATAGGCCTCAACATTCCGCGCGACTATACTAACCTCCACAGATACTATCTTACAACCCCTGTTCAGCTTAATGTCCACATGTTAGCCGATTCAACAGTTAAATACAGCTCCGGTATCTTGTACAACGTATCCTCAGTTAATCACGCCAGGTCAATCAGATCCGTCGCCACATCTATACATATACCATGGCTTCTTCATCAACACCTTTCATGTTGTCATCTCTTCCTCCGAGCGTGTATGTAATGCAAAAAAAGAATTTGTCGCCGATGATCCTCCCAAGAGGGCTACATTACCATAGGGGCTCGCTGTTCTAGCTGCTCGCGACAGTGGGCTTGGCGAGGCTATCAAGAGGCAGTCTTTCGGAAAGCCGTAGTAGTGACGATTCATGAAAACTCGTGCATCAGTATACTTGGGTGATTAGAATTGGAAGTCATGCGCTCACATGCAGATGGAGTAAAACATACAGTCGGTATCTGGTCAAGAGGGATTCTGATTTGAACTGCATATAACAACAATATAAGAGATTTACCACTTGCCTAATTCGCTGTACGGTATCCCGTATTCTTCTTTGAGCAAACGCGTTACTCGCTTGGCTCTCACAGAAATATAAGATGCAGTCTTTTCCTTGCCTAACAGCATCAGACTGGGTAGTTAACATTCTGATTGCTCTAGTGAAATCCTGCGTTCTTTTTACAGCTGATTGGTGCCGTCACCTCATTGCCATAGTATACGTCTATATTCGCAATGTCTTCATTCCTACATGGCCCATCATTCATCAGTGGCGCCGCACAAGGTAGTACTTTACCATATAAGTATACTACATATCCCAGCATTCGAGGCTAACTCTTTATGCAGGGATCAGAAAGGCTACCGCTTTTGCGTTCGCAAAATATGGAAGTCCCAAGCTTGCCATTGCCGACGTTAACGCGACTTTGCTGAAGCAAACAGCCAAAGAACTGAAGAGGCATATCCGAATATTGAAGTATTACCCATTGAATACGATGCAGCTAATGAAGATTCGACGATCAAAGCCGTCGAAACCGCCTATTCGAAATTCGGTCGAATCGATCACGCTGTAAATAATACCGGCATTACGGGTCCTTTAGCTCCAAGCGCATCCGTCTCAACGAAAGATTTTAAGAAGCTTCTCGACATTAACCTAACGAGTCTTTGGACTGCACAAAGAGAGCAAATTAGAATCATGCTTTAATAAGAGCCTGTTCAGCTAGAGTGCGCATCCGCCCACATAGGAGGGCCAAACCAGACAACGACTAACTACAATTCAGGTTCAGTAAAATTCGAGGGACTATCGTTAATCTGTCTTCCTTTTGGGGGGGACTTTGGGTCGCGAGATTTTCCTTCAATGACAGCTTACGTGACAAGTATAGGCCTTTATCTTGCCCTATCGAGCTCTCCATGACAAGATCCGAGGTCATACTAATTCAAGACTCGTTGTGCAGGCAAACATGGGATTATCGGTCTTACAAAAAGCGCAAGTCTGGCTCTAAAAGAAGTACGCCTTGAGAAGTTAACTCATTTAATTAACCATGTTACAGGATGCGAACCAATACGCTTCGCAGGATATACGAATTAATGCTATTTGCCCTAGCTTCACCATGACGCCCGTTGTGGGAACTATGAGGCCAGAGCTGCAATACTTTATCGATCAAGGAATGCACCGAATGGCGATGAAACGTTTTGCTCAGCCCGAAGAGATAGCAAACGGCATTATGTATTTGAGTTCCTGGATGAGCTCTTTCATGAGCGGCGAGGCCATGCTGGTAGATGGGTAGGCACGCTAAATGTTCCAGATCGGAAGAGTAATTGGGCTGACTTTATTATCAGTGGATTTTCATCTTGAAATGTACTCTGTCGTGAGAAGTGCAGACTCTTATAGACCGATAACTGTTTGGTGAAGCTTTATTAGCAATATGCCCGTTTTCCGAAAGATAACTTTCTTTTACTATTCTTCACGGCATTACCATGCCTTATTTGAGCTAGAAAACCCCAGAACAAAGTAAAAGGGGAAGAAACCACTACTTTCCGAGCTTGCGAAGAGACACTAGGATTCTGTGATGGGTGTCTTACTGACTGTACTATCACATCGAGCACGCCAAAATTCACGAGACCTGGTGGGGGACACTTGCCGCGGCATCCCCAGGCAAGGAAGGAGGTTGCCGTCGTAGATATATATAGCAGCCCTTAGAGCCCGTATCATAGCCAGAAGACAAGCTTTTTATTCTACATCGTGCATCGCTACATTCCGTACCGTAGAGATCGCACTCTGGATCTGCTTCATCTCGACGACCATCGCCTGTCTTATGATATGGTAGCAATTGCATCCACTTATACGGTCGACCGAGACAGCAGCGATACCGCCGCTAACACAATCCTCGTACGAACGATTGTGCCACACTTCATCGAAACCGGGGATTCAAACTCAATGCCCAAGAAAGGCAAGAATACAGCACAGCCAATACAAGCAAATGGCAGATATCTCCCCTCAAAAATGACAAACTCACAACTCCAAACTCCGGAACCTCGCGAGATTGACGAACTGATAACCCCGATCTCCCAGTAGTCGACCGCCAGCCCAACGAGAGAGCTGCGTACTACGACGCACGCCACAAGGAACCCCCGGATGTGATGAGGGAGACCTTGTATATGTCAAACTTGCTAAACAAGGAGATCCCGGATATCACCTTCAAAGCCAAACCAAGCTCTCACACCGAAAGGCGGGGCGCTTTTGAATCTTGGAGAAGGTAAACGACCTACGCTTCCGTCTAGAGCTCTCGAACTACCTTAAATTGAAGCAAGCATTTAGCATTGAACATTAGAGTCATGCCCAAAAACAACCCAAGAAGCTGAACCTCCGGATCCATTAAGGACATTGGGCATAAATAGATACATCATCGAGGAGATCGTAAACGAACAAAAAAGATCAGGCAAACGAGAATACAAGGTAAATAGCTCGGGTATCCCGACACCACCTGGGAACCGGAAACCACACTTGTATTAGACGTCCCGCACCTTGTCACGAAATTCAAAAACCGCCAACCTGCAACGCTTGAAGTTTTGCGCACTTCGCCTATCAATTCTAGGGACAAGTTCTCCAATACTCTAATTTCATTATCCCGCACTCCAGCTGTAGCTCAACAACATGAAGGCTTTTGGTTCGTGTATCAAATATGCAACTGCTGAACATTAAGAAGTTGTGGCATTACTAGCAGCAGTAGCATTGCTAGCAGTTGTAGCATTACTAGCAGCAGTAGCAGCAGTAGTATCAGTAATAGTAGTAGTAGTAGTAGCAGCAGTAGCAGCAGTAGCAGCAGTAGCAGCAGTAGCAGCAGTAGCAGTAGTAGCAGTAATAGTAGTAGTAGTAGTAGTAGTAGCAGCAGTAGTAGCAGTAGCAGTAGTAAAGATAGTAAAGTTGCATGTAGTAGAGATAGTAGATGTAGTAAATATCGTAGATATAATAGCAGCGACAGCAGTGATAGCCTAACACTATAGCTGAGGTATTGGGTAACCGAATCGGGGTGCCAGATGACTTTTCCCTAACTTCAATGCCGTTAGATATGAATGAAGTCTATTCTGAATGGCCATAACTTCAAGATGCACATTAAATCTAATGGCATTTTCTTTCAGTTTAGTGGCAGATGGCAGCGCAATCGTGGATACTCTAGTTCAGTTTAGTTTCTACATAGGTGGATGAGTTTCAATTCACTGCGCATACATCAGAGCTATAGTGAATGATAAATATTTTGAAAATGCAATTGATAATGCTTATTAAAAACGAAAAACATCATTAGCTTCAAGTTATCATGCTCCTGCCATTATGTTACAATCAACCTTGGTATATCCACGTCCCGTCATCAATGCATCAACCCTCAACAAATGTTCATAGCCACATTATTTACAGATGATTTCATGCTTTTTTTTTCTTGTTCTTTTCCTTTTTTAGATATTTTCTGCGTGAGATAACACCCTAGACATGCTCTTCGTGAGAGGGCACCTCGGGAGATGACAAGTCCTTGTTGTAATGAGCAGCGGCCAAAGGACCATCGCTCTCCTGGTCTGCAATTGCATCAAGATCAACACCAGCCTTCTTGCGAATGTTTGCCATGTGCTCAGGAGGAGGCGGGACCCATTTCGTGCTCTTCCAGGGCAGGACATGCTCGAGATACATGGTGTCGATCTCTTCGAGGGTGCGGCCTTGGCCTTCGATGACGAAGAAGTAGATGACGAGCGCACCCAAGAAGTTGCAGGCAGCAAAAACATAACCATATCTATAATAATAAAGTTAGAAAAGAGATGCAATTGCTCATGTGTAAGTGAGAACATACCTGAAATCAATGGCGCCGGTAATGAAGGGGGTGAAGAAACCAATACAGAAGTTCCAGATCCAGTTGCTAGCGGTGGACAGAGCCATACCCTTAGCACGATAGCGCGAAGGGAAGATCTCGGCCTGAATGGTCCAAATCATAGGACCCCAGGTAGTAGCAAAGCCAAGAATGAAGAGACAAGCGAAGACGATCAGGACAATGCCTGGCGTAGGAGTGGCGGAAGGATCGGTCAAGTTAAGCATGAAATGGCCAACTGACGCGAAGATCATGAAGCAAATGAACATCCAGATGGAGCCGGCAATGAGAGACTTGCGACGACCAAAGTGCTCAACCATGTACAGACCAATAAAGGTAACGCCAAAGTTGATGCTGTTAAGGATGATCTGGGTAACAAAGGAGTTGATCTGCACCGACTTGAAGATGGTGGTTCCGTAGTAGAAGAAGTAGTTGGCGCCAGTGAGTTGCTGCAGCATCTGAAGGGTCATACCGAGAGCAATACGGTAGGCCATGCGGGGAGCCTTGAACATGGTAATGAACTCCTTGACGGGGCCATGCTTGATCTGATCTTCGCCGCGCAACTTGCGCTCAATCTCAGTGATTTGAGTGTGAACAGCCCAGTGGTTTTCTGTGGCACCAAATACTCGGCAGATTGTCTGCTTAGCTCTTTCCTCATTGCCATGTCGGAAATCGTATCGAGGAGTTTCAGGGAAGGCCAAGATACCGACTCCGAGGCCAATGGTCCAAAGCCAACCAAGACCAATGACGATTCGCCAACTTCCAGAGTTGCCAGCCTGGTGCTTGACAGTGCCGTAGTTGAAACAAGCAGCCAACCAGATACCCATGGTGATGAAAAGCTGATAGGCGCAAACCATGGCTCCACGAATCCAAGCAGGTGCAGTCTCAGCCTGGTACATGGGCACTAGTAAACTGAGCGCTCCCACACCCAACCCCGAGACGAAACGGCCGATCATGAGCTGATACCAGGCTGTAACGGACGCGATTTGAATCACAAATCCGATTGATACGATTAGACTCCAGAAACTGATTGATGGTTTTCTTCCAAATCGATCGGCTACAGGAGCAGCAACCAAAGCGCCAAAAAGGGTACCTATCGACGGTCGTTAATAATGCACGCAAACGAACAAATCAATACATGAGCGTACCAATTGACAAAAGAGCGACTATCAGACCAGCTCTAACATTGCTAAAGTATTTTGTACCGTCTGAATGCGTGAGGCCAAAGCGATCCAGGAAGTCGGGCATCTCCAGGAATCCGGAAATCTGACCGGTATCATACCCGAAGATAAGACCACCCATGGAGACAAGACAACCCATTGCCAATGAACGCCCTGTAACACGTGGCAACGGGGAATAGTCTAGGCCAGAAACCGAGGGTCGACCAAAGCTGGGGTCGTGCTTCTCTGAGGATGGATCATGTTGATCAAAGTAGATGGTCATGAAACCACCCTTTCTGCGACCCATTGTGAAGGATTTTTTATATGTATATCAATGCCCTTGAATGGCAAATAATAGTAATGTTGTGCTCTGCTTGAGCTTGCGGTGGTATAATTGTGATGAGTTGTGGAGAGGTTGAGGTGTGGTTGTGGTGCGGTTGTGGTGTAGTGGAAGTCTACTATGGGGAAGACCTAGAGATAACCAACTATCTCTAAATTCCTTAGCAGCTACTATGAGGTAGTAGTGATGTTGTGTGTTTATTTACTCCAATATTCCTATATCAAGCCGGATCGTCGAGGGGGAAGCATTGGGGTATATATGTTCTCCAACAGGACCAAGGGTGCCCGCCACCGACCACCGTTTCGTTGCTATGACCTAATCACCACAAACACCCACACCATATGGTCACGATCTCAAAAGGAATCGTGGGACCCCGGCCCAAGCCCGGCCGTTTGGTGGGTGGCCTTGCAAGCATCTCCAAAGCAGGCTCTAGCCCCGGCCAAGAGACAAAGCGAGAGAGAGAGGCAGAAGAAGTCGGCCCACCCCACGGGTTTCCAGGGCTCGGGGAAACCCCCAGCTTTGCGCCTAAAACCCATGGGGATAGACGCAGGTCAGGTGTGATTGACAAAAGCTGAGGCCCGAATTGGGGTGACAAACCGCCCACCATACCGAGATTCTCCATGGCACAAATCGGTCCTACTCTCCAGACTTTCTTCTCCATTGCCCCTTCTCCATAACCAGATGTGGAGAGAGACCCGGAGAAGCACGACAGAAGAGACACAAAACGAGATTTTGGGTCCGCAGTCCCGTGATTCCATTGGCCGGCGGACGCCCCGAGAAATGAAGCGGCTGGAGGCGAAATCACAGCGAGACTGTCGCAAACTGACCGAGAAGGCTCCACCGGCATGAGGAGCTCCACTGGGCAAAGCTTCTTTCTCATGCCTTGGCTTGGAATATGCTGCTTGTTTGGGACTCGTTCGGCATATTCGGAATCCAGTTTTTTTTTTTTTCTCTCTCTTTTTTTCCTTCTTTTTTTTTTTATCTTCTTCTATCGCGAAACATGCGTATGATTCAGCAAACGCCGCATTGTAGATCCCCCTTATCAGAGAGCATCATCATGCTTACTTGGTAACGGCACGATCCCCACGCATTACGTGCATCCCCAAATAAAACCGCATTGACGCCGATGCGAATCAAAATCATGGGCATTATCACGATCACCAAACAATTAAACAATTAAAATACCAAGGATACGACTAATAAAAAAAATACAGAGGCTAAGATGGGTTCGCCGTTCACATCCAATTCCTCTCATTTTCTTCTGACGCTGCTTTCCGTGTCTCATGACGTAGTGCCCGCGCCGCGTCGAGTCGATACCGGAAAAGCGGGGCCGCTAGCACATGTACCGAATATTCCGGGCATTTTTTTTTCTGCCAAGGGCTGGACAAAATAAGAGCATACGAGTTATAGTGGCAGAACCGGCGATTTTTTTCGGCACTTCCCAGCAGCTTATGACGTTTGTCCTCCCCCTAGCTGCGGCAGTTTTCCGCCTTTGCCCAGGCTGGGCTTAATTGACACATTTGACAGGGGGGAAGCGAAAACAAGAATTACAGTTACTAGCAGCTACTACTACAGGCTATTAGAGCCCTCTTTAGAAGCAGGGCGTGGATATGAGGAAACAATCCCAAAAAGGCAGGATTGTTGAATTGCTTAATTGCTGAGCATTGACTGACAAAGACCCCAAAGCTCATGATCAAGAGAACTTCGGCGAACAGTCCAGAGTAAGAAAAAAATCACGACAGGATAGAAAAAAAAATTCGAGTCAGCAGGTATCCTCCTTTTCGGTCCTTTACCGTGTACAACTCTGCAAAATACGCGGCTTCTCGGAGCCCGCAGCGGCCCCCATGACCCCTTGATGGAGGAACTCGCACTGAAAATCTCATTGATCCACGGGTTTTCCGCGTAGAAGCTGATTCAGCGGGCGTATTCCTTCTCTGCGTATTTTCCTTTCTCTCTGGTTCCCTGGTGCATTCGGTAAGCATCGTACAATCCCTCTGCGTCTGCGTGACGACCAATGACTAAATCGGGCCAATGACCAACCACCAGATCGGGCCTCTGGCCACCACCATCACCACCACCGTCGACTCGTCGGCCTCTTCGGAACAAGGTTCAGCGGTTCAGCGGCCTCTTCTTCTTATTCTGCCTTCTCCAGATTCTGTCCCCCTCCATCACACGACCCAGCACGAATAAGAGGGCAGCGCGGTGACATGGCTCTTGCAGATCCCGCAGTAGCCATCTCCAGTTTATTTGGAAACCATCGCCAGCCCCCGAAGAAGGGCCAGAGTTTCAACCCGTCTTTGTCGCCTCCACATTCTGCTTCCCTTCTCCATACGATGTGATTCGATACCCCCAGCTGCCACAAGTTGCTTCTCTTCGTTCTGATGTTTCATTTGCTGTCGGACTTTTCCTACAGCCAGCCACGCACGTGCTGAGTTGCCTGTGAGGCTGGCGCCCGCTTCCCACAGATCGCCGCACGCTCGCCTCTCGTGGCAGCCACTGCTGCAAGAAACTCTGTCCCAGGCCCAGCCATGGCCAGGTTCTCCAAATTCTCCAAAATTCTTGTTTCAGCTGTTTCAAAAGCCACACCGACTTCATCAGGACGATCGTGGCTCGAATGTCGATTCGCAGCCACGCAACGTCTCTCCTAGGAAACAGCCCACGCCCATTTCAAGCAAGATTAGACTTTATACTTTGTCCTATTTTTTAACGCTAAATGAAAACAAAACGCTATTCTTCCCAGCCGACAAGAATCTTGATTGAACGTCGGGTTTGGCCGAGATGGCCTTCAGCCCCTTTTGCTCTGCCATTTTCCCCAACCACAGTAACTCTTCAGCCCCAAGTTATTGCTATCCTCCATACGCCACGCGCCATCTTTTCGTCTATTTACCATTCTATACATTTTTCTGTTGTCTCTCTCTCTCTCTCTCTCTCTCTCATCTCCAAAGTGTAGTCGTTAGAAATACCCAATACATTCCAGAAAACATCTCACGAAGCTGTATATGTTGTCAAAACGGGCAGTTTCACAGCCCGCAACCGAAAAAAACAAAACAATGGGAAAATGGGGAGATGATACGCGTGTCTTATAGCTCCTCTTCGGGAATGTGTCCCTCCACAGTACTCAGAGCTGCTAGATTCACCTCTCCCACACGCTCAAGGCTTGCTGGGTCACCAGCTCCAGCTAGCAATCCCACACACTCGATAACGTCTTCGGGCTCCAGGAGATGCCATTTGGCCAAGGTCACCTTGGTGCTTGCCCCCACAGTTACCGTAAAGACGTGTTGATTGTCCAAAACTGTTCCTGAAGCCCCGTTAAGGCTGCGGAACATGTCCTCGTCTGTAAAATCGTCTCCGGAGCAGAGAGCAAACTCAATTTTTCCGGGGTGTGGGTCCTTGTCTGTCGGTGCAGCTCCCGGGTTGTGATACGTGGCCACCAGCCGTTTGGCGATCTCGCCCTTGTTGATAAAGGTCGGGCGTACCTCAATGTTAGCCTTGCCAGGCATCACCTCGACCTCCCATCTCTGGCCCACCCCGCTTTCCAGTTCCTTGTGGCACTCGCGTGACATGTGCATACCCTGCTCGGGCTCGGCAAGTCGGTAGTGCCAGGTCAGGGCGCAGCGCTTTCGTTCTATGAAGGAACCTAAGAGAATGAGAAAGTTAGCTTCTGCTGATGGCAAAAGGTGAGCTTGTTTGTTTTGGACGGCACTAACCTGGAAGCTTGTCTGTATACTTCTGAAAGACCTCCATGACTTCTGCTTGCCAGCCCATGTCAAACTTCTCTGCCAAGTTGATCCACTCCTCGCTGCCAGGATCCCTCATAAAGCTACCGTGCTCGGCAGAGAATCCGATTTGAGAAATGTGTCCCAGATGCTGCTGAAGGAACTCTTGGTCTCGGCCCGAGATGATCCAGACAGCATTCCTAGAATCCGCCGCAAGCGACTTCAAGTAGCGAATGATGCGTTCAGACGGGACAGCCGCGCTCGGTTCACGCACAATGGGAGTGAGCGTTCCGTCGTAATCAAACATAAACAGTCGCTTCTTTGCCGCGCGATAACGGGATAGCAGGAGGGCTCGATCAAGCAAGGGCGTCGAGTTGGCCGAGTTGCTTTCGCCCAGCGCAGTATGCACCTTGCGAACAAATTTACTGATCCATGACTGGACGTTTTGTGTCGTGACATGGTCGTAGAGGCTAGCCTGCATCTTAGTGCGCTCCTCGCTAGGCATGGTCAGAGCCGTGTTGATCTTTTCCGCCACCCCGGTAATGTCCCAGGGGTTGATGTGAATTGCATCGCGGAGGCTACCAGCTGTGCCACTAAACTCTGACAGGATAAGAGGGCCATTGTTGTCCTTTTGGCAAATGATGTACTCGAGACTCGTCGTGTTCATGCCATCGCGTACCGATGTGATGAGGCCAATGTCTGCTGCCCGGAGCAAAGCAAAGTACTCGGCCTGGTTGAGGTACTGTGGGTAGTGCTGTACAGGCGAGAATCCAAGGCTGCCATATTCACCGTTGATCTTGATGATGAGCTCATTGACTCGGCTAGCAACCTTGTTGTCCGGATCGTCCTTTTCGACCGCCACGCTAGTGGGCGATGTCACCTGAATCAAAACTACCTTTTCTCTCCAGTGGGGGTACATTTCCAAGAATCGCTCAAAAGCTTGAAGCTTTTGGGCTACGCCTCTAACGCTGTCCAGCCGGTCTCGTCCAACAATGATCTTCTTGCCTTCATACATCTTCAATAGCGCCGCATGCTTCGCGTTTACATCATCTGCCCAGGCAGCTGTCGTTACCTTGGCAGCATCAATGCCGATGGGGAATACACCGACTTGTACCCTAGTGCCGTACGCATCGATGCCGAGAGTATCGGATGGGAAGCCAAGGATGCGCGTACAGCAGCTGAGGAAATGTCGGGAGTAGCTGTACGACTGGAAGCCCACAAGGTTGGAACCCAGGATGCCCTCGAGCACCTCTTTCCGGCGAGGCAAGCATCGGAGGAACTCGCTGCTGGGGAAGGGGGAATGCAAGAAGAAGGATATGTACATGTTCGGGACACGCTGGCGCAGCATGCTGGGCAGCAGCAGGAGATAGTAATCATGAACAATGACTACATCGCCAGGCTTGTAGCTCTCAATAATCTTGTTGGCAAACTTCTGGTTCATGCGGTAGTAATCTGCCCACTGGGCGCGCTCTTTGCGGCCATCCGTAGGCTCGTGCTGCTTGTAGTGGAAGAGCGTGTAGAGGTCATGCTCAGCGTAGCGCCGCCATCGGGCCTGGTCCTTGAGCATGATGCCATCTTCGGTAGCTTCGCTCTCGTCAGCAAGCCAAACAGGCACTGTGCGGATAGTCTTGCTATGAGACAGCTGCTGCTCCAGCCGGGTCTGGTCCGCCTTTGGTATCCAAAGGCCATCAACAGGGGGGGGCGTAGGCAGTCGTGTTGTAGCATCAATCGGCACGGGGGCCGACAGCGCATTCACCGATGTGGCGGTGGTGACCGTAGCCGAGGGAGTATCCGGAGGAGACAGCGGGCCGTCGTCGGGATTTCCAATCTCGCCTGTCCAGGCGACCACGGTGTGTGTCCATGGCGTCGCATCGGAGGAAAGATAGGCAAAGGCATCAATGAGGGCGGACTGGCCACGGCGGGGTTTGAGGTCCTGCGTAGCGAAGCTGGTCAGTATCACGCATTTGAAGCAGCGGCAAAAGAGGTGCCAGCGGAACCGACGAGGGCCAGAACACGGCAAAAGATGGGCGCGTGCTCCTGTGCGCCGACAATCGCATGTCCAGCGCAGCAGAGCGTCAGGCCACGCCTCTAGCCATGCATCTTGGCACTCGTCCCCGTCGCAGCAGCAGATTCTTCCACCAAGAGAAACTCACCCAGGCGCCACCCTTGTGGTATGTCACGGCATGCGGGATGTTGAATGTCGCGGAGATGATGTTTCCGGTCAGGGAGAGCTCGGGATTGGCGGCGCGAATCTCAGACAGAGACTCACGGCGCGCCATTATGCCGTTGCGCGCGCAGACAGCTCGAGGACGGGTTTGGAGTTTCGCAGCCGATCGGTGCTCGTTGATGTCTTGAGGAGGTCTGGAGGAGGGGGAGGGGTACAAGTCAGCAGCTGGCAGACTGGCGGCAGCGGTGTTAGGCAGCAGGTATCTTTACTCTAGTGCTAGACACCGTCGAGACTTTGGTGCTAATTGCCTTGGAAGTCCAAAGAAGCTCAGGCTTTCTTGGTAGCGGGGTGCGCTCCGTAACCGCCTCGGTAGTACGTTCTGTTGCAGGTCGAAAGATGGCCTTGAAAGGGGTGTCTCTGGAAAGGAAGAGTCGCCGGCGCAAAAGTGCCAGTAACGAGTCCAAGTTCAAGTCCAACGCTGGTGGCTGCGCAGATCGCAAAGCGGAAGGGCCAGATAAAGATCAGAAAGAAGAGCAAGAGGGAGAAAGAATGACATTCGGCGGGAGAGAAAATAAAGGTGTGGCTTCATACTAATACTACTCGCGTCTACTAGGGGCGACAGAAGCGTTCATCTCCTTTCCATCGATTCACAACGGCTGGTGAAGGCCGCCCTATCGGGAGCTCCAGCAGCGGGTCGTGGTCCCTTGTCGCTCGAAGCTTGTTCTACGGAATTCTGGCGTTGTCAACATTTGACTGGGGCTCTTATTGCCGTGTGTAGGTAGTGTAGGTATCATCCAAGCATCCGGAATACGGAGCATTGCAAGGTTTATGGCGTGCCATTGGTTAACAGCAAGGCCATGATTGGTACAACCAACGCCGTCCAGAATCTCACAACCTCAGCCCGCACACAACCACACCAGACACTCACACCCAGCTAGATGCCACTCTATTTAATCACATCACGGCCAGAAATTCACTCAAAGAGGCCTTTTCGACAACACCCCTCGGCCCGAATAAAGTCTAGGCATTGGCCCAGAGGTGCAGTCTCTGCGCTTGCCTGCAGACATCTGGCCATATCAATTTAGGCTTTCAGCTCTTTGAGCTGGTAACTTTTGGCTTACGAAATGCTACCTGTAATCAAACGTATCTCTCCAGCAGCCTGGGCAGTGGAGCGGCACTAAGCAATTCCAGCGCAAGCGTCTCGGAGAGTCAACTACGGGCCAGGCTCGTGGCAGCTCGTGAAGTAGAGCTGCACTTACACAAAGACCCAGAGACCACGTATTAGCGAGGCTGCGACTGGGCCCCCGGCGGAGATACTCCGTATGGAGCTGATGGGCGGGGGAAGCGCCCATTGTCTGTTCCCCCAGGCTGGTAAACACCACCCCTTTTCTTCCTCGTCGATGGAGAAAAGGAGTTTGTTCAGGAGAAATCGGTCCTGACGATATATTTAGCACCAGCTTGTGCTCATATACATACATCCGCCATCTAAAATGAGCGGCGGTGAACGAACATGTGACTGGCCTTGAAAATTACTTTTAAAATGAGTCTTTCCAGCTTCCAGGCTTAGGAGTTGAGTTTCTTGGAAGCTGGACAGTAATGGCACGCGTGACATGTTGCGGCCGGATATTTGGCACCAGCTCGGCATAGTGCCAATTTGGCCAGCTGCACTATCACCTCGAAAAAACTCTGAATTAGAGGCATGCAGGCTATATTACTCCGTACCTGTCATCCATTTCCAGCGCTACTGATGTTGCTTTGTCCCTGGCAGCCGTGCGGGAAAAAATGCGCTGCTAATGACGCAGTAATTGCCATACCCACAGGCTGTCATTGGTGCAGAATCTCGCTGTCCAACCCACCAAAAGACGCACGTTCAGATTCTCTGGCTTGTTATAGCTTTCATTATGCACATGTCGTTGGTTAATCCCCTTACTGCAGCTGTTACCACGAGTATCATTATTTAGTGTTTAGCAGTTTCAGCCACGCGAAACTGGCCGCAACTTGTAAAGCCATGGGATTTTTTCACATGCTTTTCTGAGGCGCTACCAGATGCTACCTACCCACTTCATCCCGCAAAGATGTGGATGCGAGTGACTTTTGGGCCAAACACAGGCCAAGAAGGAAAAAATGTCGCGCGTCATGATTGCGAAAGCCAGGATTGGCCAGCATCTTGCGGCTGTCGATTCACGCAGAAACAGATCTGCGGATAGCCGAAACCTTGGCTTGAGCACTGAGACACGATAGTCCAGCCTGGTCTTCAAAACGAGGCTAGCGAATCGATTGTTGGGCGACTACGTCAATCTTACGCGTGCATTTCAGAGAAGATAGACGACATCGCCAGTTGGGTCAATGCGCCAAATCATACTAAAGGCATGATATTATCTACTCTGCTAGATTAGCAGATCTGGTACTGTCCCTTCTGATAAGATCGTAGATGCATGATTGAGAGGCTTGCAAGGCTTGCTACTATGTTGACTCTAAACTATGGGGAATGTATACTAGTAGTAAGATTGTCGCTATAGCTTGTAAGTCTAGGCTAGTACAGAATTTCAACAGCAACCCGAAAATGTCAGCTCAGCCAATATTCAGGCATAAACTGAAATGAAAGAATATCATTTAGAACAGTAGATAGAGTTATCATACTAGTTCATACAGAGTATGAAGCTCTGATCGCATCTCGCAACGAATTTGCTGTCATGGATAAAGCCTACCCTACACCGCGCATCGTTTGCACAGCAGTCACGTGACACGCATCGAATCCTCCCGCAATCTTTTCCTCGCTTCCTCTCGGTATCGGCGTCACCTCGCTTCAACATCCCACAACATCCGGGAATCCGCCGACAATCAGCCATCGCGAGAACTGACCTCGCACATCGCTCCAACCGCCATGTCGGCATCTCCACCACCGTCGCCGTCGCAGCACGCAACAGCCCACGCCTACGCCAGCAACGGCCTGGAGATCCTGCAGGCTGCCAGCGACGCTGCCCAGGCCATCCAGAACCACCATCCGCTCCAGAATGCCGCCGCCGAAGCCGTTGCCCAGTCCCATGCCGTCGGGGTGCCCATCGCCCCGGCGCCAGAGCTGCGGATGCCCTCGCCCCAGCTCCAGCAGCAGCAGCATCTCGTGGCGGGGCCCGGGGGCGTCATGAGAGATCCCACCATCAACCCCAAGCTGACGCGACTCCGACGCGCCTGTGACATGTGCAGCATGCGCAAGGTGAAATGCGACGACGCCAACATGCCCTGTCGCCCATGTCGCGAGCTGGGTGTTGACTGCACCTTTAACCGAGAAACCAAGCGACGTGGACCGCCAAACAAGCATGCCGAAGCGGCCAAAGCGGCCAAGAGATCTCGCATTGATACAGCAGTGGTGCCTCCTGGGTTCCCCTCGTCTCCGTCGCCTCAGAATGCTGCCAAGACGCTCATGACCATATCAACGGACGGCGTGCTGGATGCAGAGGCGATTGCGCCAATGCCCGTGCTGGAGCTTCTCGTGGATGACTTCTTTACATATATTCATCCGCTTGCTCCGTTCCCCCACGAGCCAACATTCCGTCAGTCTTTTGCGAACCGAGAGGATCGAACGAAACCTGAGTTCCTGGGACTCCTGGCCAGCATGATTGGTGCCTTGGCCGCATCATTTCCACGGAGTGCCAGAGAACACCTCAAGGCCCAGCACAGCACGCATCTCTTCCCAAAGGCTATAGTCATGATTGAAAAATGTCGCGACATTGCTCTTCTCACACGCGGAAGCAGATGGGTGCTGAAACAACCAAAGACACTGGACGATGCTGCAACCAGCTACTTTCTCGGATTAGCATCTGGTTATACTCTGCAATGGAATGCATCCCGCCAATTCATGGCCGAGACTTTGACACTCCTCAGAGAGCTCGGCTTCAGCAGACCCAAACATCCTGGAGAACTTCCCACTTTTGGGAGTGACAACTTTGCTCCCGACCCGATGCCATTCAACCACGTTAAGGACCAGATTGGCAAGCGCATCTTCTGGTGCCTATTGTTGGGTGTTCGGTAAGTCTTTTTCATCATACTAGAAACCAATTGGGTGCTAACTTCCTCCAGCTCCTTTTCCCAGCTCGGCGCCTCTCACACAGACATTGTCATTGCTCCATCAACACCCAATCTCCCCTACCCCGCTTACCCCGAGAATGTTGATGACATTTGTGTTCTTGCGAATGAAATCATTCACCAAGCGGAGGGCAGTGTTACGCTTCTCACAGGCTTTCGCTTTGGTATCGACATCTACACTACCATGAATGGCGTCGTCAGCTTGGAGTTGGCGTATGGCATGAGCACTCTCCCATGGGCTGACCAAAGGCTTCTTCTTCGGGATGGTCTTCTGGCTGCAAAGAGTATCATCGATAACTTGCCCCCAGAGCTTCAGCTGGGCCACCCTGCAGACGAATCAAATCCACTGGCTGCCATGGAAGAATCCGGCCTCCAGTATGTCCCACCTGTATGGCCAAACACGCAGCCACCACACGATGTGCGCAACATCATCAAGAGCCAGCCCATGAGACGGCGACAGCTTCAATACGAGATTCAGAAAGCCAATATCTTCGTCTCACAACTCGCCACGCGATCATACTTTGTGGAGCTATACTTCAACCTAAGAGACGTCCATCTCAGCGAGCAGCAGCAAACCCTCGAAGTTGAAAATACGAGCGAAGAGGAAAAAGCCATTCAGGATGCAGACGACAAAGAGATATTGGAGTTTATGTCTGCCGAAAGAGAAATCATTGTCCAAAACCTCTTGACAGTGCTGGGATCCATCTCTCAGCGAAATCTTGAGCCAAACGGAGGGTCTCTCATCAACAAAATCCGTCAGGTCGCTTCTACCTTGCTGAATGATGCTCCTGAAAGGAAAGGCCCGTTTGCCGTCAAATCAGAGGAGGCGTTGGCACAACTACTTGACATATTGGTGAAACTTGAAAAAACAGGCCCCGTTGGAGAGACAATGACTGCGGAGGATGAAGAAGAAGAGCTGAGACACTGGGCTGATTTGAGAGAGTATCAGCTGCGTTTCGCTGCAAATGGAGGATTTGCTGGCGACATGTAATATTCTACCATTTCTGATTATGGATTATCTACCTCTCCTCCTCGACCCATGGGCCATCGATTGGGCAGCATCACGAAATGCACGTCATTGCCCTATATCCACCGCCCCATATCCTTCTTGCCATGTAACAATATCCGGAGTTAGCAAAAGTTATGTTCGAAAACAAAATTATGGCACGGCCATAACACTAATAAGAATGATATTTACTTTGCTCTCTTTGATGTGGTCCCTATTGCATGCATTCGCCGTCTCCTTCAAAAGCCCTAGCTCAGCCCAGCTCTCACTCGTAGGACGTACTTTCTACTTCGCATGCTACAGAATCTTGTGCATAGGTCATGTATTCATAAAATCAGCTTTTCTCAGTCACGGAATGTAATTAACAGCGTTAGTGCATTGATTCTGCGGTGACAAGGATTCATCTCAGCCAAGGAATCTTCATCGAAGTGAGCGGCATCAATCTATACGATACGGGAACTCAAACTGGCAATGTCAGAAACACTTGCACACAGAATGCTTCATATTCTACTAATATTGTGCATGCACGGAAAGAGGCGGGTTTCCGAGTGACTATCAGCTGTGGTCCAAGGTATGGCCTACCTGCGAGAAATCCAAGTCTGATCTTCACATGCGCACATTCTTCTTCGGGTTACCGAATGACTGCGGCAGACAACACGTCTTGCGCGCGATTCAAGTCAAACCTCGATTGCCTCCTCCACCTCGCGCAATCAGGGGCGCTGGATCATGGCGTCACGGTCAGGGCCAGTGCCGATGTACTTGATCTGCTCAACTTTAGCAATTGCGGTGCGGGTCAGTATGCGCGCCCACCCACCTTGACTCCGACAAACTTCTCAATGTACTGCTGGTGGTTAGCGCCACTGTTCGTTGTGCTAACCCAGGTGAATAAGCTCACCTCAACATAATCGCGGGCCTCTTTGGGGAGATCGTCGTAGGTCCTCGCGTTGGTGGTCGGCTTTTGCCAGCCTGGCATCTCGTGGTAAACCACCTCAGCTTGGTTCAGGATGTTAAGATCCGCAGGGTAAGAGTCCAGCTCCTGTCCAAACGATCAGCGTTTTCTCAATATATCTTGATCTCGTTGGCATCACTGACCTCTCCGTCGATCTTGTAGGCGATGGCGATCTTGATCGTTTCGAAAGTATCCAAAACGTCGAGCTGCAGAATGTTAGAGCGTATTCGAGTGTACCACAAGCATGCCATGGGCAGTGTCTACCTTTGTGAGATTCAGGCTGGTGTAGTAGTTGATCGAGTTACTGTATTTGACAACAACAAGATCTGTGTATACATGTCAGATGCATTTCTTACTATTAAAATCTCAATTTTATGCATACCGAGCCTGAGAACGGTCAATAAGTTTGTCAGCAGCCAAGATCCATGATGAAAACTCACCATCCACATCGGCGTCTGCGGCCAGTCGACGTTCCCTAAGTCTTGTTAGCGGTAGAAGCAAACATTCAAGGCGCTTATAGTCTCACCCATTCGCGTCCAATCTCCTGGAGCTTGGTGCCAATCCTGAGGTTGTCAGTCAGCTTTAGAGTGGGTTCAGGATGGCAATCAAGACGCACTCTTCAGTATCTTCGGTCTTGAAGGCCCCCGCCCCGACACGGGTGGTATCTGTCGCCAGTCAGCAGTGAATTACGGCCTTGGTGCAATCGAGACATACAAGCTTTGACCACTCCAACCGTCTCTGTGATGTTCCTTGGATTCAGTGTGAGTCCACCAATAATGCCAGCAAGCGTAGTACTTGAAGAGGTGACGAACTGTAGATAAAACCATGAGTACTGGTGCAAAATGAAAAGCCAAGTTGACGGAGACTTACTGGGTAAGAGCCATAATCAATGTCTAGCATCAGTGCCTGTTCAATTGGAAACAAGCACAAGCGCCAAGTCTCACAACCACTTTCCTTCGCTGGATACTATGTCCCACCCCGAGCTGGGGATGTTTGTTGGGCTAGGAAAGAGGATTGTGAGACCACGGGCACGGTACTCGTTCCACCAATGGGTTAGTACTATTCATTGCGTCTTAGGATAAGAGCCTTACGTTTGCGCCTTCAATGACAATTTTCGCGTCGCTCTCCTGTGCGGACCTCATGAAGGACACGCCGTCCACAACGTACTTCTTTAGCGTCTCCCTGTACTCATTGAAACGAGCAAGCTCGGCCTTGATGTCGTATTCGAACAATTCTCCGAAGCGCTTTTGATAGCCATCGGCTAAGCGCCTCACCTTCTGCTCGAAAAGGTCCGGGTAGAAGACGTCGGTCATTTTGATGCCAGTTCGCTGGGAAAGTTAGCGCACAGTCCGCTCCCTTGTCATGGTCGACTATGTCCTACCGCTCTGCTTGTCTGATAGCATGGACCAATGCCTATGGCGGGTATTAGATCTCGTTACTGGCACGACGATGACTGATCTTGTCCCGGCTATTGAGATTTTGAAATGTTTGTGACAAGTTGACATAATTAAGAAAGAATAATCCGGCATGGAATTCTGGGGGCAACGTACCGCGTCTCGTTGTTCCGATAGCTGCGTCTGGGGTAGGCGTTAGCTGCTGCTCCTCAACAAGGGTGGGAACTATGAGACGAACCTCCAAGTTCCCTCTCTTCGAGGCCATCCACTGCTATGTGCAAGTCCAGGAGGATATTGACTCTATCAGAAACAAGGATTCGATCATGTACCGCGGATAGCCCCTTTGCCTCTAGTTCGGCGAGCTCGCTGAAGAAACTTGGGACATGGAAGACTACGCCCGACCCGATGAAGTTTAGGCTATGGCAGTTGTCAGTCTCGCCGTTGCCAGCTTGAACAGTCATTATAATTGACAAACCATGTCGGGTTGATCAGCCCAGAGGGCAAGAGGTGAAAGCTGCCTCCCTGTTAGCAGCCACCTAGTCCTTTCACGTGTGCTGGTTCCCACCTATACGAAACTCCATTTACACTTTGCACCTATTAGCAACACAAGGCATACGAATATATATCGATCGATAGAAAACATTCGACCAACCGCACGAGGTGCCCAGCGTTATTCCCACCCTTGCCGTCAATTAGTTCTAGAGACTGATGGCAGCCGTTGGCCGATCGGATTCTGCCTGCGTTGTGCTTACCGCGGCTCGGGCACAGAGTTGCGCCTCCTGGCACTGTCCATCGACCAATTTGCCCTTCTGAGTACGCAGTATCGTTAGTATTTGGGTGTGATTGGCTGTATTTGGTTCTCCACGAATACTCACGCCTTCGTCGCCTGTACAAGTCCTGGTCAGTAATGAGATGAATCCGACATCGGCTGGGCGTAGAGGAAGGACATATTTCAGGCAAGGGAGAGAACATACCCCACTGGGCTCCAAGAATGACAGTGATAGGCATGGTTCACAGGATCAACTGCCGTTGTTGTAACTGCAGAGGAGAAAAAAGACTCGACCCGGACAAAGTAACAAAACTTCAAAGGCGCGGTTGCTCGAAAGGCGAGTCCGTAGCCGCGCGATTTAGTGAGCAGCCTGCCGCTGTAAAATAGTGTGCGACAGGCGGCGATGCACTGTATGGCGGGGTACTTGCATGCACTCTGCCCCTCCATCCATCCCACCATCAAGCACTGTAGAGGCAGGGGTTGCGATTTCTACAGCCAATTACAGTGAGGAATAATTCCCGAAGGATCAGGCCGCAGGCTTATGTGGTGGTTAAGTGCCAGAAGCATTTATACACGATAATCGCCTCTTACAACCCAAAAGATTGAAGCAAAAAACAAAAACATACAACAGCCGGTGTTCGCTGATGGTCACCCACTCAACTACTAATCTGCCGGTTAATGGCTTGTCTATGGGGGAGCAGACGGGACCCCGAATTTTCCATTACCTATGGTCGTATGTGCTTTCTTTACTGCTTAGTCTTCTTATGTAGACACGCAGTAAGAAACTACATAAAGGAGCAAAAAATAAAAACATACAATAGCCGGTGTTCGCTGATGGTCACCCACTCAACTACTAATCTGCCGGTTAGTGGCTTGTCTATGGGGGAGCAGACGGGACCCCGAATTCTCCACTACCTATGGTCGTATGTACTTGTCTTATTGCTGAGTCTTCTTATATAGACAGCAAGATACCATATAAAAGAGCAAAAAGAAGAAACCTATAACAGCCGGTGTTCGCCAGTGGTTCAAGCTGACGAAGGATCTGGCTGGCGACATACCCAGCTATGCCATACTGTCGCACACTTAGGGCCCTGATACCAAAGACGTCACCTTCAGAGACTTGGTCGACGGAATGGGGAAGAATAAGACGGGCTGCAAGAAGATCCGGTTCTGCGCGGCATGAGCGAGATCGTAATAGCCTTTGATACTTCTGGGTAGACACCTGCTGCATCGACATTTTAGACCCCAACGAGCTGACTAAAGTAATCAACTCGATGTTCCGCGGGTATAACGAATCGACTCGATAATATGTGCACTTGTCGAGGTGCTGCTCAGACATGTGGCATCATCTGAAGCCATGACGGCGTTAAGTATACGCCAATAGGCACATGACGGAGGCTAACAAACGACTCTACTACAATGTAAACCCTCGCTAGCGCGTAGAAGAGAACAGCCAAGGCCCCCATGCATGGATAGATGCTTTCACCCACCTCCCTCCACTGCCTCCGCGATTGTCGTCGACCACTAACAATTTCTACCAGAGCCTTAACAAGCTCGAGTAAGATCTTCATACCCAGTCCAACAGCAAATAAGACAAGTGAGGTGGCAGCAATCCCAATGCTAGCAATCCTCCAGAGGAGCCTTTCGGTGCCGCTCGGAAACTCAAAGTTCCAGACGGACAGGTGGATGCCGCCGTATGCTAACGGCATGGCCAAGGCGAGGACCAGCAAGCCAGGGGCCCACTGCGTGACTTGGAAGAGCTCCTGTAGATCGACAGAGAATTTAAAAAAGGCAAAACTGAGGTTTTTGGCCTGTCTCGTGAAGCCATGTTCCTTGTTGTGTATATCATTCAAGGGGATGCCGAAGATCCATTGGCACAAGTCAACGTCGTCATCATTGGTGGACTTGCCATGAACGGACTCGAACAGGTCGTTGATGGCCCGAAACCGATTCAGTGCTTCGGGGGAGAGTTCCTCGTCCTTTGCTGAAACCGCCAGCGTCATAATAGGGCTGTTAAGCTGCTGACCCAAAGCGCGGGCCCGGTCTCTTATAGCACGCGCGGCACCGTTCGGACCGGGGTATATGTGTGTGGGTATAACCAGCTGCACACCTTCCGGGATATGGTATCTCCTCAGTCTCCTCAGTTGATCGTCGTACATGGTCTTTTGGACCACCAAGGCGAGCGCCGAGTCCCAGGACGGATCATAAACGATTTCAGGAGCGCGGACATCCAGCGGTTTCTGGGGAAACCATGTCAGCAGCGGACGAGATCGAAATCGCAGAGTCGCAACTCTACGCGCTTGAGTGTCACATCCCATTCATGACAGCATCTTACCTCGAACCAGAAAAGGTAAAGGAGGACGGCGCAAACGACGTGAACCATGATGTGAACCTCCAGCAGTGCCAGGGGAAGACCATATGCCCGTCTGGCGATGCACTGGAGCACCATCCAAGACACTTGCAACAAGACAAGGGCCTTTTGGATCTGGTTGGCCTTGCTTCGAGCGTCTATCTTCGACTTTGATACGTAAACCCAACAGCCAAACCTACAAAGATCGAGTACCCCCTGCGGCTTCAGTGGAAGGGTGGCGCGAGAATCTTCTGAAAAGAGCAGTTCATCCCTGACATCACCCGCCGTCCCGTCCAAAGTGAAGCCTTTGTCGATCCCTTGCCGGGAGAGGAATCGGGCTATTCTTGACCGTTCGATGTGGACTCCACCCATGACCACGAAGAAGGCGTAAGAGAGGGTAAATTTGAACTGGTAATGTCAACTAAAGCCTACCACGACCGTTGCTCGTGGGTCAGACCTCCTTATCCGCTGTTTTGCTTTCGTCATGGAGCGCGCGGAGGGCGTTGCGGAGCTTCCAGGCGTCGCGGAACTGGCTCGCAGCGCTGAACAATACTATCTCGGGCGCGAAGAGAGCGATGAGAATCCACCAGGCCTTGGCCACCAGCAGACTCAACCAGTCGACCTTTACTGGAACGTTGAGGTGGATGGCCGTATAGATGCAGGCCACCAGCGTCAGGATGCAGCTCTGGAGGATAGCCATGGTGCCGCGGAACTGAGGGGCCGAGACCCATGGCGGCGCATCGATCGTCTGTAGCGCTGTCATGTTATCCTTGTTGGCCGAGATTGTCCACCAAACTGGGCCTTCACAGGCAGAGGCGTCGTTTGCGGCCATGATGTGTGTTTGGCAGCCGATGTTGGCGTCGAGGTCGACTATCGAACTCGGTGACCGCGCGGCTGGAGGCTCTTTCATATATCAGATCGTTTCTCGTGTATCGAAAGGCTCGACGCTGTCGAGCCATTCGAGGGCCGACACGTTTCCGCTGTTCCCACATGGAGCTGTTGTGACGATGTTCGCTCAGTGGACGGAATCAACGAGCTGGCAAACGCAGTCGAGCCTGACCCCTCATCTGTCAGAGCCCAACTGTTAACCCCGGGAGCGCATTGCAAACAATTTCATCTTTCGGTACCTATCGAACCTTACCACTGTAAGCTCCATTTTGATAGTGGACTGGGTGAAATTTTAACAATCGTTGGATTGCGGAGGGCTCATCAACCTCTAAAAACGGCAGCGCGTGAATACAAAAACGGAGACCGGGATGCAAAAAATGGAAGACGTTGAACTTGAGGAAAGAGCTTGACGGGACCCCGAATTCTCCACTACCTATGGTCGTATGTACTTGTCTTATTGCTGAGTCTTCTTTAGTATATAGACAATAAGATACCATAGAAAAGAGTAAAAAGAAGAAACTTATAACAGCCGGTGTTCGCTAATGGTCACACACTCAACTACTAATCTGCCGGAGTGGCTTGTCTATGGGGGAGCAGACGGGTTTCCACCATGACCTGAACCTGGACCAAGGTTTTGCCATTTTCGCCATCTTTGACTCAGTACAATCGTTAAGTGCACGCCTACTTCACCGTCTTGTCTCCCACTTTAATTAGTCAGTTTGCCAGATGAACATGAAACCTGCACCCCCCTCCCTCTCTCTTGGCTTTATCTATTAGGAATCTCTTATATTATTACCTATCTAGTGTACAGTTAACTACAAAAGATAATGTAATAGGGAATCCTTATAGCGTGGGATTAACTAGCATAATACCAGCCCGAGAGTTATATCACCAGACCTCTGGGGATTTTCCTGTTACATTACGTCGATGGCTCAGCGCATTTAACGCCGGTGGCAGCGTTAACACAGACTTGACTAAGGATTCTTTCACCGCCCATGGTGAAATATCCTTCGCCGCAGTAACCTCCAACGTTGCAGAAGATCGAGTCGCCGCACTTTGGTCCGAGGTTGGGGAATTGAGGATCAGGTTTGTTGTTGCAAGTTCCAATCTTAACGCACACTTTGTCACTGGAGCTGCCACTAAAGTCGCTGGTGCCGCAGATGAAGCCAGAGAGGCAGTCGGCATTGGTGTTGCACTGAGGAGCTGCGGAGGCAGTGAGGGCCATGGTGGCAGTCATGATGGCAGACTGGAAGAGAAGGCTGAACATTTTGGCAGTTGTGTTAAAATTGTTGGATGCTTTGCTGATGAGTGTGAGGATGGTTATTGACAGTTTCTATTTCAAAAGGGACATGCGCCTTCATTTATACATGAAGTTACCTGGTATGTGCTTGCTTAACATGGCATTCTAACCTACCAAACTATCCAACCATTACCTACTATGGCTTGCTATAGAGTTTATAATGCTGGATGAAACGGAGAATTGTGATGATGTGTGACGTGGCATGGCTTTCTTTGGAGACATTCTCATGGGCAATTGCGAGGAAGGATCTCAGCTGCACTCAGTTGAGCGACAATTTATGGGTGTACTCATTAATCCAGCATCCCATTATGAGTAACAGAACAGTGGTGGCCAAGTTCAATGGCTGATTTTCGATAGTTCTGTGTCGAAATATTCTCCGCGCAAACGATACGTAGGTACCCGGGGTGCGTGTGGCTATGTATGTAGTATAGCGCAAAGTTAATCGCATGTAAGAGTATCTTGAGCAGCTGCTATTCGAGAAGATTGGTAGAGGAGGGTTAGGGAGGGGGGAGAGGGGTTGGTGGGGGTAAGAAAAGCCACCTTGTTATAGTGAATGAAATACACTGTCCTGTCTTTAGCCATGTTATAGCAGGAATTAGGAGTTTCATCTGGAATGTTGATATTTTAAATGATGAATTATGAATGCTTCATAGGAAAGCCTGAGTAATGTTATATATTCCTACTAATCTTCTTGGTGTATGGTCAAGTGCTATAGCATATTATCGCCCAGATGCTATCTGCGTCTTGTTATTGCCCAATTACTCCCATCTATTACAAGTCTTGTTCTATTGGATACGCTTCAACCCAGAAACTTGAAGATGAAGCTGCCAAGTCGGAACCTCACTATTGCTTCATCTCCAATCGCATGCTGCAGAACAAGCATACAAGGCTGAGTCTGGAACAATGGAGACTGCATAATAATAGGCCAGATGACTGGTGTGATTGTATGGATCCTATAGCAGAGCTCAATAGAAAATGTCGTCATTACATTTCAGGCGCTTCAGCCAGCCACCAGCCCCGACAGCTGGCGTTCTTCCTGGCTTCAGCTCAAACTCACCTCTCCGCCAATGAATACTAAGCCTACGGCATAGAATTATTACAGGTATTGAAACAAGGCACTGTTGCCTCAAGTAATAGCGCTGTCATCCATCCATCCTTTGCCTCCCGTAAGCTTCGGCCCTATAACCAGGTGGCGATGCTGTCTTCCTCCCTCTGCATTTGCCCTTAACTAGCGGCGCAATTCAGCACGCCTCTGCTTGTCCCAATTCACTTATTCAAATGCTAGTAGCCGCTATCTCGAACACCAAGGATCGATCCGTTCGAGCCTGTGCCGGCTGACGCTGATACTTTTGATAGCAATATGCTAAGCCTCATCACTCTTACCGTCTGTCACAGTCGAACTTACAGCCGAACGTAAACGCCTGTGGTCGGCGCATATGGCAATACGTGTTTGAATAAGGAGAGCTGGGCCAAATGCTAGGAATACTGTTGCAGCGCTAGTGTTATATCTGGACGACCCTACCATAAGAAGGCAGCTAGCCTTCGATATTGTATGTAGAGAATGAATGAGACGTATGGTACTTGTGCTATGTACGATGTCGCACGCTACTATACATTAAAGAGCACTGAGAAGTCATGTAATAAATGTACATTGGCTGGAAACTAGGTCATGGAATCTTCGATTAGAGAACTTGAGAGAGATAATTTTCAGATAAGTTCACGGTATTCATAATGATTGTAGAAGGACATTTCATACAAAAGAGAGATGCAGAAGAAATCACAGTACTACACGTTTGTATCGGAGTGAACACTTGGGATCAGGTCGTCGGCAATCGATCTACGAGGCCTTCAGTCTAAACACGTTCTTGCCCTTCTTGCCCGTTGACCTGCGTGTTTCAGAGATACTTGGCGAACATGGTCGTGAAGAAGTCGATGAGGAACAGGCCGTTAGGGTCGAGCTGCTGACGTATCTGGAACCCCTAGTTTAGTTTGCGCATTTAGCGCATTTATGTAAGTTTAAGGGTCTCGGAAAACGGAAACATGCAGCTTCAATTTTGGAACTTAGAGGCGCAAGAAACAGAAGACATTAAACCGCTGTAAAGAACTTAACGGGACCCCGAATTCTCCATTACCTAAGGTCGTATGTGCTAGGAATGGCAATATAACAGGACTATAGAAGTATTTCCAAAAACCGATTAGTACGCGGTGAGACCGTTTATTCCAACACATGACCAACTTCTCGCAATTGCAGTTGACTGAATGTTGATACTGAAATCCGGTAAGCATTGGATTAGCCAGCTGTATAAGATAAGCAAAGAGTTAATTATTAATAAACAGGAGTGAATTTTAGAAAGCTAGGTAGTAGATGTAATAGATGTAGATACAGCTTGAGCAGCACCCCTTTCTGTTCCTCTGCCTACTCTTCTGTTTGTTCTTGATATCTGTCTGCGGGTTAGACACTACTCATCTGCATGTTATTGCTGAGGGGAGGGAGGCTGGTGTTAATAGTAGCAGAAGAGGTTACTGTATGAGCTGCAGTAGGAGTGAGTGTGGGCCGGCAGTTTAGGCTAAATGACTAGAAGTAAGGAAGAGAAGAGAGTGGAAAGGATAAAGCTAATAGTACCGCGTTCTTTCCAATACTTACATTACAACAGAGACTCAATAACACATCCCTATTTCTATATGAGACTACGTTAGCCTGATGATTAGTCTATAATCTTTAATACTTTTTACCGTAGTCTAATACGTGTCACGGGTACCTCTCCCATGCATTGTGTTTTTTGTTTCGTGCCTTAGGCTGTGAAACAAGAAGAGCTTAGTATTAGCAACGGCCTTGGATATGTTGCATTGACTATATATTCCACTACACTCTGATTCATCCAAATCAAGCCAGCAGCCCAGCCCACTATATGTAGATCGAACCCGTTCATAGACGGGCTTGATTCATAAGTCATACAATAAATTGATCTGCTAGCTCTCCTCAAGGAGTATTAATTGTATAGGAGTAGCAATTGGTCAAATTCAGACACCCTGAGCTTTGGGTTCAAAGGGAGTCAACTTGTGACAGCAACTCAGTGAGCAAAATGTAGTAGCATATAAGGGGTAACAAGGTCTTGGTGCTTTATGAAAGAACCTTGTTTTAAACGTAAAGGCTAAGCTTTATAAAGTCTGAATGTGGGTCTTTAATGGGCTGATCTTTTGCTCCCCTGTTGATGGCTATTGGGCGAAAGAAACACCGCGGTCTGTCACTATAAGTTTGTATGTGACGCGCGGCGGTGTTGTTTTCCTACCCCCTGCTTGCCTAGCTTGAGTGTCGAAACTCGTATTCTATGTGTTTTAGATATCGCTGACCCGCTTCCTGAACGAGGCTATGCTTTATGGCTTTGCTTTATCCATGTAGAGAACTCCTATTTAAAGCAATTCATCAGGATTGAAACTCGACATATTCTTTTTACAACCAGCATCAACAATGAACATTTCTGCAGCAAGATGAGAGTTCTTTTCTTATTCTCCTTTGCTTTGGGGCTAGGCTGTGCGGCAACCCGGACCCAAGATGAGCGCTCAAGCAAGCCTCTACACACAATACCCGTTGTATTTGCGGAAGGATTTTGGTTTGGGAATTTTACAGCCGGAGACGCCAATGACTTGTCTCTGTTGATTGATACTGGATCTAGCGATGTTTATGTCAATCCAGATCTTTACAAACCTTCATCCGAATCTCAAACTCTCAACCAGACAGTCTCAATGTCATTTATTACCACAAAGCCGGACGGATGTGGAGAAATGATACTTAAAAGCAATGTGGTCACTGATAAGCTGGCCGTCAGTTCTCTTACAGCCACAAATCAGTCAATCGGAACTGTTGTAAAGGTTCCGCAGCCAAATCCGGATACTATAACCCAATTTCCAGGCCAAGGCATTGTTGGTTTGCTAGGAACATCAGCAGACGATTCTTCAGTTGGCGGCACCCCCTTTTTTCAACATCTGTGCGATGAGGGTCAGGTGGATGAGTGTCGATTTGGCTTAGGTCTTGAGACCTCCGGGACAGGCAGCTTAACTCTGGGTGGCGTTGATCGCACTCTTTTCAGTGGAGCTATGGCAACGGCTCCTATCTCTGGCCAGCAGTGGATTATTGAAGGCGGATTACCATCAGATATGCTTGATGTTGGTGTCCAGCAGTCCATGTTTTTGGACAGTGGAACTTCAAATGTGAGTGTGTCTTTTACTTTGCCTTTGCTTGAAGGTCGACAGACATACTTACTAATGTCAAAAGATCATTGGTAACCATACAATGGTTAAAGCGCTCTTTGACAAACTTGGATTCCAGAGTTTCACGAGAGATGCTATTGGCTGCGACGGCACACTATTTGGATATTATCCTTGTGATTCTCCCCCGCATATAGGATTCCAAATTGGAAATAGCACGCAGACGTTTTTTATTGAGCCCGAGGCTTTTAAGATGGAAGACAATGGCAACAACAATTGTACTGCTACCATAACAGGTGGAAATATCGGAGCTGGGGGCTGGTTAGTTGGACAGTCATGGTTTCAAGGCAAATATATCGACTTCGATGTAACAGGCAATCAAATTGGCGTGGCCAATCTTCATTAGGACTTTACCTTTCTTAATACTTAATGTATAAATCGACATTATCACCTTGAGAGCGACTCGCTTTTATGATACTCATTTTAGAGCTGTCCTCCATCTACGCGCCACATAAACAGCACTGTTATGCTTGATCCAAACAATTAGAGTTCGTTAGCTGAGAAGATTATATAAAGAAGACATAATCACACGCTGATGTAATAGGCATGTATTTGAACTGTTGCACTGGGAAATGCTTTAACCACATGACTGCGAATTTTGTAGCCTTAACTGAATAATGATAGATCCTAGAATCTAGTAAGGTATTTGACGGGACCACTAATGCGGCAGACCAAGAAGGCTTCAATAAGTTTTGCGGTCTCCATTAAAAATTGAGGCTACATGTTTTGCTTGAATTGAACTGGACTTGTCTGTGGTGATTTAGAATAACAAGAACTCATATGCCGAAGCACCGTGATTATGACTCATGCGTCAATCCTAGCATGAGAGCCTGATTGGTTATTCATAATAACATTTTTAAGTACTTTAACATCCCCCTCTATCTTGATGGCCGTTGGTTGCCGTCACACTAAGCGTCAAAGCGCTCAAGCACGCTCAGCCATACTCAGATTACTGCTGCCTACATGAATACGTGTGTCATAAATGAGCAATGGCTCAGATAGATGAGTGTATACAAACGCGGTCGGGCCTCCTCCCCAAAAAAGACAAAGCAAAGAAAGAACACCGTCCTCACTCTTCTCCGCCTGTATCATCTCCTACGCCACTGGCCTCAGCAATCATTTCTTCCTTCTTCTTTCCTTTTCATCTCGAAAACTTTACTATCTTTTATACATAAACACCGATGACAGGATTCGATGATAACATGCCAAATCAAAAGACTAATGGCTTCCGACAGTCCAAAGTCATTTATTACCGCTGATATGTTGTCTGAATTGTGGTGCTCAATACTTGTGGCGAAATTGCCGTTATCTATGCTGAGAAAGGTAACTATTACAAACTTCTCGGTGGTAGGATCGAAAAAGACGAAGATCATCATAACGCCGCCCACCGCGAAGTCGAAGAAGAGACTGGGGCAGCCGTCTCCTTGCGTGGCTCCAGCTGCATAGCTACCGTCGAAGAATTTCGTAATGACCTCCATCAGATCTCTTACTGTTATATCGCCAATGTTCTCGACATTTCTGGCAATCCCTCTTTGACAGAAGAAGAGCGTATTGACGGGCTTAGCCATCGATGGATGCCTATCAACGAAGCGTTAGAAACCATGAATTTAGCTGAACCAACGTCGGAGCTTGGTCGTTATATACAAGTGCGCGACGTTTATCTTCTTGCTGAAGCTAAGAAGGCTCTGGACGATGGAAGTGGACGGAGAGCTGGGATGTAAATATGACAACGGAAACTGGCGCCTGTGTGAAAACTTTGTTATACGGCTGATAACGTCTTGGTGCATCTCATCTAATTACTTATGACTCAGTTCAATTAATCGCTTTGTTGCTGAAAATATCACAATACCTATCACCAAGGCGCGGAGTCTAGACATGATCTAGTCATTGCATTAACAAGATGATTACGTGTTCAATGGATATTGTATCAGAATGTTTCTACGATATTTATCGAGTCGCTCTTTGAACAGAAATAGGGCGCCGGATTTGGACTTTAAGGTATTGGGATTGATAGGCAAATACACACACATGTAGTTGGAAAGCCTCTTAGTGATTCACTAAATCTACAACGGTAAGCTATCTATAGTGGTAGCAGTGGAAGTAGAAGCAGTAGCATCAATAACACCACCCATTAAGAAATGCTCTTTACTACTGCATATATCTAAGCGCTTGCAAAATGCCGTTGGAAATCCTACTTCTAGGTAGCACAAATTAGATAGTACTTTACTAACTTAAGCTTAAAACAAAGGTTCTTTGTCATATCGCTTTTCTTGTCTCTCCTTATGCTCAGGTTATCACGCGTGATCATGTAAGTTGTTTGAGAATTTTTTGTGTGTGAAGCAATGTTAGCAATCACTATTTGTGCGAAAACAACGACAGATTCAGAGCATTCGCTGATTGACTGAACATTTATAGAACAGTTGTTAATTGAACTTTTGAGCGATAATGTACACTCATATTATCTTTCATTTGCTGGATGCTGCTTGTGCTCCTTCGGGATCGTGCGCGACCACCTCAATTTCCACACGCATGGGATCCTCGCCTAATCGTTGAACTCCAATACAAGTCCAGATGGGTTGATGGTCAGGCATATAAGTCTTGAAATTGCGTACCATGGCCTCCAGTGCCTCGTCGTTGAGAGGAAGATGGTAAGAGTTGACACGATAAACTTGCGACCATCCTTTGCCGCCAGCATCCTTCAAGGTTAGTTCAACATTGGCGAAAGCCTGGTCGATTTGCGCATTGATATCGCTTTTGATCTCGCCGGTGGTAGGGTGCCATCCTCCTAGAAGCAAAAATAACATAAGAGCCGAACTAAATTATAGTACCATAATTCCCGTCTTACCTTGACCAGAGATTTCAATTCGATCGCCGACACGGACGGCCTGGTTGTAAGAATATTTCTCTACATTCTTTTTACCGACGCCATTGTAAGAATAATACTTCAAGTTGGACATTTTGATGTGAGTAAGTTTTTTCTATTGAGACTTTCAGATGGGCAGTGCTCCAGTATTGACAGCGAAGGGAGTGCAAGCTTATATATACCCAACTGCTGTTTGATTGATGCGAGAGTAGTACAGCTAGCAGTTGGTTTGGATGTCAAAGGCTGTTCGATGATTTGTCATTCGGCATCTGGTTTGCGTGTGATTCGGCATCCGGTTTGTAAGCAAGCAATCAACAGAGTAGTACAAGAAGCCGGAGATCGGTTGTACAGTGGGACAATGCAACGTTCTGCGGTGAGATGTACGTAACACAGGTTTTATCTAAACAGAACCTGGAGATTATTGATATGCCGCTCTATCAATTTAGTGCGACATTGAACACTAAGGGTCAAAATGCACCAGAAAGGTAAGTATAGATTTCACGGGCCCAAAGCAAGGGATCGAGCACAAGTATTACTCATAATCTTACTTGTGGAACTACGGTTTGAATGTGGTATGAGTGTTTTACTACAATAGGAAATCGGTCTGGTCAAGTTATGATATAAGTCGTTACTAGCACACTGCTTTGTATATTACAACATCAATATCACCGTGGTTGCGGCCGAGTATGCGGGTTGCGGTAGCGGGAAAAATCCCCGCTGAAGAAACGGCTCAACCAGAGATTACGATAGAACATACACGCCGTGAGGAATTAAAGAAGAATTCGTTGTCATTGCAGAAACACTTCTTACAAGCTGATATCACGTCTTGTCCAAATTTTGAATTGCAATCTATGGCTCCGATGTCATAATAAAGTGAGAGAAAAAGAAGATTGCAAGATTAACGCTTCAATGGGCTTCAATGGAGTCAGGCCAAGGATTCCCTAGTAATGGAGTCAATCAAGACTAAGTCTAAGCCGTGTTGCAGCGACAATGCCTAATGCAATCTACAAAACAAGTCTTCCAAACTCTAGACATGTCCATTTCTAAAAGATTGATTTATTCAATATAAATGAAACGCGGTAGGGCTTCTTCGTAATATTGATAACTATCTGAAGCATTCAAAGCTGCGTCCTTTATGAGGTATTGTGATTGGCTCCATACTGTCGCGAATCTCACACTCAAACAAACTCTGTGGATAAGCACCCCCTCACTCAGGCAAAAGGATAACCTTGACTCGCCCAGTCTCAGTATTTGTGCTTTCAGATACTCCGCAAGTCTTCAAGTAGGCTCGAATGAACTCAATATCTGAGTAACATGCCTCAAGAGACCACACCAAGATCGGCTGCGCCATGGATCGTTTCGGCGGCTGCTGCAGCCTTTGCAATTGGTGTCGCGACATCGCCTGATAGCATAAAGAACATCCTATTTGACATCCAGGATGCAATTGTGACATATAAAGGTGGAAACGTTCCTCAGGTATTGACAGAGCTTCCATCCCAAGCTCAATCCTTACCTCCATCGGTTTTCGCAACCCTATCAGTGGTTCCTCCCGAGAATATCGCTAATATCACAACCGCAAGTAATGTATTCCCGCGTGTCTACTTTGTTTATTAACTCATTGGTAGATATTTATTCCACCGGGCTCTACGTTAGAGAGCTTAAAGGAACGGCCATTTCACGTCCACCACCCTGACTTTTTGAAGATTTTGGGCAACAGCCCGACCCTCACACTCATCGCTGATGCAGGCACGGATCCTCTGTTCCATGAAGCTGTAGTTTGGTATGATAGATGCTAGGTTCTTATTTCTAGTGTCATCATTTCTGACCACACCGTCAGGTACCCCCCTACGGATGAGGTTTTCATTGCACAGAGTGCTGGACCTTTATCTGCTGGAACTGGACTAAAAAAGTCCAGCATGCTATCGAAGATATCCCTGAGTGAAGCTATGGCAGTATCAAATGAGCGAAATGCCGTTGGCAAAGTTCAAGTTCACACTGTTCCTACCGAGCCTCCTGTAATAAACCCCAATGGTAATCTTCTAACTCAACTATTACCTTTCCAAGAACATCTTCTCATTCAGTTTAGGAGGAACAAACTACAAGGGCGCGATACTCTTCACCGGCGAGGGGATGGGCCCGGATGTGCCGCCCACGCTATTTATAGCCAATCCAAGAGCGCCGTACAACACTTCTAGTAAGCAGCTCAGCAGCAATCCAGTGTTAAGTTCGTACTAATAAGACGTCTTCCACTTAAGTTCTCGTCAATAATTACTTTGGTCGCCAATTTAACTCCCTCAATGATGTCTCTGTTAATTACAGAAACAAGCATATATACTTCACGGATACAATTTATGGCTATCTTCAAGACTTTCGGCCAAAACCTGGCCTCCCAAATCAAGTATATCGATTAGATCCAGCTACCGGAGCTGTTACCGTTGTAGCAGATGAGTTTGTGAGCTGTAATGGTGAGCCGTATCTCGTTTGCCTCGCTGGCGACCTCCTAGTGACCAAATGATAGGCATCACATTTTCTCACGACGGTCGATACGCATATATAACAGATACTGGTGCATCCAAAGCATTTTATGGCTTCGATAACACGGGCGCCTCGACGATGTATGTCTTACGCCATTCCGCTTTCACTTTTTCCGTTGGATCGAAGCTGACAATACTTGGACACTTTTCACAGATATCGTTATACGGTCGCAAGAGATGGAACTTTTGAGCATCGAAAATTGTTTGCATATGCTGCAGTCGGTTTTGTGGACGGTAAAGATCAATATTCTTTCGGTTATTCAGTGCTCAACTAACCTTGCTGTCTCCAGGAATTCACTGTGATTCTGAGGGCAATGTGTATGCCGGCGTCGGTGATGGAGTACATGTGTGGAATCCTTCGGGGACTTTGCTGGGCAAAATATTCCTCGGTGAGGCGTCTGCAAACTTTCAGTTTGCGGGCGACGGCAGAATGGTCATCGGGGCTGAAACACATTTGTACTACGCAACCCTGGCCGCAAAAGGCGCACCGATCTCGTAATAGCACATGGCATTAATCATGAACTGCCAGTGCTCTCAATTTAGGCTTTATGAGTGTAGGCAAAAAGTGCTGTTTCGTTTATTCCATCTATAATTCTTGCGCGCCAATTACAAACAACCACAAACGAGGGAGCTAATTACTGAAGAGTAGTTTAGAGCCTGTTCAATTGCTGGCTAATTCACAGGTACGACGTATCTACGTAGTACTGCGAAGCATAACTACTACCTAATATACCGCCAGTGGCCAATGGGCTGCTCAGTTTCGAAGCAAACGACGCTCTAGTGCCTGATGCTCCAGCTCCCGAGTTTCCGTATTCCCCCAGAGAGACATGATCCGTCCGTTCGTCTCCAGTGTTCCAAATGTGCCATCCAGCGGAATTAATCACACTGCTCAATGAAGAAGACTGGAAAGCAACTCTCGCATAATCTCCCCATGGCCTTCCTAAGTAAAATGCTCCGTTTGTGACAGTCTTACCAGGAGCCGCTGCGATGGTGGCTCGATTGAACACATAATAACTAGACGTGTTTGATGAACGCCCAGATGCAGTGACATATCCAATGGATGCAGGAAGTACTCCAATTGAGCACTTCTCGAACCAAGCAGTGGCTGTTTGACCAAAGATGAAATCTGTGGCGCCTTCAATGTAGCAAGCTGAAAAGAGCTGGGCGCCCGTTTCTGCAAGCACAGTATCTTGAAAGCCTTTGAAAGAACAGGCATAGTAGCCCTGGTTCCCATTATTGGCGCTCAATGCAAGAGCTTGAGATCCACTACCATACGAGTTGACAACATTGACGTTATATAGCTTGAAATTGGTTGTCTCGACTCTCAGTGTGCCCGTTGCATCGTCGCTAGGCTCATTTGCTAAACTGTGGGCAGAGGTAATTGTAACGACATTAGAAGAGTATGATGCCGTGTTTTGAGTATAGCCGTATATAGTAAGCGGTCCGGTGAGCTTGTTAATTGTAACTTGCTCATTGTAGGTGCCCGGGTTGATAAAAATGATCTGTTCTTGAGATGTCGACTTCAGGGCATTTACAGCCGCTTGAATCGTTGCATAGTTTCCAGAACCAACAACAAGTGCACCGGCGGGCGGAGTGGTTCTACTAGCCGCTAGAGCTCTTGCTGTGAAGCTGAAGAAGGTAGAGAGAATAGTAAGAGGCTTCATCGTATATATGACTATAGCCAGTTCTTAAGGATACAATAATTATCTACAATATTCTGTAGCGTGACGGAATCCATTAGATCTAGGCATGGCCCATGAGGACAATTTATATTTCGCACAAACTCCTTTCCGCCTCTATTTAGCCACCATAAGGCCCCTAAAGATCAATTACATCTTGGTCAAATGATTTCAAGCCGATAATAGAAACAGACAGTATATTTGGTCATACGGCACTGAACGTATTGCTCCAGATTCAGCGGAGTAATGGCTATTTGCATTCTTGATCCGCCCCAATTGGAGGCGCGCATATGTAAATCCCGTTTACCGAAACTACTCTACTCCATCCAAACTAATATGCAGCCTCGGTATTATTGCCCGAAAACAAGAGGTGGGAGTGGACGGCACATTACGGGGCCTGGCTTCAAAGGCAGTGGGCTATTAGGCTAATTGGTTATTAACAACTTCATCAGAATTACTTCTATTTTCAATACACCAAATATTTGAAACATATCGAAATACCATTTGCCAAGTCATGTAGTCGACGACTGATAGGGTCGGTTGACACGCATGATCGGTTCTCAGGAGAGCCGAGAGTCAAACGTTGCCTCGTATTGTCAAGCTCTTAGCGCGAAAGAATATGACCAACAGAATAAGGGTAAATACTACTGTTCGGCAGTCAATTCAGAGACATACTCTGAGGTAGTGGTAATTATAAAGTCTTCAAATCTTCTTCTGCCCTGCCAGCATGCTTTAGAGTTGAATAGTTGCTGTGGTGCAAGACCGAAACCGGCTGCGGTCCACCCTACAGATAGTCTGCCACCATCGGCCATCGAGCCACAGCTTAGGTGGGCGGTTGTATGGATACTTGCGCGAGATTTTAAGTGTTTCTGAAAGGAAACATTGCTGCCTTGCATTTGGGTGGGATACTTGAGAGTTGCAGAACGTAGCTGGTAGGATCTCATGTTTAACGTTGCGTTACTGCAATTACCTGTATTCTTGTGGCTATCAAACGCCAGAGACGTTATACTTGGCGCATTACTCTGAGAAAGCAAAAGCAACGTCCCATGAGACATTGAATGGCGACTGTGTCTTGCCATCGGGGGCGGCTGTTGGTATGATCGAGTCAGGGTTTATTAAAGAATCTGTAGTCGAGCAATTAGCCACAAATCCGCCCGCCCGCGCGACACCCGTGCATGTATCAGCGCATATAGTCAAGTTATGAGTGATCTATTCTTTTGATTGTATGCATTACATACCTGAAGCATCGGGAGCCTCATACTGACAGATTCCAGGTCCGCAACCCATCCGTACCGATCTCCAGTGTAGCCAAATGCGATCTTTGGTGCTATTGGAGCAGTCACAGAGCTGGACTGGCTCGGACGCTGAGACGACGGAAGACGCCCGTTGAATAAGTAGTTGATCAATTGCGATAAGCGTCACACCAAGCTTTGCCAGCGATATGATCTTGAAGCTACGACGGGGCATTACAGAACATAAGGCGCTGTCACCACTCGCCTAATAGTCATGGAGACTAAGCACCGAGGCGCCACGAATTGCACATGCCACCAAGCTATCTTGGTGCCCTCGCTAAACGCCACTTGTGCAAGAATATTTAGAGCTGTCGTAAGTAGCGCCAGATATACAGTTGGGGAAACAGGCCAGTCATCAATTGGCTGGACGTTTGTGAAGCCACCAAGATGCCAGCAGACGCGGCTACATATGCAATGCACCCAAAGAGAGCTAGAATGTCGATATACGAGAGCCGGCTTATCATTCTAGGAGACCATTTGGCACCTTGCTGTTGTTGCCCACGGGAAACTGCGTCTTATTTCTTATTTAGCGGCACTGATTCAGAACTCCGGGACCTCTTTCACTACCACTGGAGCGAGAATCTGGTATCTGCCATTTTCTGCCTCGGTTGGTGGAGTGTTGTAAGAGCTCAATTTAGATATCTGAATGTACGTCTAAAACAGCATCTGATCCAACTGAAATCGGTGGCACCAATAGGCGATCAACAGAAATAACTGGGTAGAATAGCAAGGATGGTTTACTTTATACATATCATAAGGCGCACAAGTCAGAAATTCTTCAGAATAGATGCCACCTGGATACAGAGAGATCTTTCTCGGTATACTCGCAGTCCGCATACCTCTCATTGGCTAGACGACTACACGTATACGGGTATTAATCTAGAGACACCTTACAGCCAAATTTTCTACCCCTTGACTCATTTGATGCCTTCTATAAATACCGTCGCCTCCTAATCGTCAATCAGAGCGTACCGCCTGCATTGAACATTTGTTATAAATTGCTAATCTAATACAAGTTCGCGAGTGTGTAGATCAACGTGATGAGATAGTTTATCGGGCTGTTCTACGTGCGAGTGTTTCAGCCGCAGCAGACAGAGCTGCAAATCTGCCTAGCTTAAACGCATTTCAAGTTGCACTATGTACTCTCTGGTGTAGCCCATACATGAAGCGAATTTGACTCTTTTAGTAGCCTCAGCTACGCTTGCTGGAAGGCCATTAGACAGAGTTTAATTCTGGGCATAAACAGACGTGTGTATAAGTATGCTGTGGAAGATAGCTTCCCTCTGACCCTTTTTGTCGATCCATTTATACCCATAAAATGTTCTTTTGACACGTCCTATTAATGAGATTGTATTTTCCAAAGGCACCATGAAATCTTTATTTGGTCCTCTGCGTCACGGAAAGAATCAATTCTCTAAAAAGTGGATAATCTACCGTCGTGCATGTTAAGTTTCACTGAGACATTGTGCCGTCAGCATTCAAAATTACAACTGCTAGAAAAAAGCATTCGAAATCTCAATAAGCCACTTTCAGATCACTGTAAGGAATTGTACTTAGAACAGTTGTACGAGAAGAAGCACATAGGAATATAACTCAAATCCTGTCAAGCCTATATACACCGCTAAATTGTTATCACTACAATAAAGCATGAGGCATGGCCACGAGATGTAGCATGAATCATGTCTGTGCTCCACGTATAGGGAAGTTATCCATTCATTTGCTCTTATACAATACATTCAGCGAAGATCTCGGCTGAAAGAAGCCGAGATATGCGGATCTCCCCGGCATTGAGACTATTTGTAAGTGATAGGGCGCGCCTCTCGGAGAGAGCCTGTTAGGAAACTGCAGTGCTCCAATTTAGGTATAGCGCTCAGATCAGGCATGGTGCATAAGATTCTGGCCCTTTTTGGCCTTCTATAATTGATGAGATAGAAAGGAGGGCAATAGTACTACAGTGAGATGAACGGATTGTAGATAGTAAATGGGCTGACTACTGGTCTGGGGGTTCATGCGTTTACTTTCCCTCTTACTCTACATGGTCTTTCCGTTATTGTCTACTAGCTATTCCTAGTGAAACACGTTTGGGGTTTAATTCTATTCACTTAGAGGGATTCTTTGCTCATTATCTTATTCATTGTCTTGTTTCAGTCTATTCCATAGCGGGGCTAAACTTTCGAATTTAGAACAGACTTGTCCACGTTTGGCTTTCTGCTGAGCTGGGCTGATGGATGATGGATCTAAGCGTGGAGAGGCCAGGATTTTAGCGCTGATTGTTAAGTAATCGAATAATCGTATCCTGAAAGCTCGGAATAAAACAACAACCAGACTTCTATTTCTGGACATATAGTTTCGATTATACTTTCATGGAAGTTTTCTACAACTTATAGCGAAATCTATTGATAAAACTCAACTGCGGTGATTCTCTACTAATAGCTGTGACTGTTTGATGTAGTATTGAGGTCCCGCTAAGCGGTAAGTAAGATGACTATTGACTCAGCCCTGCTGCTAGCCCAAGCTCAAGGCACATCTCACCGTTCCTTGTCACTTCGTAAAATTTTAGTACCTGATCCAGGCTGTCAGTTAGGCACCGCCAATTTATTTTCTTATGGAGAGAGAAAGCTGAGGGCAGGGGGCACTTTGTCGTATATAATGCCAATCGCCAAGTCTTCACTCTCCACATCATCAACTACCTGTATTACAGCTTCTTTCAAAAACAGTCCCGATCTGTCTTTCGCTACTCTCTCGTCTTTCTATTCACTTATTAATTTTCATTCCTCAAACTATTTACCGCATCCAATTACCGACATGGCTAAAGAAGGCCATAACCACGGCCACAGCCAGAACAGTTGGGCACACGGACTTTTCGACTGTTGCAGTCCTGGTGGCCTTTGTCTCAAGACCTTTTTCTGTCCTTGCATCGTATTTGGAAAGACACAGGCGAGGGTTAATAATAAATTGGATGATTACTCATGCTGTAATGGATCTGTAAGTCCCATCCCATTACTATGTGCTCTATCAGACTACAGAAACAGGAAACAATGACAGTAAAGTGGCTAACAACCTGGAAGTGCATTCTATTTTGTGTTCTGACACATTGCGGTCTTCAGTGCATCCCTCTTACAATGCAACGAGGCGAAATTCGTCAAAATTTCAACTTGGAGGGGGGCGGTTTTGGAGATTTTTGCAAATCTTGTTGGTGCACTTGTTGTGTTTTGATGCAGAATGAGAAAGAAGTAGAACAGCGCGAATCTCTTTTGAGAGGCTCGTCTCAGGGGTACCAACCGAACGGTGGTATGGTGTATCCTCAAGGAAACTAATTGGAGTGGACTACGGCTATAGGAAGACGTTATTTGTCACATTGAAGATGATCGAGATGTTACGCTTTTCCTGAGGAGTATACATACTATAAGAGGGTTCTGATTATGCACAGGATGCAAAGAAAAAATTACAGCGGAAGGATTTATAACAAATTCTGTGAGGGCAAGCTGTTCGGTCAGCACTATTGTTTATTGTTTGAGATTTTCGCTTCGAGCTTTTGATGAGGTTTATCATGTGCAATTGGATGTGGCATCCTAATATTCTGGGAATATGATTAACGGGTATATCATTATTTTTTGTTTCAATCTGTTTCAATCTCTTTTCTGTTGCGATCACCGTGTTTAGCGACATTATGTGAGTACCGTCGCCTAAGATGACTGAAGGGGGTTTAGGGGACAGGAGCTTGCAGTGGAGAGATCGACATTTGTTGTGGAGAGGCTTGAGATAGAAGTGAAAGTACATGTAATAGCTACCTCCAATCTCTATGACTGAAACTAAACTTCAACGGCTAATTAATTGCCAATGTCTGAAGACATTCAAGCATTTTGACCCGCGCACCTTAACCGAGCTCTGAGATGCCTGAAACTTGTCGGCTTGTAGTACGAAGACTTGGAATCTCTTGAGTCATTTTAGTCGCATAACCGGTAGCAACGCCTTATTGACTCTTCTCAGCCACTGGAGCAGCAGTGTCATCAACACAACATCTCCTAGATTAACTATGGGAGCATGCGCAAGTTTTATTTTTTTATTAGCGGCAGTTAAACAGGGTTCAGATCTCCTGAAAATGGTTGAGACTGCTTACATGTACTCGCCTTGTAAGTTTTGGATGCCACAAGCGCCACGGCCACTGACCTCAGCCACCACGGGCCCAACTTTAGCCTTCACCTCCACTCTATACAACTTCATTTGTATTGTTACACTGAGAACTATTTCTCTAATGCCTTGCAGTCATCGTGTAGATAAATTAAATCGATGTCAACGGCAGAGAATCTTGTCGTGGATTTGACCTGATTTACGACGTTGTAGGCTGACTGCATTCGATCGACGACCAAACGCCTCCCGTTGACCGCTTTTAGCTCAATTCTTCCAAAAACGATTACTATCTGCGTGTGCTTCAGCGACGCAAACACTGCATGTGCACGTACAATTAGATTTTCCCATGAAGAGACATTTGCCATCCGCTTCAATTATAAAGGGAATCATTTTCAAGGTTAATAGCACAACGCTATTGAAGTCGCAAAGTCGTGAAAAATGATGCAATATGCCGCAGGTCCGCTAGGCGTCATGTGATCTTCAGTTTCTAATCTGCGTGGCTCTAAAATTCACGGCAAGGCTAGAATCTTCTCGTCACAGCTCACAATCTTCACTTGTTAACCATCTCATCTACCTGTACAACTCTACATATATCCCATCTTCTGTACAGTCATATCAACATGCCTTTAATCAACGTGGAGGCTCCTCCCACGAGCACCGACACTCACTATGTCGTCTACTTTGGGTCACCGGATAATGGCCAGTCATCATGGTGCCCTGACTGTCGAAACGCTCTTCCGGCTCTCCAAAGCGTCTTTGGTGCAGACTCAGCGCCTTCGGCATATGTGGTCCAAGTTACGCGCGCGGAGTGGAAGGGCAACCCGAACCACAAGTGGCGCCAACAGCCATTCAATATCAGTGGCGTCCCTACAGTTGTGAGAGTGGAAAACGTAAGCTATTCACCCTAGACGTTTGCTTGTTTTATTCTCATAACTGATGATCATCTCAGGGCAACGAGGTTGCGCGTCTTGGAGATGATAGCCAGGAAGAGTCAGCTTTGAGAAAGCTGATTGCATAAGCGACTGAGCTTATGGGATAAGACGGGCATTTTCCAGCGATACTCCATTACAGTTAAATGATTCATTGAAAATGAAACCCCTGCATCCAGTCAACTATAATTGAAATGTGAATAAGCACATAAATTGACTAAGAAAGCCTTGGATAATCTGGCCTGCAGCGCCGTTTGCAATATGGTCGTGGAAGTCAGTATGACGCTCCATGTGATCTCTCATCTACCTTGACGACTACCCACGTATTGTCTCTTGAAACTAAGCTTCTAAAATTGAATGTCTTGGAAATATCAAATGGCATTTCATCGATATTGGGGATGGTCCATGTTCTTTTTCAGGTCTGTCTTAGAGACCGGAAGAGCACAGCAAGCATGGAAGGCTTCACGATGTAATGTACTAGTGCAACAACGACGTCTGCCATTTAGCAAAGGGCGTAAATCGTGTAATGTAGAGTAGAAAATGCATATCCAATAGGTCATACAATGCACGAGAATGATTGCCTTGGTAATGAGGCGCAGTAGCAGCGGTAGTAGCAGCTTGAGAAGCACAGCTTCTTAGTCTCGCTTCTTAATACGAGGAAAGCTTAGCCAGACTGCAGATATTACGACAATAAGCGCCAGAATAATGGGCTGCAGGACTGAAACGCTTCTGTGCGATGCAATAGCGCCAATAATAAAAGGAAACACCGTTCCTCCTGTACCACCCATGGCCATGGCGAACCCAATGGCGCTGACATGGATGCGCTTCGGCAACAGTTTGGCTGTCACCATAACGGCACCAGGGAACATTGGACCCAAGAAGAAGCCTAGAAAGGCAACGGCGACAGCAGAAACAACAAATTCTGGGACGAGCCAGAATAGAAGCTGCAAACCGAGACAGATGCCGAGGTATATGGCCAAGCAGAGCCTCTCACCGAACCTCTCCGTCACGAATCCCAAGGCAGCGCGGCCGACTGCCATGCCTGCCCAGAAACCTGAGCCGGAGATTCCAGATGCATAAGCTGAAGCGTGTCTAACACGGAGCATAAAGGTGACTACCCAGCCACCGAGACCGACTTTTGTCCACGAGTGTTAGTGTCAATTGCAGAGGATGGTATGGCAACATGCATGAGACAAACTTACCCTCTACGCCCATGTAAGCAAAGAAGAAAAGCGCACAAAGCCAGGTGACTTTGGACTTCATTGCCTCGCGAGTTCCAGCACCAGCAGCCCCAGTTTCTGCATTCTCGTTGGCATGTTCCGCTCGATACGCGGCACCTGTCTTATCCCAGAAGAAAACGACGAGCCCGACAAATTCCAGGCCTGACATGCCAATCTGATAAAGAAAATTAGTTTATCAATGCTCTCACTTCGTAGACATGTATGTGTTGCTGAAGCCTCACCATGATATAATAGTAGGTATACCAAGGCAGGCCAGACTTAACGACCATGGAAGTGGCAATCAGCGGCGAAAACAGTGCTCCAAGGGAGTAGCATGAGTGCAAAAATCCTTGTATCGTATTCGCCTTATCCATGGCACCAATCCATGCGCAGAAACATGCGTCTGTCAAGCCATTTCCAAAGCCGCTGATAGCATTGCATACAACAAGAGCTGGGTATGGCGGGTGAGAGGCGAGAACGGCAAAAGTTATGAGATGGCATATGGGCGCCATGATGGCCACGCCTCGCTGGCCGAATAGGACATGGATCCGAGCATTGGTGAAAGCAGCGACTGAGTAGCCGACGAAGGGGGTGAGGAAAATAAGGGATATGACGGTGTAGCTGAGGTTATAGTACTCTTCAAGCTATAGATTGAACGATTTTGCGGTGAGCACCAGATTCTGTGACATTGCTAAAAGGTCAGTATTGAACGAAGTGACTTACATATGGGATCAAAGCCTAACCACATCGCACATTAGTCTCATCTTCGTCGCAAATCATGATACACCATAGAAGAACTCGGTCAACTTACACCAACAGCGGCATCATTCATGCCCGCAATTGCAAACGATACAAACGCAAACGCTAGCCTGCCAATGTTCTTTGCCGGTCGATTCCACCGCTCCACCTCGGTATGAGCATTCATCGGCGGGCCGCCACCATCATCGCCATTAAAAACGTGTGGTCCCGCCTCTTCGACATGTGGTGCCTCTTTTGTCTCAGGGCCGATTTGGTGGCCCGAAGAGGTTCCCGTGCCGAGGTGCCGCAATTCTATAGCCTCCGAGGCGGGTCGCGCTTCAATGGTAGTTGTGGTGGTTGACATAGTTGATCGTATTTCATTAGATGATTGTCATGACTTTCATATCTATCTCTTGTCTTGTTTGGAGTGCACGATCGAAATTGGAGAAGTAGAATCCTAACTGATCAAAGCCGTTATCGGTACCCAAGTGCGGAGTTTCTCTTGGCGCCTGTGAATTGGCTGATCCTAGCCCGATTATCTTGCCGCGGGGCGTCAGCACCAGCAGAGAACAGCTATTTACACCCATAGTCATGAAGAGATTTCATCGATCAGTAAAGAGCATGTTGCCTTTGAAACAAAAACGAATATTGCGCCAAGCGCATTTCAATCTCTATACTGTTAATTGAGCCAGTTGCTTTTGCAACGTAGGATTTACGCTTTAGTTGAGAATGAACAGAGTTTGACCATTCGAGAGACTCCATCACACTCGAGCTATCGCGCAGCACCAATCCTTCCGCTTAATCTCATAGAGTTGGCTGGCAATCAAGCCGGCACAGCCCAAATAGAAACGGGTTAGAGCGACTTATTAACATAGTACAGCCGCTACTCTTCGGAAAGCTTCCGGAGACATGAGGACATCTAAACCGGGCAGTGTCATGTATGCCTTGTTTCTGATGTCGGAACTAGAAAGCTTTGAAGTAAGCGCACATTGCTACTCGGTATACGAGAACCCGAAATAAAGATGAACAGCCATGCTGGTTCTGTCTTGGCCGGATTTCAGTTTCGTCTTTGGCAGTAGACCCGAATCATCGTTTACTTGCTGCGAAGATAGCATGTGCTACAGCGGATATACCATCTACTGCTACAACAGGGAAACGCTACCCAACACCCCAAATGTAGCTGGACTCGGTGGCTAGAATAGATAAAGTGTATAATTAAAGGGTGTTTTTTCATACATCAATTACTTATGTTAGTAGTACTAGCAGTAACCTACATGTAGCTAAGATGCTGGATAAACTGGAGTGCTGGCTAGCTATTCCTTTAAGACGTTACCGTCACGAATGGGTTCAGAGTGAGGTCTTCGTAGATAACTTGCCGCCTGCCTGTTCGCCACAAAAGCGGCCTTTCTTTGCTTTTTAGGCTGCTATATATGCTGGGGCAACCACCGTATGAATGATACTGTGAAAAGTACTCCCTTGTATTTTTCTTTCAGGGGTAAACGCGCGTAGTGTGTGATTAATGGTATCTTGGCGGAATAGTAACCGAAGATGTGCTCCATCCGTGCTTTATTTTGCTCCCCAGCCCGTGCCTCCACGCCTTACTTTCTATGGCTGCCGTCAGAATTTCGCTACAGGCCAGCCATTTGAGTGCTCAACAGGACAGTCTGAGAAGTTGACAGCTTTATGGCGAGGAGTTTGAACTTATACGACATCATTGCTAGTTTTTCCTTCCCTCGTTAAACCTTAGGGAAGTTAAACAAATGATGTAACTTGTAAGCCCAACAGAAAATGTACACCATTGACAGGCCACTTTACTCATTTTCACATGTTCCAATTTGGGACTTCGGCACAGACCAGGCTAGGGGAACCTCCGGTCGTGATCCGGGTGTAATGCGCTATGGGGGCGAAAAGACGTGTACTCCGCTAGCTTTACAAGGGTCAAGTTCTATATGTTCGATATACAAGAAAAGATATAAATGGAAGTAGTGCGACAGTGGCCTAATGGATATGTGATGAGCGATAGTGATAGTTATCCTCGCGGTCTTGATTCATCATATAACGCAATGGCTATTGCCACCCATAGATAGAGTCGAACAAAAGAATGCTTACAGTACAAGTACTAGATATTTTCTTCGCGGCAATTCCCTTTTTAGAGTGCTTACCACTACTAGCACTCGCACCAATACCAGTCTAAACTACGAACTAATTCCTCCATACGTGTACTTTAGAGCAGGGGGAAGCCTGTTTGCGGAGAATAAAAAGAAAGCTGTGATCGGTGCTACATCCTCACGCCTTGGCTTTTGGCACATGAAACAGTCTGTTGCTGGCCGTACTTAGTTCCTGGCAGGCCAATCGCCTATTCTTTCCGCTATAAGTATACTTGTGATGAATATGCACCGTCTCAGCTTTAGGGCATGCGCTATCATCGGCCGACAAATGAGAGGATAGGGATATGCGAGCGCTATATAGAGCCTGCAAGCATAACAAACCTCCATATCCAAGAGATGACGAAAACATGCGCGAATCGTAACGAATCGTCTATTAACATGAGTGTCTATTTGTTTCAATGTAAAATCCTTCCCTCGCGGGTGTATGTTTAATCATGATAGTGTGCCAAAGACGGAAGAATGAGCCAGAAGAGAGACATTAACGTTCCTTATACAACCGATAGCGTATGATCAGCGAATTTCATATCCATCAAACGGTGGCAACTAGCCGTCAGTAGCGTCCGAAACAGATGTGCATTAAAACAACATAGTGATTGGCATCACACCGGATTGTTGCTGTCGGGAATGGAAACGCCTTCCGAAGTCCTGTCGAATGAGCATCCGCAGATGTCTTTGACTTTCAGGTGACTGGGTTTGGCCGAATTTCATGCACTATGTCGACCTCAACAGGCTTCCGAATACCTCTGCTCTCTTCATCAGGCCCCGACTGATGTCCCTGGTCTTGGTCTTGGCTATCGCTCCATGCTTTAAGATCCTGCATTCTGATCGAACCGACCATGCGCTCCTCGCTCTCATTTATCGTAAAATCTGTTATTGGATTCGCTGTCGGCGGTCCACGGCCCCGCCAACTCTTGGAACTCCCTCCAAAAGTGATGAAGCCTTTTGGTGTCATCTCTCCAGACTTTTGTGTAGAGCGCATCGAGCCAAGGATGGATCCGAAGAGGGGTACAAAGATCTCCTTGAGTAGAGGAAGTGTCATGGGCAAGTTGGTTGTAACGACGGCAACAAAGGTTTCTCGGACAGCCCAAGACCCGGCCAATTGTGCACCATTCTCTGTGTCCTAAACATTGCCTTGTTAGCTTTTTGCGTCGATATATATAAGAAACCGGCGGCGTACCAGAACTATTAGGACACATCGTAGAGTGGCACAAACGACGACTAAAATGCCGCCACTAAAGACAATCATGAAGCCGACTTTCTTTAGAGGCTTCAGACTCGACCCCCACAGCATAGGTAGCGGGACTGATATGATGTATAAATCGGTCGTTACGTTGAATGCCCAGTAAACCCAGATGATCTGGTTAGATATAGCGGGCTGGCAAATATCTGTAAGTAAAGTCAGTACAAGATCCAAACATTCTGCGATCGGGACCACTGGCTTCCTGGATCTGGGAATATTTGCCAGAATTTTTGAAAGGGTCGACACGAGAGGTAAAGATTCAGAGCTACAACAACATAGCTGGATGCAAGAAAGGCAAAACCAATGTAGACTCGAATGCGATAATGTGTAGCTAAGCCTTCCTATAAAGAGATATTAGAAGACAGTTGAGAAAAAAAGATCGTCTGGCTCGGTAAGCATACTGTCAATCGTGTATAAAACACTAGCAACGACGCCTTGAGCGTCCAAAGGAGCGTCGAGTACGTTGACCACCCTGCAAGCTGAATCTTCGATCCCATGATCCTAACAAACATATCAGCAAGAGATCATATCATCGTCTTCTACCTGATCGCCGCCCACCTCAATCGAAACTCCGGGTCGTCTGGCGATAGCGCAGCCCGCTGCGCATCCGTCATCCCGTTATTCGCCAGACCGTTTGCGACATGGCCAACGCTGTACGCCAGAGATGTCTCGGCTATATAAAAGACAACGGCAAGCCACGCGAGATAATCGTCGCCACCTAGGCCTCGACAGCCGGCATATCGAATGCGAGAAACCGTCCTGAGGACGGTGACTGCGATGCCAACACTGAGGAGGGTCCACGCTTCGACTGTGAATTGATGGAAAGCTGCAGCCGCTGCGGCTTGTGCTGCCGGATCTGGTGGAGGACTCGGCATCATGTGTAGCCTGATGACGGGACGTTTATTTGCAGAGGCCTTGCAAAAGAGCGTCTGAGCCCTCGAATTTAACACCTCGACCACTTGCAACAGTCAACCGAATCAACCAACTGAGCACAGCCCAACGGAAGAGCGAGTCTGTCATTTTTACTCCTTTCAATCTCCTCCCTGCATGAAAGCAGTTAGTATTTTGCAGGCCATCACTTCACATCCCACAGTGTTGGTTCGATATCACGGTTGTACTAGGGTCCTTGTACCTAGTATGTCATCTCCAACACGGAACCTCATCGGGTGTACTGCTTGTATCTGCCGCAAGGGCCAATGCAACCCAACCGGCGTTAGAGAGCAACATCAACCAGTTGGCCCCGGTGATAGGCTACCCGTGTTTGATGGTGGATATAGGCACCGTTATTAACGCAGGGGCCCGCGTCTGTAAATCACGACTAGGGGAAGCAAAAAGAGAAAATCACACGACGAAGATACACACACAGCTGAGATTGAGCATATTGACCAAAACTAGAAGGCAGTCGCTCAATAGATATACTGAAAATAATGAAGGAAACAGAGGTGGTAGAGTCATAAATTCATCGAATTTACAAGAGCAAAGCAACGCTATTCAGGTAGCAGGACTTTACAACACGCTATTAAGTCGCTACGACAATATGCCTGTTATATACAGTAGTTGTGCGCTGATCGTTGGAAGCTCTATCACTTTGCTTTTTGCTCTCCACCTGCACGGATGACTTGGACTCAACGCGCATGTCTCCATAAAAAAAAAGAAAGTTCATGTCTGAAGCCGCATCTCATCTCAGCGCCGGTTTCTTGAGCCGCTTACATGTAGTCAATTGGATCAGGCCCTGGAACCGGTATCAACTCAGAGCAGAACAGAGCTGCTCTATTCCTCTGCTGATCCCTCTCAATTTATCCACTTCAAATTGCGTTGAAGAATCCCGCTTTGCCGCTTTTAGCCCCAAAAAGCAACTGCCCACCCATGCGGGTCATCAATCTGCATGTTGGTTCTCCGGCCGGAGCAAGTACTGAATACAGAGTGCAACACCTTGTCATCTTCCAACCGGACTAGCAACTAGAGAAATCCTTAATCAAGGTTTAGGGGAGCTACCAACCGGCGGAGCGTAACCGGACCCCCTCCCGTATCCTGGTTGTCATACTTGGTGCTCAGTATTTGACCAGCACGGTTCCCCATCATGGCAGCAGTCAGAAGCAAGCTCAAACAACAAGGAAAGTCTGCGACCAGTCAGTTCAGCTAGCAGTAGCCAGCGACACCGATACCGTGATGGAGACTGTCGATTGCGTCGTGGCTGGCGCCGGTAAGTAATTCTCCCCTTGCTTCTCTCGTCTTCCTTTTCTCTGTTTTCTTCTATTCTACTCTCGTGCATGCCTCTCTATGTCGCACGAACTGACAATGGAAGTCGGGGTGCTAATCCGCCATGGGCGTCAGGATGGTATGGACTGGCCGCCGCGAAGCAATATCGCGCCATTCATCCAGATGGCTCACTTGTGGTGTTTGATCCGCAATCTTCTGTCGGTGGTACATGGGCCAACGAGCGACTGTATCCCGACTTGAAGAGCAACAATCTGCTGGGAACCTACGAGTATCCAGATTTCCCAATGGACCCCAAAATATTCGACGTCAAGCCAGGCCAGTATATTCCCGGAGAGGTTACCAACGCGTATCTCAAGGCCTACGTGGAAAAGTTCAATCTCGGAAGCTCAATCCGTCTTCAAACCAAGGTTACTGTTGCCGAGCATCAAGACACACCTAAAGGTGGATGGATCCTCACCGTTGTCAATCAAGAGGGCCGAGAGTCCAAAGTCTTCGCTAAGCGCTTAATTGTCGCAACCGGTCTAACTTCAGAACCCTTCATGCCTCACTTCGAGGGCCAGGAGACTTTCGGCGGAAGAGTGTTTCACAGCAAATACTTTCAACAGAATCGAGATACCATCAAGACGTCCAAAGCTGTGACTGTTTTCGGCGGGACAAAATTTGGGTTCGATGCGGCTTATACCTACGCCACCGCCGGCGTTCAAGTAAATTGGGTCATTCGATGTAAGTTATTCACTCCTTTGAGTCATTCATGAGAAAGAGAAACTTCAAAGAGCTAACAGAAACCTTGCAGCGTCTGGCCATGGTCCATGCTGGATTTCCCCATCATACGTGACTCCCTTCAAGAAATGGATCGAAAAGCTTGCAAGTACGTCCAGCTCAGCCTTCCTTGTCTCGATGGCGTATAGGAGACTAACCTGTGTAATATAGACATGCGCTTCCTCACATGGTTCAGTCCATGCGTTTATGGAGATGCTGCTGGCTACACCAACATTCAGCGCTTCCTCCACGGCACTTTCATCGGTCGCCTCATTGTCAATGCATTTTGGGCAATCCTCGGAGGCGATGTCTTGTCTCTCGTAGGATATGATTCACACCCCGAGACAGCAAAACTGAAGCCTTGGATGCCAGCCATGTTCACCGCAACTAGCTTCAGCATTCTCAATTATGACACTGACGTTTTCGAACTCGTCCGCAGCGGCAAGATCAAGATCCACATTGGCGAAATCGATCATCTAAGCCAGGGCAAAGTCCATCTTTCAGATGGCACCTCTTTTGACTCTGATGCTCTCATCTCCAACACAGGTTGGAAGAATGCTCCCCCAATCAAATTCCTACCCGAAGGCATCGAGAATGAACTGGGAATACCGCATGATATCGACACCGACGCACCAGCAGAAGACCTCGCAAATCAGCAACAACTCATCAGAAAAGCCGATAAAGAGATTGCCAAGCGTTTCCCCAGACTCAAGAACCAGCCAATCTGGAACGAGAACTATATTCCCTTGACGAATCAAAAGGGAATATCGAGCAACGAGGCCGTGACACCGTATACGCCACAAACGCCTTACATGCTGTATCACTTCCTCGTCCCACCATCAGAGCGATTTCTTCGCTCTCGCGACGTTGCATTCTGCGGCTTCGTCAGCAACTTTAGCAACACTCTAACAGCGCATATCCAAGGCCTGTGGATCGGCGCTTACTTCGGTGGCCTCCTCGCACAGGATCCTGCTCGTTCCGTAGACGATTCCAAGGCCATGGACAAGCTGCGATACGAGACAATGTTGCACAACCGCTTCGGCAAATGGCGTTATCCGACCGAGACAAAGGCTCCGTCAACAATTTTCGACGCCGTCTACTACCTTGATATGCTACAGAAAGACCTCGGGTTGAACCCTCGCCGCAAGCCAAAGGGGCTGCTCACGGAAGTGACGAGCCCTTATGGCGCAGAGGATTACCGAGACCTCAATCAAGAATGGGTGGACAAGATTGGCAGCAAGAGAACGGCTTGAGCGAAAAGATGCTTCTTAGCACGATTAGTTTTTTAGCTATTTGTTTAACGGCCGCTAATAAATGAAAGAGACAGGCACCTGTTTTCGCATACCCTCTAACTTTTGTGTCGCTCTTCTACTGGTTTAGCATCTAAAATTTCTCGAGACCGACTTCAGTGTGTGACCAAGAGCCAAAGCACCGAGCAAGTAACTTCAGGTATGCCAAGTTCTAGGCAGTGCCACATACGTAGCACGCCAATCTCGATGTTACCTCAGCAAGCGAGGAGGGGGGAAATAGGGGATACGATAACCTTAAACGTACAGCTCCGTTATCATTATACACACTATTACACGTTGTAAGAACTACAACATTGAATTTTGCTTCTACTTCTATTTCATCCATCTTAGGCACTGCATTTCATTGCGCGCGATTCTCCAGTCTATGGCCTCTTGTCTTTTATGCTCAGGCACCGGCAATTGACTTATCCAAACGATCTACCAGATCCTCAACTCTAGGCCCGCCCGAGACTGCGGCTGAGGATGGAGAAGCTTCCGCACCCACATAGTGTACGCGCGATCCACGTCTAGCTCAGGTGATCGATCATAGCTACGAGTCAGTTAAACTCCTAGTGCGACTGCTTGAGAGCGCAGAGAAGCAAAACGACAGCTAAAATTGCTGAAACGTGCACGGATGAGCCAGGGATTTAGAACGTAGTAGAAAGTAACAAGGTAGAAGTTTGTAACACCATCTATCGCTATCCCTTTGTTCCATTGTGCACCAAAAGTTGTAACTAAATACAACTGGCTCATGTACGAGCTGCAATTCGCATTTGTACATAGAACGGAACTTCGATTCCACTGTTCAGCGCTATCCAACGAACGCCTTCCTTATTATATCATTAAATCATGAAATCTCGCCTTTTGCCAACCTGAACTCCATTAACCAATCCCAGCACCCATTACATATATGGTGTGTTGGATGAACCAGATGAATAATCTCCAAACCTAGACTCTAGATTTTTTTTTGTATCTCCAGTAAAGGCCGAATATTTAAAAAAAAAAGAAAGAAAAAGATCTTATGAGACCAAATCATGCCTCATCATGAGATATCTGATCTGGCATCTGACTTGGTGCTCAGTTTATCATGTATTGATACAAGTTGGACCTCATCGGTATCTCCATACTCAACCGTATACGATCTTTGAAAGGCGATCCGGTTGGGTCCGACATTGGGATGAGACATGGATTTGTCCACCTGTGATCCGGCACTGTGTCCCAAGGGAAGGCGGCTCACTCGTTTATTCGACGATCGATTGCGTCTTGAGCTCCTTGCGTATCTCTCAGTAGTGCCCTGGAGCTTCGGGAAGAGGCGAACAAGCAGAACGCGCAAAGAAGGTAAGCAAACACATATAAGGCCGACATTGATCTCCACGACAGACCAGATGCTAACGTCAAAGAAGTCCCAAGTAGGATTAAGGCTGTCGGAACCAAACTTGATAAGGGACCTAAGACGTAAGATACTGACAACGGTAACGCTAGACATCAAGTTAGCAGAGATATTACCAAAGAAGATGAAGATAAAACTTACAAAGCACCGATGCAAAACATCATTCCGACACCAACCTTGCGTCTCCAGTCCAAGTTGAGGTCCTTGAGCTGCCATAGGGGAATGGCCAGCACCCATATATCGATCGCTATGCTGATCGCAGCATTTGACCAGGCAATGGAATTGATGTTTAGACAAGTGCCATGGTGTTCTCCATCCCACTTTTCCCAGTAAAATTTGACAGGCGTACATTGAAATACGGCAACCAAGGCAAAAGAAAGACCAAAAGCTGAGCAAGCTGCGAACGTCGCCCAAAGAATGCCTCTCACTGTTTTGCCTGGGAAGATGCGGATATAGAAGAGTACAAGGGAGAGCTTGAGCATAGAGACTTCAAGGAAATAGAGAATCTCCATGATCCAGAAGTAAAGGCCGAAATCGGTAATCTGTGAGGGCGTCAAGGTCCAGATATCGCGACCCAGGCCGTGATTCGACACTTTATAGGCGCTGATGACGGTACTTGGGATTCCGACTAGAATGGTAGCAACAGCCATCCAATCATCACCACCAATGCCTCCGTTGGACCAGACCTTATAGGCAACCCGCTGAAGCACAAACAGACCGGACACGGTGCCGAAAACGTCGTTGAGGATAATGTATGCCTGGGATCGATCTCTGAGAGGCTGATCACAGCCTACAGCTGTTAAATTCATTGTTGCTACGAGCAAGTGTTAGTAATCACTCCACGTAAGGAATAACTCTGGCTTCTCTACAGCACTTACATAACGCTTGTTTGATGGTGCAGCTCTCCAAGACGCATGCCTGCATGGTCTGTTGCATTATCGGGTTTGTGCACACGCAAGTTGTATTCGTCAAATCGCAATGTGACTTGGTGATCGACGTCGCGAGACACTCACGCTATAACCTGAATGTTAGTAGATGGAATTATGCATAGAATGTCTACGAAAAGCACGTACAGCACATGCAGGCATCTCGGCCACGGCTTGGAGGGCAGAAGAAGAGGCCGGACTAGTATCCTGACCCAGCACTTTTGGCATGGCAGCCAGGGCCGCGAGGGCCAATAACCATAGATTCATGGCTGTTGGCTATGAAGGTTGATATCGAAGAAGAATACTAGATCGTTGATCGAATCGTAAATGGTGGTGTCATATAGAGAAGAGCTGTGTACAGAGCGGTTCGAAGTTTGGCGTCAAAGTTCAGATCGTAGGGCCTATAGATCCGAAATCGATAAGAATAGATAATCGACAGGAATGCCCGCAAGTATATGGGAGGCAATCGACGATATGCAAAACTGGAGCCAAGAGTTGCCAGTAAAGGTATGTAAGTACAAGAGATGTGTAGCAAGAAAGGAGTGGAATGGCTCAAAGCCAGTGCAAAATCTTCACTTTAGAAACTTTTGACAATGAAAACCATAGCTACGACGGAAAACAATTCTTAGAGAGAAAGTAAAAAGCTGCCAAAGGGTGGCTGAGGTCCCAGTATTAGCGATAGCTTGGTGAACATGGGGGGCGATCATATGCAAGCCTTCCCCACTAACCGACGACGTCTAAAGCAGCCGCTTCCATCCGGATAAACCTATGGGGATGTAACAGGCAAACGAGCTGAGGGCACTAGACGCCATTGTTGGCAGGACGAGCGTATCACATTGCATGGCATGCCTTCCTAAGAGTCAAGTGGCGGGGCCGCCACTAATTTGGCGTTGAGGCGCTGACTTGAAAGAAAGCTCTTTCTTGGCTCGCGACTCAGGAACCTGATGTGGCGAAGGGTCCGCTAGATCCAATCATAGGGCATGACAAGCATGAAAAGCTGCAGACGCAGTATTCCCTGCTAGCACTTGTTGTCACATCTTCTGTGCCTCGACAAATCACTCCAAACAGCAGGCATTGTATACATCGTAGCAACGGGGCGGCCCCACCGCGAGTACCGTAAGAACAAACGGCCCTGATTGGTTTGAGGCTGGGTTGCGTGAGATTGGTTTTGAAGACATGCTAGTAGCAGTTATGGAGCTCGCAGCATGGCTTTCGGATCAATGCTTGGAGGGCCATTGCGGTATTGCTATTCATAGTCTCGTTAGCTGTGCCAGAGTGAGAGGGAAAGGGGGAGAAGCCAAGCAAAGTCAGCGCCCTGAACCAGTCTCAGCCAAGCTGGAAACGACGGCCGAGCTAGGCTTCAGGCCGTGGAGAGTGCGGCTGAGGCACCGCTGTTCTGGCTGAGGAGCGGAAGGATAGCCAAGACTCACTACGCGTACAAGCAATTACAGAAGTGCGTCAGTGAATAGACTGTGCAGTATCGGTGCTGTGTGCGTGCCGTGTTTCCTCTTTCGCCCAAGATCCGCAGACGATGGAGGGTTGCGGTCCCATCAAAGATGCTGCACTGTCCTCGGGCCTGTTCGTATCGTTCGTCGTGCTAGTGCAGGCCCGGCGCCATCTTTCCAGAAGCTTGGCTCCAGCTCGAGACAAAGAGGCCAAGTCAGGGGACGGGGCTCGGGCTAAAGATGCGAATCGCATGATTGGCGTCGCGCTTTTAACGATCGGGCTGCGGGCCTTGGACCGATCGAGGCAAGGCGTCAGTTAGGCCTGCTTTCGGCGCAAAGCCCCGTTGCAGAATCCACGGGCCAAAGGCGGGATGCAACGGCATGCTGGCAATTTTAAGACGCAGTCACCGTCGAGCTAAGGGATTTCGGCGAAGTGACAGCTGCGGGCTGTGTCCGAGACGCCGATGAGGTTGTCGTGAAGAAGTGAAGAAGGCGTTTGTGGTTTCAGCGGCTGCGGTTTCGGGGTTTTTCTCGGGTACAGTGTACAGCCACCGGCAGTACCGCGGCTACCTGCTACCACGCCTGAAGGCCGAAGGCCAATTTATCGAGATGACCGTTCCTCCCAACAGAGCAATAATCTTGCAACGTTCCTCTCTTCGTTTCTCCGCTGTAACAGTAGCATGAACTCAAGCTCCATCTCAGTTTCAGCTTGACAGCCCTCATGGCAGAAACGAAACAAGCCACAGGGTCTGCTCCGTGCGTTTTGCTTCATTCCTGCTCTACGGACATTTGCGGCGCCTTTATTGCTGACGTGGATTAAACTACTGACGGGGTTCTTCTACTGACAAGTATCAGCTTGAGTAATGGATATCCTGAATTAATCATCCGCTAATACCTCGATTAGCTCTCTCCCCATGAGACCCCAACAGCTTGACTACGTGACATACGCGGTGCAACCAACAAGCTCTTACTGCAAGCCACCGCCGCCATCCAGCACTGAGTATGCCTCATTCTCTTTATCTTGACAAATACTTACGCCTTCCTAGACGGGCGTCGCAGCTGCAGCTACAAAGGTCCATTGCTGCAGGAACAAGGACGCAGCTAGATCCGAATCCATCACTGCTCCGCGTACTTGTACAAGTCTTGCTCCGCCCACATTCCGTGGTTGACGTGCCAGGACCTTGTGAGCCCTTGACTTGGTTGCAGTCAAGGTTCACTGCAATCTCCCCTTCTATTGTTGGCTGAGGCCGAGTCACATCCATGGAAATCCGTTGCCAGCGCTGCGTCTATACGCGGGCCATCGTACGACTCCTTGCACAAATAGCATTCCCCATAAGGTAAGTGGGCTTCCCAAGCCCTATGTGCAGGGTGCAAAGGTTTCAAACGGGGGTCCTTGTCTTCTTCGGAAGCTAGCAGTTCGCAGGGCTTCAGCGCTCGCTTTGCTCAGGCAGGCATTCCGTTATTTACACGTGGAAGCAGCCGGAAGCAGCCAGCGTCTTTTCTCATTCCTTACTAGCCCGTCTCTCACCCCCGTCTTTCATCTCGGAATATGAGGCGGAATCTCATCTCTTCCAGACAATCGGAGGCTAGCTACCATATTGTGTAGGCGTGAGCAGGTACAGATACGAGCGAAGCGATACTCGAGCCAGCTGCAGATTCCGCGCAGCCTCGGCGTGTCTCCGCGCGTACCTATCCGAGCATATCGAAGGCTTCTCTTGGTGGGTGACATTGCGAATGGAGACACTGAAGAGAGCCATGCACTGTGTCGGCATCAAGGTAATATCTCGTCAAAAGATGGTGTCGCGCGAGACTGACGACCGAGGTCACTATCGTGGACTATGATTTATCCAGCCAGCCAATCGCTGTGACCTGGTCTGCTTGCCTTTATGTTTCTCTGTTTCCCTTCCTTCCCATTTCTCATATCAGCACTCTATTGAATGCTGTTGGTGGAACGATGCGGCAAAATTTGCCCCATGAGTGGCGTTTCAACGACTCGAAAATCCGTAGGTTCCCCGGTGATTAGGACGGGGAATCTGACTGTGTTTTGGCATAGACGACAAGGTAAAACTATACTTTCTTCACATGCTGATGACGGCCAAAATCGCCCCAGCATTCTCCGGCTCCGTGGACAAGGCCCCACCTAGTGGGATCTTTTGATACGCTACCCACAGAATGGGAATCGTTGCCGATGTAAAGGATGCAGTAGCATACTGTATCGTGCAATATTTACCTAGCATCGGCGAGCGCAGGAAATTCCGCTTCCTAGTGGCCAAGACAGCCAGCAATTCCCTTTTCGTGTGGCTTTGCACTCGAGTGGTAGTATTGACAGTATTACCAGCAACACTGTCCCATTCCATATGGGCCCTGATGAAAGTGAATGTTGGCATGTTTTTTTTTTGCAGATGATATTCCATATTCGCACTCAGTCTCTTTTTACACCTATCCTCAAAGACTGTCAACTTGCCTTTACTGGCTCAAGTGACGCATCACTGCGTTGGCGGCGGGACAGTGCAGATAGACGTTGCACATATTCCGAGACTTCTTTCATCAGTGGCCAAAGCGTCTCTCCCTGCAGAATACTCCAACTTTTCCAATTCTGTCTCACAATTTCTGCCATTTTGTCTCTTAGAGCAGCCCTCTCCAGAGACAAGGCCAGAGGAATAGGCATCATGTAGCCAAATTGCAACTTAGACTTTCACCATTTCTCTGTTTGCGGCGAGATGCCAGAAGAGGCAAACACGTGGGCCGCTGATCGCGTCAGAAATCAAAGCGATCGTCACGTGATCCTCCTGAGACCGAGCCCCTTTAGGTTTGCAGCGCATCAGACGAAGCCCTTCTATCCGACTTCTCGACGCAGCATATTCGATTCCTGTCGCTCGTTAGCATCGATATCTCGTCTACCATGGTAGCCAAGTATATTGCCGGCCTGCGGGCCTTGCTGGCTCGCCGCGTCGTGACCATTGTGGCCATGGCCGCCGTGCTGGCCAGTGTCATTGTCATTCTGGTTCGGATCGGCCCCCCGGCGCATCTCGACGATCTGAAGCTGCCGGACATGAAGCTTCCCGACCTCGACATGTCGAAAATCCCGGGCCTGGGACACGAAAAGGTCCACTATGGGCATTGCGACCCCAAGAACTATACCGATACCATCAAGGAGTGGAAGACGACGCGGGAGAAGTATGACAAATTGATGGGAGACAAGTTCACGTAAGTTGCGGGGAACACTGGTGCGACCACGATGCGGCACCGCGCATCTTGGCATTTTCCATGGCCAATTGAGTTGCTGATCCATTTTCGCGTTCAACAGAATTGCAATGCAGACCTATAAGCGACCCAAGGAGCTGGACGACACGCTACGCGTCCTCTTGGCCGAGAAGATCCCCTCGCTGCACGAAATTGTCATTATCTGGAACGACCTCGAGGAGAAGCCCCCGGGCGACTTCAAGTCTGAAAAGGGCGTCCCTGTGCGATACAGGGTGTCGCAGCGCAACAGTCTGAACATGAAGCTGCTGCCGGATGCGGACTTCAAGACCAGCGCGGTTCTGCTTTCGGACGACGACGTATACTATAAGCCCGGGGACCTCGAGTTCGCCTTTCAGAGCTGGCGCAAGTTTGGCCAGAACCGATTGACCGGAGCCATGCCGCGCTGCGCTACCGCGGATGGCGAAGGCGAATGGAAATATGGCTTTTGCTCCAAGGATGCGAATCAGGACGTTTACTCCATGATTATAACAAACTTGTGCTTCTCGCACATGTCTTTCCTCGACTATTACTCTTCCAATAACACCGTTATGGAAAAGGTCCGTAAATATGTCGATGATCACTTCAACTGCGAAGACATTGCTCTCAATTATGTCGCCTCGTATCTTACCGGCACGGGGCCTCTTCTCGTCACCGGTCGCGATAGGTATGTCAGCTACGAGCCTGCCGTGGGCATCAGCAAGAAGCCTGGCCACTTGGAGGCCCGTACCAAATGCCTAAACGATCTGACGGCGCTGTTTGGCTGCATGCCTCTTGTCAACGAGACGGCTCACATCCAGCGTGGCGTTGTTGTCTTGTAAAATTTGTATGAATGGGGTGGGACATTGGCGTTTATAAGAACAAACCCTCAGCCTGTCCAGGCGGAAGGGATTGGTGGGTTTTGTCTCGGGTGGAGTTGCTTGCGAATACACGCCGGTCAGTCAGACGCTTAATTAATGTCTTGGATGGGGGATGGACGGGTAAAACGGCGTCGATCTCTTGGCGCAGGGAGCCTTGTGATGGAATAGAATGGCGCGGCCTGCCAGTTTTGTGTATACATAGAGTAAGATCCTTGGGGGAGTTTTTTTGTTATCCTATATATCTACGTGGGGTCTTGGTTAGCGATAGATGAAATCAAGAAATGCTCATTTCTCATCCGTTATAGTCCAAATGGCCGTTGCTTGGCTTCGTAGCTCGACTTATAATAACTGACAAAGGACGCGCACTCATGCGGGGGGGCATTGGAATTACGCATCTTGTTTTGGCATTTGTTTTTGGAAGCACGAGGCCATACTACTTATATCGTTTCTAGCACTAACATGCGATCCATCCCTTCATTTGCCTCACTAAACGTGTAGCAAACTGAAGGCTGACTGTAGTAGTATAGCTGAGATCATGCCGCGTATCCCATGCCACTCAGGAGTCAAAGAGCCAGCAATTGCGACTCAAATTTGCGGGGAGAAGGGTGGGCTGCCAAGAAAAGCGTTTCCTTTAAGCGGCTTAACACTTATCGCTAAAAAGCCTTATTGTCTGCTAGCATGGACGCGTAAAGAATATCGTTCCTGAAACGAGCATATGACGGACTAAGGCTGGACGAATCACGATGATGATGAGTGAGAAGTGCAGCCAGGTTCAGCTGCTGCTAAATCTTGTTTACTTAGTTTCCCCCGGTGCAAACCGGAATTCATCTTGACAATCAGTAGTTATATCGCTATTGAAGCTCAATTACTTGGACTTCATCCTTGACATATTGCCGGACTTGCTCCGGCCAAAACGCGGGATAACGGCCTTTGCCGTCAAGCACCACTGTCTCCAACGTTTCCAGTTGAGTGCCGCAATCAGCAAGCATGGCCTCCATGAAATGCCGTTGCTCAAACTCTTCAAATTCTGCCTCATCATTCGCCTCCACCTCAGGATCTGGACTAGAAATGACAATGTTCGGTCCAATCGCTCGGTTAGAGGGGCGATTGAATTCGGAGCAATCGATATATAGAACCTGCAAGGCTTTTGTCCGCAACAGGGCCTTGTTGGTGAACCCGGCACCGATGAGATTGAATTTATCTTCGTTGCGCAGTTGAATGCGAAGCTTTTGGGTGCGAGCCCAGTCGAGACGCCCATGGACTGCGAGCTGAAGTCGAAAGTTCCACTGTGAATAGAAAGCCAGGGCTACCTCACGCACCATCGCCCGGCGCATCTCATAAAAGACCCTTTGGCAGCAGCATCTCAGTGCCAAGCTTTCACTATCGCCATCATACGGCTTCTCATCGTTTAGAAAGAGCTGCTCGGGCTGACTCGTCGACACGCCATCTGAAATGGCATCAACAGAGGCGTACAGATGGTAAATGTAGTCGCGAATTTCGCCCGGGAGGCGAGTGAAGAAGATGGACTCGCCCTGGTCCAGGCATGGAGATTGAAACTTTGAATCAATAGACGGCATGATCACGCAACACTTTCAGCAATGCGAATGATGATGTTCAATAATTGGCAATTGCAGTTCATCTTGAGGGAGGGGATGTGATCAGGGGATTTGACGCGCGCTGTTACCCGAGTAAATCCCGTGACACCCCCCTTTACTTAGAGCCGCCAAGTAATTCATGCAGTGGAGATGCGAGAGACAGGACACTGGAGCAGCCAGGGTGGCAGGCATTTGATGCTGGAGGTACCAGTTACGCCGCCATATGGCTGATACGGTGGAGGCTGCGACGACCTGAAATCACAAGCCTCGTCGTGTTGTCTCGGAAGCTGGTGACCGCACCGGATAATCATCCAAGGCTCCAGCAGAGGCAATGGTCGGGTTTGGCCGCATTTTCGGAGAATAAAATTCTCAAGAATTGAAGACGAGCTATTGATGAGATTGCTTGGGTAGCCTGTTGTGAGGCGAGTAGCTGGTATACTAAAGCGCTTGCCTGCCTAACGCTCACTCATGCTACGAATCAGGGAGCGCCATTGGATATTCTCTTTGCCTGACATTGTTTTGAACTAGATGCTATCATGAGATATTCTTTTTCTTTTCTCCCATCATTTATTCTCCTTGAGACTACGCATCGCACATGCAGAATCTAAACGCCTTATCAAGCTGGGTATTATTTCCTATTCGGGCAGTTCTCCGCGAATCGCTGGGACAGATCGGCTGGTGGGATTCTCGCGCGTTTAAGTTGCTAAGCATGATGTGTAATGTCATCAAAGAAAAAATTAGGTACCTCATCATGATGTATACGATCTAAAACACATATATCTCGGCCTGAATGCTGCAAAAAAAATGTTCGAATCTTCGCTTTTCATCCTTTTCACCTCTTCTCATCGTGATCTGGAGTGGAACAATCAGCAACTATGGGCTCTGAGCAAATAACCTTATTTGATCTCGCCAGCCAAGCGCCGCATACTGCGTGGTCCCCGAACACGTGGAAGAGTAAGTAGCTGCATTTGGAATAAATCTCATGTATAATTGCCGTATATCCCAGCATACGTCACTGCTCTTTGGGCGTTGCAGTGACTGACGGCCTAATATAGCGCGCATGCTCTTCAATTACAAGGGCATTGACTATAAGACGGAATGGGTAAGCATTGGATATCCATATATCTCGATGGGATTCTTTGCGGACAACTGCAGCTAATGCTCTTAAACAGGTTCATTATCCAGAGATTGCGCCGAGATTCACTCCACAGTACAGTCTTCTTTTATCAACGTTTGAGGCTCAAAGACAGGCTAATGATGCAGCAGCATCCCGCCTAATGACGGAGAGGGCCAGAAGCCATACTCAGTTCCCATAGTCCAGTTCCCCGACGGAACGTATCTCATGGAATCAGGGAAAATCGCCAAGGCTATTGAGAAGAAATACCCCTCTCCAATTGTCCACCTGGGTTCGCCTATTGTCCACAGGGTAGATGGCCTTGTCTCCAAGTGCCTCCTCGCCATGCATCCCAATCTACTCTACAAGTTTTCTCAAGTCGTTCTCAGCGAAGAGAGCTACGATTACTGGGTTGGCAAATATACCGAAAAATTTGACATGCCCCTCGATGAGTATGAGCGCCAGTTGGGCGGCGAGAAATCTTGGGTCGCGGCACTTCCGTACCTGATCGAGCTGACCAGTCTTCTCAAGGAGAGACAAGCGGATGGACCTTTTTTCCTAGGCAAGGACATAAGCTACGCTGATTTTATATGGGCGGGAGCACTGATCTTTGTGAAGCGAGTAGACGAGAATGTGTTTCAAGAAATGCTGGGTAGAACGGGGGCTAGAGACGTGCATGGCAGGTTTTTCGAAGCGTGCGCGCCTTGGATGAAGAGAGATAGCTACTAGTTATGCGGCCATGGCGTCAGTTATTGAGTCAGATACATGATTTGAAAGATAATTGCCAAGATATAACGGTATAATAGCGAAAAAAAACCTGCGTCGAACTTTCTCCTGTTAATTGCACCAAATATCTTCCTACCCGTATCCATTCCCATAAAATCAGTAGATCCCAGCCTCCATATATCGTATGATAATCCCGTAGCCCTATAGATGGAACATCCCAGATTGTTCCCCTTGTCATTGCAGATGTAACGCCCATGTGAAAACATGTCTCGTAGATCTCGTAGATCTCGTAAATCCCGTAAATCTCGTAAATCCCGTAAATCCTATAAATCCCATAAAAAGAGGCTTCGCCAGCTAATTTTCCTCGGCGTGTCCTCCCAATCCAAGCAAGACAACATCGGCCATCTCTCGTTTCGTAAAGTCCATTTGATCAACGCCCTCCCCCATTGACAAGCTTCCCTTAGCCCACTCGACGATGAGCTTGCGAGCCTGCCATATCGCGAGGTGTTTGTTGTGCTTGTGGATCTTGGCGATAATCTTGGTCTGGAGGCCTTTACGCAGCTCCTGCAACCAATCCTCGTCCACCCACCTAATGTGTCCCTTAGAGATCGGGCAAATTGCCAAGGGCTGACCAGAAAGGTCGTCAACAGTCGAGAATTCCAGCTTAAACATGGGCGGGTTGTTGCAGTACGTTGCAACGGCGGAAACGGGGGCTGTGCAGAGGGCTTCGGCATCGCAGTCAGTTACTTTGGCGTGCTCTTGACGTTTCACTGCCTTCAATTAGCAGACTGAATACTGCATTACTTTGATTTTCTCGAGGGAACAGTCATCGAAGCTGGTAAAAGGCGAATCACTTACCACACAGCTTTCCCACCGAAACCTCTGCTTCCACCAAGAAGTCTAGCTCTGAGCGCAGCAAATTTCCCGCCTTGCGACTCGACCACTCATTAAACACTGCATCCAAAAAGCCGTCGATGCTCTGTCTCGTCTTGGTCATGCTCGCATTACGATCCGTCGCACTGCCACAAGCGTGTAGAATCTCGTAACACTTCTTCAGCTGCACTTGACTCAGGTCGTCCGCGCTCTTAATCGCCATAGGCGCACCAGGGTAATCGTCTCCGGCCTCGATAGCATCGAAGAGCTTGTCGCGCTCGCTCTTTACACTGCGAGATGCTTGGCGGGGAGGAGTGGACGCGATGGATATCGGAGACGCAGAAGTGCGTCGGCGCTTGACGCTGCGCTGGGGAGTTGCCAAAGTGATTTCCTGTACGCGATTCGCATCAGCAATAGAGGTGGCGCGGCGTCGCAGCTCTCGCTGTGCTTGCGACATGGTGGAGAGGTTATTCAGGAAATCAGTGATGTTCTGCCGGCGTAGTGGCAGCTGCAGCTCCATTTTGCAGGATGGCTGATCGCTATGTGTTGGTGGAGGAGATGTAAGAAGAAGAAACATTCCGATGCAGCTTAGAGAGAAATAGAGAAGCTGAAAGCGGTGAGATGAAAATATGCAGTACGGCGGCTTTGTTTCCTGACTTGCAATCTGAGAGAGAGCTTCTGTGTTTTGCTGCTTTTGCTGGCAGCTGCAGCCACTGACGGATCATCGAGTCGATGTGTTTGGTGGAAGAGATGTGAGAAGAAAAGACATTCCAATGCAGCTAACAAAGAAATAGAAAAGCTTCGAGAGTGGTGAGATACAAATAGCAGTATTGCGATTTTGTTGCTTCAAACTTATTATCTGAGAGAATGCTTCTTTAGTTTTGCTGCTTTTGCTGCCATCTGGCAGCCACTGGCAGGATGGTTGATCAATGAAGAGCTGTGTGCTGTGTTGGTGCAGATGTAAGAAGAAGAATCGTTTCAATGCAGCTCAGATATAAATGAAGCAGTTTCAAAAGTGGTGAGATACAAATGGCAGTATTGCGGGTTCGTTTCTTCAGACTAATTGTCTGGGAGAGCGTTCCAAGATTTCTTCGTGTTTCCTCTGGCACCTAGCAGCCCCTGACAGGATGGCTGATCAACGAAGACTGTATTCTGTCTGGATAGAAGAAGAGTCAGAAGACGAAACATTTCAATGCAGCTCAGTGAAAAGTAGAGAAGTATCGAGAGCGGTTTCTAAAGCTTGCTCTCTAGGAGAGCGCTTCTTTAAGTCTTTGCTGCGTTCGCAAGCATCTGGAGTTACCGACAACATCAGCCAACAACTTAGAATTTGGATTCATTCGTGCAGCTGGGGGCGCCTTGATCGATTATGCCGTATTATAGCCCAAAACATTTATGCTATCATCTCAACGATGTTGTCACGAGAAAAGGGCTCGACATTGAATCCATTCTTAATGTTTAAGCGTGTCACAGCATCTTTTGCTCCTCTTTCTCTCCTTCCTTGTTGTCAGTGGTACTCAGGGATCAAAACATCACTCTACGTCTATTATCTTCTCATTTTGGAGACAGTAACATAAAAGAAGTCTATAAAGTGGGACCGGGGTAAGGAATCAGTAGAGGCAGTAGACATAGAATAGCAGTAGTAGTAGTAGTAGCAGCAGTAGCAGTAATAGTAGCAGCAGTAGCAGTAATAGTAGTAGTAGTAGCAGTAGTAGTAATAGTAATAGTAGCAGCAGTAGCAGCAGTAGTAGCAGTAGCAGCAGGAGCAGTAGGAGCAGTCGCAATAATAGAAATTCCTCGAATATCACTGTTCTATCTGCATCTCTCGATAAGTCTCTCGAGAGAACAGGTAATTTAAGCTGATTTGTACCTGCCTAAGAAGATATGGCGGTGTATTCATTAGGTACCTGCTAGTTTATGTATGCGAGATCGGCTACTGCCGCGTAAATGGTATGAAAATCATATGTTAGGCAGCGTGCACGGACAGCAGAATTTCTACCACTTTGCTCCCTCTCTCAACCTCTCAACAACAGCTTGATGTGGATTTTCATCTTCCACCATTTGTATGTGCTGGGCCCTTCGATTTCGTTTCTTCGTTCTGGCCCACTCTCAAGCTGGCCTTCGGGCGTTTTGTTGTTTTATATGTGCTCCCACATCTTGATTCCTTCCGCTCCAGCTTGTAAAGTGGTTCACTCAATCTGTCTTTTGGCCTTCGGCCATCTGCTTTTTTTTTTTTCTGTAAGTTCTCTCTTTGACATTTGGTAGGTATATGGCTCTGACTATCATCTAGTTTTAAAAGAACATTTATCCTTCGCCGCATGCTCAACACCATATGTTGCACACCACAAACACCAATGAGTATATTGACTAAGTAATGATAGATGTCTGACATTCGTCTCCGCCTCGCGATGATGCGCGAGTTGAACAAGGCCCTGGGCCCATCTGGTTCCGGTGGCTCTGGCGGTGACCGACCAGCTCCCACCCCCGCCCCAACAGTAAGCTACAGAACCCCTTGAATTTGGTATCATGGAATGTAACACTGAAATAGAGCGTCTCGGTGGTTGTGCCTCCTCTGGAGGTGTGAAGAGTATGTCCCAAACCTCTTGGCCCTACAATTTATGTTCAAACTAACAATTCCACCGCCCGGCTGTCCCTTCTTATGCGGCCATTGTTGCCCGCTCGACGCGCCCGGCCCCTCATCTGGGGAGGACATGGACATGGAGATGGGTGAGAAGAAAAGGAGAAAGAAAGAGAGAAAAAAAAGGAAAAGGGAAAGGGGAAAGGGGAAGGAGGTGGTCCCCGATTTGATCGACTATAGCGATGAGGAGATAGTGCTGTCGCCCACTGAAGCCTGATGCTTCAAATTCCAGTGATAGTTACTAGCTATTTGCGTGAGTCAGCCATCGCCAACGGGAAGGGACCGCGGCGTCACCCACAGCAGCAGCGACGTCTTCCATTTGGCCTTCGGGCAAGTTTTTTCGTGTGTACTCTGATGCTCTCTACTGTTTCTACTCTAACAAACCGCGACATAGAATCAATACTTTACCGTTTGGCCTTGGGCCATTTGTCGTTTTTTTGTACGCGTTTCTTTTTCTGAATTCTGGTATATGGCTCTAACTATTCATTCTAGTTTCATATAAAATTCCATTTTTCACCGTATGTTTCACACCAGAGACATCAATGAGTATACATACTAACTATGGGGATAGAATAACTCGGATGCTGCAGTCCGGTTGTTGCACGCCTTAAAAGGCGTAATATCGTTGGGCCCCGAGGGCCAAGCCGGTGCCGGTGGTGGTGGTGGCGGACGCCCACCGCCCCGTCCTCCCAATATGTTGCAAGACAACTTGATTTTTTGATTATAAAACTAACATTGAAATAGAGCGTGTTGGCGGGTGTGCCTCCTCGGGAGGAAAAATAAAGTATGTCTCAAAGCTTTTTGTTAACAGTTTATGTTCAAATTAACATTGCTACTGTAGAAAATAATAAAAAAAAAAGGCCAAGAAGGCCGAAAAGAAGACTGGTAGGTCCGGTAGCGGTAAGTATCTCCATCTCATTTGCCTGCGGCGTTTTACCTTCATACTTCATACTAATGTCGGTGTGTATACTTAGTCACCAAGCGCCTTGAGGTTACTGGGCGCGGCCCAGGAGGAACTCTCTCTCGAGGAGAGATTCGGCGTCTCCCGAGACGTCATCGCCACCATAGCCACCACAATGGCCGCCGCGTCTGTGCCCCCGACTCCTGCTTCCGTGCCCCTGGCTCCCGCTCCCGCGCTCTCGGCCCTCCTACGTCTGCGGAGGCTATAGGCGTTGAGATGAGCAGTGATCGGTACGTTCTACACCAGGGACACGACACCATCCATTATGAGTATATCTTCTAATTTGAAACATATGTCCGACTACATGAAGCTCCAAATGTCGATAGAATTCAATTTGGCAGTGGGGCCAAGTGGGCGGTGGTGGTGGTGGTGGACGTTGTCCGCCCGGCTCCCCCAGTATGTTGGACACAGACAGCTTGACGTTTGATTATGAAACTAACATTAGAATTGAGCGCGTGGGAGGTTGCGCCTCTGAAGGAGGCAAGAAGAGTAATTCTTATTGCCTCACTATATCTGCAGTACATAATCAAACTAACATAGTGATTATAAACAAAAAGAAGAAGCCCTAGGCTAAGAAGGCCAAGAACAAGTCTGGCGGCCGTAAACAACTCCTATATCTTGTTTGTTTATGGCGTTTACCTTTACTAATGCCGGTGCTTATAGTGACCAAAATAATGGGCCGCAGCCCAAACGGTTGCCTCTCCCGTGCTGAGAGGCACCAGCTTCGCCAAGCTGGTTTGTCCGACGCTGCCCTCGCCGCCGCCGCTCGCTACTCCACGCCCCTCCCACTTCTGCCTCTGGGGAGGCTATAGATGTGGAGATGGGTGGTGTTCCGGCCCCGGTCGGACACCAAAGGGAGGAGAAGAGGAAGGAGGGGAAGAGGAAGAGGGAGAGGAAGAGGAAGAGGAGATATAGTACTCCGATGACGATGTCGACTTCAGCCTTGGTAACAAGGCATGACTTTTGCTTTGAACGCAAGTGTTCTCTGAGTAGGGAGAGGAAGAGGAAGAGGAAGTAGACGAGCTTGACTACTCGGATGGTGAGGTCGAGCTCGACCTTTAGGCCTCAGGCCTCAATTTGGTGGACAGACAGTGAGAAGAGGAAGAGGAAGGACAACACGAAGAAGAACCGGGGATTGATTACTCCGATGAAGAGGTTGACTTGATTTCTCCGAAGCCTAAGAGAAGAAGGAGGTGAAAAAGGAGAAAAAGGAGTAGGAAAAGGAAAAGAAGAAGATGATGAGGTTGATAAGGCTGCGGTGGGGCATTGAGCCTGAGGAGATGGAAGAAAGAGAAGAGAAGAGAAGAGAAGGTGATTTAATATTTGGTCAATTCTGCAGTAGACCATTAGCGGTTTAGACAGATGTGCGATAAGAGGTGGTTGCCTCGGCAAGATTTCTCTCTCTCTTTCTCGATAGCATGAATATACACAAGATGAACAACTGTTGCCCTATGCATATTACTGTCTCTACTGTCTCTACTGTCTCTACTGTCTCTACTGTCTCTACTGTCTCTACTGTCTCTACTGTCTCTACTGTCTCTACTGTCTCTACTGTCTCTACTGTCTCTACTGTTTCTACTGTCTCTACTCATAGCGCATGTGGCTATATCATTTTATGTATCATATGTGCTTGGAAGCAGCAGTGCTAGCAGCAGTATCTAGCTAGTATGCATATTCTCCGTTAATCTTCTTCGTTCTGAAAAGAATAGTGCCAGCTGGGAGCATCCGCCAGGCTGCCCCCATCACACTTTTGCCAAGTGGCAAGCAAATATGATAATAAAGTGAATGTAAAACACGAAGTCACGTTACGCTGCGCTGTACGCGTGCAGTATTGGGCTAGACATTCTGTGCCCAAAGTGTTTCGACTTTTCAATCTATCCAGCATCATCACCATCTCGCCCGCCGGCACGTATTTCACCGCCACTTTTTGTTTGAACCAGTAGCTAATCAGCTATATAGTTTGAATCATTATATGACGATTTTTATTTGTCAGTTTGTTAGTTCATCTTTGTTTTCTTCTCGCCGGTGATGACTTGCTAACTCAATAGAAACACCATCATCTCACGCCGGCCCTTTGGGCGTTTTTTCCGTATGTACTCTCATTGCTCCATCGTTTCCGCTCTGGCTAACTATCAAACAGCTTCAAACAGTTTTTTGTCTTGGCCTTGGGCCATTTGTTGTTTTTTCCTTCTTCTTTTTGTACGCGTTTCCTCTTTGAAAATTTGCTATTCGTCTCTAACTATACATTCTAGCTTCGAAGGGTCTGTCTCCAATTGTTCGCCGTATGTTCCACACCAAAGACACCATCCATTATGTCGTATACTTACTAATCATGGAGATAGATGAACTCTGATGCCGCCGTCAGATTGCTGAACGCCATGCAAGGCGTTATGTCGGGCCCCAAGGGCCAAGTTGGTGCCGGTGGTGATGGTGGTGGACGCCCACCGCCCGCTCCCCAGAGTATGTTGCGACATAGGCAGATAGCTTCACTGTTGATCACTCATCTAACATTGGACTAGAACGATTTGGTGGTTGCGCCTCTTCGGGAGGCAAGAAAAGTAAGTTACAAGGCTTTTCACATTTTCTATCGGTCATGATCAAACTGACATAGCGATTATAGAGAAGAACAAGAAGAAGGACGAGGCCAAAAAGGCCAAGAACAAGAGTTCTGGCGGCGGTGCTGGCGCCGGTAAGCATCCCCTTTATGTATTTGTTCTTTATGACGTTTGCCTTGAGACTAATACCAGTATATTTAGCAGCTACGGGGCATCCTGCCCTCCATGGGCGAGGCCTTTTCGGTGGCTTGAGCCGCCAACAAAGACGACAATTTCGTCTTGCCGGCTTGTCGCACGCCGTTGTCGAGCGCCTCAGTGCGCATCTCCGTGCCCCGGCCCCCGGCCCGGCCCCTGCCCAGCAGCAGCAGCAGCAGCAGCAGAAGGAGGAGGAAAAGGAAGAGAAGAAGATTAAGATTGAAGAAGATTGAAGCCTGGGGCTTCATTGTCGTCGTTGTCTGTTTTTCCTTCCTAGTTTTTTTTTTCATGACTACCTATATAAATCATTCTTTTGAGAGAACATTTTGAACTCTGCGAAACAATGCTGCCGCCCAAATACCGCACGGAATATGTCTGCGATCGTAATAGACATTTCAACGTCATGAATAGAAGAGCACCAAACTCGCAGAGAGCAAGACATCTCGTGGATTGTTCACTTGTGCCATTTGAGCGCCACAAGCATAATGCAGGCAGAGCGTGGCAGAGCGTGGCAGACGTACCGACCAGATACCACCAGACGCGGACACGAGTCTCCGACAAAAGCCCCCGCGACACCAGATCCAGCGTTCGTGATATCGCGGTTTCTTTCAAGCAAGTGTAGCGAATCCCTCTACACTTGAACTCTTTCTTAAAGGGTTGATGCATATTAATTGGAAAGAACAGCACACACGTCATTCAGGGTCCATGGTCCAAATACAATGTAGATTTCAAGATACCATGAAGTCGTTCTCGAATGGGAAGGAAATACCCGCGCCATCCTGGAGAACCAGAGTCAGCGTCGAGAGGCAAAAGAACTGCCAAAAGCTTTTGTCGTGGCTTTGAGGACAGACTTTTCTTTCTTTCTTTTTTTTTTTTTTTTTTTTTTTTTTTTTTTTTTTTTTTTTTTTTTTTTTTTGATATTTTTGTTAGATATCATACTGCGCCGCTCCGTAGTAAGAGACAGAGGGACCCGAAGTCCTGGAGAGTCGGTCCGCGCGAAGACTGCGAAGGCTGTGGCCTGAACAGACACGAGTGGCTATGGGAGCAGCAGCACCTGGATATCAGCTGAAGCACCATAGTTCTAGACAATGACTAGTCTCACATCCTTTGCCGAGACTCCTTAAAAAGGAATAGATACCAGCAAAGTTGCTCTAACTCGCCTAAGTCCTGGCAGTGTCAACCCTTAACCTAGACGTTCTGCTTTTGCTGCTACTGAGACCAGCATTAAGAGGAGATGTAAAGAGTAAAAATAGTTTTTGGCAGAGGCGACAGAAGCTGTTAAAAATGCCCGCAAAGAGCTTGCCGCTATGACTCTGCCAGCCAAAAGGGCCAAGGTTGAAGTCGATGAAGAGGATGACCAGGTGTTAATATCTGGTTCTCCGCAGAACTGGCGCAGCTCTGGCCGCGCTTCAGCACTTGTGGCTCGCAGCAAAGGAAAAGCTTCTGCTATCTTTGCTAGCTCTTATATTAGCGTAGACGAAGACGCCAGGGAGGTAGAGCCTCCTGTCTCCGACTATAAGGACATTACCGCTTTTCATAGTGGAAACGACAGCGACGGCAGTTAGGAAGCCTGGGATGAAGAATCACAGGGATTTACTGCCGGCAATGAGGAGCTCGAAGATGATATTCTAGATGACATTGACCCCATTCATCTAATCGAGGATGGCGAGTATATCTCATTCAAAAAAGAAGTTGAGGATAATGATAATGAACCACTTAATGATGTTGCAGAGCGCGATGACAAAGCCAGTACATCTGAGCTACTACACAAGAGTTCTCATATAGTATCTTTAAAGGTTAACGCGGCTAAGTGGCTGGCGGACGACAACAGAATGCACCCTATTAAGCTAAAAGATGAAGACTTTCTGAGATTTAGTCGCAATTTCTGCGATATTCTTAAAGAATTTTGCCATTGGTTAACTAAGGGTGATATATAAGGGTGGTATATACTCCCCAGGACAGAGAGAGCAATGACAATAGGCTCCCACGTTGTCTTCCAAAAGGCCGCTAGGAACTTTATAAATTTCTAGTAAAATTTTGCTTGAAGGGATGCTGCGGTAAATGAGAAAGTTCCTTGGCAAAAAAAATTTAAGCCCCGAGGATTTTCTCGATCACCCCATCGTACCATCGACGTGCAAACACAGATCGGTATGCATGGATGTTGCTACACGCCTTATCGAAGGGCTAGATCTGAAAAGTCAGCAAAGGCTTCAGTGATGGTTGTTTGTTTAAGGAGCCAAAGCCTTTGTGTAACTTAAAACAAGCGTCGTAATTTAAATTATACGTCGGCTCTAGAGTCAATAAGGCCAGTAGACATGCGCGGATAAGAGACCATCTTACAATAATCAGTGGCTATAGGCGCGCGCCAGATGGGCATGCACTTTAGAGAAGCTATAAAGGCTGACATAGTTTCCAACTTTCGTTTACTGGGTGTACGGCAAAATCCGTATGCCAATTGCAGTGATGACGGGCAGGATGTCGTATGCTGGATGGTTCCGATGGCTGATTGGCTGATGGAGGTTTATTTTTGGTCTTTGTATTAGGAAGCACATTGTCTCACTCTGGCCTGATCTATTCCCGCTGTCTTCATATGACCTGGTTAAGCGAATGCTGATGGGTTTCTCTTCCTGACTTATCTGGATATAGGCCTGGACCGAGCGTGACTATTGTGCCAGGGGTTCAAAAGCAGCAAGAAGGTAGTGGGATGATGTGCAAATACGGAGTGTCGGCATTTAAGAGTTGATTGATGCGTTTCGTCTGAGTATGCGATCCATATGGATGACAGCCAGGGCGGCTGAATACCATTCCTATAGATCGATCTGAGAGTAGGTTCAAGGGATACTTAGGCCATTACAATGACTTGCCAGTTACTGCTGCTGCTGCTACTGCTGTTATTACTACTATTACTACTATTACTACTATTACTACTATTACTACTATTACTACTATTACTACTATTACTACTATTACTACTATTACTACTATTACTACTATTACTACTATTACTACTATTACTACTATTACTACTATTACTACTATTACTACTATTACTACTATTACTGCTGTTACTGCTACTGTTACAGCTACTGTTACTAACTCTTAATTGCAGGACCAGTGGGAAACTATAACGTCCGCTTTAATTCGGCAGATGCTTCTAATCCTAGAGCACACAGTGCTTTGGCCATCTTGAACAATGATTCCATGTAACCAGCCGGATCTGTAATTAGGCTGGGGGGTCAACGCCGTGCAAACATGCAGCCGTTCTGAAGAAAGATACCAACAGATACATGCTGGGCTCATACTTCAATCTTCTCTTGCCGAGGCGTCTTCAATTGGAATAGTGTCCAAGATTACAATGTAGGTAGTTCCTCAGGACTCAAAACTCTCTACATGTCAGTAAACAAAAACACAGAATGGACAAAGCACAGTAGGCTCCCAGTCGTTGATTCAACCTTGTTCTTCAAGACTCACTGGCGAGCCCACTGCGCTGTCTATCTCCACCGCTTCTAGCCAGAAGAAGTCTCATAATGCCCTTGGAACCTCAGCCTCACCACTGCTAGTTGCAGAAAAAGAGACCAAGGGCCCGTTCGGACTGAGTGAATGATGAGCTATTATCACTGTGTGGTGCATGCTAAGGCCTGTGCGCATGTAGCTTCAGCGGGGCTACGCTACTCAGAAGTTACTTGACTCTGGCCGCAAACTGCCCAGCAAATCAAAGTATCTAATCGTAATAAAATCTCCACTGGAGCCGACACACTGCTAGTTATAATAGGGGTAGGCAGTACCTAAATCTAACACCGTGCTTGCAGCAATACAGCAGCAACGTCGAATTCCATCACAAGCATGCCGCTCCAGCCTCCTCCAACAGATAAGCTTTTCAAATCAGCAGATGAGGCTTTCCAAGCTCTCCAAGATCACGCGCGAGAAGAAGGATATGCGATTGTGAAGAAACGCCCTTCGTCGTATGAAAACAACTTGCCGCGCCGCTACGATATTGCGTGCACATGCGGCAATGGCGAGTACAAGTCACAGGCAGCCGGGCTGCGCAAATCAAAAACGAAACGCACGGGCTGCCCCTTCAAGATGAAGATTGTGAAAAGGAAGGACACCGGGGATCAGTGGGTTCCAGGAATTCTGTGTCCAGATCATAATCACGCTCCCAATCTCGCGGTGAATTTTCCTATTCACCGGCGCGCGGCCTTGACTGAGGAGCAGAGACACAACATCGAGGTGCTCCTTGAAAAGACAAAACTCTCGGCAAGGGCAATCATCGAGCTGATGAAGAAACAATATCCCGAGATTCTTCTCACAGAAAAAGATGTCTGGAATATACGGCAAAAGAAGAAGAAGTGGATGGGCGCGGCAGACCTAAATTCGGAGGTGGCGGAAGCGCTCAAGCAAGCAGGGGTCTTGTAGCTCGAAAGCCACAGCTACAGCTAGAGTCGCAATTCATTTACTGTGGAACTTGCTACCGTCTTTGCATCCAGGCCATTGAGACGCTGTTGATGAGCGACGCTGCCTCGTCTACACGTCCCGGTTAGATTTTAGCATCAGTACAGCTCAATGCGCTGAGCCGTAAATCGCTAAAAATATCACCGTTGGGCTGAAGCCACTTTGCCAGGGATATCGGGATAGCTCCCCTCTAAACAAGCCTTCGCGTGGAAGCCAATCCTTGATGGCCTCAATGCAATTTCCACAATGCAGCTTTCATCCTTCATGCCCAGCGGTGGCGCCGTTCGAATCATAATACCCAGTAAAAAGCAAACAGGACAAGCAGCCCAGACTATATCAACCTGGCAGCAGAGTCAAATCCCGTTAATACGAGGGGCATAGTATGATTCATGCAGCTCGTGTCATTGAGCGAGCATCTGTTTGGGTGTTCAGCTTTGGAGATAGCGGGCAGAGTTTTGATAGGTGATTGAACGTTGGAGGGACACTACTGCAGCGAGGACGCGTTTTGGTCAGTTTTGACTTATGCAAGCCTGGTCTATGGCTGATGTATCATATCATCATCTGCTTGCCATGGCCATTATCCGCGAGAGCCGAGCTTTAAAGCTTCTTCTGCTCTTCTATCTCGTTACCAGATCTCTAACATGATCCATTTTTAGACAATATATTTACTTGGTTGGCTTTTCATCTCGTAATTTGACTTTGTACAGCCTAGTTACGCAATGAATGGCGTTACACCAAGGATTATTTGGGCAAAGCTGCTCGTCGCTTCAGGCCTTTATCTAATACGTATCAGATGCGGCTGAAATTAGCTTACAGGCCAGCACAAACTCGTCCCACCGCTAGACAGAATATGCTTGAGCGAATCCTGTGACAAGAGCCAATAGCCATGCTCGGACCCTCGCGCGTGGATCTAGGCTTATTCCTATCAAAAGCAAACCTGACAGCCACTGACAGCTTCACAGGCTGACCTGATGACTGGTACCCCTAGACCCCTACCTAGGCATCAAAGCTTGTCAGTCTGCCTTGGGATAGACTATCCAAGTCGTAAAATGAAAGGATTGTTTGGCTTGGAGCTAGAGTAGGTAGTCGTTTATATGCATCTCAATCTAGTATATATTAGACGGCAGTTGTCTTCAGTGCCGGCGTTGGCTTCTTGACTTCTTGTCCTGCACCACCCACCACCACTCGCTCTCTAATAACACACTCAAGATCTTGTTCTAATTCACCTCTTGTCACTCTTTTACTCCGTTTTATAAACCTCTTTTAATTGATACCCAACTCTCCATCAACATGTCTGCGCCTACTGAGACTGCCGTTGCCCCCGATGTTGCTCCCGCTCCAGCCCCAGCCCCAGCCCCAGCCCCAGCCCCAGCCCCAGTTCCAGTTCAGGCTTCTGTTCAATCCTCTGCGCCTGCTCACTCCAGTCCCATTAGCGACGCTGATGTGAATCATTGGAAGGATCATTTCAACGATGTCTTGTCTCGACCTGGCGAGCACATCAACTCCAAATCTCCGCCTGGCGCTGGGAAATGGAGCACGTCTCTCTTCGATTGCTTTTCACCAATTGACACATGTCTCATCACCTGCTGGGTTCCTTGTTTAACCTTTGGAAAAGTCCATCATCGTGTTCATAAGAGCGGCTCGTTGGAAGGCTACGAACCAGTGAACACCTCGGTATGTCTTTTGTAAAGGGTTGCAAGTATGGACAGTTTCAACTAACTAGCTTTATCAAGTGCCTCCTATTCTGCGTGCCCGGTCTACACTGTGTCCTTGCAAGCATGCAGCGCCAATCTATCAGGGGAAAATACAATTTAGAAGGTACTTGCCTTGAGGATATGGTAAAGTCCTACTGTTGTGCTTGTTGCAACCTCATTCAGCTTGACAAGGAGTCGTCACATCGCGAGGCTCTCTTGAACAATGTCAACTCTGAGCAGTACCAGAAAAATGAGGGCATGGCCTATCCTGGAGCTAACTAAGACTGGATCTTTTACTCAAATTAGTTTCAACGGCGCGGGAGTAATATTTATCAATTTGGTCAATCTTTAATGATAGTGGTTGATAACTGACATGCCCACGATGGATACGGAGTGCGTGGACGGATGCATGGATACCCATTAGTTCTAGTGTTATAATTTTATTTTCTAATATACAATCACTCTTAGCTCCAAGTTTTGTCATATTGAGGTTTCAAGTTCATTCTTCTGATCTTTTTTCTTTTCTATTTTCCAATAAACGACCTGCCCTTTCGGTTTGCGAGTGCACTGTGCCTTTCGTAGTATTTGCACGGTGCTTCATACTGTATAAGTGACCTATTAGACAATTGACTATGAGAGCACCGCATTGCAATTCTCATTGAAACCACAAAATAATTATAAACGACAAGTTTCAAATTAATCCATCTCACTAGTTCAATACAACGCCGCTAATCTCAAACGTCTGCACCTGTCCAACGGAGAAAGGTACAGAAAATTGTCCGTTATTGATCTTTATATCCGTATAGCTCTTATACTGATCTCCGCCTCCTGTTTGAGTACTCCATCGAGGAACTGTTGATCCATTGCTGCCAGCAGTCTTGGCTGAGTTGAGGTTGAAGGTGATGGTTTGAGAAGTGTTCCAGTTTCCAGCAACAATGACGAGCTTCTGAGAACTAGCATCGTACGCCGCGGCCGTGTTGCCATCCAACGTTGTCAGAATCTGCATGCCAGGCCTGATATGACGAGTGAATTGTGCAAGTACAAAGTATTTAATGCTTGCTCCTGAAAGTGTCAACTGGTCATTGTCGCCTCCGATGAGTCCCCAGCCTGGGATGTCAATGGCTTGCCAGTATACCCAGGCAGTAGGATGGAGCCAGACAAGATCGAGGAGCAGGTTTGAAAACAGCTGAGCTCCTGACCCGTCCCCTTCCCCATATTCCGATAGCCATAGCCTCTTCTTAGCTGCGTTCGCAAGGGTCCAGAGAACATCACGTCGTCCGCCGCCGTACTGGTAACCATGCACATTGATCCGCGTCACTTGACTTTGCACAGAGCTGCCCAGGCCAACCCAAGTGGTGATAGCCAAGTCATACCACGACTCATCTGAGGCAGCAATGAAAGATGATAAACCTCTTTGAGAAAGTGAAGTTTTGAGGTATGGAATGATTGTAGCCATAGTTGATATATCGAAATGACAACCCTCTTGAGTCCCGGAAGGTCCCCATGGCGAAGTAGGCTCATTGAAGGCCTCGACTGACTGAAACGTGATCCCCCAATTCTGGCTGGCATGCTGAGCAACGTTGGCAAGATACACGGTATGATTAACATAATTCCATGATTGTAAATTATTAAGAATACTGTTTCCTGTTGGATCATGATTTAGACAAAAAAACCAAGGTGAAGAATTAGAAAACAGCTCAAATATGTTTGCGCCGTTTGCTTTGGCTTTCTGAAGCATCGCGTTTTGGTTGGCGTCGGCGTCCCAGTTCCAGCTTGACGATGTGGGGTCGGAACTGCCCCAATCAAGCCAAAAGCTATCCATCTGACGAGAAGGCTTAATATTCGATGAAACAACCATGCTGTCGCCATCATAGGTATTGTTGCTGCATGCTCCTGCGTTGTATCGAGCGATGTTGAAGCCCAAGCCGGGCAGGGTCTGACCATCAATGGTTTGGCTGTTCAGACTGAAGAACACGGTAGCCAAGTCATCTCGATTACCAAAAGCTTTCGCCCACCAAGCAAGAGACACGCCCCAGCCTTCCCAGGTTCCCCAGGTTGTTGACGGGTCGAGTGAGAGCGTTGTATCGGCCCCGGCTCTCTGGGACAGCAAAGCCAGGGTCAGAGAAGAGAAGACAACCGTTCGCATGGCTACCAGATAGAAAAGTACCGGTACTTCCACTATGCATCTAAAGAATGATGCAAGTTGCGCAACAGAAAGCTCACTTATATGCTGTTGTTGGCCCTCAGAGGGTTTTATATTCCGTATAAGACGCTAGTATGATTGGGCCGACAATTGGCGATGCTAGCAGATCCATCGCATTGCTGCAATTGCTGCAATGCAACACAAAGAGTACCATTGAAAACACATGCTCGCAAAGTTATCCTTGCAAAGGCTTGTGAAAAAGCCGAGGCGACTTGTTTAGGCAAAGCGAGGGGGGGCGAAGTGACGTTCATCGCCTTCCGATTTGAGCGGCTAGACATTGCATCTATGGATTCTCACTAACGACCATGGTCCTGCACACGCTATTCCATAACTTAGGTCAATCGCGCATCACGTTTGTCATTACAATAAAAATTTGACGACCAGACGAAAAATAGCGGAGAGCGACTGGATTGAGTTGAGCAACAAACTTTTAAAAGTGAGCTCTATGGACAAAGCTGTACCATTCATCGCTTACAAAAGAATGGACTCTTGTATTAAACAGCTTCACAGAGAGAGTCACATTAGAGAACATTGAAGGCATGGTTGGTCTTTCGGTCGCTCGACGGCTAGCGCTTGGCAACCCGCTTGTTCATACATTTCTTGTTCATACATTTCTTTATCAAAGAAAAACCATTTATTGCTGAAAACGCTATACACAGCCTATAACCATGCATTCTGTTATAAGTCAGAGTGTTCAACGTTGGCTGTTGGCGGGGCATGGAACATGACTAGCCCCAAGCTCACGAGGAAGAGGAGACGGATGATATGCGTATTATATTTAGGGCCTTGAATATCACCATTCTCCGCTGTTTATTTGGGCTCACTTCATACAGAAAACCTTCGGCGCCCTTGGTCAAATGCAATGTGCCGTCTCCCTTCATGTGTTCGGGGACTTGGTTCCGTATAGAGAGCGGAACATAGTTGAGGCTATCATCGTATGCCGATGTGCATTTTGAGATAATAGCCTTTTTTAATTGTGATACAGTCCCTAGACGAGTGAGCGGAAAATATTCCCAAATAAGATTTTGCATCGCTTCTTCACGTTTAGCTGGGCCAAGCCTCCTTACAAGAAAGACTTCACTGATAAAAAGGCTTTACTTACCTGCGAGCTGAACACGAACTGCTGTTGGCCAAAGTAGAGCGGTGAACCAATTCCCTCATTCGCGTCAAATAGCTGAGTGCGTATTACAGCTGCTATGTTTCACAGCATCACATATATAAGGTGGCAATCAGTGGCGGCGGCGAATATAGTATTCAATCGCCTACATCCATAACCTAGATATAAAGACACATTCATTGTAACTTTACTTTATAAACTCTGCCAAGCCAGTTACCGAAACACACCCAGTCCGGTAAGCGGATGCGAAAATCGTAGGCAGGCGATTACATGCATTTAATCTTCAACAAATGATTAATAGAAGCCTAGCCAAAGTATTCCTATGTCGACGTCAGCGGTAGCGCCGGCAGTAGAAGGTACGGCGAGTAGCATGTCAAAAGAGCGTTGGCCAAAAGTCTGCGACAAGGAAAATATTACTCGCAAAGGGCCTGATTCTCTCTTCTCCAAGTCACTTCTATGAGGTCACACAAGTTAATCACGTGAAGAGGGATAATGAACGTGCCTCTCTCCTCTCTCTCCCTCTTTTCTCTCGCGTCGCGAGAGGCCACACCCACGCTCACAGTCACCGACTCCATCTGATCCAAGTTTTGTGCTTCGAAATGACCTATTAGATAGGGGATCGTACTAGCAGTCGCGCCAATTTGCTCAGTGACCATACTGAATTGTTTACCTTTGTATTGCTGGATTAGATAGAGTCCACCATATTATACGCTTGAATGGAGATACCTACAAAAAGGGGCGAAGCCCGGCGCGAAGACGTAAATTTTACTCTCACTGAAGGAAGTGTTCTTCTCAACCCATTACCAGAGCCGGGAAAGACCTCAGCCAGATCAACTTGAGAACGTGATATTAGCCTCGCCGATCTGGCCACTACTGTCGCAGTATTCACGCGAAAGGAAGCTAGGACGTCGAGGCCCTCTGTCTTTTCGTCTAGTGCTCCGGCTTTTGGGAGTTGGTGCTCCGTCAGCTGCGGAGATAGGAGTCAGGATTGCGGCGATTTCTTCATTTATAGACAAGTTAGCAGTGACTCGACTAAAGAAGAAATCCGTGACAAGCTTTTGGGTAGGCATTGTCAATAATATATAGAGGGAGAAAGAATCTATATACGCTCCAATTGTGGAGCGGCGCAGTATGATATCTGTCTCAAATACCATGAAGATAGCGCATAAAAAAAAGAGCGCCCAAGACAATCAAGAGCAAGGAAGATAGATTGTGCTCATGATAAAATCTTGAGCCATTGATCGGAATAATGACGCTTCCGAAGAGGCGGCAAAATCTTGTCATCTTTATCCTGTCTTGCTATACCGTCTCCCTCGAGGCAGGAATCACTAATTCCTTCCCTTGAGAGAGCAAATGTGATTACAACTTGCCGTCTTAGGGACTTTCTGTCTATTTGTATCTACTACATCTTCTGAGTCTTCATGTTGCCTGGTATGTAGTTGCGGTGCCAGAATTGTCGTGATCCGAACGATTTACATGCCATATAGCCCCTTGTGCACGCTTTTAGATTGTTACACGCGTCCTGCCATGGCGGTAGGCAATGACCTGCGTCTATGTAAGAAAAAGAAAGGGCAAAAATGCAGGGTGGACACGCTTCGAACCCAGGCGTCATCCTATCCCGGGTCATCCCAGCGGGTTAGTTGCACCCTGGCCTTGGTGCGACTGCCTGGGGACCCATTCGACCACCCCACAGCTGGCGTCCCAGCTAGTGACAATGCAAGGGATTATTCTCATTTATAAAGGAAAGGTGCAAGCAGGCTGGACTTGACGAGAAGAAAAAAACAAGTGTCAGGGGGAAGGCTGGGAGCGGGCGCTGGCTTTATACATAGATGCGAGACTTGAAGATGGCGCTAGGCAAGGCAGATCTGGTGTCCACTTAGCATCCACAATTAAGTAATTTAGCATGGCGATGCTAGCACAAGAATGGCTTGAAGGTTGTTTTAGCTGAGAGTGGATGTGGATTTGGATTGAATTGATGAGGCACACTGAGATTTGAGGTTGCTGGGAGCCGGAGTTGCAGGCTTTATGTTGCCTACAATAGTTACAGCGGGCAGCTCGCTGTAGAATAGGCACTGAACCGCCATTAGGCGTTTACACTAGTACATCAACGTGATTTCTCGGATTATAGATTCAATATTTGGTATCAGCGCATCGCTTATCCACACGTAGGGCCGAGGGGTCGGGCAATTAGCGGTTACAGGGACACCGTATCTCATCAAGCGGGGCTGTTCATGATTTCAATACGTTGATATTCACCCCAGACAATCGCAACCAAATGCTACGCCAACCATCGGTAATGCAATATTCCTGGCCTGGTGGCTACTGCCCGCCTATCCCAGCATGGAGATCCACGGCGCTTCTCATCATACATAGCCAATACGGATATCGCGATCCTTCGTGGGGCGACGGTACTTCCAACCCCGATTACGAGAAGAACGTTTCCAGTCTCATTGCCAAGTTTCGCAGTTATTCCAACACTACGCCCGAGGACGAACTGCCTCTCATTATCCACGCCCAACTCAAGCCAATTTGGGCCAACTCCCCACTATACCCTGGGAAAACCGGCCCCTACGGCGCAAATGGCGAAGAGAAGGAAGGCGTAGACTTTTTAGAATGCTCTGTCCCGCTGGTAAATGAGCCTTCTAGTCCTTCTGAGCCTGCTTCTTCTTCTGAGCCTACTGCTTCTTCCGACTCTGTTGCTTCGCCTGAACCTACATGTACAGGTACTCAAGCATCTGAGCTTGCCGCTTCGCCCCCGCCAGGCAATTCTTCCCGCTCACCCTCTAATGAAGTTATAATAACTTGCCGCGGGCCCAACGTTTTTAGCAACACGCCTCTAGAATCTTTGTTGAAAAAGAGAAACATAAGAACGCTGCTCATCGCTGGAATCCCAACCGACCACGCTGTGAGCACCACCGTGCGTTCATCTTATGATCTGGCCATGGATGGGAGATGGGGAGGGTCGGGCTACATTGAAGATACCTTTAAATGGCTGCATACGGATGGGGCTGGGGTATACGGGCAGAAGAAGCACGTTTTCGGCGGCAATCAAGAAGTAAGCCAAGAAGATCTAGTGGACTACGCCGTAGATATGGCGAGGATCATCTTAATTGGTGACGGAACAAGATGTTTTGGCAAAGGAGGCGTCGATGCTGAGATGGTTCATCGAGTTCACATAGAAAGCTTGAACGCATTTGCCGAGGTGACAAACACTGCTACTGTTATCCGCCAGTTGTATCAAGACGAGAGATGGAAGACCTGGACGTTTCTTTAGGATTTGGCGTTCTAGGAAGAAAGAAGAAGAAAAGATGGATATATGGTCTTCAGCTAACGCGAGTTAATACAAGGCCGACAGCTTTTGAATAACATTGAAACAGAAGTAAAAAATCATCCAGCACTCCAGTTCTCTTATCCAGCACTCCAACTAGGTATAGCAAAGGCCACTGCTGCTACTTCTTTATCGCTCTATTGCTCTATTGCTCTAAAGAGGGGTGAAAAGATTGATTGAGGTATTGGGAGGAAGACCAGCACCGGGCGAACGCCACCGGAGTTCGCGGGAGGGGCCGGGGCTTCGGCGGCGGCGGTAGGCGCAAGGCCAGCAAGAGGACCCATCACCATGAGGGCAACGATGGCGGCGTCCGACAATCCAGCTCGGCGGAGCTGGTTTCTCTCTGCCCGAGAGAGGGGCCCCCTACCTAAGCAGTCACATTGGTCACCAAGGCACCGGTATTAGTATATGTCGGGGGAAACGCCACCAATAAATAAGATAGAGAGATACTTTACCAGCGCTAGAGAAGCTGGTTTGTCTGACGCCGCCCTCGCTCCTCCTGTGTCTGCCTCTGGGGAGGCCATAGACACTGAGATGAGCGGTGTTCAGACCCCGGTCGGACACAAAGAGGAAGGGGAAGAGGAAGGGGAAGAGGAAGAATAAGAGATTGACTACCCCGACGAGGAGGTTAAGGAAGAGGAAGAGGAAGAGGATGAGATTGACTACACTGACGAGGAGGTTGAGGAAGAGGAAGAGGAAGAGGATGAGATTAAATACACCGACGAGGAGGTTAACAAGAAATAACGTTTGCTTTTGACACGAGTGTTTTAGGGGGGCAAGGGATAATCCAAGGCGTTACACAATGAGACTTTGTTTTTTACTATTCCCACTTTATAGTTCGGGATATATATTACATGCGCAGTCTGGGAAAAAGAACTGCCCAAATGCAATCGAGGCTCAATGCCTCACGGTTTACAAATCATAATACTTTGCAAGCCTCATTACATCTTTTCTGCACCGTGACTGTTCTATCGTATTGTGTCTGGACTCGTGATGATTTCTACATGCGCTATTCGTAGATTAGGCAGTGAAGAGAGAAAAAGTAAACCTTTCTTTGTACTATAGAAGTGATGCTTCACTAAAAACTCAACTTGCTCAAAAAAAGTCTGGACGCAAGTCAACTTCTCGTGGCATCGTATCGAATCGATCTGTATAATCACTATATTTCTTCGATTGACAAGTTGGAACACATGGATTCATAGACCATGTAGTCCCCGATACAGAGGCATCGAGCTCAACATTCCAAAGCTTGACAAGATCAGCACATTGCCCGCCTTTAATGCGTATTGCTTTGATCATGGGCCTCTCCTCTTTAACAAATTCCATGATTTCGCCAAAGACTCCAATGTTATTGTACAAGTCGAATATGCGGTTGTTTTCGATGAGTAGCACCAGACTTGTGACGTTGGTAAAGAGCTTGAGAGCTTTCATGATTGTATCTCGAGCCCATTGAAGCTTTGGCATGAAAGTGTCGTCTGCATGGCGTTTGCAGCTCACAATGCCGGGTAAAGTATCGCAACGGTTTACACGGCAGTTCAACACCTTGTCGTCGAATCTCAGCGTTAAATTGCGAACGTTGTCGCCGATAATGCCGCCCAAGAGTTTACTATTTATGCATTGGATCATGGACCACTCGTCCTCGTCACCTAGTGGGATTTCTCCAAACTCTCTGGAAATGCCAAGTTGTAGCTGTTTATGGCGCCAATACCCAAGACTCCCTTCTTCCCACAGCTGCTTGCACGATATCATCAAGTTGAAAACGTCAAAGTAATTCGTATTGCTGCGAGTTCCGCCGTGTATCCTCCTATTGAACCAGAGAACCTCGGTTTTGACAAGGCATGGAGCGTATCTGTCCCACGGTATCTTGTCATTCGGCCAGTGTGTGTTTGGCCGCTTAGAGAAGTGTACAAAGGCAATAGAGGCAAGAGTAATGGGATTTTCGTCATTGTGTCTGTCTTCGTAATCTTTAATGACCATGAGGAGGTCAAAGTCACGATCTTCCCATAGCTCATAGAAGATTTTAAAGCGAACCTCCAGAGGCATTTGCAACAAATTCAACCTTGGGTAGAGCGAGGAATGGCCGGCACAATCTTCTTTCTTATACGTAGCCATGCTAAGTATTTGTTGCAAGAAGCTTGCGATGTTGTGAAACCCTGGTAAAGATGTAATACTGGATGCTATAAGGACTTATAAGTGGGAGATATATATACCAGATCAGTGCAAGTGCTACTTATTTATCTATACTAGAAACAGCATCTCATCGAGATTGCGGGATAAACAAAAGCAAACATCTGACCAGATCTATCACAACCTGCATTTAAAGTGCCTGAGATGGTGTGATTGCATGCATCTCCTGCAGCAGACGGACGCCAGCAAACACCAGGCACAGTGCGAAGACGTCGAACCGCCCAGTCTAGCTGAAGCAGTCAGGCAAGAGTTCCTTTGCCCCCCTGTTGCATGAGATCCAATCACGGCATCCCACCTGGCATGGGAAGGGATCCAACTGAAACATGCATACCGCATGCATGTGTTATCACGCATAGGCGAGACGATGCTGCAGCTGCAGCTGCACAATAGTTCCAAGACCTGCGTGTGCTTTCAGCCGTATGTGGTAAGAGAGAAGATGGTATTGCCTATATGTGTGCGGATGTTGCACAAAATACTGTATACAGAAATGGAAGCGCTGAGTGTTCATAAATCGTGAGTTGGTGTTGATACAGGAAGAGTTCGTCTTTTCATGGCGCATGTGGCCAGTTTCGGTTACAGCTCTCTCTGAGGAGTGTAAGAGGTGCAGGAGCACCAGACAATAAACTCATGGGTGCCTCTACTAGAATTGAGAAAACATAGCCATAGAGAGATTGCCTTTGCTGCTGCAAAGTCCATCAGAAAGAAGGGTCCCTCAGCCGGTCATGTGACGACTGCTCAATCATCTTTTCTATAAATTCGATTCTCTGAATCAATGCGTTGCCAAACTCAGAAGACTCCATCATTGCCATCACAAAAGGGCCTTGACCGCCCCAAGTGCAGGCATGCAGATGATTGCGCAGCTGCGAAAGAAGGCCATTCGCCTCTTTATTCGCAAACAGGCCGGCAGAATTCATCTCCTCCAGCATGTCAAGTGCAGAGTTGGCATCTCCAAAGCGCTGCCAGTGGATCTCGGCCAGCTTGGAATAAAACGGTGTCGAGACGCCGAGGACGAACGAAGGTAAGCCGAGTTCCTTGATGCGGGGGAGGATCTGAAATATATATGGAGAAGGTCGAGCAAAGGCCGAGTTGAAGAGGTCCAAGGCCGTGCTGAGGAATCGAGAGTATAGCGGTCCGTGAATATCCATCACTCGTTCTTCGTCTTGCGAGGCCATTTCTAATGCTGACTGTTCTTGGTACAGACTCGCCTCGGCATCCTCCACAAGTGCATTCGATTGCCGAGCCTTCTTTTTTCCCTTTGCGGCTCGCTTTGCCTGTGCAATATGCAGCTTTTCGGGCAGCGAGAAAACCTCTTTCTCCATGATGCTCCACAGCTCTGCGTCAGTCTTGCATTGCTTCATCAGAGATTCTACTCTTTCACATTCCTGGCTTCTGGCAAGCTCCCGCTCTGTGCGCTCAGCCCATGTAGCCTCATCAGCACCGTCCAGCTCGATCATCTGGGCCTTTTCCCCGGACTCTGAGTCTTGTGGTTTGACCTCATACAGGCCCAGTGCAACTTGAGCAGCGTTTTGGAGCGACTTGGGATATCGGCCCAAAAATTTCTCGCGGAACTCAGAGATGCGGACCTTTTCGGTCATTGCGCGGGCTGAGCCAGAGCTGTCTCTCTCGCCGCTTATAGCGGGTGCGTCAGTGAGATTTTGCTGAGCCGGGGTCCGACTCTTCACGGGTGGCATTTTGCCTTCGGCGATTTCACTGAAGATCTTTTTGAAAATCTGGGCCTCAGAAGGCGTGATGGTGGACGCTTGTTCTGAGCTGGGTCCTTCCAGCTCTTGGTCTTCTTTGGAATCCCATTGAAACGGAATGGAATTATCTCGAAGCTTTTTAGGCCGTCGTGGAGAGTGCATCAAACGGGCAGAAGTCAACGCCACAAGGGGACCCTTGACAGCCCGTTGAAGGGTCCGAGTCTGGTATAAAAACGGAAGCATGGTTGACGACATGGCTGGCTGGTGTGAAATGCAGCACAGTGTCCCTGAATTGGAGATGCCGATGCTCAATTCTTTTACACCGAAATTTTCAAAATCTGGAGCCCATTGCTGAATGCTCATCCAGGTGTTTTACACGGCTAATCCTCGGTGAGCTGCATCTGGGACTCTGGCGGTTTGATTCCTAAGAGTGCCGCCTACGCCTAATTTAGTCGCTAATTGATGCGCGTGACTTCGCGCCAGACAATTAACCGCCACGACGCGGTGCACGCGATTTCTCCAATTCAGCTCCGGATTCAATCCGCCGTCAGCACCGATTCACATCTTCCTGCGACTGGACCAGGTGCAACGCCGGCTTTTCTTTTTTGGATATCACGATTGCAAATTCTACACCCTCAAGTCCATACCAGATTTCTCCCCCCTTTTACTTGCGAATTATTGTCCAACGTCGTACCAATCATGGCTCCGAAGAAGGAAAGCGACGGCCTCAGCGCATTCGAGCGCCGCCGTCTTGAGAACATTGCTGCGAACAAAGCTCTGCTGTCCGAAATATCTGTTACAGCGAAAAACATCATACCAGACAAACCTGTGCCCAAGCCATCCGCTTCGCGAAAAAGAACCAGGGCGGAACCTGTGGTTCGAGAGCCTCGTCGAGGCACTCGTATGAGCTCCCGTCTTGCCGGAGTAACGGCAGACGATGATGTGCTTAAGAGGAAGCTAGAGGTGGAATCAGAGCATCAGGCCGCAGAGAACAAGGCGAAGAGACTGCGGAGTGGCGAAGATATGCACCTGGGCGACATTGTTGTTGATGGCCGGAAATACACAAGCAGCATGGATGGCTTGAAGGGCATTTTTCGCGGGGCACAGCCTGGCGTGCGAACATTTTCCGACTACGACATCAAGGAGACGACTGATGCCAGCCTAAAAGAACTGCGATCGCAAATGAGCAGCTTGAAGCTATATGAGCATTGGATACCAAATGGTAGGTTTCTTGAACCTTTTCTTGAAGTCAGTCTTAGTGACGAACCGTCTATAGATATCAAGATCACCCCACAACGAATTTACGCATTGAGTTTCCATCCGACGGAAGACAAGGCGATTGTATTTGCCGGAGACAAAGAGGGCGCGATGGGAGTATTCGATGGTTCGCAGACGGCCCCTGAAATGGATGACGATGACGACCATATCCCGGATCCAGTCATATCAGCTTTCAAAATTCACGCTAGAACTATAACTTCATTCGCATTCTCACAAGCAGACGCAAATTCCGTGTACTCCTCATCCTACGATTCATCGATTCGAAAACTCGATTTGGAGAAGGGCACCTCTACCCAAGTTTTTGCCCCCAAGAGCCACTTCGAGGAATTGCCCATCTCCACACTGGAGATTCCTGCGGCAGAGCCAAATATGCTGTACTTATCAACATTGGATGGTTCTGTTGGTCGATACGATACAAGAGTACCCGACAGCCTAGAACTATGGACACTCTCTGATCAAAAAATCGGAGGATTTTCCATGCACCCGCTCCACCCATATCTTTTAGCCACAGCATCTTTGGATAGAACCATGAAGGTATGGGACTTGAGAAAAATGATTGGTAAGGGGGATCTGAGACATCCTTCTTTACTTGGAGAACACGATTCACGCCTGTCAGTTTCGCATGCTTCGTGGAGTGCCGGCGGGCACATTGCCACTTCGTCATATGATGATACGATCAAAATCTACGACTGCTCCGGAGCCTCGAAATGGAAGCCAGGCCAAAGCATCGACGTGGTACCCGCGCACACTGTCAAGCATAACAATCAGACAGGCAGATGGGTTACAATCTTGAAGCCACAGTGGCAGAAGAATCCAGAAGACGGTATTCAAAAATTGACTATCGGTAACATGAACCGATTTGTCGATGTTTACGCTTCGGACGGAAGTCAATTAGCTCAGCTGGGGGGGGATGGTATATCTGCTGTTCCAGCCGTTGCTCACTTTCACCCGAGCAAGAACTGGGTTGCCGGGGGCACTGCCAGCGGCAAGCTTTGTTTATGGCAGTAGATGGACTTTTCTAGAAATATTTACGAGGGGATGCTACAAATCCTACCGTTGCTGCTGAGCATTGTTGAAGAGGAACTTCGGCTATTCTACTCCGAATATGCTCATAATGCCCTTCAAAGTGTTGCCGAGGAGGAAAAGTGCGACGCCTTCATAATACGCTCAAGATTTCTAGACTTGTACATATACTAGCAACAAAGCGAGGAGTCTATTGAACATATAATGATTTGTCTATTTGGGAGCTATACATCCATTCTCCGTTTATGAACTCTTGGCTGCTCAAGTGAAGAATGATCCCTCATTAAGTCCATTTACTCCTTAAACTCCCTCTTCATTTCGGTGCTGGAGACCTCGAAGCCGCACTTCTCGTAGAATTTGATGTTGTGCTCACTGCAGTTGAGAATCGTTTTCCGGCATCCCACGTTCTTGGCCACGGAGTTGAGGGCGTTGAGCATGTGGAATCCGAGCTTCTTTCCCTGCTGGTCCTTGGAGATGCAGATCTCCTCAATATGGCCAACAATGGTGCGATTTTGAATGCTTTGATGATTTATTAGTTACCAAGTGCTTTCAAGTTTACTACCAAAGAACAACTTACAACTTCTTCTCAACAATCACGGCACCCGTGCCTACAATCCGGCCTGCTTGCTCAATGACGAGATAGTAGTAAGGGGGCCCGCTCATCTCGTCGTACCGCTCGTTGAATTCCTCTTCAGTGAGATTGTCCATCCATGTCAAATCACGGAGGCATTCTAAAAACCCCTTGGCATAATCTGCCTTTTCCAAAGGCCTGATAGTGTAGCCATCTGGGAGAGCTGCTGCGGCATCGCTAGATAAGAGGGATGCGGGGAATATGGGGCTTGTGGACATTGTAAGAGCTGAGTTTGTAGGCAGCGACGGCAATGCTGAAGAGAATGTATTATTGTGATGAAATGAAGTTGTGTTTATTCTCTTGATGGATTTGCTTCGAAAAAATGTTATTGAATTAGAGTCAGTCTATGAGTTTGTGACGTTACATGCGAATGCTATCCCACACTCGTTATAGAGCTCCCCACGATACGCTAAATTGATACTCCTCACTATTAGCTGCGTCGCGATAATTGACGGCTGCGATTACACAAAGATCAACGAAAGCAAGACACCTGTAACGTGGCTATCGGAAAAAAAAATATTGGCACATCTCTTTAAGCATAACACAAAAGATATACATGTCAAACACAAATTAACTATTTACGATTGATTCAGCCCGATATAAGCTGGCAGCACACTCTTTGACAAAGCGGGCGACTGTCTTAGTACCCAGATGGCTTGTTATAGCGCGCGCTGAGCTACTAATACTTGTATACAACCAGAGTGTCAGCCTCTCAGATCCTCAAAAGCCCTCCGATGGATCCGATTGAAGGCTAGAAGCACGAAAAGCATCAAGGCTTATTCTTCAGGATTAATATTCTTTTTGGTCCGTTTCTAGAAACTTTGCATGTGTCAGAGCAAAGCTGCAGATATGATGGTTCTACTTACCTTACTAAAAGTATTTCATGGGAGACGTTATTCAGCACCCCAATCTCATTATCCAACACCCCTGCTGTAGCGCAACAAGGCGGCCATTCCACATATCAAAATCTATACATGTACACAACTGCTAAATACCATCCATTTAAAAATAGCAGTAGCATCAGTAGCAATAGCAATAATGTTGGCAGCAGCCCACGCTTAAGCTGGAGGGTTAGATAACAGAATTGGGGTGCTAGATAACCCCTCCCTATTCTATCTACGCTCTAGGCGAGGTGAGTCAGCTCAGCGAGCCCCCAAAAGTTTAAGCGCATTACTCGTGTGGCAGTGCGGTAGAACCGGCTCACGTTGGTTCATGTCCAGTTACATAGGACGAAAGAGAGGCGATCAGCTAAGCACCGCTGTAGTGAAGATCGAGGTAGAGAGGAGAATGCTCTCATTTCATAGATATCGATTACTAGCTTCAGCAAGAACTATATAAAAACACCAGAGGACAGTTCTGCAAAGTCGAAGCGAAAACGAAAACGACGTATTCCTGGGGGGCCGAAAAGGAAAGACTCCATGTCTACTAATACATGAGGTGCATGTAGAGAGGTCCTGTCTCACGACAAGGGCTAGCCATGTTCAGCTTATAAAAGAGGCAGCGCAGTGAATGTGACCCCTGCACGCCCTGGTGGCACCAGCTCTTTATTCTCATGTCTTTATGGGTTCGTACTCGGACTACTGTTCTACGTTGCTCTACAATTTTGGGTCAAATAGGCAGCGTTCTCTGCTCTCTTGCGAGTGATAGTGCTCCATGATATCAACACTGGGTACATGTACTTGACGCCTCCTTGCAGCAGCATCAGGCACCTACGTGGGCTCAAGCACAGAAACTTGCCTCAGGATGTAGGAGTCATGGCCTACATGTAATTTATAAGTACCTCATCAGCTGTTGTGCACATCATAGTAACTAGAGATTTACAGCGCACGTCATTCTTGTGGTCCTGACATCGTAGCCTCTGTATGATCATATCACATGGGAGGCGTAGGTGGAGGCAGAGCCACGGGCCGGGCTAAGTCGCCGATGGGTGTGACTTGAGCTGTGTTGCCGCCCGAACGCTGCAATATCGCAAAGAGATAAACCACACGGCTGCCATTGGCCTGGCTGTGAACATATTGACAACAACTTCATGGTATTTCGTGGTGATTGAATTTGCTTGAACAAGACTTGCCGAGTACGACGATCCCGAGATAACAACTGCAGCATCCTTGCCTGGCCTTTATCGATAAGTGCTCCCTGGAGCCATAATAAGCTGTCTGTCACTGGGCGAGACAAGCAAGTACACCAACAACAGGCGAATTGCCTCAAGGGCTGCCATCCAACACCGGGCGTCCTCGCACTGTCGTACCAAGAGACCGCGCTCCTGCGCTAACTGGGCGCTGATCCAAGTATCCTTGCACCTTATATATAGCGAGCGGTGTACGCTGCGAGACTGCGAGTACCTGGCGGGTAGGTCGCGAACCTTATCTAGCGGACCGTGAGGCGCCATCAATGAGAGCGGCCTCATTTCTCTCCCAACAACCTCTCCCAAAAGACACAGCAGGCGCTGATCCAAGGTCGCCTCTTCAGTGGAGTGCCGGTGCTGGTGCCTCGCATATCTCATAGGCGTTTGGCGGAGCAGGCGGTTGCCTGGCCTGCACGTCTGCCGTCATCTCCAGCTCGCTGCTGACCCTGCGGCGCAAAGCAAACGGCCCATTTCAACAACCGGTTACGCCTCCGCAGTCGCCTTGAACTAGGCGGACACGCTTCTGGCGCTCCCCCAACTCTAATCGCCGCGGCCGGAACTCATTTCGACCTGCAGCCACCATGGCGACGACTCCCACCCCCCGCCGCGGCAGCCTTGGCGGCGACGACGCTGGACTGCCTCGCATCGCCGAGACACAGACGCCTGCAGACCTGCAGCGAGACGATTCGACCCTGACGGCCGAGCTCCCTGAGCCCCTCCAAGGCAGCGACGACGACACAAGCGAGAATGCGGGATTTGCCCAGACCAGCCCCATGGCTGTGAACATGAACCAGAGCATCTTTGGTTTGATTGCCGCCGCAGGATCCCGGGTCGACTTCAACACCCGCTTTGACGACGGCAGCAGCGATGAGGACGACGGTGAAGACGACGGCGAAGAAGGAGGCCGTCTAAAACCACTGAGCTCGCGGCACCGCGACCTTTCACAGACAGCTATATTGGGGTCATTCCCCGCCAAGGACAAGCGGATCGGGCACAAGAAGAAGCTCTCCGGTCACCGGCTCTTGAAGTCATTTGCCTCGTTGCCTAGAAGGAGGAGCGGCAGAAGCTCTGGCAAGATGTGGGAGCCTACCGAGGAGGTGGACGAGCCCGAGTCGAGTGAATCACCCTCTCCCAAAAAGCCTTCCGAACAGCTGGAGGAGGAGGATCTCCGAGTAGCACCCGTCATGAGCCGGATGCTAGAGGCCCAGGCCGAAATGGCCAGCCGGTCTAGCTTTGACATTGATATTGATCGAGACTCTTCCGGTCCCGATCGAACGGACGAAGGAGAGGAAGAGCGAGAAGAGGAGGGAGAAGCAAACCATGTCACAGCCTTGGCAAGGAAACTAATGGAGATTTTTGACTTTGATGAGCCAGAGCGTGTTATAGAAGGTTCGTCTCTGCCGCCTGATTTACAGCCTTGAATCACTACTAACAACGAGCCATGCATAGAGTATCCATGTTGGTTGCTAAAGAGCGTATTGCTACAAGGCTATCTATACATTACTTCGAAGCACATTTGCTTCTATGCCTATCTTCCCAAAAAGACAGTAAGGCCAACTCCCTCCCACTCACTATATGCGAAGCAAGTTTCACTCACAGAGTCTATAGCAATCCGTAACCAAATCTGGTTACCTATCAAAAAGCGGAAAACGTAACCCAAAGTATAGCCGTTACTGGTTTCGTCTCAAGGGCGACGTATTGTCGTACTATCAGGACTCCACCAACCTATACTTTCCCCACGGCCACATTGACCTCAGCTTCGGCATCTCTGCTAGCATCACAGACAGAGACAAGGAAGGCGTGCATTTTTCGGTGGTGACAAGCCATCGCACCTACAACTTCAGAGCCGAAAGTGCCCCAAGTGCCAAGGAGTGGGTGAAGAGCTTACAGAGGGTCATTTTCCGAAGCCACAATGACGGCGATAGCGTCAAGATATCTATTCCCATCAACAACGTCATTGACGTCGAAGATTCGCAGATGATGGAGTTTTCAGACACCTGCAAGATTCGTGTCATGGATAGTGACGAAACGTTTGCTATCGACGAGGTAAGCTAGCTTGAAGCTTTTGAAGATTCAGTCCTAATATGCGTATGTACAGTACTTTTTCTCCTTCTTCAATTACGGAAAAGAGGCCATAAACGTCATCAAGGACTTGGTTGAAGACGCATCTGCCGAGGGCCCGACGGCTGGTAAAGCGATTGCCAAACAAGAAGAGTCCTCCAATCCGTCATCGCCTCGCGTTCCGGGAAGCGCATTCCGGAATCTAACTCGCGTGGACAGCGCACTCACCACGAAACTTGGTCCGGGACTAGTAGCTGATCATTCAACATCGCGCAGTTCCACAAGTCCAAGCCCGTATCCCAGTGGCGATGATGGTCTCCATTCAAGCTTCGACGCAATCGGAAGAGAGAGAGACAGCCACGATGAGAGTTCTCGAGGAAGATCCAGCGACAATAAAAGATCAGAAAGTAGCCCTCAGGGTGAAGAACGGATATCATCACGGATGCTTGAATCGTCCGAATCAAACCTGTATTCGTCAATGGAAGAACCGAGCTTTGCCAGTCTCAACGAATCTGCTTTTGAAGATCCTTCTGCAAGTCAAATTCTCAGGGGCAGTGACGTCTTCCAAAACCCGACCATGAGACATTCACAAAGCTCCATTCGTGACGACAAGGAGTCAGATCTTCAGCCAGCTAACTATACACCAAGCCACGCTGAAGGATCGGGTTATGCTGGGTCTGTTGATCTCCCGCGAGTGTCAACGCCAACGTTACAGAGCATTACGAGAATGGGCGCGTATCCCTTACAGCGAGCTGGCGCGTTTGCCGATTATCTGAACAAGACTGGCAAGCGAATGAGCACCCTCCTCGCAACGGAATCCATGGGCTATGTCGAGAAAGTTTCCGGTATGTGGAAAGGTGAACGCAAGCATTACGACGAACCTGCCGGTCTGCGACCCGACGAGGATGACCTGGAAGAGGACGATGACGGCCAGGTCAAGACATCTAATGAACGATTTCGAGCACATTTCGCACTCCCTGCCACAGAACGGCTACAGGCTACGTATTTCGGATATATAATGCGTGTATTGCCACTATATGGTAAAATCTACCTCAGCGGCGGATATTTCTGCTTCCGAAGCTTGCTCCCCGGTACGCGGACGAAGTTGATTCTTCCCTTGAAAGATATCGAGAATGCGCATAAAGAGAAGGGTTTTCGCTTTGGATACTCTGGCCTGGTCGTCATCATTCGTGGGCATGAAGAGCTGTTCTTCGAGTTCCGGCAAGCAGAGATTCGTGACGACTGTGCAGTGACGCTGCTGCAATGCCTAGAAATCGATCGCAGTCTCCAAGGATCTGGACTCTTGTCACTAGCGTCCAAAGAGGAAGCAAACGCTGCGATTGCAGAGCGGGAGGCTTTGAAACTAGCAGGACAAGAGACGTTTACAGACCGCGAACCTCAGCTACCGCAGTCAAACACTCATCCCGCCATATTGGGAGACGACCTGGAAACATCGGTGATACAGTTCAAGGCACCGCATTCAATGAGAATTACATGCCTAACAATCGGTTCCAGAGGCGATGTTCAGCCTTACATCGCTTTGTGCAAGGGTTTACTTAAGGACGGTCACAAGCCCAGGATTGCCACTCACGCAGAATTCCAAGGATGGATCGAATCGCATGGCATTGAATTTGCGTGTGTCGAAGGTGATCCTGGAGAACTCATGCGCCTCTGCATTGAGAACGGAACATTTACGCTGTCATTTCTTCGGGAAGCTAATGCGACTTTCCGAGGCTGGCTCGATGATCTTCTTGATTCCGCTTACAAGGCCTGCGAAGGGTCTGAGCTTCTCATCGAGTCGCCGTCAGCCATGGCAGGAATCCATATTGCAGAGAAACTTGGGATCCCGTACTTCAGAGCTTTCACGATGCCGTGGACGAGGACACGTGCGTACCCCCACGCCTTCATCATGCCGGAAAACAAGATGGGCGGTGCCTACAACTACATGACCTATGTCATGTTTGACAACATCTTTTGGAAGGCTACCGCTCATCAGGTCAACAGATGGAGGAACAAAACGCTTGGACTGCCCAATACCGGATTGGAGAAGATGCAGCCTAACAAGGTGCCTTTCTTGTACAATTTCAGCCCGAGTGTCGTTGCGCCCCCTCTGGATTTCTCAGATTGGGTCAGAGTCACTGGCTATTGGTTCTTGGACGAAGGCGGCGACTATGAGCCTCCTCAGGAGCTGCGAGATTTTATCCAGAAAGCAAGGGCTGATGGCAAAAAGATTGTGTACGTTGGGTTTGGTTCGATCATCGTCAATGACCCAGCCAAGATGACCCAGGAGGTGATTGACGCTATCCTTAAGGCTGATGTCCGATGCATTCTCTCCAAGGGGTGGTCTGATCGCATCACTGGAAGGGACGAGCCCGTTAGACCGCTCGCTGAGGAGCCGGTGATGCCACCGGAGATTCACGTCATCAAATCAGCTCCACACGACTGGCTGTTCCGACAGATTGATGCAGCAGCGCACCACGGCGGATCAGGAACCACTGGCGCCAGCTTGAGAGCCGGTATTCCAACCATCATCCGGCCTTTCTTTGGAGACCAGTTCTTCTTTGCCAGCCGTGTAGAAGATTTGGGCGTTGGTGTTTGGGTCAAGAAATGGGGAACGAAATCGTTTGGCCGGGCTCTTTGGGAAGTCACGCGTAACGAGCGGATGATTGTCAAAGCCCGACAGCTGGGTGAACAAATTCGAAGGGTAATTATCATCCCCCCACTCTGTATTTGATAACTATACTAACAGCTATACAGGAGAGCGGTGTTGAAACTGCGATTCAGTCTATATACCGAGACATGGAATATGCAAAGAGTCTGATTAAGCATACAGATGGCCATTTAGAAACAGAAGAAGACGAAGATACGGAAGAGAGCTGGACATTTGTCCGCGGCGACGAACCGGATCCAGACGTGATTACGACAAAGTTGAGCGAAGGTTTGGACGGCGTAGCATTGGGAAACAATAGCAAGGCGTCAGGCAAGGCATAGTAAGATGGAACCTAACGAATATGTCCTTTCGGGTGATTTATTCTTCTTTTTTTTTTTTTCATTTTCCTTTTTTGGATGAGCGGGTTACAGGATTTCTACATACAAACCCTAGAGATGAGAGTTTAATGCTTTTCTTTTTCTTTCTTTCTTTTTTCATTCGGGAAATTGGATCTAGCTCGTCATACTTTGAGTCGATGAACATGAGATGAGATGGTAATGTGTTGGGTGGAGATTCGGCTTTACGACGAGATTGGATGAGTGTTATGACTGCGGTCCTTTATTGGCTGGAATAGATTTTGCGCGATAGAATGAAGAATGCAAAGCTAAATCGCACTTTTGGTATAATACTTCTAGATGACGTCGAGACCTTTTCTGAGGGTGACTCAACCGACGCAGGAAAGTGAACAACGCATGGATTTTTTAGCACGACTGAAAGTGAAAGCAAGTGAGAAGAGGGAAAACAGTAAATTCATAATATTTGATCATAAAAGAGTCGGCTGGTGTAAATCAACCGTAGCTGATGCATACACAAACCAAGACATCCCAAAACACCATAGTATCCAAATCCTTGTCATTGCTCGCTCGCTTAAGGCCGGAAAAGTATATAGATAAAAGAACCCCGTAGATAGCCCATTATACGCACAAATCTTTTGTCGCGTGTGGTTGTGATCCAAGTGGCATAGCGCCATCCTTGGAAGTGATATTATTTGAGAGGCCCACCAGGGGTCGCGAATCGGCAATTGCCTCCCACAGGTCTAGGAACGCATCTTCCATGCCATCAGTGGTCGGGTCTCGCTCCTTGTACACGATGCGGCCGGTGGCGTCTCTCACAGGCTGCCCGTTGCCGTCCAGGACCGGTTCATTCAGCAGGAGGAAAAACTCGGGCCAGTCTCGCCAGGGCGAAGTCTCCAGGGCTATCCTCCAGATGCCGTCCGTGTGTGCGATGATGGCGTCTTCCCAGCGGGCCGTCATGTGAAGGCATTCGCGATACCAGTCCATCATGCCCTGCATGTCCGCGCGCCACCAGCCACCAAGGATAGTGCCGCCAGGCAGAATCTGCTGCCTTGATACAACCCAACGAGCCAAGGCGGGCCAGAAAATCTTTTGTAACAGGTCTAATTTCTGCTGGCGCGTAACTCCAAACTCGCCCACCTGCAGAACATAGATGCGATCGAAGCTCGCTGCCTGAACCCAGTCGCTTTCTCGATGGGCTGTGTCGCAGTCCATGGGACTCTTGTGGGTAGGATATGAAACTCGTTGAAAGTTTCCATACATGATATATTGCAGATGACGGTCCTGTTTTCTTTTCTCTCTTTGGGTTTTGTCGTTTTCCTCTTGCTTTCTGTCGTCTATTGTTCCCCTATTTGTAGATTCAATAATGGTCCCATAGATGGAGAGTATAGTAGAGTGAATCCTGCACAGATGGCACTTGCAGTTTCAAAGTTGGCAAAACGAGACAAATGGATAAGGAAAACAAGGAGAGAAAGGGTAGAAAAAGAAAAGAAGAAAAAAAAGGTGAATAACAAAATGAGTCAGGCACAAACGCACGGATGATATCACAGGAATTCATGCAAAGTTAAGACGGGGCCTGCGTCTTTTTTGTTGATGAGCATCAGAACATCGCGCCCATCACCCCATATCACCTCCGGGAAGCTGTCCAACAAGATGCGAATCTGATAGGAGGCAAAACAAGGCAACGCCCTCGCCAAACAGACTAGAGAGCCAAGGGTAGCATTTACAAGGGTTGGCCATCCGGGGAGACCAAAACCGTCCCGTCTCATACGTCGATCCGCGACGCACGACAATAGAGCTAAAGTCGCAGGGTAGAGCGGCGAACGGCGGGTATGATCGGGATCCCAGCGGAAATGGCTTGAGCTGTGGCAAAAGCAGGCGCTGGCGGGGCCGGCACAGAAGGCCAGAGACAGGCGCTGTGGAGACTTGGGCGAGATGAGGCTGGGCATCGCGTGTTGGATTTATCGGATGCTGCGTTACATGGCTGCGATAATGCGGCGAGTTCCAGTCGGGCACGCAACGGCAAGCCACCAAGGCCAGGCTGTGGACGCCCACAATGGGGGGAATGTCTGAATAGGACTCCACACCACTCCGTCGTCGGGCAGAAGCGCGGAGCAATCAATCATTTGTCGCAGTATTGCTGTGTCGGACAAGCATAGGCCGCCATCTTGTGCCGGCCAGAATCCCGCGATAGCTTCCGCGCCAGCAGGGAGGCGTCTAAAGCGTGGCGCCAGATAAGAGGCGGCTGATAGCGAGACCATATTACGCAGGGCGATGAGCAATAGAATCAGGTCTGGTTGCCTCTGCTTTCTGCGATTTGGTGCAAAGTCCTAGGCCATCCAGGGTGTGGCTTGCCGCGGCGCAACTCTGCGCTGTCTCATTCAACCATAATATGCGGCTGCAAGACGAACTAGAGGCGATGATGCCTAACTGCCAGGATTCTGCTAGTCAGTCAGTGGCATGGCATTGCATCCATCCATTCGTCTGTCCTGCGTGCCATGGCAACATGGCTCTCTGCTCTTTCACATGCTGTGCGTATCGCTTGCGGGCGCTGAAGAGGGCCAGTCTGCTGCCTGATGACGATCCTGGATACCCAGCTCGCTGATTGTTTCCATGAGTTGATGCTTTAGAGAGAGGAAGAGCATTTTGGCTGGGCATATTTGGAATGATTGCAGAAGTAGGAATTAGAAATGAATGTATACACACGCATACTGCGGTGAATACAAGTCCAAGCTACAGATAAGATAAAGCCATTCAGCCAAATGGCAAGTGCAGCTCTCCATTGACAAAGATGCTGCCCCACCACGAAATGCATTATGTAAGCCGCACCGTCAACCTCTGAGAGGAGTTTCATTGCAAAAGAGCCTCCATCATAGCTTCGGCGCCGACAATCTCGAATTTCCACTGCAGACCGGCGCGTAGCGGAGGCAGCACGACCGGCCGTTCTTCTGATTGACAAAGCGACTCTCTCACCAATTTTGCCGCATCGCGATTGACCCCGCCATCGTCCGAATCGACCGCAACAACCGCCCATCATGCCTCAAGACATGCCCCCCCGGGGCGGGTACGAGCCCGTCCAGTACAAGGTGCGTTGCGATGGAGCGTATAACATTGCTGCTGTGGAATCAATTGTTGTTTTATGAAGGATTGGGGTGTCGTTTGTCGTTACCATGGGACTGTGGCGTGGGAAACCAGCACCAGCGATCTGGATTCAAAGCTGCGACAATCGAGATATATATACCCTGTGCCATATATCATGTGTTTTTGAGGCTTGCAACAGAGAAAACATGAACCAAGCTGACTCTTATGTTTAGCGAAACCTGCCCGCCAAGGGCTTCCGACCCGGAATCCTCCTCCTCGGCATGGGCGCCGTCATGGGCTACGGCTGGTACAAGCTAATCGGCGGTATTCGGGAGGCCAAGTACGTCTCCAGCCTCCAGACATGAAAACTTCGCGAACTGACGACTTTGCTTTCTTTTAGCGAGCTTGCCCGTGAGAAGATGTGGGCTCGCATCCACCTGATTCCCCTCCTCCAGGCCGAAGAAGACCGCGACCAGGTGCGACGATACTGGGCCGACCAGAAGCGTGAGAAGGAGTTGTTGGGCGATAACACAAAGGTCTACAACAGCGACAGGTACGATTTTCTGCTCTGATGATGAATTGGGTCAAGTAGATTGCTAACTGTGGGCAGATTCGTGCGACCAACATTCGCCGTTTCCCCGGCACCTTCGAAATGATGGAGTGGTTTTGCATGGGGAGATGTAGAAAATGCGCTCGAATGGAATTGGAATCTTGTATATATATGTGTGTTGACTTGTTCGGCCCAGATGGCGTCGACAAAAATGGGGTAGAAACATCAATAAAGGAGGGCATGGCAATCTATATCTTCTGTTTCTTTGGTCAAGTGCTACTAAACTCTACAAGCGCAGATCAACTACTCTATCTTTAAAAAAAAAAAGAGAAAGAAAAGAAACAGCGAAACCACAGTTGCAGACACTTATTAATAGCGATTATAGGCCGATTTCATCTCAATTCTACACCAACTTCCTCAACAATCCACTCCCACAGCCTCTTCGACAACTCATCACTATGACACTTGGCATTTCCAGCATGCGGCTTCCCCACCGGCTCGAAAAGCGCCGTCTTGCCATCAACCTTGTCTTTCACCTCCAGAGACGTCGCCGCCCACAGCGTATTATACGCCCCCTCGCGAGGAGTCAGCATCCCCCGTGGAGCCGTAATGAGCGGAGCATCTTGTCAAAAGTCCCAAAGTTGGCAACCGCCTCCGTGCCAACCACATCCGGATGAACAGCAACGCTCGTGATCTGCGAATACCGTTTGCCCAGCTCTCTCGCAAAGAGCACATTGGCGAGTTTGCTCTGCGCACAGCGTCTCCACCTACCCATCAGCAGCATATTGTCCTGCTTGAACCGCACGGCGTCAAAGTCAATCCCATTAACCATAGCATATCCCAACGACGTGATGGCTACGAAGCGGACATCTGCTCCCGGCACCTCATTTGCAGTTCGCAGCATGATGGGCAGGAGAAGCAGCAATAGTGCCGCGTTGCCAACGTGGTTGGTGCCGAATTGGACTTCGTAGCCGTCCTTTGTGAGGGCGGGTGGGATGGCCGAGACGCCTGCGTTGGCGATGAATATGTCTAGACGGCTGTGTTGGAATTTTGTTGCGGCTTCGCGGATACTTGCGAGGTTGTCGAGTTTGCAGGCCAAGAAGGTGATGTTTGAGGAGTTGGCAGACTGGGAGATGACTTCTTTGGCGGATTTCTCGTTTCGACCGGTGAAGTAGATGTGTGCTGGGTTGTGTTTGGCTAATTCAAGGATTGCAGCCTTTCCAATGCCACTGGTGCCTATTAGAATAGTGAATCGCTCACCGTGTTAGTTACCGATATGGGGAATGATTGGGGATGACCAAGGAGGCTAACCTCCGGTGATGAGAATGACTTTGCCAGAGAGATCAGGCACATCTGTATCAGGATTGTATGGAAGACCCATTGTGTAACATCAGAATGTGAATGGGATACTGCTTAGGCAAAGAGATGTCGAGTATACAAAATCGCCAGCTTAATTTCTCCTTTATATCCATCTCTTCGTTCATAGAAAACTATTCTTTCTCAGTCACATATTGACATTACCAATCCCATCAAATAAGGCTCAGAATCCTTCACACATCACTACGATTCTCCGCAGTCTATATCATAAATCTCCGCCACGCCATCTCAACACAACCATCCAAATTCCCAAGTCTCTGGCTGAAACTCACTGAAATAAAAAGTCAGTGGCATGGGTCACGGCGAGACATTCGACCGGCGGAGTACTGCTAGTAGATATAGTTTGCTGCAAATATGGCGAGAGGGTTACGTTCGATGATGGACTTGAGCCCCCTATGACCGAGAAAGCCCAGAGCAAGTTGACGGTTCAGTCTCTGAAGGATTATTACCCATAGTCAGCCTATCTGCTCTATCAAACAAAGTATCTCAGAAAGTCTCTTGGCATTGAGTATTCTTTAGCCTATTGACCCAGCATTTTACTAGCTTCATGAGATACGTGTATGAGATACGTGTATCAACCATCACACATCACACACCACATCACATCACATAATTCACATCAATCACACAACCAATTCACGGTTTCAGGCACGCATAAGCCGAATTAATACCTTGACCCATTTTCCAATAACAGTATGTACCTATTACTCTAACTCAAAAGCGCCGGCCACACACCTAGTATTCTTTCTCCAAAGAGCGCCACTTATCCAGCAATCGCAGAACCGCCACATACAACTTCTAATCACCAGCAGCCTCAAGCCCTGCAAGCAGCTCCCGTTCCAACTCGTCGTAATCGAAATTGTCCTCGTTATCTGCATCTGCGACACGAGGTTGCAATGTATCCTTTTGGCCAGATCCACCAGTGTCTCCGTTGGTATGTACAGCTCTCAATGAGGAGGCTCCTCTGCTCCGTGACACCCGCTGCTTTTTCGCTAATGCGCTTTCTCCAACAGTACTGGAACCATCGCCTTCTGACTCAACAGTGGATGCTCTGGCTTTTCGCTTTGTGCCTCTCTGGTCTGGATCGTCGGTGTCGTCTGCGTCACTGTCCGTTGTCTCGCTCCCATTATCTTCATCTTCCGCCTCGCCTCCCTCATCTCCATCCCCTTCGTCATCACCCTCGTCGTCGTCATCATCTCCCAAAAACTCCTTGAGCTCTTCATCAAAGTCCCCCATGTTAATAGAGATGCCGGCCTCTTCCATCTCTGCTGAACCAGTATCTGCAGTGTCCTCGGACCTCTCGCGATCGGCATCAAGGATGGTCATATAATACGGGCTCTCGTCTAGTCTACGCCATTGGCTAAGACAATCGGCTAGCCAGCTCTGATTTACAATCTTGATGCTCGAAATCTTTGCCGCTTGTTGCACCTTCTTGGTTCGCGGCCGTGCTAGAGAAACTACAAGATGTGTAACTCTATTTGAGATGCCGTCCACAACCTGAGCTCCAAAGCTTTGTGCTTGCATTCCTATCTCAGACTCCTCTATATTGACTCCTAGTGGCACAAGACCAGAGAGGCATATGACAAGACCTGAGAGGACATTCGACTTGAGTTCGTCTAGAATATCGCCGACATCCGGAACAAGCGATAGATCAACACCGTCGTCAACGTGAATAGATTTTCTTCGCGCTTTGCTATGTCCGGGTGGATGGGTAGGTTCTGACATTCTCCTCTCCCCTCGTCGCTTATCGTACATATCGTAAAAGGCAGTATGGAGATCGGTAAGATGATCTTGGAGAGTAATAAGCTCCTCGTCATCGTCGCTCAACAGCTGCTGTCGGTGGTGGGCTGGTGAAGACTCCCCCGCTTCTAGGCTTTGGCCTGACTGCTCGTCTTCCTTATCCAACTCTTCCTGCATATGAAGTAGCGGACGATCAGTCAGCTGTTTTTCTAGTGTCTTTTCTTGCTCTTCCGCCTGGACTTTGAGATTGGCTCCGTCCCCTCCCATTCGCGCTAGTTCATCGAGTGGTGAGACCTTTTCACCCGGAGCAGCGTTTTCCGCGTTGGAACTGGGGGCCCCATTCAATTTTGGGGGGGCAGGCAGAATATCTTGTCGCTTGGGTAGGAAGCTGGAGTTGATATCACCGATTCCTTTGAAGAAATCGTAAGGCACAACTTTGATCAGATTTGGTCGATTCATGGGCCAAACGTCTGAGCGATCGTCAATAATAACAACCATGTCTGTGCTGACAGGGAACAGTCTCTGCAAGCTCTTTGCAGTAATGCTTCCATTCTCATCACGGCTGATGACGCGATTGCCAAAGAGCTTCTTGTCTGGGTCAACAATTCGTGCAATATTCAGGGCGTAGGCGCGGGTTCCCATGGTATATACATGTAGCTCGTACATGGTAGAGACGGTTTCCAAGAACTCTTGGAGGCCCGGCCGTAGCTTGATGTAGTAGGTGCAGCCGCTAGCCAGCCCTCGAGGCCCATCGTCGTTGAGCTGAAAGCTCTTGACGTCCTTGACAGCCTCATGGTTGGGATTGGCCTTGTCGCGCTGCCACTCTCCCACAGTCGGTTCTATGCACGCATGGATAATGGTCTGGTCCAAGTCGACCACCAGGCTGAGCTTCCGCTGGCGCAGAAGCCGCTTCTGTGACTCGTGCTCGGCCTTCTTGGCCACGTTTTGGCTCACCATCAAGCCGGTCTGGTCGTGCGTCATGTTGATCATGGCGCGATCGGTGTCTTTTTCCTCGCTGGCCCAGTTGATCTCGGTCATGTCTGCACCGCACAGGCTGCACAAGCCCTGGATCTGCACCTCGTGGCCGCAAGCTTCCTCGACGGTCATGCACGGCACGTCGGCCGGAATCGTCTGTCCCTCCTTGATGCGCCATTCTTTTAGGGTGCCTTCGGCAGGACTGTCAAACTCTGTGTATGTCGTCTCATCCGCCCATTCGTCGTCGCCGATTTTCCGCCGCCAGGAGAACTTGTACTCGAATATAGTCTCCTGCTTCTTGATGGAGTCGCCAGACGACTTGAGCAGCTTGGTGATGACGATGGGGTAGTGCAGGCGCGAGCCCAGCGAGACCACCTTGTCGTACATGTCTGTTTCGCGGTCGAGATCCCAGGCTCTGCGTGGAAGTCGGGCTCGTCGAGCTCCAGAGAGACACGATCCGAGCTCTCTCGATTAGCGCGATCGACGGCAGCGATGCCGGACGTTCGCGACGGCAATTGGAATCCCAGCTGCCGGTTGCAAGAAGCTCCTAAAAAGCTTCCCCGTGCGCAGTCAAGATAGCTTCAGCGACGGTAGCCGAGCCCATGGCCTCACCGGCGCAGGTCCAAACAGATTGTGAAGCTCGTGGCCAAAGCAGGAATCGCGGGAGCAGCTCGCGACGAAATCCGAATGCGACGCCGAAAAGATGTAGTAATATGTTGGAAAGGGTACTCGAATAATACAGCACCTGCTGATGAATACTGCGTAAAAGTCGCAGTTCTGTTGTGCTGATAATATTGGTCGCTTGTTTTGGTTCAGTCCACCGGAATAAACTGAGGGTGACGTGACGCAGTTGCCCGCAACCAACTTTCAATTGAGCTCGGGAGCTTAGGAGACGGTACTCGGTACTTGGTACTTGCGCTTTCACTCACCTCGACTTTTCTTTCACTGCCAAGGTTTCCATTTTATAGCCATTTGGGCCCCGCCACAAAGCTTCCGAGCCAGGTTAGAGCCGCTGGAAACGATCACGTGGTGGGATTGGCTGTTTAGAATCTGCTAGTGGAGCTGCGCTAGGCTGCGTTGGGATGGACTCAGAGACAGGTGGCTAGCGGCAGCTTCCGAGGACGAAACAAAAAGCTCCGAAGGATGCTGCTTAAGTTAGTTGCGAAAGTGTAGCTGGAAGTGACTAATTGTAAGTGCAGACGGACATATATCCTATTCCTTAATAATGTGTTTTGATGATATGACTTATTTCATATAATTTCAGCTTTGTGACTAAATAAGCTAAGCCGTTTCTTTTGTTAAGTTGAAAAGGCTTGTCTGCGGTTGATATTGTGAGCATTGTAGTCATAAGTCCAGTCTCCAAATCCATCTTTTTCAAAACATGCCGACCATTTCTTATGAACATTTCCGATGAAGCGATTGCTAATTCAAACAGCTTATTATTTACTTAATATTCAATGCCATGATAACAAAACACCCCCACAAATACCTTGGCCGCAGACAACTAAGGTTTTCACAGCAAAGCACATGCGTCATAGCAACTACCCTAGAAGACATGAATTAGATCCCGCGCTGCCACATTTTAGACTTCATAACCGCGTTGCATTCATAAATGATCCGTCATAGGCGAATTACCTGCCCATCTAAATTAAACAAATACAGTAAAATAATGCCCCCCTCGCTACATGCGCCCGATCCCCCAGTCAAGCATACCTCCTCAAGCGGCGGCCTGCACAACCTTGAAACCCTCAGAAACCAGTTTCGTTATCTCCTCGTTTTTATGCTGCAGTAAACCCAAAGCAAACGCAACGTCGTTCCACTGCCGCTCCGTCTCGCAGCGATTCAGTCTTGCCGCCAGTTTTTCGGCCAGCTGCTTGGCGTGTTTGTCCTGGGCAGACCATTTGTTAGCATTCCATAAATTTAAATTTGTTAGGACCGAAGCATGATTGTCTTTACCTTTTCAACAAACCCGAGCAAGAATCTGATGATGCGCTTGAAGCTCTCTTCCTCCATATTGCCAGCACTCAGCAAGCTAAACATGTCCACAAAATGGTTGTATACTGCATTGTCCTTGGTGCTGAGCTCCGTAAAGAACATCTTCGCAAGATCAGCAATCCGCCTGTCTTCGTCCTCCATACACTTGGCCATCTCGCCGAGCTGACCCTTGACCTTGACCTGACCAGCCAGAATCAAGAATGTCAACGTCATCAAGCAGGTCCGCTTTACGGATGCGTCTGTATCTGCCAGACGGCGATACAAGAAATCCGTGTTTTCATCAATCAGATGGTTGAAGCAAACTGCCATGTCGCCCAGTGCAATGACAGCATTTGATCGTACAGTAGGATCGGGAGATCGTTCCATAATCGTGATGAGGAGGGGAAGATTGGCCTCGCAGTATTCGGAAGAGACGCACATGAGCTTTGCAAGACACAGCGTAGCTGCAGCCTGGAGATCCTTATCTGCGTATGTGGTGTTGTTTGCGCAAATCTCAGATACAAGAGGCCCAAACATTGCCAAGAGCGAGGTTGGTCCAAAGAGAAGCTCTCGTTCTCGGATGTGTGCCATTGCTTCTGTGAAGTCATCCTCTGTAGTGCCGCCAATGAGATCCAACTCGTTTGCATCTTCCTTGTCCTTGTCAGTCTTTGCCGGTACCTGCTTCTCCTTTTCCTGCTTTCTTCGCTTGAAATCCAATTCGCAAAGTTCGAGGTGTACAATTTGCTTAATAGCGACATGGCCAACGATGAAAAGGAGCTGAGGCAGAGACATGGCATCGTCACGCCTGTTAGACTTTTTTGGTGATGCTTGCGTGGCGCCTGGCCAGGCAGGGTCGGCGAATTCGTCCATCTTATCCTCATCTCGCGAAGTCGGCCGTGAGCCGGCGCCACCAAAAACATGTTTGGCTTTCCGCCGGATTATGGCTGAGCAGAGAATGTCGGGATGCTTGGACAGAGCGTACACGGCGTTGATTGCCTGTTCTGCGACCCCGTACCATTCATTACTCTTCGAGGGCACTTCGGTTATGGCTGCTAGCCGTGAGCAGACCGCATGGTCGTTTGGAAGCCGTGAAAATTTGGCATTCGACTCCTTGGCTTGCCTTCCTGTGGGATTGATCCGCCTCAGAGCAATGCAAGTGTACTTGGCTAATTGTAAATCGTTCCGTCCAAGGGATCCCAGGCCTGTTCGGAGCATCGTTTCGATCTCACCTACCGCGATCTCAGGGTTGGCCGTGGCGAGCATTCCAAGCACGATGATGGCACCTCGCCTCTGAGTCCTGGAGATTTCTCGCTTCTGGACACCGTATACCTGCCACAGCTTGGTGACTACAATCTCGGGAACCGCGCCGCCCTTCATCATCGTGGCAAGCAGTTGCTCTAAAGAAGTCAATTCCGCAGGTGTGGCTCCAAACGTTAAGCTGATCATGTTACGTGCAATGTAGTTGGCGGCATCATTTGGGCTGAATGAATCCGGGGCTTCGAAGAATAATCTCCTGTAACACTCAATGAGATGAGTTTGCACGCCTTTACCCTCGTCGCTATTGCCCTTGGTCCAAATCAAGCGCAGCATTCGGCGGATGCCAACCTTGTTCTGCTCAATGTTGTAGGCATCGCCGACTTCGAAATAGTCAATTGCTTCAATGACCTCGCTCTTGTTTCGGGCTCCAAGAAGCTGGCAGATGAGTCCAGTGGCTTTGTGTAACACATCGATGAACTTGAGAGCTTCATTGTAATATCGCCGGGTCAGGGTGAGTTTCTCAATCGCTTCGCTTGTAGCTGCTTCCTCTCGCGCCTTTTGGACCGCCTCAAACCTCTCCTGATCAGTCATTTCTTGAGGCTTTTCTGGAGAGGCTAACTGGGTAGCTTCATCGAGGAGGCTGTTATCCACCGACGTGTCCGCAGCATTTCCGAAGCCAGGCATACCGGGAGGAGGCTTTAGAGCATTCAACTCTTCTTCAACCTTGTCGTAGCGGGCCTGCCATTCTTTTTGCGATAGTTGAGCGCCGTGCATGACGGTAAAGGGGTGAGTCTTGATAAGAGTTCCCAAAAGCTTAATGGCGTTACGCCTCACGTTGCTGCTCCTGTCTTCGAGGCTCCTGCAGGCAAGTTCAGCAGCCTTTTGACGTCGCTTGGGAAACTTTTGCTCCAATTCGCAAAGCTTCATGTACACTTGCAATGTGCGGCATCGCGAGTACGGGTTAATGTCGAGAAATCGCTCCTCAAGGACATCAAAGAAGGCGTTCAGTTGTGACTTGTGGTTCTCGCTTCGCTCGTCTTGTCGGCTAAGATAGGCAATCATGTTGCCGCACACTTCTATCAAAGCGCATCGAAGAGTGTATGACTAGAAGGTTGTCAGCTGCTACTCATGCCATTGCTGGTGACTGGTTCCATTTGCGACTGAATTACCTCACTATCCAGCTGTTTGGCTAGCATTGTCATCTGCTTAATTACCAATCTTGGCGCAAGTTCTGATAACTTGGTAATGAATGCAGAGACCGACTTTGGTCCTCGGGTATCGTTGGAGTTGAACTCTTTATTACTAATTTCACGCAAAACTTCGTCGGTAAGTTGAGGATAGTCGTAGGTCTCGGCTAGGATGTGAAGAAATTCCGCCATTGGTTCGGAGAGATGTTCAAAGTATGTCAGGTTTTGAATAATGTTGATTTGAGCGGCTGTCGTCAAGTTAGCTGGCTGCAGAGAGGTGCTTTGCGATTCTGAGAAGCATACCGTAGCCATGGCCGTGATGCTTGACCGCAATACACAGCACCTTAAAGCAGTGCATCCGGATAGTCGTTGTCTTGACCCGTTGTTCATTTTCTAGGATCATGTATACCGGCCTGGTCAGAAGTCCAACAAACGTATCTCTCTCACTCGTCGTCAAAAATATTCTGGACAGTTTCAGCTTAAGAGTTTTGCACATGACTTCCAGTGCGCCCTGAAGCTGGGCTGCTGAATCCCACGCATCGTCCCTTTGTGAAGCCTTCTTTGGCTTTCCTCGGCCTCTGGCGACTGGCGCCGCAGACGACTTTTCCGCTGCCTTGGTTTCGACCGCTGCAATAGTCCACTGGATGAGGAATCCGTAAATCTCTAATAGCTGCTTGTGATGCTCGACTGATTCCTGCTCGTCGGGCGACTCGATGTCATTATGCACTGCGTCCGTCTCGGCACTCAGCCCGCTCATTACTAAGTCGAACACTTTGCTTAGCGCATGAGCTGGTAAATAAGGCGTATATCTATATCAACAAAAGCATTCATTAGCCCATCATTGCTCTTCTAGTCATCTAATTGCTTTTTGCGTGCATATCTAGCGCTTTCGCATCATGGGAAATCGTACTTGAGTAAGAACTGCAATGAGTCCATGTTGACAGCTCGCAAGATGGCGTCAGGGTTGTCCGCAACCGCGTCGATGATGGGATTCAACACCGGGTTGATCACCTGGTTGGTGAGCGCCTGCGGGTCATTCTCGCAGTCGAACAGCGCGGCATCTGCTTCAGGCGTGGGAATCGTCGCCGGATCGGACATGTAGCGTTTCAGCGCATCGTTGATATCGAAGCTGATGGTCCCCATGATGGCGATTTGTGCGCCGCGATGGCGGGGCTTCGAGCTTGGGTATCGAGCCGAACTTGGGTGGAAACGAAGCTGTCGAGATCCCCTTGCGTGGTAATTTCAGTGATCAGGGATCAGCTGCACTGCGCCGTGCCTCAGCGTCAAAGTGGTGCGATTTGCGTCTCTGCTCGTTGCGTTTGTTGCGGCAAAATGGCGGGGGATGAATCTTGAACCTGGTTGATCCCGCAACCGATTCTGTTTATTTTCTCGACGCGACAGCTTTTGTAAAAAGAAAGCCCCCGCCACCAGCTCAGGGCGGTCGCGTTTTCGACCACTGAGGAAGCGCTCTGTAAGCTGCCACAAGCCACTAAAAAGCACCCCACACTGCCCTAGAACAACTTCTTTAGGACCTGCATTGAGTCGCAGCTTTTTGAAGCTTTTTTGGCCGAATAGCTTCGAAACCCAATTACACCTCTGCGCTGTAGTTTTTTGTTATTTTCTCACTGGATTATTCTACCTTTGTCTTCGTTGAAATACAAACTGCCATTGCTTTTTCTAAAGATCCAATTTGCCCGCAGGGACCGTGGCTGCCATGGCGGCTGCAATGCACCGGCCAGCAGAGGATACCTTTGACATCCACGAAGATGCCAGAACAGAAGATACAGAGGTCATGGTTGACGAGGAGGATGTAGATGGCCAGGATGCTACGACCATTGGAGAACCGGAAGAAGAAGAGGTGGTCGAAGAGGTGATCGAGGAGGAAGAGGAAGACGAGAGCTCCGAAGACGAGCATGTTGAAACCAGCGTCCAGGCCGACATGGACCGATTACAGGAAGATTTCCCCGGCTTTCGAGATCGCTATAAGCTGATCAAGCGCATTGGAGAAGGTATGTCACTTGATTGGCCGTGTGGCGAGACCCCCTTGGACTGAGAGCGTGTTCCTGTTTGCTAGGCACATTCTCTACCGTCTTCAAGGCCGAAGACATCCACTACGATCGGTACGACAACAGCTGGGACTACGAAGATGACTTGTCCAAATGGACTCCCCCTCCTCTCAAGGGCCGCTCGACTGGGTCTCGCTCTCCGCGGAAGCGAACGCGTTATGTAGCCATCAAGAAGATTTACGTCACATCCAGCCCGGCCCGAATCCTCAACGAGCTTGAGCTATTACACGATTTACGGCAATGCGCATCTGTCTGCCCACTCATCACGGCCTTTCGTCACACCGACCAGGTCGTTGCCATTCTTCCATACTTCCGGCACGGCGACTTTCGGGCCTATTTCAGGGAGATGACAGTCCCTGATATTGCCATATATCTTCGCTCATTGTTCACTGCGCTCAAGAGCGTGCATGAGCATAAAATTCTACATCGAGACATTAAGCCCACCAATTTCCTCTACGACCCGACAACCCAGCATGGCGTCCTCGTAGACTTTGGATTGGCTGAACGGGCGGGCACCGATAACAAACCATGCCTCTGTCACGAGGCGAGAGAAACGCGGAAACATCGCCAAGCAAGCTCTGCCTGGGCACAGACATCGATGACTACACAGCCGGGCTACCCTAAATCAGATACTCGACCCTCCCGGCGGGCCAATCGTGCGGGTACTCGAGGGTTTCGCGCCCCGGAGGTGCTATTCAAGTGTACGGAGCAAACCCCGGCAATCGACATCTGGTCTGCCGGTGTCATACTTCTCACGATCTTGTCAAAGCGGTTCCCCTTCTTTAACTCTGCTGATGACGTCGAAGCAATGATTGAAATTGCAACAATCTTCGGATCTCGGCGAATGAAGGCAGCTGGGCTTTTGCACGGCTGTGTCTTTGAGACAACTATTCCCACGATTGGCCAGCAGGGCTTCACTATGGAGAAGATTATTCTGTGGAGCACATGCAGGGCCGAGGACAAGCCTTTGACTGCTGAAGAGAAGCTTGCGATTCGATTCCTTGAGCGATGCATGGAACTGGACCCAAGCCGACGAATCACGGCACAAGAGGCTCTGGACCATGAGTTTCTAAACATAGGACTAGCTTCTCAAGAAACTACCGATGAAGACGAGGTCGACATGTTACCAGCATGAAAGATCCAAAAGACTTAGCATAACTTATTTGTTTACGAGCATACGCATAGGGGATTAACACGATGATATGAACAATTGGAAGTTAGGAATAGGCAAGGGTCAACATGTACTGTACTAGATCATGTATGCTATGATGGGGGCTGATATCGGCGTTTTGGAGCATTACAACATCAACTCTGCGAGCTAGACCATGGCTGAATCTGAGGCCAGATTCTTGGTTGTTAACAATTCCTCCCAATCTCTTCCCTCGCATCACTGTAGTGTCATCAACCCTCCCGGAGAGACTTTGATGCCAACACACCAGTCTACCTCATTTTGCACAGCAGAAGTCGAGTGTCGAAAGCATGGGCGAATTTTTGATTTTTCATTCGTTAAACAAAACTCCGTTATAGAGTTCCCTGATGCAATGCTCGTAGCCGAACAGCCCAATCCCTCCCCAGAGACCTTTGTCTCGGTATACATGGGGCGGAGATCCATTTTTCCACCGTTTGAAAAACCCGGTTCCAAATCCACAAGCCTTACTCCAGCACGTAATGCATTTAAGCCACCAGCTCTACAACACCACCAGCCTCCTTGATCTTCTGCTCAGCCAGCTTGCTGACCCATCGTGCGCGGACAACCAGGGGGATTTCGGGGATGCGGCCCTTGCCGAGCAGCTTGGAGTAGCCGAGAGGAAGAAGGTCGAGGACGGGGACGGTGTCCTTCTTCTCGCCGGAGACGTAGGCATCGCGGGTCTCGGTGGGGACGAGTGACCACAGCTAAAAATTCCACCCGTTAGCCAATTGATCCCTTGCTCAAACAAGTTGCCTTCGAATAATTTTGGGTGTTCTCTCGTGTCCATCTTTGCTGTGTTCCGAGGGTCCAAAAATATTCTTAGCGGGAGAAGAGTGTATGTACCTTGTCGAGGTTGATGATGGGCTTCCAGAAGTGGGCTTGCTGCTTGTGGAAGTATCGCATACCAACCTTACCGAAGTAACCAGGATGGTACTATCGTAAATTGGTCAGTTATGATGTTCGGGGCGCCTCTCGATAAATCATGTCGTTCGAACCTTGTCCATGTTGGTACGGTGGTGGTGCTGACCACCAGCCAGACCACGACCACCGGGATGCTTGCGGTGCTTGCCTACACGACCCTTTCCATGGGAAACGTGGCCGCGGCTGTGATTCGAGAGCGTTTTGTTAGCCTCCCATCTTCAAGTTGCGAAATCTTTGCAGCATGCGCGCTTCGACGGGCGCCACGACGGCGTGACACTCGTTCTCCAGCAACTCAGGAAATCATAAAATCATATTCGGACGGGTTCATCAACGTACTGCTTGCGGGTCTTCGAAGTTCGGGTAGGCATGGCGACGGTTGTGGTGTTGTCGCTTCTCCGATGTGTTGCGTCGAAGGACTGGAAGTGGGTGGTGGTGTTTTTGCGGCCGGCGGGTTTGGCACTGCACGGCCCCGGAAAATTGTTAGGCGAGAGGGCAGCACAGCCCTAAGCCCAATTGTGCGTGTGTTCTCCGGCCACGATAAGCCGTTATCTCGTATCGCAGCAGCTGCCCCACCGATAACGATTTAGCGCCATTGACAGTTACACCGCCCGCGCAACGTGAACGCGCTTACTAACGAACTGATTGAGTATCGCGTACCTTTTGCGGTATGAACAACAGGAGATGCGATAAAAAAGCGTAGCAATTTGATAGACTTGACGGAATGACTTCATCAGAGGAGATTGATAATATCACGCACGAACTGTCCAATCTTGACTTTCACCATCCATTCACGCCGTACACAGTTCAGAACCAGTTTATGCGAACAGTGTATCAGATTCTGCAGACTGGACAAGGACAAGTTGGAATTCTGGAAAGCCCAACTGGTACTGTATGTCTATTACTCCTGCGTGATATTTATACCATCTTGCATGTTGAAAAGGGTCTCTCTTTTAGTCAAAGTGGGAGAAAGTAGAGGACATCGTCATGGTTGTGACGGTATGAGCTTAGATGGCACAAGCTAATCGCTGTATCAGGGTAAATCTCTCTCATTAATATGCGCATCTTTAACATGGCTTCGAAACTATAAAGCTACTGAGCAGGAGGTGGCCTTGAAAGAAGCAGGAGAGGCATACAAAGACGAACCATCATGGGTTGTTGAGCAACTCCTGTCTCGCAAAAGAGGAGAGCTGTTGAGGCAATGGGAAGATAGGGAAAAGCGACTTGCATCCTTTAGACTTAAAGAAAAAGCTCAGGAGGAAAGGAGCCGAAAACGACGTCGAGTGGAAGATACTCGTGCGACGATAGAAACTACAGTTGATGAGGATGCCGAATGGTTGTTGGATACTGACGACCACGATGTTCGTCAAGAGGATGCTCTATCTGGACTGAGTAAAGAATCACGGGAAATTCTTGAAAAGATTGGATTGGGGAACCGCATTAAACAAGCGGACAGCGACGAAGGGATCATCGAAGAGAAAATCAAGGTATGAGTGTTGCCACTAATCCGACTCCTACTCATAGTAACCAGAGGCGATAGATCTATTATACATCCAGAACCCATTCCCAGTTATCACAGTTCATTACAGAACTACGCCGTCCCATATTTCCATCCTCCCTACCCGCTTCAGTTGCCAAAGGATCAGATGCTCCCTCAGCGGAGCCCGTGAAGCTGCTGCCACTATCATCACGTCAAAAACTTTGTATCAATCCCTCGGTTGCTCGCCTTGGGTCTGTCCAAGCCATCAATGATCGCTGCACGGAACTCCAACAAGCGAAATCCAGTACTAAATGCTCATTTGTACCCAAAGAAGAACTTCTTAGCCAAACTCACCAGTTTCGTGACTCCACCTTGGCGACACTCCCAGATATCGAAGATCTTCATCAACTAGGCAAGTCTTTGTCAGTATGTCCTTATTACGCCTCACGGGGCGCCTTACCTGGAGCAGAAATCATCACGCTTCCGTACCCGCTTCTATTGCAACAGAGTGCCCGCGAGGCACTGGGCATTAAGCTCGAAGGTAATGTCGTCATAATAGACGAAGCGCATAATATTCTTGATGCGATCTCGAACGTGCATGCCGCGGAGCTGCAGTTGAGCGATCTTCGCAGAGGGCGCCAGATGCTTGGAGTGTATGTCAAACGATTTGGCAAGAAGCTGAAGGGCATAAATCGAGTAAACGTTGGCAGAGTCGGAAGGGTGATTGAAGGCCTTACTGAGTGGCTAGAAGGAGCTTTAAAGCTCAAGGTATGGCTATAGAACAGCGGTTGCTCGTCTGGTCGATAATCTGCTAACCGATCCTTCTCCAGGATGAACAGGGTATTGTCGATCCAAACGATTTAACAAGACACAAAGGCATCGATCAGATCAATGTTTATGAGCTAATTCAGTACATACAAGAGTCAAAACTTGCATACAAGATCGAGAGCTACGTCGCTCACGTAGAGAACGACGAGGAGAGCAAAAAGTCAGGGCCCTTGAAGGCTGGATCTCCAGTCTTACATGCGCTCGTCTCTTTCCTCATTGCTCTCACCAACCTTAGCTCTGAGGGCCGTATTTTTTACCAAAAGACTCACGGAGCGGCGGCAGATGTGAAGCTATCATATCTTCTTCTCTCGCCCACACACGCCTTCTCGTCAATTGTCTCAAGCGCTAGAGCTGTAATTCTGGCCGGCGGGACTATGTCCCCATTCCAAGACTACAAAGATCAATTATTCCCCACTCTCGATTCTACAAAGGTAACGTCACTGAGTTGTGGGCATGTGATCCCACGAGAGAATCTTTGTGTGTGGACACTGGCTTCAAGTCATCCTGGGTCGCCGCCTTTCGAGTTTAGTTTCAAACAACGGAGCAATCGAGATATGATGAACCAGCTGGGCCTATCAATCTTGAATGTTTGCAACATTGTGCCGGATGGTGTGGTCGTTTTCTTCCCCAGTTACAGGTACCTTGACGAAATAATAAAGGTCTGGCAGCAGCCCCAGAAGGGCAATTCCCATTCGATATGGGATCGGCTACAACTTCGAAAAATGGTGTTCAGAGACACGAAAGGCGAAAGCAGCGACGATGTGTTGAGAGACTACTCGCAAATGATCTTGGGAACCAAGGCAGCCGGGGACACCCGCACGGGAGCCTTGCTGCTGAGTGTAGTTGGCGGCAAGATGTCTGAAGGAATCAATTTTTCAGATCGCTTGGGGCGCTGCGTGATGGTTATTGGACTGCCCTATCCGAATATTGCATCGCCGGACTGGAAGGCAAAGATTGAGTATATTGAGTCCACCACGGAAGAACGACTTACCAAAGAAGGGCAAAGTAAGAGCGAAGCGACGGCACAAGCGAAGCAGGCCGCCCGAGACTTTTACGAAAATGCCTGCATGAGAGCCGTTAACCAAAGCATTGGTCGGGCTATCCGACACCGTGGGGATTATGCCGCGATCATCTTGGTCGATCGAAGGTACGGTACGGACCGTATTCGAGGCAAGCTGCCAGGATGGATACGTGACGGCCTCGAAAAGGATAGTCATGAGAAGGGGATTAGTGCGCTAATGGGGGCGCTGGGAGGTTTCTTTCGCAAGAAGTCGCAAGAGATTGCAAGCAGATAGCATCACCTGCAAAGCCGAGAGCAAATAGGCATCTAGATGCCTCCGGTATAAATACTAGGGTTAGTTAGATAACTGCAGTTGTCACGTCTCGGGCGTTTGGCTCGAGATAGCAAAGCTTACCATCCTTTCTGATGAATACAGGTCGGCGATCTTTATTAATTCCGCTTTTGGTTATTAATTTAAGCTGAGTTTCTTCGTATAATTGTGTCAGATACTCTTCAGACCAAGACCACTGCTTTTGACTGTGACTTCTTTCGACCATGAGTCCGTCGGTCTTCTTCATCTTTTATCTGAACAGATTTGTTTCTAAATAAATTACTTTGACTTCAAAATTGTTTTCTTGTAAGTCTACGTATTACAGTATCATACCGCGGTATTGACACACTCACTCATTTCTATTCTCAAGCCACCAACTCCACACCTTGAGCTACCCGGGATACCAGCAATTCACTCAATTTTCGGCGCCTTTCGTTAACACTACGAGGAGATACACGCCGCATCTTATTGTTTATTCATTTGGATAAAACCGGTTTGAATTTTTTCCAAAATGGTTTCGAAGCCCTCATGCAAGTTTTGGACTATAGGCGAATAGAAGAGATAATAATTCTACCTAACACACATCTTGCTTGCTATTCGCAGGTGACTATTGAACATATCAGAATCCTTATTAGACTCTTTTCTCTCTACGTAATACATTATTTAACAAAACCCTGGTTGAGGGAAGATTTGAATCATTTCGTCAGGCTAATTGTACAGTTTCTCTTTGGTGAGACATTCTCTGCGTAACGTAACTCCAATGGAGGGGGGCTTTCGCTCTTATTACGGCGATCAGTTTCACATCTAGCAACTTGTATTACTGTTCATATTACTGTGATGAGACATTCTCTGTGATATAAAAGATTCAATAATCCTCTGGCTGCCCGTAGACGTATACTGCGGTATGAGTAGATAGCAATACAGTTCCGTACTGTATCTGCAGCATAAACACACTAACACCGTTCCTGCTTGGTGGCGGAGGGGCTTCTGCAGGGTTTTTATGGACGGGCCGGTCGCTCATGAACCGGTCCCTGGCCATCCATCGCGTGATTGGCTCACGACGCCTCTTGGACGCCTCCTAGACCCGATTTAGTTGATTGAGTTGCGCGTGGAAGCGAAAAGATTTTGTTCCTACCCCGGGCCGGGTCGGAGAGGGGCGAAGAGAAAATAAGGTAAGTAGTTATCAAAGGGCCGCAAAAATCTTGACTCACTGCAACTCCATCGGAATCTGGCATCTGCCTTTAATAATCTACCTGCATGGTACTCTGGAAGGGCGATGTGGTGTGACAGCTCTTGACGTCTCTTTTTTTCTGCATTGCTTTTGATTTTCTTCTCGCTTAGAGATACCCTGGTGTTTTTCTTTACTCCGTGGAGAGAGGCAAAGCCCGGCTTACAGACTGTCGAATCAGAACACAGTCCGCAGAGTATAAATAACCTTTGGACAACTCAGCGGTGCCCGCAACGCACAGATGTTGGTGGATAAGGTAGAGGCTACGGCCGTGCCGGTCAGGGACAACGATGGCCATCAGAGTGATGAAGAGTCGCTGCTCCACAAGGTCCTGCGAGCTGGCCGCATTGAGGAGCGAGGCATCCTGCCGGTACCAGTTGAAGAGCGCACCTCTACACGATTCTTTAATATCTTTACCGTCTGGTTCTCCATTAATGCAAACATCCTTGGGTGAGTCGTGGTGTTTATAGCAGTGCATACTTCTTTGAGAATATGTACTTGTTACTTGGACGGAATTACATCTACTTGTGGCGAATACTTGCTAACCTCTCGCAGCATCACCTTTGGCATGCTGGGACCCTTGTCATATAATCTCAGCCTGAGGGACTCATCTCTCGTGATCCTGTTTTTCTGCATGCTGTCGACTGTACCCCCGGCATTCCTTGCCATCTTGGGCCCCAAGACTGGCATGAGACAGATGATACAGGCTCGCTATAGCTTTGGGTAAGATGGATCGAGATCCACGACGCTTAACGAGATTAATCACTAACTAATTGGCTATTTAGCCGATATATTGTGTCGTTACCGGTGCTGCTCAACTTGGCCAGCATGACTGGCTTCACTGTCATCATCTGCATCACCGGCGGACAGTGTATTTCTGCCATCTCAGACGGGCGTGTCAGCATCAACGTAGGCATCGTCATCATCGCAGTACTATCTCTGTTCGTTTCGTTTTGCGGCTTTCGAATTCTACACATCTACGAGACATATGCATTCATCCCGGCCATCATCAGCGTTGTCATCGCCACTGGCTGCGCAGGCTCAGGCCTCAAGAAGCAAGCCACCCCCGCAGAGCCTGCTACGGCTGCAGACATCCTCAACTTTGGCATGATCGTCGCCAGCTACCAGATTCCCTGGGCCGCCTTAGCGAGCGACTTCACCACTTATTTTGATCCCAAGGTTCCATCGTAAGTTGCTGACCCCCTCCCCTGCACCTCCTTCGTTTGTGCGATTTCCGTTACCACCCTCTCCACAATATGCACCTGAATCGATGGCAAATCCGAGAAAGGGGGAGAGATAAGATCAAAAAGCACAGGCCCTACCGCTACTCCGTAAATCCTTCTTCCCCTGAAATCAGCATAGTATCAGCTCGCTAGCACTAGCGTTATATACGACACGTAAGATTCCAACTAACGATCGACAGATGGAGAGTCTTTGCCTACTCTTACTGGGGTCTCCTCACGCCCACCGTACTGCTCATGATCCTTGGAGCAGCCGTTGCCGGGGCGATTCCCAACAACCCAGAGTGGCAGGATGCATTTGATAACTACTCTGTCGGCGGTGTCCTTGCGGCGATGCTGTCCAGCGCGGGGAACTTTGGCAAGTTCATCGTGGTTGTGCTGGCACTCACCCTGCTGGGAAACACATGTGGTACGTTTTACGCAATCACGCTCAACTTCCAGACCTTGGCCCCGTGGTTGTTCAAGGTCCCCCGATACCTGTTTGCCGTGGTCATCACCGCCATTATCATCGCTGTGGCCATCACCGCCGTGGACAACTTCTTCGAGAGTCTGGAGAATTTCGTGTCTCTGATTGGCTACTGGTCCGCAGCCTTTGTCGGAATCGTCATCGTGGAGCACATCGTATTCCGTCGCCAAGACTATAGCTCGTACGACCACGCCATCTGGAGCGACGCGAAGAGGCTTCCCTTGGGCGTTGCAGCTCTGCTGAGCGGCATCCTGTGCTTCGGAATGGTTGTCCCGTGTATGGACCAGGTGTGGTGGCAGGGCCCTATAGCGAAGACAACGGGCGATATTGGCTTTGAGATGGCGTTTGTCGTGGCTTCGTTGCTCTACGTGCCGCTTCGCTACGCCGAGATCCGGCTTACGGGCAGGTAATAAGAGGGGAAGCGCATGCCTTTCCCATGCCCCCCTTTAGACACTTTTAGACACCTTTTAGATTAGATGGAAACTAAAACGGAGCTGTATTGGAATCGTCCACCTCGCACCAACTCCCTATTTTGCGGACTCCGCGTGTACAAGTATGTTCTCTGTGTACGCCCTAAGTGCCCGGACATCGGTGGCGTCTTCGGGGTTAGATCTGTAAGAGAAGACTTTGCGGGAGTTGCCGCGGATCTACTTGTACGTGACAGGGAGATAGATCAGCTTGTCTTGTCAGAGCTAGTGCTCGCGGCCGCTCATTCCTCCGTGGATAGCTAGCAAATCAAGGAGTCCTAGTAACTTCTCTTAGCTCTGGCTAGGTTGTCTTATATTGGGCCGTGTCATCTCCCGCTCAGACGGCCTTGAAGAAACCCCATTGAAGAGAAAAGGAGATAAGAGATAAGACGGGAGTTATGCAGCAATAGCATCAAAACAAAGTGGAAGTTAATGTATAGCATCGGTGAAAACTTCAGAATTGGGCAGGTGAAAAGAGCTAATGATGGCTTGCTATAGCATCATGTAGTCGTCTACACAGTCAGGATAGCAGTATTAATAAAGGATTCTGTAAGCCAAGAGTTATCGGGAAAACAAGCACCTTGCAGTTGCATATTCGACACCTGTCGATCACCGAATCGGGTCGCGTGTAAGTGGGCGATCCTCCATATGGTAGTTGCACGTGCACCAACAGAGACCAAGAATCGGTGTTACTCAGGACGCTCGGCGTTTCTAGGAACCAGGATCTGCACAACGATCCGACTGAGATGGCTGTAACAGTGCCATTGATGGTGTCTGTTCTGCTTTGACATGCCGGAGTTCCAGAGCAACAATCCGGCTCCGAGCTGGCTGCAAGGGGGAGGGTTCCACCGCTGATATACCCCTGTCCTCAGGAAATACGGAGTAATCAATGTCCCGTACTATCGTGGCGTCAACACCTATTGCCCATCGGTCTTAGCTTACTGGGCTATTTATTTGGGGGTCTCACGCTTTCACCGAGGCTCAATGCCTCCAAAGAGGCGGCACGTGTACGCAAATGCTCGTTCTTTGCGAATGTTGCCCCTTGGGTATGTAAAGAGCTACATAGATGGTAAAAAAAAAAAAAAAAAAAACAAAAAGAGTAAAAGATCTGTGCCGTACTATAATCACGGCTCTTAGACAATAATTAGGGTCGTAGGTAAAGATGCTGTTTAATCTGCTGGTTGTACCGTATGTGCAACCAACTCTCGCCTTTTTTGCTTCTTCGGTGCTATTGAGGTCGAGTAAGAAGCAAGAACCCTCTTTCTTCTATGTATTGATAGCCTATCCAAATATCAGGTCAACAAGGATGAGCTGCCGAGGCTTCTATTAGTTTCCCTTGGCGATGAGTGGAGATTCCATTGTGATCGTACGCCGACGTACCAGGTCGTTTACGCGTATGGGAGTTTGGGCATGGCTTCTGTTACTGAGCTCGCAGGGAACAGCGTCTAGTCTCAATCTTAACACCGCTTCGCCCACCTTGATAGCAGAGATTATGTCACCGCTCCGCTTAGATCCAGGCACTCGTAACAGGTACTGTCCGGGCGCCATGATCATCGTTGTACTGATGAGTTCCAATTGCAAAATTTTCCTCGGAGACTATTGCCGTTAGAAATCTAGTAAACGCCACTGTTACCACCTTCCAAAGAAGGAAGAGAAAGTTCTTTTTAGCAGATCTATGGCGACTTTAAGTAGTCCTTTAAGGATGGCAACAGAGTCGACTGATTCGGAAACCTACTATGTACCTCTCAGTGCCAGGTAAGGTAGAGGAACCAGTACTTATTCGGCTCAGCGAGGTGTGAAAGTATTATAGTAAGGATATAATCATATACCATGTAGCTGAACACTTCAAGACTACATGGGTCGAAGCCTTATAAACCGGGGGCTGTGGCTTATATATGGAGGCACTATATACTACTTAGCTGTTCCAGAAACGGGGGGCCACCTGCTTCTGTTTGCATTTTGGGAAGGGCAAGGGGTGCTTGTACAGTAGCACAGTATATCCCAGATTAGGGAAGATTAATACCTAACACGGCTGACACAGAGATCAGTTATAGTGCTATGGAGTACAATGTCCAGCTGCAGTAGAAGTTAGGCTAACAGTTACATCACCGACCAGGATCCTTGTGAATGCCATGATCTTGATAAAAATTTTTCAAGAAAGTTAATTGAAGTCTGTATTTCCGCCTTTTGTGGATCAAGAGCGGCGTTCAGGGATTGAAGCGCTGAGGCGTTGACACATCCATTTACCCGCATGTAGATTAGGCATCTGCGTGGTCAGTTTCTATTGACTTTTTTTTTTACCCTTCTCTTTTGATATGTGAGCGGTTCGTTTGGCTGTTTTTATCCCCCATCTCAATCAATAATTCGAAATGGGAAGGGTACAAAGCAAAGAGTGTTAGTACGTAGGTACTTTGGGTGGGCGTAAGTTGCCCTCGTAAGTTGTAGCCTTGCCAGGCCATGTATCGACAGAGTAAATGCTCAAAACATAATATGATTGGCCGAAATTCGAATAATTCTCGAATAAGAAGCAGGCTAAGATGCCACATACGTGTCAAAGAGAAAACAAACGCCGAGTGTGCTCCCTCACCGATGTGTGGACGTATATAAATGTCACTAATATGGCATACCAGTATCGCGAACGGATACTTATATCTTGTTTTCGGATTCTACTGTATCGCCTGGATAAATCCTTCCGCCGTCATCTAGAACACACAGACGCACATAGGCACACACGTACAAACACAGCAGAGTCCAATCTGGATAAGATGCAACACCCTAGCGCTCATCCTCCCACCCCCTCTGTTCCCAATTTGGACAGGGCACCCATTGTTCTGCAGCAGCATCATGCATATGCAATACGACTCGTATCTTGCTGACGACCAGATGCAAAAATCACCCTTGTTCGAGATCGAATAATAGTGCGGTGCGGTGGCGTCTTCGGCTACCCCGTCTGTCACCTAGTAGCCACAAGGCCACAAGGCCATACTGTAAGCAGATGGCAGTAGAGGCCTGGAACGGACATAGTATAAGAGGGTAACGCTAAAGATTTTCGAGAGTGAAAAGGGCTAAGTCAAACGTGGCATTGAGAGGAGTGTACAGGAGTGTGCATTGTGAGTGTACAATGTAAAAGTCGGTTTCCGGGATTGCTTGAGTCACGGTACCAGTAGTTCAACTTTTAAAACTCGTCAAGAGTAGGCACACAGGACTTGTGTCAACCCCTTCTCGGCATCAAAACCCGCCAGATTAAATGTAGGATCCTGTTTTTGTGTCATCCCTCCAACGTTTGCTCGCGGGGCACCACGTGCGCTGTCTGTGATTCGATGGGTACAGTGATGTATACGCGATACGCCCCTCCAATAACATGGAGTACCTTGAATTAATGATACACACACATGTACCTGGTACTCAATATACAAAGGGTGCATGTAGTCGTATTGTAAAAGGATACCTTAGTAGCAGGGATGCCCTACAAGCACAAGCACTTATACAATACTACTTACTTGATTACGAGTACTACAATGTTTCCATTAACTACCCAGGCGTGTTAGTGTTTCATAATGAATTCCCTTGGAGGAAGCAATTGGCTTGCAGCTCCTGTCTCCATTATTATTGAACCTTAGCAACATTGACGTAGTCATGCTTCAAGAGCGCTAGTTTAGCCTGCATTGTAACCAGGCTTTGCATGTAAGCACCATAACTCAGCACATAAGCTCGAAATCTATAGTGATGCGGCTGTGAACTCGCCACTTCCCGTCTCCCAGATACTTGGTAGGCTTAGCACCTGGACGCAGTTACAGTATCAGGTGGTAGATGTATAGTAATGAGACCTTCAACGCCCCGACATGTTCGAGCGCTCCGCTATACAGCACTAAGCGGCTAGCGCCTGGGCTCAATGTCAAATATCCCTGGCTTACAGGTAAAGTCAGCGTGTTTTGTAAGCTGAGGCGCGTAGAGTTCATGCCCGCATATCAGCTCTCTACACGTATAGGTGCCCATTCCGGGGTTGGAAAGTTGACAGCACAGATAAGCTACATTAGGATGCGTATAACCCATATGTTCGAAGTGGTGTTTTAAAGTACCTACATGCAAACACACTCAGCACTTGTAATAACATTGCTTTTCCCCTTCTTTCATCCCTTCTGCCTGGCAAAGAGCGCACGAAGCACGAAGCACGAGCACACCTGATTGGCTTACAAGCCCCTGTCAGTGGGAGCTACAACCTCTTTTTTGCTAGAGCACATTGCAATTGTCGTAAGATAGTACTTGGAATTTAAGTGGGAAAAAACCAGAATCCAGGCCGCCAAGTCGACAGTAGCTCGCAAACATTTTCAGAGTACAGGTAGCTTTGACACTACAGCTGCCTCTATGAGGCAGTTGATTGGTTTGAGCTATCCCTGCATTATGAAAACACTAAAACAACCAACCCCGCGAGGTAGATTGTGCTATTTGGCAAGTCGCACTAGTATTCGAATGCAATCAGTGGCACAAATAGCGCAAGTACGAGTTGGTTTCCAGGTAGTAGTAGAACCGACGGATGGCAGGCCTCTTCCCCGGCACAGGCCTTGCTGCCAGCCCTACCGGACGCTAGGAAGTGGTTCCACGTTTCCACGTCGAGGTTGAAAGGTCCGATACTGTGCTAGACAAGGATGTTGCTCCTCAGACTTCAGACGGCCACCTTGCATCGCGTCGAAGCCTCAGTAGAAGTCTCCATGCATGGTTCTAACCGGTATTAGGTAGTAGTAGCGCCGGTAAGCACTGCCCACCACTTCCCGGCGTCCCTCTCGCATCTCGCTCGACTTGTCGCGTTCATCTCGTTTGTGCGACCTCTCGCTCTCGCTGATTTGAGCCAGTAGTACAAGATCCCATGCAGCTTTAAGCTTTATAGAAAGCGTATCTGCACTATGCCCCGTGTTTCATGAGTTGGATCCATCAGCGTTGTATGGTGTTCCTGGCGGTTAGAGATCAGAAGCTTGCCGCAGTCGTAAGAGCGGCGTGGATAACACATGTAGGTAACGCAAGGCTAAAATAGAATCGAAGAGGAGCAGCCGAAAGCGAAGTCATTTCGCTAACGCTCGACCGGTTAGTAATCTTACTAATCCGCTAGTCAGTCCTGGTAAATACGAGAGGGACAGCCAGAAAAACAGGTGAAAGTCATCATACTGTACAGATCTTGAAAAGCCCCATTCCAGACCCAAGCATGCGCTGGAAGGAACAATAGTGATAGGCAAACCCACTTTGTGTGAATTGGGTATAAGCGTGCCACTTCTTGGGTTTCCACAACCTGCCAAGCCATTGTCTTTGATCCCCATTGGCAGAAAGAAAAGAGGAGGCATGCGACATAGCATTTTGCCGGTAGGTGCGGGCCTCGAGGAGTAATATTTCTTGCAAGGGAAGCGCCGAGCAGGAGGATTCCAGCAAAGGCTGTCGGACTTATATGCATAGATAAAGAGCTCTGATTGGCGGCCAGCTACTTAATACCGTACGAGTTATTACCGTGTTACAGCCAAGAGGATGCATTCGTATCAAATTTGCATGTAGATGATCGCGATAACGGCTGATGAGCAACACCTTTGGCTCTGTGCTACAATGTTTCTGTTTCTTTTGCTTGCTAGGAACTCTGCGATTAGCAAACTTACGCCTTTTGGTTAAATTTTTTGAATGCTTCCAACAAACTTTGTGAAGTATTCTTGTTGACCGGTTCTTGGCTCAACCGGATGAAGGAATTAGATGTACGTGGAAATAGACAACGGTGGGGAGATAGAATCAAGCTGGGATTAAAGGCCTAGGCACCTACTATAGGCAGTAGACTACTGATAGACACCAGATGCCTTAGTGAAATCGCGCCATTTTCTATTCCGTTAGCTTCTTTTTGTCATTAAGAAAGATGGGAAGAAAAAAAAAACCGATCGCATTGCCGATGTGATGCTTCTGGCAATACGCGCCGACCTACGAATCACTACTGTATGAATGTAGTTAGGAAGCAACGATCATTAAGCTTCGGGGATGAAAAGGATCAGATTAGCTCATTACAGCCGTCAAAGTGGCGCTGTCCTAGAGTCACTAGCACCAGGCTTTAACAAATGGCTCGTGAGAAACTTCGAAATTGCCCATACTGAGCTCTCTTGATGATGATTGCGGTTTATTCATGTAGTGTCATGCCACCGTATATCTTTTAGACACAGGGAAAAACGTGAATTTGACAGAAAGCTGATTCTCGGAGAATAAATTGAGTTGCGTTGGTGTTGTAGGAGTCTCGTAACTTGATCCTTCTGCTATTTCGCACCAGCACTAGCACGAGGCGCTGTCTACTGTACTATCTCATGTTAATTGGCACAAGGATAGGTGGCAGATCTGCCCTAGCAGCGGATGATCGTTACCAAATCAGACAATCTCTGCATAATTTATAGGCTGACCGCCTGTCTGGCCCTAACCTGATCAGCCGCTGGAGGACCTTGAGGGCATATGCTAATCCTAGCTGGGGGAGCGTTCCTGTGGGCATGGTGGATTCCGAGAAACCCAGGTGTTCCGGAGAGAGAGAGAGAGCCCTACGGCTGTTGCTGAGGGGTGGAAAAAATAGATAGATATTGATCGAAATGTAAAATTTTATACACGCACTCAAGTGCGCACCGATACTTGTAGATAGAATTGCGCTACATATTGCCCATAGTACTGTAGTATGTGCGTATAACACTGGGCCCATATGTCAACTCATTATTTTCTGCTTTCCTCTATTTAAATTTTCAACCCCTGCCGCGGCGCGGATTCGGAACGGCCCTTGGAGTATAACGGCATGCCCCGCCACAGTTATACCGTACAAGTACAGTACACTACATGCCTGATGCTTCATCTACAGTACATATACGTATGTAGGTAGCTACCTACCTTATGCATGCCACGCCAGGCGAAGACCGGACATACGAGTGGCGTGCTAGTCAGGCATGTTGCGGACTGTGCTGGTGCTTAAGTTATGCACTAATCTTTCCCAAGGCACATGAGGAGTTAGGCAGCACCATTCCTCGTCTAGAGAACTGCGTCTCTCTTTCATTAGTTGCTCGTCGTGCATCCCGGCGAGGCGTAAGATACTTGTTCTTGTACCTGGGCACGACGTAACTCCTGCTGGTGCTAGTACTTGTAAAATGACAGCAGATACACGTGGCTAACGCAATATGGATCATGCCGTAATGTCCAGGGACTCTTCTCTTCGTTTAAATCGCATCGACTTCCGGCTTAGTCAGTCCGCTGAGGCGGCTGAGCTGCCAGTAGCTGAGCTTCCAGCTTCCTGCTGACAGGCTGTTCCATGCTCGTACATGTATTCTGGCCATCATCATCGACCATCTACATGAACTACATGAACTTACGGCTACTGATCATCAGCGGTATGATCGTCTGCAATGTGTAACGGAGCGCTGGATGCTACTTCAAGCAGCAACGAGGCCCGAATCCATGCAAATCTGCCACTCGCCATACACAGCTGCAGGGCCCCAAATCCGGCACCACTTGCTGTACCGTACAGAGATACTGTCTGCGGCGCACGCCCCGGCAGCGGCAAAAGTGGCCCTCGATGCGTTTACTGGGGCCAGGGGTGTGTGTTTCGGGCAGTGGACGCCGCAACAAAGCACATAAAATGTAGACGGTTTTCCTCTTCGGCAGCCAGGCGGAATCCTTCCGTGGGGAAAAGAGAAAAGGCGACACAGATGGCTGCGGCACGAATAGCCACGCGGACGCCGAAAAGGCGGCGCTCGTGATGGAGCTGGCGGCGTCGAGATACATAAAAGGCGAAGCATCACCACGCTCTGGGTGCTGCGCTGAATACGGAAAGCCATCTATCGTTTTATTGCTTCTACTCGACCGCACATACGAGCAACTACTAGACTCGACTATTATCTCACCATCGTCTACTGCACGTGGCGTATAATTCAGCCGTGCGCCACACCACGCTGCTGCATCTCTGATAGTCCGCACGATACATAGCAGCTGAGCTGAAGCCGCAGCAATCAGACAATACGGTTCACTCTATACGACAGCCCGCATTTTGCCAGTTTTCCTCGGCATCGTCATAACCGAGACCAGACCCCGGCGGAATTCGCCTGCAGTCATTGCGCTCAAGGAGGGCTGTCTGTTCGGGTCTTTTTGGTCGTCGCTCGTCTCGATCCGTCTGACGCCAGAGCCCAGAGCCAATAACCGACTCTGCACACCCCTGCTCGAGCCTGAAGTTGTCTGCCAGCATGGATCCTAGCGGTACGTCTCTGTCCCAATCCCTCTTTTCTTCACTTCAATTGCTTCCTTCTTGCCTAGCGTGGTATTATCTTATTGTGCCATGCCTGACTTGCACGACCTGTCTGCCCACCCTTGGATACGTGTATATAATTAGGTGGCGAGGTGCCATCTCCCTCTTATGCGAGCCTTTCGCCGGACAATTGCTCTCTTGTCTTTTCTACCGTTTACCACCTCCTCTTTCATCATGGCTGAAGACCATGGCCTTACCCAATGCTGGCCGCAACAAGTGCTAATTGAGGACATGCTGCCATCAGACCACTTCTTCACAACACAAGACCTCCATCACCAGTATCACTTTGACGCAAGCATGCACCATGTCATGCCGCACCACCAACAAGACAAGCTGAATATGGCAATTCCCATGTTCTCAGCCGACGCTACAAACGCCGCGTTCTTCCACGTGCCAGCACAGTCAATGGCCGGCTTATCAGGGCCAGGCATGACTCCGCCACCAGCGCCACATCAATACCGCCAGGACTCTCCCTCTAGCACACACAGCGGAGGGTCTGTTTCAAAATACCGCGGCGCTGCCCGATCACCAGACGGCGATGATTTCGATGCCGGCAGTGACGAGGCGCAAGCAGCTATCAGACGACACCGCAACACAATGGCGGCGCGGAAATACAGACAGAAGCGCCTCGACCAGATCTCCGACCTGGAGCGAGCGTTGAGTGACGTGACTAGCGAGCGTGACGACCTCAAACTGAAGCTCGCAAGACGTGAAGCCGAAGTAGAGGCGCTACGAGAGATCCTAGGGAAGAAGCGATGAGACGCAACTTGCATTCTACAGCTCTCCTCCACCCCCTACTTTCTCTATTTTCTATACATGTTCATATGTACTATATACCACGCGGATCAGACACATCCAAATGTCACAGGATTGCATGTTACTCCTGCAATCGCACATAGACACAGCAACAGCTAGCCTACAGACTTTGTTTCCTTTGATTTACGGGTCCTCTTTTGGGCGTTTTGGGGGTTTACGTTTTATGGCTGCTACGAAGGAAAAGAAAATCGAATTTGAAACCAATGATTCGAAGAGATGGTGCCGAAACTGCTTTACTATTTCCTTTGTCAATTCCACCATGCTCTTTCGATTTTTGCAAAAGTTGAGTTCCAAAAGCTCAATATCCCAACCACATGTATATATCGTTCGTGCTTTTCTCGAGCTCGTTACATCTAGAAAACAAGGCAGTGTCAGCTGTCAGCGCCACAGGCTTTGTGCCTATAAAGATAGAAATATTGATTACATACCTTAGGTAGTCATCAACAAATACAGAAGAAGGAAAAGAAGAAGGAAAAAAGGAAAAAGGAAAACAAAAATAGATTATCAAAATCAAAAACTTCAAAAGATCGAAAGAAATCTCCATGTGTCTCTGTGTCTCTCGCAAAAAACAAGAATGGAAAAAGGAAAAAGTGCACGCGGTTGCTCAGACGATGTCGATTCTCTTCCTTAGTTATGAACAAGATGTATCATGGAAATTTTCAACTTCTTTCGCCTCATCATAGCAAACCAGCAATGTCACGTGGAGAGGAGGGGCTAGGTATGAGAGGGCTTGAAGGGGTAGGTGGTGTGAAGGTGTGCTCCATATTACATGTACATACATGGGTATTCGTCTGTGAAGGGGCTGGGTAGGTGTGTGGCATATAACACTGTTATACCAATAAGGAAAGGAGAGGATGATAGTACTTACTTATCAAAACATATAGTGAAGCAAACCAAGGCAATTGGTCCTTTGAAAATGCTTATGCTGACCACTTTTCCGTCTCTGTAGCTGATAAATAGACAAGAGAAGACAGTAGGAGAAAGGAAATCCGAATTGCCATGAAAGTCTCCTTGGGATGTACGCTCTAAGATGGCGATTGTATTATACCAACAGCACTTTTGCATGCAATCAAGGTCCCATTTTCATGGACTCTTGATTTTGAGAATTGCCCATTGATAGAAGCGGCGCAAGAGGCTTCTCAGGCTGCTGGATAACAAGAGTCTATTTGAAAACCAGAAGATTGGAAAAGAAAGACTATTTAAATCCAAGAGCAAGGACATCACAACTACAAGATTTTCATCCTTTGAGTGGAGTAAAGGGGCATACGGCGAAGCTACGTCTGATACATCAAATGACACTGAGAACCGAAATGATACAGGGAACCAAGTAACACTGTAAGCCAAATAATGTTGGAAATCAAATGACAATACAGAACATGACACTGCAACATATGACACTTAGAAATCCATTGTGAGTGCCAAGCATACCAAGTATGCCGAGTATACATCACATCGGCTACCTTTCCCCATACCGGGAACAATCAACAACCCGAGATACGCCATCTTCTGCCCCTTCTTTGTTCTATTCTGGGCTAATCCTCGGATTGTTGTTCGTGTCCGATTGATTTAGGTGTGTTCATCTACATGAATCGAGATACTGAGAGCTGGCGGTCAGTGGCTCATGGTGTGGAGTCATAACCGGCCAATGACTCACCCTACCGAAAATGAGATTACAGAGTCAGCATCACGACTTTCATTTGAAGTTATTATACAGAATTTGCTTGAAATGATACTGAGTCAAGGCTATTGACTGGATTTCAATTGGTTTCCGTGATATGCTTCGACATGGTCATGATACGGTGGTGACGCTTGACTCGCGGTAATTATCCGCCGAGCAAAGGAAAGCCCACGTTTCTTTGTGATCCTCGCAACAAGCATCAAAATTTCCCCGTTCTTAAAAATTTCTAAATGACAAATTGACAAGATAGAAACCGAGGGGAGAAGGGGGCAGAAAGAAACAGAAAAAAACTTCACTACTATAACTCCTTTGATATGTACTTACTCTACACTATCAATTGTAAGCATGAAGAGAATCTAAGACTATTGATTCTTCATCCAACGGAGGCATCTAGCGTTAATATTTCAATTGATATCCTAAGAATTCTTCTTCACGCAGGAAATAGGCGAGCGGCAGATCAGAGGGCCACGGAGTCACGGATTAGGCGCAGGCGAATAGGTGAAGCTCTACGCACACTACCGTGACGGCAAATTGAATGCCCCGTCTCGGTTATATGAGTCACTCTGCAGTTTTTCTTCACAGGCTCTAGCGCTTATTATGTGATATGCGGAGGTCAATACGATTTGCGCTATGCCTCCAGCGCGGCTAACATCGTAGACTTGTTCCGCCATGTTGATCTTAGAACACACGAAGTAGGTCATTTCTATGAAGTTGATTGTATGAAACTGAATGTTCAGTAACGAATTCCTAATACCGAAGGAACTACCAAGCTGTTGTCATAATTCTTTGCAATTCTTATCATTATTTATTGCTTCATGATTGGGCTTGGTCACGACGAACAAGCAAAGCGCCCGTTGCGTTTAGCCCTTTCGAATTCTAGGAGCGAAAACAGACGATTTTAGCATAAATGGCTGATGGACTGGAATTGTGCGATGAATTCCTCGAATTCAGGTTTTGAACCCTCATCTCGCTGAGAAAAGTATGTTAGAATACTAATCTTAGGCGCCCCTTCGATCGTCGCAGTAGACGCGTTATTCTGCCGGAATATCGTTTTCTGGCCGATGAAACGGGGCTATTGTTCTAGATACAAATGGTATCACGAATTCAAGTTTCCTTGTCGCATTACATCTCGACAATACACCGGCTGTGGCAATTTGCCCTCTTACCGAACAAACCGAATGAGCGCGATGTGACCACCTGTCTATGGAAAAAGGGGCAGCGGTAGAAATCGAACAGCACAACGCAGGTAAGCTGTCAGATTCAGTGAATGCCTATCTTCAGCTTCACGGACCATTGTGTTAATGATAACAGCTCGGCATACGACTTCGGGCAAATTCTCTCATATGCCCCTGAATCGTGCTGCTTTGTGCCTGATCACGGCTAAAGATCCCAGTACCGAAAGGCTCCTCGGCATTTATTTTTCTAGCAAAAGATAGACCATAGGCGTGAAGAGGAAAGTCCTACAAGAATCGATAATGCGAACGGTCGAAATCCATAAGACTCCACTTATGATGAAGAGCTCCCAACGATCGACCAACGAGGGCATAGAAAGCCTTATTGTCCATATATTTTTAGTCTTTGCATATTCTTGAATACCTTTTGCCAACTGTCACCCAGAAGGCTCACAGAAGCTCAATGAGCTTTCTTTCAAACAACCGGACGTTGATATAGGAGACATAGGAGACATTTCTAGCTTCCCTGAGTCTACCGTGTCTTTCCACGCTGTATTGGGAAGTATCTAGGCCTACCTAAGGCACCTAGCTTGGGTTGGCAGAGCCGCATGCCTGAGCACTATTACACTTACCGCTTGATACTATGATTACTCATATGAATGGGGCAATTCAGCGCCCTCCTGCAACTGGGGGACTGCAGAAGAAGCACCGAAATTGTGACAGATCTTGGTCCATTTTAGCGCTGCGAATCTAAAGCATGGACGAATAGGTATGTTGACCCTTGACGATCATAGGGTTATGCACAGGATGCTGAGGAAAGGAGTGGGTAATAGGGGTGTTTCCGAACATTGCGACGGGGCCCTAGTTTGCGATGCAGGGAGCAAATTTTCTGTGCCGAGACAGGTGAACGGAGGGACGGCGGAGTATTCTGCGTGCCTATGCCATGGCTATGCCTTGGTTTTCAACGTTTGTTTACGATACATACGCAATCGGATGAGGATCGAATATTTACCGTCTTTTCTCGATAACACATGGCAGTACTAGTTGTGTTAAGTATCATCACTTCTAACTTTTAGAAGCAGGTACTGCATACTTGGTACGGGGCCGCGGCACGGCTCGTGGCGATGCGATGCGATCCATACGATACGCGGCGAATTCGGCCTAGGAACGCACTAGCATTAGCAGGCAGTATGGAGCTTCGGACCTGCCACTATCTAACAAAACGCAGGCGGTAGGGCTTGTATTGCGCTGAGTCTTGTATCGCCGGACCCTTGTCTCCTAGGTATGCTGATGGTGCATGTTACTGGACCGATCCGCCAAGACCCCGGCTACTCTATTTCTCTTGGTGTGGCACACTGGGGCCGCAATGAGGACCCATCGGCCTTGAAGACTTGATCATGTTGAACGGAATTCTGCTTGTAGTCTTATTCCGACACTATCTTCTAGCAGTACTACTCTGTACACATTATTAGTGGATGATTGTTCAGCTCGGATGGCAGAGTCTGTCTGGTCTGGTCCCCGACAACTTGTACATTCATGTACTTGATTTGTCTGAGTGCTCAGCTTTGCCTTTTGAGCCTCTGCTCTATTTCCAGGCTAACATAGAGACCTGATACTGTTTACGACACGACAAGTCCGCCAGGACGAACAGCAGGTTTATGCGATTCTCAAGAGCAATATCCGATAAGCCAAAAGTACAGCCATCACCATTCGTCCCTCTATAACCGCTTCTCCCCAATCGCGAATTTACATGTACCTGGTCGGCGACCTGGCCACGTTCCCCCACCTGCTAATCCTGTCTCAACGGCATGTACCGTGGTGCGGACTTCGCGAAGGAAATTAGCGCTGGAATCATTATGCTGAAGACGATGCTTACCGCATGGCCCCAGCTGCAGGACTCATGTATCGTATACTGACACTCTGTACGAGACAGCCTTACGGTGGCTCTTTCGAGGTGGATGTAAGATTCGGTCCCTCGTTTGCTAAGACCACGCCGATCGTGGCAGCACTGTGCGCAAAAAGATTCGCGCACTAGACTACGAGCGGAACAATGGATTTTCCTCTTTGCGGCCCAGCCCGCCGAGCCGGGCGCTCCACCGCCATGGCAGAGCAACGTGTCGATGACGTAGGTATGCGTGTCCATGTAGCTAGCTGTGCCTGGATGAATGCCAAGCAGCTGTGCTGGAATCTGTGAAACGGAAAACACACCGTCCTTTTGTTTGCCTTTTGTTTTCTCCCATCATCATCTTTTTCTTAAGAGCTTCAAGTTACTGCTGCATTCAATCCGCTCGTTGTTAAAAAAGAAACATCTAATCGGATTATTCCCAATCCAGGCACTATCTTTTTTCGGCCAAGTCTGCATCTCACGCTGCGTCGCATCTCAACCATGTCTGCTCCAGAGGGAAACGTCAATCTCCAGACAATGACCGTCACAGAGCCCGAGCGCTCGTATGATGCGCAGCCAAAGTCACATCCTGCAATGGGTACGTCGTATTGATGCCTATAACGGCAGCTTGCTTATTTTCGTGTCATCTCAAAAGGATGAGGAAAAAGGAATAATACTAATCGTCCGCATAGATCCCCAACAGCCCCATCCCGACACAGCCGAAGACGTCAACATGCGTGGAGGCGATCGAGGCGGCTGCTGCCCGGGCCGGTTTTGCTTCATCATACCCTGCCCGATTCCTATTGATTGCTGCATCATCTAATGCCCGTGCTGAGCTTGTGCCACGCGTAACGGCGGATAATGAACTCTCTAAATATGATGGCGGGGCATCGATTGCTTCTGGCCCCGGAAGCCATGCGTTTGCGCCCATGTGCGAGAGTCGAACCACGGGATTGTATTGAGCAAGGCCGGGGTTTTTTTTAGTTGTTTTGATGGATGCACGCAAGTTGAAGAGAGCGGAATAATATCGGAAACACGTCGATTGGCTTTAGCTTTGACATTGCGGTTATGAGAAGAGATTAGGTCGACTTACAGTCATACCACCAGTTAATGATAATGACGATGAAGCGGGGAATGCAAGAAAGAATAAATACAAATTAAATTGAAGATAAAAAAAAGTGCCGGGAGCTTCAACATCGAAAAGATACTGCTTGTCAAATGTTACAATAGACGATAATAGATCTTTTGCTATACGCACAGTCATAGCTGTATAACTGTGAGGTCTACTGTATCGCTAACGTGGACGAAGACACAACAGCTGACTGAGGCTGACATCAACAGTTCAATGTCTGCTTATTTTTGTCCGTTCGGCTTAGCGGTGAGCCAGTATATTTCTTGACCACGCATTGGCAACGAATACAAAGGCAGAGCCAAATAACATGTCAACTTCGAATCTAAATGATTATTGTGTTTGACATGTCCTGAACATGCGAATTTGAAGAACTGTGTTTCACAAACCTCAGTTTATAACTGCTACGTGTAGGTAGCAGTTACCTATTGGTATCTATATTGGTGACCGCCTATAACTGCAATAGCTTATCGTATGGCACCAGGATAAAGACCATATACTCTGACCTGACTGCATGTTTCTAGAGAAATATGTATCTTTACTAATATTTACTATATGAATTATTGTCCAGGGGTTCCTTGCTTCTATAATGACGAGATTACGCGCCTGTGAAAGACAATTCTTGCTGAAAGAAATAGAGAAAGAGACAAAGAAGCCGCAAAGACTTATATTCTGTATCATACTATGACAATATGTGCAATCCTTCATTTACGCCTGAGCTGTCCCACGCCTAGTTGTTGGCAGCTGTAGACACAAATAGATGAGGCGATATGGAACTATTCCGCGCCATCTAGTCTTTCCTTTGATCTACTCTTCATCAAAGAATTAAAGATTAGAAGTAGTTCTAATATTACCCCTTCGATAAATAGCATGTCTCCGCCACAGGTATGCGAAGAATATGACATGTCAAGGGACGTAGAAACAGATCACACGGACCAAGGTTACTGAGATTGAGCTTCATCAGTTCCGATAAGCGCTTTGCAGATAATAGTGACAAAAAGATAGTTGCAGCATGTGGCTATAGAAATAACTAGGGAGTTCGTTTGACCACTCGTGTGCTCGCCGGGAAACGTGAGAGATAAAAGCTACATGTACTTTTGGTGATTGGCAGTATACTATACACATTAGATAAAGCTCGACATAATGATGAGCGCATCATTTAGTCGTGGTACAATGGCATCGCTATGTAATTGGTAATAAAAGATCATTTTCGCAAATCTGGTGTGACGTAATAGAGCGCAAGAGGTAGTGTTTCCTTCTTGGTTATGTGCTAGACGGCGGCAGGAGAAGCCATATAACATTGATAATGCTACGGAAAGTCGTTTCTACTACCTCGAGTGATTTCTTATCGCCCCGTTTCAATAACCTATTACTATCGCCGGCATGCTGGGTTTCGAGGGAATATGGAAACAACCCAAGAGCTAAGTTACCCAAGGATTTATACTACTCTTGGAACGAGACCATGTAGACCCTAAGGTTGCAATTTATAGTCAACCATAACGCACTACATTTGCATAGAGCCTAGTATTTATATGATGTATATACTACTAGTGCACTTGGGAGATGGGAGTCTTACGATATGACTTTGACAGGACATCGGTCGGCAACTACAGGCAATCGGCTTCTTGAGATCAGAACCATGCAGAAGAACATTCCCAGAGACTCGGTTTAATAGTCCCCTTTGCTCATTATTCACTGACATCAGGTAGAATCTAATAGCAGTCCTAAATTGAAAGATAATAGAGAATATTTGCACTTGGCAATTGGTCAACGAGTCTTTTTACGACAAAACTGAGGAACCATAGTATCTGGAGCTTCACCGTTTGATCCCTCCGAGTAGATAACATTTCTGAGAAATATCTCCTGAAATACTAGCTTGACCGCCCATAGCTACAAACACTGCGCCAAATGATGGTCAAGTCAGCTACTCTTCGACAGTAGATCTATTGTTTTCACAAGGCTCATAAATCTTATCCCTATTTAATGTCCAAAGGCATTTTCCAAGACCAAGCCTTTGTAGCATAGATGGAAATAGTACTCGTATTCTGTAACCCCCAGAGCTAATAAACCTGCCGCCAATGATAATGTCTTTCCATTTCTCCAAAAATTTCCAACAACTACCGAATTGGAGACATAAAAGATATCATACATAATACTACCATGGTATACGGCACCCAGACAAACTTCATCACGTCTCATGCATTCTACGAAATAAAAACGCTGTCAAATTTTAGCCTGCATTGGTCGGAACATTAATCCGCTCAGCTGATTCCTGTATGCATTAGTAGGTAGCTACGTGATTAGCTTTCTGAGCTGGCAGCAGCTAGAGACAAGAAATGCAACAGCCGAGACTGAAAAGTCAATTAGCTTCAACATTGCAATCACGTATACTATCTTGTTCTATGCTATTCATATACAACCGATGGCTTCATGAATATTAGTTCGACCAAATAGATGTGATATGCACGAAACTGCAACATGCTGGACAATCAACCATGCAGCGTATAGTAGCGGTGATCAAATCATCAACTACCTTGGCACTATCAAACACTACAGCCAACAAACCAGATCGCAGATATCGGACATTACAAATTGCGAGTTACGTACCAGTTTCACTCCTGAGGCGTGGTTGCATCGCTGAGTGGCAACAGTTCTCGTTCTAGAGCCACCCCTTCGACACTTGAACCATGCAGACTGATGCCATTATTGAGGCGAAATGGAACAATCCATGGTAACGTGATGGCTTGTTAACACCCCTCGTGGAGGTCGGAGACACTTGTTTGTCCGATCTTCGGCTCACATCAAGAAGGGCAAGCTCGGCGTCAAACATGACTGGAGAAGAAATTGAGAAAACGAAGAGCTCATGCAAATGAATAGGCTGATTAAAAAGAATGCGGACAAATAGATCGAGTGAAGTTCCGATATGGGGTATGTTTCCTACCATTACACTGCACATGAGTCGCCCTTGGACGTGCAAAAGCTCGTAATTGGGCCAAGACGGATTAAAGTTCCCGTGCTGCGTACATTCTCTAGATCTGTACGGGCGCACATATCCACTTCCATAACATATTTTCATCACATGCAAAAGAGCTGTCCGTTTCTGGTAACCAAGGCTGGAGGGATCTTCCAATAAGGGTCAAGGGTCTGGGCATGGCCATTGTGGCGTAGCCCATGATGAAGCCATATAGATGCCAAGCCAAACAGAGTTATGACTGTTGCCTATAATACAACCGCAGCTCGTTTAGGAGTTCACACTGTCTGTGATAAAGATCCCGTTAGTCACACCTTCGTTGTATAATGCCCGTCTTCGTGCAGATAACTCAAGCCTACTATGATATCATAGCTATTCGTTACAAGAATGAAGGTGCAGTGTAGGATGAGCAATCAGCGGTTCCAAAATGAAACGTTGAATACGAAAGTATCCACATAGAAGTTGGAGTATGCGAAAACGACAGCATAAAGTGTTTCACTCTGAGGAAGGAAGGAATGGGGGAATGTAAGGATCCGGATATGAAACTGTGCAAAAAAGAGACCGGAGCAAAACAGGCGGCTCTAGTAAAAGAGCCGCAGAATCAATCTACCAAACGTCATTACTTCTTCATCAGAGTTTTTGGAACTCCTCTTGATTGGAAGATGGCATTATGGCGCATCATCTGGCTGTATGGCGATGCCCCTTGACGACGCTGCCAAGGGTATCTCAGAGGCAAAGAAACGCACAACAGGGGGGCAGAGAAGACATGTGGATGGGTGTTGTTGAGCGGATGACCACAAAAGCTAGCCATCACAGCCGACATCTTAGTGGGGGGAGTGGGCAGGGATCATGAGATTCAGTCAAAGAATGCTTGTTTTGAAAGTGGAACCAGTAGATCTTGCAGAATTAGAAGAATAAATGTAAGTAGTGGCTCAGACGGCTGCCATATCCCTGTCAGTTTGGCTTCTACTTGTATCGTTCCGAAGGCTTATGCTTCCTTGCTCTCCGGCAGACAAAGCAACGAGAGAAGGGTGTGCAGGTAGGCAGCGGGAAACTCGGCTAGACTATCTAGCCATGCCGCCTCGTAAACATTAACATGAAGCTTGCCCCGCTGTATCTCTTCATAGTATTTGAGTTAGGTGGAAGATACGAGGGCCGGCTCCAAACACTCTTCAGCTTGTCTTACCCGTTGAAATCTGAGGAAATAATTTTTGGCACATGCGGAGAGGCCCGTCTGGGACGGCCCACGCTCAAGCCAAAAATGAGTGGAAGAGCCAAAAACAAAGCAGAAGGCGTAAAGCCAGCCCGCAAAGTGTCCGCAATTACTGTATGGAGCATTCCGGATATCGTCGTACTAGTGGCCCGCTTACTGAGGAGAGCAGACAGCAGCCAGAGCTTTGAGGCCGAGTGACGAATTAACCAAGCTGTTTCTAGAACCATCAATGAGTCCCATATGTCAGCACAATCTGCGTCGTACAGCTGCGTAGAGGTGATGTTGAGGGGAGGTCGGAGCATGTAACGATGCGCGACGCATGACCCTCGTACAGAGAGAGTTGCACTTTAGGTGTGTCTCCACTATGCATGCATCTTTACACATGCTTGCGTTAGCGCATGAGATGTGCATAAGGATGCATATAATAAGGCGGGTATGGTGGGTGTGAGCAGATGCGGCAGACCGGTATAGCTGCATACAAGACGTCAAGCTCGACGATGGTTGGTCGTGGCAGGGATGGAGCCGATGGTTCGGATGGACAAGCCTTGCGCGTGCCCGCGGTTACAAGAACCACATGGGCGTGAAGAATATTCGCATCCACGGCGTCTGCAGCGCCCTTGTCCAATAGAATGGCTGTCTACATCGTATCGAGCTATTGGCAAAGATAGCGTGGTGTGCATCACAGACATCATTCGCGGCTGATGTCGAGCCGGCCGGAGCTGCAAAGTCAAATGTGGTGGAGATGGTGATGGCATCTCCCACAAGCGCTAGCACCGCGACTAGTACCTCGGCGGACTGAGGCTGACCGGCCGGTGTGGGCAGGTGTTGAGCCATGGCTTGGGCTATTGCTGGCCAGAGTCCAAGAATCTGGCTGCCCAGCACATGGTCTCCTCGTGTGGCGTAGGCTTTCCTCGAACAAGACTGTTCAAAGCTGGAAGCGGAAAGGCGTCGACAGGCACGGGCGGCTGCCTGGGTTGCACAAACCTGCTCACGGCCGTGAGGATCGCGAATATTCTTTATGGCGGGGCACCCCGTGTCGTAATGAAGTTGCTCAACCATTCACTGAGCTGCAGCATGCTAAGAGAAGATTGTAGTTTGATCATGGCATTTTCAGCTCTGTTTCCCTAGGCACGAGTAAGCGAAGGCTCTACTGTGCGATAGTTGCAAATCGCAGGCGAATCGGAATAGATGCGAACAAGGGATCGGCATATCTTGAGAAAAGAGCCCATCTGCTGCGATGCCGAGACACAAATCAACAGAGCCTGCGACTATGCATCCCGCTGGTGGCTACAGTGGGCTACGGAGCACCCCCGTCCGCCCAACTCGGCCATGAGGGCACAGCTAGCGCTCTCTTGCCCTGAGACATGCCGATGGACAATGGAGGGCTGACGCGGACGATGACTGGACGGAGCTCCAGGCGATGGATGCAATCATGGACCGCGGCGCGTTGGCAATCAAGAGCGTTGCAAGGTGAGCTGAAACCAAGGAACAGACGAGCAGTGGAAACCAGCGCCGTGCTGCGGCCTGCTGAATTGACGAGTCGTTTTCCCGCGGCCTGGGGGTGTCAGAGGACGTTTCTCGTCTCCTCTTGGTGGCGCTGTCATTTGACGTTGTGTTGTGATGGAGACAGTTTCTCGCTTTTGTCTGGAGGACGATGCAGGCGAGGTCAAAAGGGCAAGCCTCGGAATAAAGTTTGTGCCAGATAAGAGATAGATGGCTTCAGTTGAGGGAGGTGCTACGAGTACATGCCACCACTCTCTGCGCCTCTGTATCACATACTGCAGAGCAACAACTACAATTGTGACCTGGAATTTATATGCCAGGGACAGCAAAAGAAAGTGGAGCGATTGAGTCTTATTCATGACTACAACCAGCTCCTACTACCTAGGTAGGTAAGTGCTGAAGTGAGAGAAGACTTACTCGTACCAAGTCCACTTACCTATGCTTATCCTTCTCTGGAATTGCAGGGATCATGACTTTGTACCCTACTCCTAGTCTATTTGATCCCATCAGAGATACTGTATGACAAAGATGCCAAGTACTACTATGTGTTAGTGCCAAATGTAGACATCAGACTCAAGAGAATCCGAATCATTTGTTTGGCTGGTGGCGTTCCTGCAAGGGAGCCGGGATGAGCCTGGAGCGATTGAGCTTTTCCCCGGATTCACGCATTTCGGCTTCTGCGCTACCCTGGCACCACAGACAGGCCAAGGTGTGCTGGGATCAACCTCGCTGGCGCTGCCTCGCGCGCGCATCTTGGCCTTGTCCTGTCTGAGACTCGGGCGGCCGGAGTGACAAACCTCGGTCATGTTGGCGTGATGGGAGTTGCTTGAGCCGAGAGCAGGAGCATGCTTCAACGACACAGCTAGCTGCAGATGAAGCCAACAGCTAGCCATTCGCCCCAATGAACCCTTGACTAACGCAGGCCCGTCTCATCATGGCCTAGCCAGACGTGCCAAGGGTTGCTGCAGTGCTGCCAACAGCTTGCCTAGTCGAGATATGCCTTGCAGCTATCTATCAAATGCTGTGTAACGGCAGCTGTTGGGACCCGCACTGACACTGAACTTTCGCATCTAGGTACTATCCCAAAAGCCACAGAGCAAGCCAAAATGCGTGGGCAGGCCCATCACAAAGCGGCCTAGCAAGACATTTCAACGGACCCGGCTGACAAGCTCGTGTGTGACGCGAGGCGAGTGCAATCCCTTTCGACTAGTGTTGCGAGCATTCCGCGGCAGAGGCCAAAGCCCAGCCTGTCGGCGCTATCCATTATTCTGTGGTAGCGGTGCGACACCAGCGTGGCTACATCAGCGAGGCTACACCAGCTTGGGCATATCGCAGCTTTGACGGGGGCGATATAAGCCAGGTTTATCGAATTCGATCAGAGGCTGGATTCCTTATCTATTTCCCGTTTCTGTTGCCCTTTGGCATCAACTGGCCGTCGAGAGGCTAAAGTGGCATTCCCAGCTCTATGGGGCAAGATCATCGACGGCCCCGTGCTCATACTTGTAACTGCCATGGATGATCTGCAGCAGGGTGACAGGGGAGTCGCCGATGCGGGCATCAATCTCGGATGCATACATGAGCGCCAATGCAGCAAGACAGATGGAGACTGTTATTTGGGCTGGTATGCATTGACGCTCGCAACGTCAACCGAACTTTTCGATCCTGAGCAGATCGATGTTGGCCATGGCAAAGGAATGTCCGCTTTCAACGAGAGGCATGCCTTTTGCCCATCTCAGCCTCCCGTGTGACTAAGTAGGCCTGGCAAATCTTCCCTTTCGTACTATACTGGCAAAGCAAAACGGCCAACACCTCTACCAGTAGTGCTGCTATTCCGGGCTCTGCCAGAGGCCGGAACGGGAGCGACGGTGACTTCCGAGCTGAGTTGAACCCCTTGAATTGGCCAACGCTTGGGCCTTAGCCCTCAATCGATCTTTGAGACTAGCAGCAGTAGTCGTAGTAGCTCAACCAGCGCTGGACTCTTCGCCTCGCCTCGCCTCGCCGTGTCTTGGTCTAGAAATGGACGCCTCACCACCAAATTCGCAACGGGCTCACGCTCCGGCCAGCGGCATGTGCAAGGATCTTGAGTAAAATAGCGAATACTGGCTAGTTAGTGCTGGTACATGGCTGGCCACCGCAATTAGTGCTGTGTGATGAGTACTGCCAGGATGCCATTGCCAAAAAGGCGTGGTGTTCACCACACACCATCTACTCCCAGTCTGAAGACGCCGTCATCCGTATCCGCACCTACACACACATACGCCATTTACATGGATGAATCCTCGGTACGTCTGTATTCCCCGTACACCTCAAAGCCTACGCTCACGCCCCTCACAGCCATCGCACGCCTTGGAGTACTCTTTATCGAGCATGCTCTCGCCACAGAGGTTTCGGAGCTGATAGACGACAAATGTCCTTGACATGAACGAGAGGGGTTCAAAAAGAGAGCATACGAGAGACATATTTGACCCAGTGTTTTTCGTTTTGAACGGGCAGATGCGTCTGGCGTATATAATAAGCTCAATGTCCCGGTGAGTCGGGTTGATGGGCAGCCGAATCATCTCCAAAACAAAAACGTCCAACGCCTGTCCATCGCATCTGCCGTTGATATATTACGAGTCCCATCGCTTCGACCAACCCTCCTTGCCTCGATGCTGCCCCTGTCCACCCCCCCTGTCTGGACTGCCTTTGACATTGTTCGATTTAGTTGATCGACTGTGCTGTGCAGTCAGTGGCTGTGGCTCCCGTCCTCCACCGAGTCACTCCTCGAGTGTGTCAGTTTACAGCATCTCCCTCACGTTCGTTCCAGTGCCGACCGCTGCCGGATTCCATCTCTTGACCTCACACCCTTTGCCTGGTGGACCCGGAATACCGGTACTTGCACGCTGACAGACGGGCGACTGACCAAGTTATTGCGCGCTGAGCCCATTCCATTGGCAGCCTCACATTTATCTGTTTAGTGCTAGGTAGTCATACCTGGGGCGCATACTCCCAAGACTTGGGACGAACACGAAGTCCTTGGCGGTACATAAACGTGGTGATTAGTCGACACTGCCGTCTCTTTTTCCACTTCTCTTCCTCTTTTTCTCTCCTTTCCTCTTACTTCTTCTCTTTTCTTCTCTTTTTTCTTCCATCTTCCTGTTATTCGTCTCTTTACCTGGATTGGTCCTCTCCTCTTTTTATTTTCCCCTAAGAAGATCCGCTTCGGGGTACTGATACGGTCCCCGCCTCTAATACACAAGCGGATGGCCGCGATCCACGACCGATATACTGTGCTCCCGTCCCAAAGGCTACGACGGCCGGGAGCACTGCTACGAACCGTGCTGAGACACAGAGATTACGCGGGAGACCGACATCCACACGACAGGATCCAGGTCACTGGACAGACTGCTGGACAGGTCACTGGACAGGTGCTGCTGCCCACCATTGCCGACCACGAATACCACCTTAGCCCCAGCGGAGCCATCGGCACAGAGAGCGCAGCAGCGCTGCAAATACAGGGGCCCCCTACCGCTGCAGCGCCGGCGGCAGCACCTGCAGCAGCACTTACAGCGCCCACAGGGGCCCCGTCCCCCTCTATCCCCGCTGGCTTCGCTCCCGGGCCCCCCATCTTACCGCCCGCGCCGCTGCGGCCAAGCCCCAACTTCTCTCCCCTCTCCATCCGCCACGCTCGCAGCACATCTTCTCCTCTTCCTCTACACGCCGCTCCTCCTCCTGCCTCTGCCTCCACGCCAGCCTCAGCGCCCGAGAAGCGACGAGCGCGCCTCTCGTCTCCCATCGCCACGATGCCCGAGTATCGCCATATGCGGAGCGGCAGCCTCAGCATTCCCAACGGCGCCCACGGCAGCAGCCATCACCACAGCATGCCGCGCAGCCCGCCCAGTAGGTTACACCAGTTTGCCGTTGCTTGTGCTCGAATTCTAGCGTCCCTCCCCCACCGAGCAGTTCCGCGAGCACACGACCACGGCGAGCAAGATTCAGAATTGGCCGCAGATGTGCTGACCATTTGTTGCTGCTGCAGACACATCGCACGTCCCGTGCAAGTTTTTCCGCCAAGGAGCCTGCCAGGCCGGCAATGCCTGTCCCTTTAGCCATGATCTCGGCAGCGCTTCAGAGAACATTTGCAAGTATTTCGCAAAGGTGAGCAGCTTCTTCCGTGGTGCTACTAGCTGTGTTTCCGCTGCCCACCTTCTGCCTTCGCTTGGACATCTCTTGCTTGAAGCAGAAAAACGACGAGATGGAAGAGGAAAAAGAAACTCGAAAGTTGGGCTGTTCTTTTGCCGAAAATCCGCGCAACTTTTACTGCATCATACGACTGTTGTTCCTGAGTTTTTTTTCTCTCTTGATTTGGAAAGCGTTTCCCTTGCCAGGCCTGTGGCATGACAAAGACGCACAAATCCTGTCGAGATTGGCTGGCTGACGTTTCGCTTTCCTCTTAGGGTAACTGCAAGTTTGGCCCCAAATGCGCAAACATCCACGTCCTCCCCGACGGTCGCCGAATCAACTACGGTAAGAATGGCGTTACAATCGGTGCAAATCCCCTCAATCTTGCCAATCGCGCGGGCGGCACCAGTCCCGGCTCACAGACCCCCGGCACTGTCGCTGGGCCATTCACCCATTCTACCGCCAGTGCCTTGACCAACTCTCTGTATCGTGCCGACCAGCCCGCATATCCTTATCTCAGCGATGAGATGCAGCAATTCGGCCTGTCCAGCAGCCACCATGACAGCGGCCTCCCGACCATTGATGCGCCCTACTCCGTCACCGACTCCAACTACGGCTCTCCACCGGATGATGAATCCTCCCGCCTAGGATTTGGTCTATCGCCTGCTGCAAAGGGCTTATCTGTCCTCGATGCCCCATTACCCGCCTCTTTCGACTCCAACGGCATTTCTAATGCCGCCCGCTTCCCTGCTGCGCCCTGGCCTTCATCCGTGCCCTCAAAGTTTGGTCTCGAATCGCCGTCCCCATCGCTCAGCAGCATCAAGGATCAGCGCACGTCCGAGACGCTCAAGCTGCTCCACTCCTCCGCCTTTGGATCTTCTGAACATCTCATTACCCCCACCGCCAGCAGCCCGCCAGACTCGCATCATCTGACTGGCGAAGAGTACTTCGGGAAGCGAATTATGCACTCCACCCGATACCCCAAGCAGCCACGAATGCTCAGCGCTAGCATGCCCAAGAACATGGTTGACCGAGACTGGGAGGCCGAGTTTGCCTTTGGCGACGATGATAACGTGCCAGAAAACCTCGTTCCCGGTGACCTGCAGGACCTATTGACTCCGGCAGAGAAGGCCCGGAGAGGTTCGATGCGAGATGAGCGGCCAGACTTTAGCCTCAGCAGTCTTGGCAAATATGGCAGCCCGATTGGCTCCAGCCCGAGTCGATGGGGACCCCTGTTCCAACGTCAGAAGGAAGAGGAGGAGATGACAAGATCGGCCCGAAGCGCTGCCGGATCGGCTTTCGGCCACGTTGGCAGTCCCCTGCGGAATTCGATCCTTGCAAAGGAAATGTCCGACAACAATGGTATAAGCCGACCATCTATTACTCGGCCAGTAGGTGGAAGCGAGAGCATGTCTGTTCTGTCGCAGCAGCTACAACGGAGCCGACTTGATGATACGTTGAATGGCTCAAGCCCGCTTTTGCACCCGACAGCCGGCCGCAGCGCGGGCAATGGCATCTCGCCCATTGGCAAGGACCGCGGCCTGGAGCGTCACGTTTCTAGTGCCAGTATCGGGTCGTCTGGCAGATTCACAACACCAATTGACGAAGAGGACTCTGCATTCGTATTCAGCATGGAAGAGGAAGAAGATCCTTCTTCATCAAAGGCTCGCAAGCGTGGCTCTTCTGGCTTGGCTCTAGGGAGCTTTACTTCCTACGCCAGTGCCGCCGCTGCCAGTAAAGGAGCGGCATCTTCTAATGGTGCAAAGGACGGACGAGATGCCGTACCAGTCAACGGGAGGTAATGGTTTCGTTGGGAATCAGGGAAAAAAAAGCATGCGGCGGAGCATATTTGTTTAGACAAGATACCCCCCTTTCAAATCACAATTTGACGAACGGAGGGACACCATCCCATTTTTCGACGAAGACATAACGATCTACGAACCAGACGACAGCGCGCCATATACGTGCATTTCTCTTGGAAACCAGAATTCGGCCCATCGAATTTTCACATTTTTGAGATATTTTTCTAGGCTATTTATTTCTCTTCTTCTTTCTTCTTCTATCTCTCTGTCTCTCGCAAAATCAATGGCAGCCTTTGGAAGGGGAACACACAAAATCATCATCCGACATCCAACATCGCCAAGGAACTGGGAAAGGGAGGGAAAACCAAAAAGGACACAAGGGGTACATACACTATATAGGTTGGAGTTTTTTTTTTTTTTTTTTTTTTTCTTGCTCTCTTTGCGTTTTCTATCGTCCTGTTATATTCCATTGTCATATCGAGGAGCCATCTAGGACAGCGAAAGCCTTGAAATCATACCTCTCATTTTCTGGAATACGGCCTTTCAAAGGAACTAGCAACAATAAGCATCTATGCTTTTTCATAAGAAAAAAAAAACGAGATTAACAATTCACTGGATCACTGGATCACTATTTGACATAAATCGACATTTCCACCCCATTATTTTTCGCTATATTATTTGCGACTACGCGACGTTGGATCTTGAGCTCCTCACGATTGGATATATTGGATATATTGGATGATATCTGGGCTATCTAAGTGGTGGACATAATAACCCTGTTGCCGAAGGACGACATCTGCGGTCAGCTTAGGTCTCTTTTTCTCTTTCAAGGGTCGTGGTATAATCGCCGATCACTTTTCATTTTCATCCGCATGGTCTCATTCTTGGAGGAGCAAGGAGGGAGAGAAAGGGAAAAGCCGAACTTTTTGGAATCATCCAATAATCTCTTCCTAATGTCATGTGCCGTCAAAGCCATGATTACTCTCTGCGTTAGTTTGTATGTATGTATGTATGTATGTATGTATCAGTATAGGAGCAAAGTGTACATGTAGTCAGCTTTTAAACATTTTTGGGGCCTGGAGGTTTTACCAGGATGCATTTTTGCAGCATTCATTACCTGGACACAGCGTCTTTTTCTTCTTCTGTTTGTCTTTGATGTTTTATGAGTCAATATGTAAGTTTGTGTAATTCGTCGTGTCTTGAATAGAATATCAGTGATTGATTGGATGGCTACTACTGACCAGTTACGACGTCTACCAGGGTAGTAGTAGTTGTACGGGAACGAAATGCATAAGCCGGTCATGCATGCATGTATGACTCTCTCTATTCGTCACATTTGATAGAATTTTTTTTTTGTGATATCATTTTTTTTCCATTTCTGCTGGTTTTGGTTGTACAGCCTAGTTTTCGTTTGCGAAGAATGAAGTAAAAGAGCCTATTCGTGTAGCATCTCGATGATAAACATGTATAGTGTCATTAATCAGACATATGCAAGAGTCGCTCTGCAGCTAAGACCGCCTCTAGCCGTACGCAACGTTGAAGGGAATATCAGAGGAGCTTCATTCTCTCTAATTATCAATCTATGTCACGGGCAAGCGGTTGGTGGAGAGTAAATTGAGTTTTCTATACACTAATACAAGGGATAGCTGCACAGGTTCTTATGTAGCAGCGTCTCCGACCACCATCAATACAATCGTCTTTTTTTTCTTCTCTTTGTCGCTTATAACACCCCACGTCCACTTCACTATCCCTCCGTTTGATCTGAAGAACATTGATGCCAAAATCAAGTGAGGTTGATCTTGGACAGAAAAGAATCCCCCTTTAGTCGTGTCTCTCACAGGTGAGAAATCATGATGAAATTTCATCATGATATGATATCACCTGTTGGCCTCCTGTTTATGCCTGTCTTTTTTTTTTTTTTCATTTTCAAAAGAATAGCCTCCAACCAGTTCATTACTTTTCTCGGTAGCCCACCCAATATCATAACCTCTACATATCCGGGTATATTTCAGGAGGGGAATTTTCAGTCGTATAACGAGAGAGGTACGAGAGCAGAGACGAGAAAGAGGGAGCCAATGTTTTCAGAGTCATCCGGGTCGGGAAAGCGATTTAGTGAGCATCGGGCTGGTTGATGATGTACTCGACAGCCTTGTCAACTACAGCGGGAATATCAGCATTGCGGGGCAAAGGGGGATACTTTACGGTAGGAATAACGCAAAGTCTTACCTGAGTGGATGGTGTCGGCGTCCTTGTCGGGGATTTCGATGCTGAACTCCTCCTCGATGGCCATAACAACCTCAACGGTGTCGAGACTGTCCAGGCCGAGGTCGTTGGCGAAGTGAGCATTGGGCTTGATCTAGAAGGGAGGCGTTAGATGCGGGTCAAGTTATTGAGGGAGGTTGCGCATAGAAGCCCTGAGACGTACGTTGGCTGTGTCGTTGACCTGGAGCGCAGATGAAGTTAGCACACGTTCGCCGAATGATGAAGCAAAAAGACCAATGGCATGATTCAGGGACTCCCGCAGCAGCGCAAAACGCAGCATCGCGACATAATTCGCACCCCGCTCTCCATCTCTTCCTCTTCTCCCCGCTCTCATCAGAGCTCTCTCATCCAATGCGCAGCTATTCCTCCATCCAGGGCAATTCCACAGCTCCTTAATCAAGCTTCTTTTTTTCCCATCCTTCTTTTCCCCCCAAGCTTCGCCTCCATGCAGTGTTGAAAAATCACGGGCAGCAGCAGCAACAAGAGCGACCTACCTTGTCGAATCCCTGCAGCAGGCTCAGGATGCGGCCCTCGACCTCCTCCTTGTTCAAGCTTCCACCAGCGCTGTACATCCTCACGCCCATGAGGCTCTGGACGCGGACGGGCGCAGCGACGGCGCGAGGAGCAGCCATCAGGGCCGTTCTTCGGATGGCGGCGGGTCGGGCAACGGCGCGGACGGCCGAGGCGGATGTGCGGAGGATGGCAGTGCGGAACATGTTGGGCGACTGGAGCTCTGAGGAGGAAGAAAGAGGAGAAGAGAAGAAGAAAACGTCAAAAAGTCAATTGACAAGTTTGACTGCTGCGGGAGGAGAAGTGGTTGCGGGTTAAAGGTTTGGTTGGTGGGGTTTTTTTTGGGTGACGGGTTCGTTTGCTCGGCGATGATAAATTTCTCGCTCGCTCTCTGGCTATTACTCGGTCTATTGGAGGTTTGCCGGAGCTGGGGTACAAAGGTACTTGGTTGCTAAGGTGGGAGCGCAGAAGCTGGAGTGCGGAGGGAGTCACGTGAGGCTGCGTTGAGCTTGGAGTGGGCTGAATCAGCGAGAATGGAGAGGATGGGATTGGATGAGATGAGATGCAGGTTCTTTTGCGTGGACGTCTTTTATCATGGACCTCTGAGCGTTTTGCAGCCATCATGTCCTTCATCCGGATATCACTTGAGCTGGTGCTACTGCATTTCAGTGTGAAGCTGCTGCGGGGCTAATTGATTTGTCCTGTGAATGGATGGAGAATGTTAAGTAAATGCACTCCGTGAAGTGATCATTGTCCAGATTCCAACAGGTTTCAAAGGCTGCGAGGACAAATTGAGCCAACTACGTCAACGCTTGAAAATATATATTCACGACATGATTCAAAAGGCTCTTTTTTTTTGGTGTAGCGCCTAACTTATGTACAATCCAGTTGTCCATGCAATCTCCCTTGGTGCCCTCCCTTCTAATTGGAATTGGATTCTCTCTCTGCCCACATCATACAAAATTGGAATTAGGTTTTGTGCGTAGTTTATCGGTAAGGTGAGTCTGCGCGAATGACGGCAGCAAGTTCGGGCTCCCACTTGTCTCCGTTGGACAACAGCTTCTCTGTGGCAACATATCAGTATGCTATATATAGGAATATCCATCTGCAGTGTAACTCACCCTTGTTGTACAACAGCTCTTCTCTGGTTTCAGTGGCATACTCGGCGTTGGGAGATTCAACAATGGCGTCAACGGGGCAAGACTCTTGGCAGAAACCGCAGTAGATGCACTTGGTCATGTCGATGTCGTAACGGGTAGTGCGACGAGATCCGTCAGCACGCTCTTCGGCTTCAATTGTGATGGCCTGGGCAGGGCAGATCTATTGGCATACACCAGTCAGCACACATGTGATCCCTGCAATACATTCGCTTCACAGTCGGAAATTGGCGGGGTGCTTACGGCCTCGCAAAGCTTGCAGGCAATGCATCGCTCTTCACCGGAGGGATACCGTCTCAGGGCGTGCTCGCCACGGAATCGAGGAGAAATGGGGCCCTAGATTAAACGTTAATCATGCGTTCAATGGCAAATTGCCGTTGCAATGTATATCCCGATTTCCTCATATTCTACCTCCGCGCGACTTGCGTACCTTTTCGAAAGGATAGTAGATGGTGTAACTGTGTATCCTCCGTCAGCAATCCCAATTCCATTTTTGCGATATGCGTCATCGATATAACGTACGGTGGTCGGAAGAACTGCTCCAGCAGGACGTACATTCCCCTGGCCATCTCGGTCATGAGGAAGTACTTGCCCAGCCGGTCTAGTAAGCTGTCCTTCTCCCACGCCCACTCCACGGGCTTGCTTGTGCGGAAGTTTTGCGGCAGAGCACCCTTGGGCGTCGCATAGCCGCGCTGCTGCTGCTGGTGGACGGGCGTGGCCAGCATCCTCGTCGCCATCATGAGCGAGCTGGCAGAGGCCGGAGCCCGGGTCAGCTGTCGTCGGGCAAGCATGGCCGCGGCCGAGGCGGGGAGTGTCGGCGCCATTGTCGTCGTTTCGGGCTGGCAGAGGACGCAATTGACGAGGTTGCAGGAGGGCAGACTCGGGCGCCGCTGGCGGGGGGTTGATTGGGGCGGGAGGCGACTTTTAACGTGTTGGTATAACTTTTGGCGGCGGCTTCTGCTTGGATCAACAGCCTAGTGCTCTGCGGGATTACATTGCTAGGCCAGTGATTGGTGGTTGACGGGTGCTCGTGACATGGCACGTGACTCGCCTTGATTAAACAGCGTCGGATATCACGACCACCCTTCAAGTACAATATTTGACATTTAACATTATCTATACTATATTACACAAGCAAAAAGCAAAAAAGCAATTAATGGTGGAAAGAGAATTAAACGGTCAATATGAATTGCCCGTCATATACTAACCTCATAGCACATCGCCATCATTAACCGCAGCTTCACCAAATAACAAGAACACCAAATCATTCAATAGCTCTTCTCCCATGTCCTCCACCACAGCCCCACGTTGGCCGCGACCAGCAGATCCAGCATCTTCATCCCATCGTGGTATATAATGAGCTTGCTGAGCTTTGCTCGATTACCCCGGTTGCCCCCTCCTGCTCTCTCGCCGCCTACATTCACCTCAAACGGCGATACCCAATCATCCTCATCCTCATCGCCGTAGCCCCGGTCCACGGCTGACTTGACCATCTTGCTGAAATGGCCGAGTTTCTGGTTAATGTCGCCTTTGGGTACTTCGCTGGAAGGAAAAAACTCAGATCCCGGAAGGCTGTACCGCAGCTCGCTGACTACAGTTGAAGTCCCCTTGGCCGCGCTCGAATCAGGCACCAGCGGGTTGTAGCCGCCCAGTTCACCTTCGTGCAGGATATGATCACACACCAAGCTCCGGCCATCCTTTCCCGTGCGAAACACGCATTTTCCGTTCCAAGGACTCGCAAAAGTGTATCCCCGTGGCTTCATTTTGTCAGGGCGCGCAGTCGTTGGCGAGCCGGCCGTGTACTCTCCGGAGCTATGTGAAGCAACTGATGCTTCGCTTTCGTTGCGGTTATGTGCCTGTGCCTTCTTCCGCGCCTTTTGCTCCAACTTGTGGAATGTTGATCGCACAGTAGAACCAAAGCTCTTCGAATACGACATGGACACCTGCCTGGAGAATGTCCTGCTGCCATCGGATCTCGGCTCTGGCATGAAATCTATTAAAGAGGGAGGGGGAGGAAGGGCGACTTGTGTCCCTGCGCGGAACTTGGCATACCCAGCGGTTTCGATTTGTATGTCGATTGGTGGGTGCTGAGGAGGGTGCGGTTCGGATGCTGATGCAGAGAGGTACATGGGGGCTTGCGCAGTCATCGGGTCGGTTTCATATGATGAAATCTTTCCCACATTCCACTGGTCTCCAGTACCCGGATCCCGCCTTATCAGGCTCAAGGTAAATGGAGGCGTAGAATGCCCAGTGTTCTTTGTCGGAGACAAAGAGCGGCTTTGCCTGGTGTTTCCCGTCGTGTCTGCCCGACCCCTAGTTTGAACCCTTGAGCGCTGTGACGTTTCGTCCATCGAGACTCTACCCTGTGGCACGCCGCTCATCTGTCTCGGTCCAACAGGCTTGCGCCTAGGAGGCACATTCAACTGAGGTGTTTCAAGAGGATTCGTCTCGAAAGAGCTGTCCGAGTAACCCAACCCAGAGTCTTCGAAACGCCGTCTAGGAGGGAGAGGAGGGGCAGGGTCACGCTCTTGCAAGCCGGGAGGCATTCCAAAATCCCCTGGCGGCCGAAGAGCGGCATTTTCATGGTGGCTTCGAGTTTGCTGTAGCTGTAACTGATCGCCCTGTGTCGAAATCTCGGGAGCTAGGGATGGAATTGTGCCAGGTACTGGCTTCCGGGCAATGGTCCTTGTCGCTGAGCTATCTTCACTGGATCTACCTTGTGCTTCATCTCTCAGCGGCTCAGGACCTGCTATATCCAACGTGGGGAGCTCGAGATGAACATAGTAGAGGCTGCTAGCAACATCTCCACCCGTGACATTTTTGACCTGGGGTCTGAAAGGTGAAAGTATTACATCTGTCAATTTCTTCAGGGTCAGCTTCAGTTGCGTCATAAACAGCGATGGCTCTCAAACACTCACCTCTAGTGCCGGGGACTCTAGATATGTAGAGGACCAGAGGCTCCTGCGGCGTCTCTGATGGGTTTTCGGGATATTGAGGAGGGTTGGCCGCCTGCAGATTCAGCGCGGCCAGCGACTGTGCCTCCATCATGATGATAAAAGGTTGAGGTTGTCGCGATGTGCCCTCTGTTAAATGTCCCCTTTGTTTGCAAGATATGTCTCTCTTGGGAAGTGTGTGTGTCTGGTTTTTGATGAGCCGGCTTCTGATATGATATGCCGGACGAGATGATGCAAGAGGTGAGCAAAAAATAGAAACCGCTAATTAAGGTTATTTCGCTGTGTTGCACCAGTGAGAATGAATCGCTTTAGTGATCACGCTTGCTCCTTTTTTTTTTCTCTTTGTTTGTTTTTTTTTTTCTTATTTCTCAAATGTCATGATGCGTCGTGCATGGGCTACTGCAAGGTTCAAGGGTCGGAGAGAAAAAAGCGCTCGACTAGGCTAGACCGCAGAACTGCTTTTGGAAAATGCCGATCCAGACAGAAATAAAGTCATGGCAAGGGAAACAGATAAATAAAGAACAAATGTTTCACAGCAGACCCTTGCCAAGGTAAGCAGCAGCGGGCATGATCCTGGCTTGGTATGGTATGGAGGTCGGTCTATCAAAAGAAAAGGATGGGTGCGACGATGTGAAAGAGAAAAGGGCTGTCTCCTATTTTGTGACAAGTTGTCTCTCTGTTTGCCCTTTTCCTCATGCAGGCAATAGACGACGTTTTTTCAATAGCCTGAAGAAGTCCGGCTGAGCTCCAGATAAAAAAGAGTCGGAAAAAGAGACCAACGTCACCGCGCCGGGGCTGTGTCAACAAAGGCCCATCCGGTTTTTTATTTAGGGGGGCAATTCGAGGGTCCGGTGAGCGAGCCGATAGGCCTAGAGCGATTCTGGCGATGATGAGGCGTCAGCTGCGAGTGACTGGGGCGAAGCTGAGAGCGGAATGAGGTCGCGTTTTTGCCTTTGAGTTGATAACACGTATGCAGAGCGGCAAGGCTTGGAGTTGTCAACTTTTTTGTATTTCTGATGGTCTTGATGCTGAATCGTCATCTGTTGGGCCGTTGTTGAGTTTGGGTGCCTGAAGATGCAGCTGGTACCGTGTCAATAGCACAGCCTCTATGGCTGCAACCTGCAAGGCTAATACAGTTTGGCTTTAGGACCCGATACTGTATTGTTTACAGGCCCTCAGTGGATCTGCGTCACTGCCGTCATGGGGTCTTGGCCTCGTTCCAAATATACATACAACTCCCAGCTTCATGATTCAGCGTCTGCACCAGCTACAGCAACTCGTAGCTCTCTATCGGAACGCTTTGTCAGTCCGTCGGATCAAGGATATCAGTACGAAGTGCTCTGTCTTTTTCAATATTTGTCTTAAAATATCTCTCCAGCCTCGTCCGGGCCTTTCAACGCACCCGTCACCGCTCAGGTGACATTAGAGCCGTATGCAGTGCCAGCATCTGCAGCCATGCAACACTGAGCTTCTAAAAAAATCCAACTGCATACTGCACATGCATTGAGCATTTGCCATAGCCTTCTAAACCATGTCTTTTATCGCTTTCTCTTCTTTTTCTTCATTCCCATTTGCCTTTCTTCTCAATCCAGCAAATGCGACTTCAAGTTAAAGTCACGTATCCGAGAAAAGAAACATGCACGTTGGCAGCCGCATAGCCCCTGAATCCTACTCATCTGCTGTTGGTTCTGGGCAATCCGAGGCCGTTGTGGTAAAAGGGAACCCGGTATGGCAATTCCAGCAGGGACTCGATTTCGCACATGCGGTGATGGTCCGAGTGACTACACTTGCAGCCCCTGAACAGCCGCAGGGCAAAGTCACAAAATCTGCAACAATGATAAGTAAATACGCATAACTGAAGCTTCGCGGATACGGGCCCGTCTCACGATCGATGATACAAAAATCACTTGAGCAGTTGAACGCACAGCCTCTGTCCGTGCCTAGGTTGGTCGTTACTGTGACGGTGAGAACGCAACTCGACGACAAAGTAAACGGTTTCTCTTCGTATACAGGAGTCGGACTTGTTGGAGCGTCGTCAGCCAGAGCATCAACTCTAGTGATTAGGTGTCTATTATTGACATGTTTAGATCAGCTGAAGAGCACAGACTTGGTAAGCTTATGAATTCTTTGCTCGGGTGTCATACGCCGTCAGCATGAAAACAATGTCAATCACTGTAAGCTGCATCCTGGAATTACTAAATGCTGAGGTTGAAGCGGCTCTCTGATAAAATATAAAGAGGTTATTGTTTCTCGACAAAGTTATTAATGGCTTGTGAAAATATGGTCATAGCCAGCTCATCTCGTTTCCTGGGGCGCTGTCATCGGTTCTAAATACAAAAGTCGATCTTGGCGTTACCTAATGCTGGCTGCCACGTCGTGGATGCCTTTGTCAAGTGGCGTGATGGTGTACAATTTGGGTAACGCAGTCCTCAGCTCTTGAGGCTGCAATGCAGGCAAATGTGCTGCGTGGTGCGTCTTGGCGTGGCACAATCGATGCTGATACGTCCCTTGGCGAGATGCAAAACATGGTTTGGATTTGACGCCGAGCATCATGTGGTGAGTGTTTCTTAACAGCATCTAAGCTCTAACCTTGAAAGAAGGTTGACGGAGCCCTGACCCGTCTTTGGACATGAGTCTCAGGTGGGACTTTGTATGTATACGTGTAATATCTACATGTATTCAACACGTACATGGAGCTAGCTCAGATCCTCTATGGGCCAGTGCAGGCTAAGCTAAAATTGACCACTTACATGCACATGTACGTCTGCTCGCTGCATATCAACTCATTTGGCGGAAAAGGCATGAAGTAATAGCATTGGAGAGGCTTGCATATAGCTAGTCGTAAAGAGGACAGCATTGCGAGCCTGTAGGATCTCAAATGCCACTGCTCAATTGTTACCCCGAACTCGTCCAAATATGCACAATAGCATCGTGTAACACGGGGTTACGCGGGATTTCTCTATTCTCTATATGCGTACCCTTAGCTGTGATTAGATTGACTTCACTTTCTCACTTCCGCTCTATACGCATCCACCACTTCCTGAACAACATCATCCAGCTTCTCGTCCTCCAAACCCAACAATTCCATCGCATACCCATCCCTCTTTGTCCAGTCCGCGTCTAGAGCCCCTAGCACAAAGACAATATCCTCAATGGCGTCCAGAACAGCTTGAGAACCATCACTCTTTAGTCTTTGTTGGGCATCTGCTAGATATGACTTTGAGTCGATATGCTTAATGTGCCATGGCTCCCCCATTGCCTTTTCCAGGGCAGCCACAACTTCAAGCTGCGTTGGGTTGAAGCTCTGGACGTAAACGGCACGGTTGCGCGTGTGCTCAGCCCTCTGCAGGACTCGGACAGTTGCCTCAGCGATGCGGCGCAGCGTAGAGGTAGATGCCCTGATGGCGCCGCCGTCCAAGATCTGCGCCGTGCGGGTGTCAAAGTCGATGTGGAGGAGTCCATCGCGCAGTCCGTGATCGAAGAAATGGCCGCAGATGACGGTGGTCCATGAAAAAGGCGACCCCTCCTGCGAGGCCTTGGCGGCGAGTGCCTCGCACTTCTCACGGACGAGCGTCTTCTTACGGTAGAGAGGCAGATACCTTTGCGGCTCTGGATCGCTCGCATCGCAGCTCCCGAAGTCTGCGGGGATGAAGCGCTTCACGCCGGCTTGGAATGCGGCCTCTGCGAGTCGGAGATGCTGGTCGCCCTCGCCGAGCGGGAACGCAGCGATGACGGCATCTTGGCCGGCCAAGGCCTTTGCGACATCTTCAACCGGGAGCTCAGGCGGGACGATGAGGCGTGGGATGGACGAGGCGGAAGAGGAAGAGGTGGAATTGGAGCGCTGGAGGATGGAGATGTCGAAGCAGTCTGCCTGGATAAGGCCTTGGAGGATGACTGAGCCCAGGGTGCCATTGGCGCCTACGAGGCAGACCTTTTTGATTGGGGTTTGCGCCATGATTAAGCAAGGATTGTTATCTGTCACTTTACGCATGGACAGATGAGGGCGAGAGAGATCTGGCAGCTGTCCAGATAGGGCAATCGGACGGTAAGACACGGCATTTGGCGATGCGGAGTACGGTGGGGCGTATCTCTACACCTGGAACCATGTAAGCAGTTTGGGAGCATTGCTTTGTGTACATATCCATATGGCAGTGGTATCTCTTGATTTAGATCTTGTGCCACGGTTATATCGTGGAAATTGAATACATGTACGTATTGGGCGTATTCAGTACCTTAGCATGAGGGCGTATAAGTGAAGGCGAGGATACATGAGAACATGCACTTGGCAGTATGCCAGCAAAAGTCTCCACAAGCAGCAGCACAAGAGACCTCACTATGTAAGCAAAAGTAAGCATTACAACATCCCCTCTTCTCTCTCACTTCAACACTTCTTATACAATGTATTCAACGGTCACAACCCTGGAATTTTGGTCCTTCGGCTCCGACAACTCTTAAATCAGCGCATCCCACGCTGCCTCCCCCACAAAACGCGGACTCTCTCGGCTATCCGAGATGGAAATAGCGCCTGGAATCGCGCGGCGAACGGCGCTTCCACTTTTTAACTCCGAGTTCTCCAGTATGCCAATTGGCTCGCGACGGTAATAGACCGTGGTTGTATTGGCAGATACATGGCGGGAGTCAACACAGTTGAAACTTTCAACCAATTGCTGGCGTCTTTTGAGAGGAATGAAACAGGAGGTTAGGATAACAGCCGGGGATAAGGTTGATAGGCAAAAAAAGTATATATAGGTCTCATGAAGTCATACGTCAATAGCAGGTACAAGACTAAGTCATAAGACATATAAGTTTCTATATCCATATAACAACTCTAGCAATCATGGCTGACAAGCACATCGTCTTCATCACGGGCGCCAACTCCGGCATTGGCTATGAAGCCGTGAAAGCATATATGGGCTCATCCACCGCATACCACATCTTTGTCGGCTGTCGTACGCTGGAAAAGAGCAAAGAGGCTATTGCTTCAATCACCAAAGAGGTGCCGTCGTCAAAGGACACTCTTGAGCCGATCGCTCTTGAGCTGGAAAGCGATGAGTCCATAGATCAGGCATATGAGGCTATTGCAGCCAAGGTGGACAGAATCGACACACTTGTTAACAATGCAGGTTTGTATTAAGCTCCTCTTAGTTCTGACAATGTAGTTACTTCATTAAAGAATACGTAACTGACATGGATTTGTTTTGTCTAGGCGCTGCTTTTGACACTCACAACTTCGCAAACGACCTCCCCAACATCCGCTCCATCTTCAACAAGGCATACGACGTCAACGTCACCGGAACTCACGTCGTCACGGCCAAATTCGTCCCTCTCCTCATCAAGTCCTCCTCCCCCCGCCTCATCTTCATCACCTCCGGCCTGTCCACCCTCACGGCTCACTCCAAGAGCTTCTACCCGCCATGGGCGCCCAAGCCGCAGGCCGGATGGCCCAAGGAGAACGTGGCCGCCAACCTGGGCTACAAGAGCAGCAAGACGGCGCTCAACATGGTGATGCTCAACTGGCACTGGCTGCTGCATGAGGACGGCGTCAAGACGTTTTGCATCAGCCCGGGCTTCTTGGCTACGAATCTGGGAGGCATGCCGGAGAAGCTCAAGGAATTGGGTGCGGGCGAGCCGTCTGTTGGCGGACAGTTTATCCGGGCTGTTACGGAGGGAGAGAGAGACGAGGATGCTGGCAAAGTTGTCAGCAGCGGTGGTGTTCAGGACTGGTAGAGACTCGCGAGGATGGTGTTGATTAAGCACATGATGGAGCTATTTCATTGCATTATACAGGTGTCATAGCAAACAAAGAAAACTATAATTCAGACAAATTTCAAGGTTGACGGCTTTTATTACGTTGAAAGTCTCTTTTAACCATCTTAACACCTATACACTCTTGCTGGTACCTAGACGGGATCGTCGTTGCCGCCTCCATATACACCAGATTCTCCAGATGCTCTATCCATTGGCTCAGATGCTCGGCATCCGCATCCAAGAGCTCCCTCTCTACATCGTTGCCAAAGGACGACTGGCTCTGGCAGCGGTAGAGCTCCCTTTGCAATATCTCCAATTCGCCCACGACGGGGAGTGCACTTCTCCGCTGCTGGTACTGCGGGGGCGGGTACAAAAGGTCGACGACGCAGAAGACCGGAGGGTGCTGGGGGAGCTGGCGGCTAAACTTTTGAAAGTAGTCTGAGTGGGCTGGGCGGAACAAATTGCCTGTGAGTCTGTGGAAAGCGCGTTTGAATGTGAGTGGTAGACGCGTCCGTGGTTGTACCATGCTTCTTGAATGCATGTTTGTGGTGATGAATCGGTTTGTGGTGTATATATAACGTAGTAAGAATAAGTTATTTTGGACTTGAGTAGTGTTGATGGTAAATGCTGAAGCTTTAGCAGACACAACGATCATGAATTGAAAATGAGATGGTCAGATCACGGACGATGCGGCTGAATTTATAGAAGCATTGCCAGCTTCGCTCATGGCTTTTTGAGTTCATTGATAGCTATGCGGATGCGCGGATATTGTCCGTATTACTACGTAATTACACGACGCCTCGTTTGGGTTTACATTGTTCAGTGCTGTCGATAATAGGCTGCGTGATCGTCCCTGAGCTTATGTGGCTTGCCGAAGCTAGGTCAAATTATGGGGTAATGTCAAGAGTTTAACAAGAGCTTAACCATTTGACGCACTTGTATCTTTTGTGCGAAGGACCTGCTATTGGATACAAAGTAGGTATGGATATTGCGCTTTGCCTGTAATAGTATGGTGATTTGCAGTGCATGAAGCTGCAGCTTTGACAGCAGCTCTAATGGAAGCTCACGAGTGGTGTAAGTTGGGTCCTCGGTGTATAAGCGATGCTTGAGAGCCCCATGTCGCCGCATAAGACAAAATAAAGAGAGATGATTTGGGCCGAAAAGGGATTCGTTTTGCTTTTGTTGGCTTGTAATGGAAAGAAATCGAAAGAACAAGATATGCCTGAGAGCAGCGCCTGAAGTAGGCAATGTTGCTCGTTTATCATCTCGTCTTAAGTCTTAACGCCGCTGAATGAATCAAGGCATTACGATCATGAAATAATCAGATCAGAAAATTACTCGGGAATCAAGAAATAGTCATCAAGATAGAAAAAAAACTTTTGTCTTCGAGTATTATTTGATATATAGCTCGTCCTCCTATTGGCATGTGCTCGGTTATAGACGAGGAGTTATGCCGTCCCGATAATTAACTCCATTTCATTCCATCAACTTGATTAAAAGAATTGTGTCAAGACTCATGCATCGGGATTAAGTCATTTTCGGCAAAAAGACAGACTGGGATCTGTTACAGCAGCCTTTCAGATCGCGAGTTAGCATGTATACAGCCACGAAGCGAAGCTAACAGACCACATGTACTAGATTCAACTTGATTCGACCCAAGGAATTTCGTCTAGCCCAAAGTTAGCAGCGCGAAATCGGGCCCATTGAATTATTTTACTAAAGCCAGAAGCTGGCGTCAACGCCAAACTTGGTGCATTCCTTGTGATAGGATCGCCATTTGTCTTTGGCTCCAACGACGTCAGTCTCCCTTTCTAGGCGTGCCGCTTGCCGGCGAGTCTCAATATGCCAAACCAATGTCTCAGCTTCGTCTCCTTCTGCTCAGCTGAGATTCGCAGCTTTAGCACGCCAACCTCGTCGATTTTATAAAGCTCTGCTCATGCCTCGCCGCGGTATGCAGGCACCGCATACCATCTTTTGCTGATCTCTCCATCTATCCTCGTACGCAACATTCTAAGTCTCCCCCAAAGGCCTCCTGAGTCTGATCTCTTACAATTAACAAACATGTGTGATCATCTATGTATGCAAAACTTCGCGCTTCAGTTCATTCCCCGGCAGCGGCATTGTGTCAAGACTCGGTTTATTCTCATGTAGTGCATTGTTTTCCTGCCCCAAACTCGCCCACATCTCATGGTGAGGCTGGATGATACATGACAATCATGGTATTCGATAGATATATATATAACTTGGCAATATTTCTCCTCCCAAGCTGGTGATTTGTCTCTCACCGCACAGCCATCCTCCTCAACACAATCTTGTCTCTTTAAAATCTTGAACTCAGCAAACCATGTCTCGCTTCGCTCTCTTTGCAGGCCTCATGGCAGCCAGCGTAGCAGCCCAAGCCGAATTCACAGCCCCCGGATTCAGGTACATTGGCTGCGTCGAAGCGGAGCCGCCCGTCTTCGACTTCAAAGCCGATGTACCTGCCCCCTTCAGTGTTCAGCAGTGCCAATATGCGTGCCATGCCAAGGGCAAATACGCTGCCATGGACGGTAGCTGCAACTGCTATTACTCTTCGCCGTCAAAAGCCGAGCCGGCTTACAAGATAATTGACGGATATATCTGCTCGGTGCCGTGCATTGGGGGCAACACAACGGCGGGCATGTGCGGAGGCCCGCAGTGTCCGATGACGGGGAAGAAGCGATACTCGCTGTACAAGAAGGAAATAGACCATCATGATGACGATGACTGTGAAGAGGAGAAGACCAAGAGCAAGGACATTGGCGTCTGGACCAAGTACATCTCCACCACGGTCGCGACCATCACAGCCTGCCCTCCCGAAGTCACAGACTGTCCCCTCTCCTCTACAAAGGCGACTCCTCACTGCCCCGGACAAGGTTGCAATGTCCCCACGACATCAGCCGAGCCCACTAGTCCACCGTGTCCTGAGATTTGTGGCCCTCCATGCTCTTCTGAAGGCTGCCCGATTTGTCCTCCTGGCTGTCCCATTTGGACTCCTGTCTCCCACCCTACTCAGACGCCACCAGTTCCAGCGTGTGATGGAGAGCACTGCAAGCTGGGTCCTCCTCCAGCAACACTAGCCTGTCCTTCTGGAGGATGCTTTCACCCTCATCCCACCATAATTGTTAGCAAAGGCACCAGGTACCAATCCGGCGTGTCAATAACAGTTGCGGCGTTGGTGGGGGCTGTTAGTTGGCTGTAGAAGTGGACTGGTTGCGATGGTTTGGAGGCGGAATTCTGTCCTGTTATAAAGTGAGAGAATTACAATCAGAAACTAAGACAAAATAGATACTTTGAGGTGTAAGATCGGGATGAGATACATGTCGGGTCTTTCATATAATACATTAGTTACAAGATTCAGATATGCCTAAATACTCAATTTCTGCTTCAGCAAAAGTTTGAATCACCCAAGTTTCAGACCAAATCTCACCAATTCAATAAAATCGAGCTCATCATGTCTCCCAAAACCTAGTACTCATCTTGCGAGGCGAGGGGAGGTCCTTTCCCAAAGTCAATTGCGCCGCGAAACGCTACCTCTTTGGCGCATCCGTTAACGGAACATACCGCACCCCAAATAGCTTCTTCTGCGTTATCTTCCCCTCTTTGTCTTTTTCGATGCGCCACACGCTTTGATTCCACCCGCTGGAGTCGTCGTCCACAGGAATAAACATGCTACAGCCCCAGTCAGAGTGACTATACGTAATGGAAAGATCGTGACGACAAAGACTCACCATCCCGGTGCCTTGAGCTGCTCCAGTAGCGGAGCGTGTACTTCCTTCGCAGCGGCTCCAACGTGAATCACATCCCATGCCGTACCATATTCCTCTTCGCCCTGTCGTGCTTCTTCAACCCAGCCCAGCCTCCCGTCTCCAACCACAAACCTCGCCTTTCCTGAGTCCAGCAATCGCTTCCCCTCTGGGCTCTTGCTCATGTTCGCTTCGCCCAAGTCTCGCAGTTCCGGGATATGCTCCAGCCCTACCACAAGCCCCCGGTCCCCAACCAGCTCGGCAAAGAGGTGCGTGAGGTAGCCAGAGCCAGAGCCAATGTCTAGGACTCGGGGAGCTGGTGACGTCTCTGAGGGGAGAAGACGAGGCAGGACATGCTCCACGGCGGAGGCGTGCATGTGCGGCGCGGAAATGGTGGCATCGTAGCCGATGGGCTGTGGAGAGTCTTGGTATGGCATGGCAGGGGCGTAATGCCCGCGGTCAACCTACGGCGAGTTAGAGACATTGATGATAAGAGGCATCTTCGGACATTCTCTCTCTGCTCTGCCTGCTCCTTGTACAGCTGCCACAACCCATCAGACGTTCAAGAGCTTGCCTTTAGAAACGCCTCCTTGACCAGCGGATCGCTAATGAGGCCGTTCGTCCACATGTTTGCAATGAGCCCGGCATTGGAGCTCCCTGAGCACCGCCACGCCATGTTGATGCCTCTGCGAGCTTGAAGACCTCCTGCAATGAGAAAGCAGACGCCGGCGGATTTGAGGAAGAGATTGCACGATCTGGACAGTCTGGCTCCAGAGACAGTGGCGAGAGCTCGAGGCGCCAGTTTTTTAATTGTTTTCCAACTGCCGGTCCAGCCGATAGTAGCACTAGAAATAAGATTTTTGTCTCTCTTTGATAGATAATGCGGAAGCACGCGACAGGTAAGCAAGAATCTTGTCAATGCCTTTTGAAGATTAGCTGTACGGCTTGGCTACTTGTTGTGCCCGTGCTGACGACTGGATATAAATCACGCATATCACCTCAGCGGTAAGATGGCCGGATTCAGATGTTGAGAGAAAAATTTAAGATGATACGATATTGATTGTTTTATTTCCAAAAGGTATCGCCGCCCAAATGATGTATGAAAGACGTCAAAGGCACCGCTGGTGAGCTGAGGATGAGCTTGTCCAGGTCGCAGACACTAGAGGCGATTCTAGGCTCATGCCACAGCGGTTAGCGGGGCGGAATAGCGCTGCAAGCTCTGGACCCCGCACCCCGGGGACTAAATAGCGCGCGTTAGCGGCCGTTGTAGGCCTGCAGTGTGCCTGTACAGTGGCCGGTGGCCTGTAGCCTGTAGATTGCAAGCTTTAGATGCTGTGCAGCGATCCGCATGAGGATCTAGATGGGAGGCATGGGCATGAACCCATAGACCCCTTTTCGGGCTTGGGTAGATCTAGCTAATTGGTAGACAGATAGCTCATCGGATTGGTAAGATTAGAGGAAATATTAGTACGGCATTCAAGTGCACTCATAAGACGGGTTAAGCCAGAACAAGTGAAATAGGTATAGATGGTTGGTTATCCATACATTGAACATAGGAAACAAGAGAAGCGTGCTACGCGTTATACCTCAGAGCTAATAATGTATACGTCCGTAACGCCTGGAATCCATCCCACGCCCACGGGGAAAACAGAATATAATAAACAGAACCAAAAACAAAAACAAAAACAGAAAAGGAAAAGAAAAGGAAAAACGCTGACTAGCGTAGTGGTATCGATGACCACTTGCCTCTAATAAAAACGATCCAAGGCAGTGGCAATTGCAAAAGATTCAAATCTACAATGGGTGAACCAAAACTTCTATACCACGTGCTCCACGCTCTCGCCCTCGGCAATAATAGGGACGTTAAGTCCACGCTCGGGGCTCTGCAGGACAAGTTGTTCGTGTCGTCGGGCTCTCATGAACTGAGCTACGCTCTTGATGAGGATGAACCAGCCCACGACCATCAGGACATATGCCATCCAGTCACTGCCAGAGATTCCGCCGCCGGGACCGTCAGTTACATCACTGGCCTGGAAGTCGTGCGAATTGGGATCTGGGGGCGCAGCGTATCCGTCGGGACCAGTCATCTTTGGCGGGTCGTCGGGTGATCCCTTCATGTAGAAGCCATATTGGATAAGGGTGATACCAAGGCCGGCTCGCGATCCGTTTTTGGCGGCGTGGGTGGAGTGGAGGAGGTAGGTGAGCAGGAAACCGACGAGCTGGAATGAGGTAGAGATCATGCCGTTCCAGATGAAAGAAAATACGGAGCCAACGGGCATGCCGTCGACGTAAACTTCATCACCGCCACCGTAGCCAGGGGCAAGAATCGTTGTTTCCCAGTACGGCGGAGCAGCGTCAGCAGCGGCTTGTTCGTAAGTCTGTTGATTGCGCCGTCATTAGTAAAGATTCGTAACAAAGGTTTCAGGGAGGTTTAGTCAAGGGTAGACAAACAGGTGGTTGCTCTTCTTTCTCGGCAGTGCCGTCCGTCCGCTCCGGCCGGGCTGACATATTCGCAAACACGCCATCGGATCCAAATCCGCCTCCCATCACTCGGGGCCGTGAACCAGATGAAGCCGTATCCGATGTGGCCGGAACTGAAGTTGGTGCCGTCGGTGCAGAGAGTCGCGCAGAGTCGTTGGTTGATCTAATGGTTGGTGTAGAGTCCTGTCGGACTAATCTCGCTCTATCGTCTGTTTCATCGTCGCTCGCATCATCGTCGTCAAATGCATCGGCGAGGTCGTTGTTGACTCGGCCATTTCGTGTTGGCGATGAGGCGCGGGAATGGAAGGACGGAGGTGGCGAATTGGGGACCTGGGCTCGTCGCTGCGGAACATCCTCGTGGTCCTCATCATCGTGGGCATTTACCTGCGGAAAGCAATCGAGTGTCAGTCTCAGCGTCCAAAAATCATCGCGATGCGCGCCCACATACCCTCTCGTAACGCCCAGACATGGCTGCTGCTGTATTCTGCTCAAGTCACGCAGTGTCGTAGACCCGGAGAAAGGGTACAATGTCGTAATCGGCTGGTCACGAGCGCCCGTGGAAAAAAGGAGCACAGTCGGAAACAAAGAGATACAAGAAGCGACAAAGGGGAAAATCAAAAGACGCGGATTGGTAGAATCGCGGCGGCGATGAGAGAGCGCGAGAAAAGAAACACAGTATTGAATAGCGCCACAAAGGTTGAGGAGTCGGAGATGAGACGAGAGTCAAGAGCGAAAAAGAAGATGGACGGGACGTAAGGGCTGAGCCTGCGCCAAACGCAAAACCGCAGGTCGATGGAGCTGGGCGGACGGATTGGGACTAACGGCCAGGCCAGATGATGCGTCCACTGATGACCAATGCGAGGGGGAGGCAACCTGCCGATGCAGAAGAGATACCTGAGAGTCTGCTGCGCTTTGCGGAATAAACTAAGTACCGGCGGTTACTGGGTAAGGTACCCTCGCCATCTGGAACAATCTAGGGTCTGCCGGGGGGGGACTTTTGCTGGGGTCGGAGGCCGCTATTTGGCGCTGTTACTGGGCGGGCGACGCCTACAGGGAGTTCTCAGGCAACAGAGCCCCTCTAAGCGCTGTCAATGTTGAGTGCAGGTGTTTTGCATGACCTTTAGCACCTGGGCCGTGCGCGGCATCCGAAAGTAGCCAGGACTTTAAATCTTGTGGATGAATGGCCTGCACTGTGAAGTACCTCATACTCGTGCATGCAATTTGCTCATCGAGGTGTGTAAATTCACATGCACTGTACAATCACACCGTATCCGCAGAAACTTTGGCTCTAGCAGAAATTCAATATTTTGTATTCAGGCGAGACAAAGTGGCGGCATTGCATTGCGCAGCACGCGCATAGCAGAGTCTGGGAATCTTTCGACAATGTCGCGATCGCTGGCGGTGAGTGCTACTGAATCATTTTACTCCATTCCACTTTTCATACGGGGATCCCCGAATTGCCAGCTAACTCTTGCTTCGACGCAGCGCCGTATCTACTCCGACGTCTTCGCCAAATGGCCTAAGCAGGACCTCCGGCCGGACTACCAGTTCCAGGATGTGCTGGCCAAGGTTGTCGACGAGCGATTCAAGACGTACACTCCTTCTACCGAGTCCGAGGAGCTGCTAAAGGCCCGCGCGCTTCAATTCTTGGTGCAAAATAAGTTTAGAGATAGGGTTCGCAACTACAACCTTTGTGAGGGGCCCGGCAAATTTCGCTAACAAGCGATGTCATTATAGTACAAGCTCAAGGGTCCAATGCTGGAGCCCAAGAGCCAGCCGACGTATTTCGAGGATCTGGTCAGGGAGATTGAGGAGGCGCCCAAGAGGACATGGCTGGAGAGGCTAGGCAAGAGATTGTCTGGCATGATTAGACTGCAATGATTTACGAACAAAAAGGGCGATATCGGTGTTCAACAGGAGGGACGAAAAACAAAACAAAAGTGCTTTTCACAACAAAATGGACATGAAGGGAAAACAAAAATCGAAAAACTTTTACGATACATCGCTGTATACCACCCAGTATATATATACACTTGTACAACTAGTTGCTGTATGAATAGGTTGCATAAAACCCCATTCTAAATCCTAAACGCCAGGCCTGTCTGCTTCTTATCTCTTGAACTCTTTCTTCTCCCAAAAAAACCTCTTCCCCTTAGATGTACTTCATTTCAGGGTCCATCTTGTTCATTAGGTCCATGCTCTTCTCATACAGGGTAAACACAATGCCTCCGCTCAATACCAATCTCGCTAGCCGGGGCAGCGCTCCGCTCCAGAATGTCAAGATGCCCTCTTGCTTGAAGATCATGGCCGCGCATCTGAATGTGTTGCCATACATGCTCTTGGCCTCGATGCTCTGCATGCGCGTCTTGACTGTGTCCAGAGGCTGCGTCACATACACCGTGACCAGGCCGGCAAGGCCGCCCATGGCAAAGGTGCCGACGGCACCGAGCTTCTCTCCCGGCGCGGTGTAAGACTCGGCAATCTGCTTGAAGAAGTTGTATGCGCCGAAGCGGGTTGCGCTGTTCGCGGCTTGACGGGCTGTTGTAGGGACGAAGCCTTGGAAGAAGCCGCGGAGACCACGCTCGCGGGCGATGATGGGGACGGCGTGGAGGAAGCCGCGCATGCGAGGTTTGGCAGATTTGCGGTCGTCGATGCTAAGACAAGAGCCCCGTATTAGTACTTATGCTAATCAACGAATGAGGAGAGAACATACAGAGTAGTCTTGATACTCTCGGTTGGAGTTACAGCAAGCAGCGACTCGGTTACACCAGCACCGAAGCCGGCCAGAACGGTTCGTGGGCCAGAAAGCTTTCCATTTTCATCAGCCAGCAGGCTCTTGAACTGGTCAAAGGCAACGAATCCTAAACCTCATATTAGCGCCTCCCATCACGGTATCCGATTCCACCAATTCTGTCGTTGTGCGTACGAATGCCTGCCTTGGCAGAGTTGCCAATGATGAGCGTGGTGCATCCCGCGTACCACTGCGCTCCAAACGGCGGCCATGGCAGCTTCTTTCCCTCGGCTAGCCGCCTGTTGAGCTGCGACCTTGTCTTTGCAACTGCATATATCTCGTTAGATCGCCGTTTGTAGATGCGAAATCACGTTCATAATTGCTATAGGATAATAGCGACGCGGACATACACTCGGCAGGGTAAGTAATGGCTATCGTCGGCGAAAAGTTGTCAGCTCCAGTTCGAAAATCTTCAAATCCAAGCACGTGCGACTCATCGCCGCTCGGCGCAATGCAACAAACAGCAACTTACCGATTTCAATCGCACCGGCCGTTGAGCCAGCAATGACTGATCGCAAAGCGCTGGGGCGCTGCTTCTTTTCAGAAGCCACCGGCTCCTTGGCTACCGTTGCCATTGTGATTTTCCCTTTGCTCTTTTAGCAAAGATTTGAGGTCTGGCGGGGTGATGGCATTTGGCTGTTGCGCAAAACATTATAGCGGGCAGATTTGAATGTCTGGAGCCGGAAGATGGGTTCCGATGTCGCCGATGGACCTACCCGGGCCGCACCCCGGGTTGGAGCTGGGTCGGGAAAATTACTGGTTTCATGTTAGCACCAGCATACACACATGTGCGCTTAAGAAATGAACAAATGGAAAATACATTTTGTCTCTACTTGATTAGATTGGCTCAAGCTTTTGGTATATTTCCTTTATTTGGAACTCTTTCTTCCTATGCCCGACGTTAATGGGTTGATGTCATGTACTGTGTCTTGCGGGGAACTCCTTGCAGCTCAATTCTTTGGCGTGAATAAAAATAGTGGCAAGCGCGAGTACTCATCTTCAGTGATAACCGCTCCAAGACATTCTTCACACTTTTTAGGCAGGGAGACCACTTTCTCGGAATATCAATTACGAATGCCAGCAGCTGTCTGCGGAACATGTTTCACTGGCCGTGTCCATGTTTCAGCGTCAACATTTAGGACGTACCCTAAAGCCAGAAACAGCGGTCAAAGTTCAAGATGGATGGTTGTCTAAGACGAGTATAAGGATTCCTATATCTTGCAGAGTATCAGTACTATTATACATGCAAAGCTTGTCAAAAGAGCTTCCAGCTATTTCAAATTGTGGAATCGTTGGGCGGCAGATGCTTCTCCAAATATATTTAGCTTGCATGTACAGAATGTAAGCAGGTGTAGGTAGCTGCGGTAAAGCCGAATACGATTCACCCAAGTTAAGCTTTGCGAGAGCTAATCTCAATAGCAAACAATTCACCACTTACCAGCAGCGAATTATGAAACAAAGGACACCCTAGGATCATGGACCTTTTGTGACTGCTGATACGTTTACAAGCGGCCCTGATATTGATTGTTCCCAATAAGCAGCTCAGCCTATGAAAACACCCACCTTCTGGCAGCTTTGAGTCATAATCTGGGGAGGGGTGGACTAACCACGTGAAAAGGACTATCTAGCCATCATTTTGCCATCCATTTATGTTGCCAAGGCCAAATCTCTCGGACAAGTAAATGCAAGTAGCAATACATGGTCAACTCGTAGAATGCCCACTGGTAGCACATGCGATATGGGCTCTTGTACAGTAATTGATGTACTAGCCAAATTGATCTCTGCTGCTCCCCTGGCCTGGCCGATGAGGTGCATATCGTACATGTCAGAGCCTTGTTTCACTTTCATGACCAATTCCGCCAGGATTCTGCTGAGGGTCAGATTTTTAGGGCTCTGCCAATGCGAGACCATTATTGCCCATTGCCTTGCTCCAGTCTTGAGCTAGTCTTTGTGCTTTCAATTGCTACCTGCATGCGGCTTGATGCAGAGTGACGTTGCTGTTGAAGAATTTCTGGCTGTACAAAAAGAAGGACATTTCCCGACGGTGAGTCATTTTACTGCATGAACACAGGACTAGCATCTTGGCCTCTATGGCATAACATTTTCCAGGCAAAAGATGCAATTTGATGTCTGGTGCCAAATCATCAGGCTGTAGCGCGACGGTTAGTGCGGGTAAAATTGGAGACGGACAGCGGGAAGGGCGCCATGGCCGATGAGCGTAGTGGCCTGACGTCCACTGAAGCGTAGCACGATTTGTTCCCGGTTTGGTTCGTTCTGGGGGCCCCGGGGCCTGTAGAAAACTTCCATCGATCGCCGAGGTTGCATTCAAGCTGAGGCTGCAAGGGCTGGAGACTTTTCTTGCGTAGCCCCAGCAGTTGATCATGGCGAAATCAGTGGTCGGATGCTGTGCGACTCGGCTAGGCTGAGAACTGCTAGCTGCGCCTGCTGCAAACATTTGATCGGCGTGTGACAGCGAGCTGCAGGCGGCAGCAGCGCCTGAGCGTATCGGGATCTGCTCTCAGCCCGTAGTTTTGATATCGATCCCTGGAGACGGCATGGGTCCTGCTATCCACTCAGCACTACAGCACTAATGTTTACAGAATTACGGGGCATACACAATGTGACTATGAACTTTTTTTTGCTTCTCTTTTCTTCTTTTTTTCCTTGTGGCATCTTCTTCTGAGACAAGACTGAAGCACGCTTAGTAAAACTAGATGTCTTTGCCGGTGGGATTCGCCTTCTGCTAACTGCATGCAGCTCTTTGTTCTACAACAAGACTCAGGTAAATATCAGGTAAGCCCGCTGGATATTCGCATTAGTCACCGACTCTCGACGTGCCGTTTCTCTCAGCCGTAGCCAGCCAGCCGTCTCATCCATCCCACATCCATGCCATCCATCCTTTCCTCGCATAGCCCGCTAATTTTAGTTGCCCAACCTGGCCATGTGACGGTGATCATGCCAACCGGCGGGAGGCTGCTGGGCAGCGATTACGGGGGGTTTTGTGGACTTATTAGCGGACCTTGGTGGGCCGTTGGCCGCTGCCTGTCGCTGATTTTGATCTTATCTGATCCGAGAACTCGTACGGTACGAAGCTCTCATAAGAATAAAGCGCTCACGCCCCCCCGGTGCAATTTCTCCTTTGCCCTCCCTCTTCCATTTCTCTTTATGAGCTTTTGTTTGTTGTATCGTTTCTTTGTTTAAGATGAGTTAAAAGAGATGTAATAAAACAGCTCGTGTTTTATTGATTCCATCCCCAAACCCTCTTCTCCTCTGCGCTGTCCAGTCGCTGGTGGCGCTTAGGCTCGGCGATGGCTGCCTCACGCGAAGAGGCCCCGTTGCTCGGCTCGGAATCCCGCTCAATAACCGTGCCTTATGAATATTCAAGCATCTCGACGCAAAATTACAATAACAGCCATGTCGACGAAGAGTATGCCGAACCCACGACGCCGGGGAGATCTGGCAGACGAGCTGCGGGCGTGGCTCGCATGGAGGCCGTTTCGGCCCAGCTGTCTCACTCAGAGCGCTTCTGGATCTTCTCGGGCATCTTTCTGATAGGCTATGCGTACGGCCTCGAGAGCCAGGTCCGGTCAACTTACATGCCGTATGCGACATCCAGCTTCTCGCTGCACTCATACCTGGCCACGATCAACCTTTTGCGCAGCGTTGTTGCGGTTGCGATCCAGCCCACGGCGGCCAAGATTGCCGATGTCTTTGGGCGCTTCGAGGTCGTGGCGGCGTCCACCTTGTTCTACACCGTCGGCATGGCCATCGAGTCGACGTCCAGCTCCGTCTATGCCTTCTGCGCCGGCACCATCCTCTACCAGGTCGGCTACACCTGCATCGTGCTGCTGCTGGAGATCCTCGTCGCCGACTTCTCGTCCATGCGGGCCCGCGTCTTCTTCAGCTACATTCCCGCGCTGCCGTTCATCGTCAACACGTGGATCAGCGGCAGCATTACGTCGGCGGTGCTGCGCGTCACCACGTGGCGCTGGGGAATCGGCATGTGGTGCATCATCTACCCTGTCGCCTCTCTCCCGCTGCTCATCACACTATACTCGATTGATCGCCGCTCGGCGCGGGGACCTCGCAAGGACGAGCTTGTCGACGGCTCCAGCGGCCTCGACAACCTCCGCAAGTGGAGGACTCAGCTCTTCGACCAGGTGGACGGCATCGGCCTCATCACGCTCGTCACGGCCTTCAGCCTCGTTCTCACGCCTCTCACGATTGCGGGCGGTACCGTGTCGCACTGGAAGAACCCGCAGGTCGTGCTTCCATTGATCGTTGGGCTGGTCTGCGTTCCCGCCTTCATCTTCTGGGAGAAGAATGGTGCCAGAAATCCGCTTGTCCCTTTCCATCTGCTCAAGGATCGCGGGGTCTGGGCGGCTCTCGCAGTGCGCAGCCTGCTCAACTTTGCCTGGTATGTCCAGGGCAACTATCTCTATACCGTTCTCATTGTTGCGTTTGATTTCCCCATCGAGAATGCCACCCGGATCCTCTCCTTCTTTTCCTTCTTCGGCGTTGTTAGTGGCGTTGCTGTAGGTCTTGTCATTTACAGATTCCGACGTCTCAAACACATCATCGTCCTAGGCACGATAGTCTTCATGATCGCCTTGGGCGTTCTAATAAAGTTTCCCGGAGGTGCGACTGCTTACTCTAGATCTGGACTCATCGGCGGCCAAATCCTTCTGGGCCTCTCCAGCGGCTTGTTTGCTTATCCTACCCAAGCCTCGATCCAAGCCTCGGCATCGCGAGATCATGTTGCCATCCTGACGGGGCTCTACCTCTCCTTTTACAACGTTGGCAGTGCACTTGGCACTTGCATCGCTGGGGCGATCTGGACCCAGACTCTATACCCCACGCTGGAAGCAAGCTTGGCTTTCCAACCCAACGTTACTCTGGCACGAGCTATTTACGAGAATCCGTTTTCCATTGTTTCGCAATACCCCGTCGGAACAGAAATCCGAAGTGCCATTATTCACAGTTATCAGAGCATTCAGCGCTTGCTTTGCATCACGGCCATGTGTATTTGTTTGCCCATGATTGGCTTTGCCTTGGCTCTCAGAAATCCAAAACTTTCAGACCAACAGGTCCAGGAAGATGCGGAGGACGAGCGACCAAACGACGTATGATATAAAAATGATGCATTTTAGAGTGTTTTTTTTTTGGCAGTTTTATTTTTTTCAGCCTCTTCAACCGAGTGAGAGTGGCACTGAAGGAACGCATTAGCAAGCGAGTTATTGTTGTGCAAGAGAGATACCATATAGATTATATTTAACGGCAGTTTTCATCTTCTACCCAAGAATTGACAGTTCTTAACTTGTATGCGTTATACATATATGATATGTGCGTAGCGACCAAACGCATGTATGCATTATTATGAAAATCAAGAGAGCAAATATGTGCACATATAACTATTGGCCCAGCTATACATACCTATACGAAGCAAACCGAGCTCAAGCTTAAAACGACATTCACTCTACACCAATCATTCAATCTTCTCCAAATAGCATTAAGCAGGGCTCGCAGTCTGACCGCCATAGATTGTTGAACCAAGGCCTCGGTCAAGGGAGGCATGTCAGCTGAAAATAGAGCTGGCGCATCCGAAGACTAGTGCCTGGTCTAGCCCGTGGATCTAGATTCTAGATTCTTTTGTGATTCCCAGCTGAACGTTTTACGAGATGGCGCAGTGGCTTAGCTCCAATTGTATGACATTATTGAAAACAGGCGGCCCCGATGTCTCACTGGAATGAGAGGCAGTGATTCTTCGAAGCGGTAAAGGAAACTGTTATAAGTAGGACAGAGAGCACAGGGCATGATCAATACCACCATTCTCACTCACCATATCTATTTGGTACTCGTACCTTGAATTCTGCGTCTCTCTTGTGCTCTCAGCTACTGAAATCTTCTCGCCGCCATGATGTTATTACAGACTATATCGACGCTCTCCCTCCTCGTTGCCTCAGCCATTGCTGCACCGCAAAAAGCCCCTGCAACATTCGACGTCATGGCTCTTCGGTCTGCCAGCCCTATCCACTTTGCGGAAGTCAGTGCCGCAAAGGGCGGTCTGTTTCTCAACCTGCCTCATCCGAATGCCACGTGCGAGGGCAAGTCCAGCGGCCACGCGACCTTTTACATTGAAGGCGCGGAGCTGGTCTTGTACTCTTGCAAGGGGGAGAAGCAAAAGGTCTTTGTAGATCGATCTGGCATGGGTGCGTTTTTCTTTTCCTATATCTTTGTCTGGCTTAGTCGATCTATCTGAGTTACGATACGCTGACTCTCGTGTACAGGGCAGGGCGTCGTACGCTACATTACAGGGGAGCAAGCCCTCCCACGATATGCCGAGCTGAAGGGCTGGGCCACCGATAAGAACAAAAACTTGAATTTCAAGGGTGAGGGCTTCGTGGCTTGCCCGCACAGCATCGACGGCTCGTGGAGCCTCTGGCTGGATCAGGGACTGGGCCAGCCCGGCGGCAACAAGGGTTGCTTGGGGTTTACGGCACGCGAGTTGGAGAATAAAAAGCCGGTGGGCTGCAGGTATACGCAATAAGATGCTGATTTGTTAGATATTTGATGTATGGGGCCTTTTGGTGGATGACTGAGACATTTGACCCATGATGTGGCACTTATACCAACTTCAATTCACCAGGGTTTGGATCTCACAGGACGGGTTGCAGACTTCTTTCTTCGTAATTCATCATAATATTATAGCCAAAAAAGAGAACAAACACGAGTCATTCTTCAGCCACTGCATTTTGTCTTCTATACCCGCACCATTTCTTTGTTGAAAGGGTCGTCCGTTGGGTCCTTATTCCTAGTAAACTCTGATGCTTCGGCTATCCAATCCGCCTTCTCCTCTCCATATTGATCCGCAATGAAGGCATACATCATGTCAATGCCGGCCGTCAATCCCGAGGAAGTCCAGACGTTACCCTCGCGTACCCAACGTGCACGGCGAGCCCACTTGACATTTGGGCCTTGAGTGACCACCTATGGTTGGGCAGATATGTTAGCTAGACATTGGACGGTGAAGAGTTTGTAATTCCCTTGCTTTTGGGTTTCTTACCCAATCAAAAGCCATCTTGTTCGTTGTAGCATTTTTGCCGTCGAGGACCCCGGATCTCGCTGCAATGCTGGCTCCCGTGCAAATGGTGAGCAGGTAACGTAGTTTCGGGAATCGCTCCTTGATGAAGTCGGCAACGTGTTGTGTGCGAGGCAAATTTCGAGTTCCGCGGCCTCCTGGGACAAGAAGGACCTCGATATCTTCCGGGGCGTTCTTGTAAGTATGTGATGGAACAATACTTTCCCCGATTACACCAACGGCCGGTAGATTTGGGATTGGGCTGTCGGCTGGAAGTCGTTCGGGGACGGTTGACACGGGATCCATCGTTTCAGCGAGTATACACAGTTCCAATGGCTTGGAGAACGAGAGTAAGTTGAGCGCATCGATGGGGCCGAATACATCAAGCGCTTGAAAGCCATGGAAAAGCGCAATGGCAAACTTCTTGGGCGGCTCAGTTTTTAACATGTTGGAAAGCTGTGAATTGACTGAATTGAAGGAGGTAGGTCTGAGTCTTTTCGTCGCGCTCTCTCTTTATGAATTTTTTTTCTTTTGCGAACTGGAATGCGAGCTGCGGGGATAATGTTTCCCACGCCTTTCTTATAAGTGCATGTATCCTAATGGCTCGTCAGCGACCAATTCCGCTTTATACTGTGCTCGGCAGCCACAATTGAAGATTCAACAGCGCAGCCAACAGTGAAGATTGATTTTTTGGGCGGCATTACAAATCAAATGCAAAAAGAGCAAGATTGCGCAGGATACCAGGAACTCTGCCGTATCGACAATCAAGTGGCCAGAAGAAGGCAGTAGTAAGTATCACACGTCTACGAGCGAGATCGATTGGCGTGCACGTGTGGAGGGGCAAACAAAGCAAGACACTAAAATTTTCAGAGATAAGACACAAAGAACGAAGTTCAAACAAAAAAGCTCCAAGGTTTGAAGATTTATATAGTTGTGCAGGGCTCTTTATCAATCTGCGGGTGGGGGACCACCCCCGGTGTGTCTCGGAAAGCGTAGAGCAGAATCAAACCTTGCTTTCCGCAAAACTTTTATCTCTCTCTTTTAACTTCGGCGTCTGGCCCGTATAATCCGGAGCACGAAAGCCTTCCTTTTCTCTCCACCATGAGGCAGATTAATCCGAGTCACCGAGACCGGCGGCATCTCGGGGTCCCCACAAAGCGATCCTGTCTGACGCGGGATTAGGGACACTTTACTTGTTTGGAGGCATCTCAATTGCATTCTCAGATTTGGCCCTCAACACCCACGATGAATTGTCTTTTTATCCGGCTCCTCAAGAAGCAGTGGTAATTTGAAATGGCGGTGGGAGAGAGGAGCATGGGAAATGCATGTACGTAGCGAATGGTGGTGTTTCAGTCCACATTTTTCCAGCCAGTCTGAAGCTCTCGTCTGAGTGCATTTTCGTAAGCCACGTCTCTCAAATGTCTCAAGCGGCGGGTATCACTGCGTCAGATTTTCCGATTTGCTTGGCAGGGTGCGAAGCTGGTGCGTATGTATGCTACGTACATGTACATATGTACTCCGTACTCAGGCATCAAAATGTCAGGGTGGCAATGCCAGGAATCGTGGTGGGGGAGCGTAGCATTCAGGCATAATTTGGTCCGTCAGCATCCGGAGTAATACGTGCGTTGCATGTAAGAAAGATGCAGCCCGATGGCAGCGATCCTCCGAGCATAGGCCCCTGATCGGCCCTGTAGGCAAGGAGTTTACAATGGTAGGAGTAGATGGTAGATAATTGGGTTATTACAAGCAAGTTTGATCATGGAGAATAGCCTTCTATACCATACACGTCTTGGAGACGGGAATCTGCCGGCTTCTGTTTATGCTGAAGAGGAGTTTTTACAAGCGTACACCGCTCAACGCAACGTATACTTGGCATATAGCATAATTATAGAAATCACTCAAGGATAAAATAAATTAACGAAGAGGTTGGGCAAACTGGGTTATATAAATAAAAGAGAATGAGATTGTGCTGCTGCCAAAAGTTCTGTCGCAAGGATACATATATTTTTAACTGATGTAGATACCTCCATGTCCGTTGGTCTCACTTTCAGAACCAACCAGTACTACTATACGTTGGTTCTCGTACTACTACTACTTTACACTAACGTAGGTACATAGGTATTCTATAACTATCAGCATAGCATGTTGACCTACGGGCCGCGCCGTGCCCGCCTCCAGTTTTTAGTCGCTTCAGAAGAACAGAAAGAGTCAATAGTCCACTTCTTATGCTGCGTTAAGCGAGTCATGTTCAGTGCCAATGTTGCCAACGCCGCCATTGGCTTGAATTGCCAATACTGCGATGCTATCATATTTTGTCACTTATATCAATAACATGTCCAGGTATAAGTGACCAATACTACCCACCCTAAGAGCTAAATCAGGGGCCAACAGCAGTGCCTCAGGAACATGGCTCTCGGTGTCCCTGTGCCAACAACCACAACCTGGTCCAGGCCTCAAAATAGCTGTCATTTTTCTGGTCACTCTTGCGATGGGACTATCCTTGACGAAACAAACACTAGCCCTCCAGCAACACAGAGGAAAGCTTGGAGTCACGGATACTGCCTGGTAATTCCTCTATCTTCATGGCAGATGATGAGATATCGACAGCGCCTAACAGCAAGACAGCCCTGTCTAGGCAACTATTTTTACTGAAACAGCAATAAACCAACAGATCTGCATGCGGCTTAGCAGCCTTGGTATTAATTTGTAGTGCGCTAAGAATGAGGCGAAGAGTCACTTGAGGCTGTAGAACCCTTGTCATTGGCGCGATTCCCCCGCCATTTGAGCCGCAGCAGCTAAAACGCTGGTGTAGCAGATGATGACTGAGTATTTAAAAGCTTGGCTACTCCTCAAACGAAGAAGGCTGGCAGAAGAAGCATCATGACAAAAATGGCCGATCCGGAGAAGAAGACTATGAAGAATCCGAAGGGGGTGGAGGCACAGTTTGCGGCCATTCTTGCGGATGCTACGAAGCTCTACAACGATTCATCTAACAAGGGCCTGACGCTCAAGGAATTTCTCACGCCGCCGATGAAGTCTGTTTCCGACCTAACACTACAGTTGACGATCCAAAATGACCAGTTTAGCCACTTTCGAGAAAAGCGGCAAAAGATTTTCGACGCTGTTGGGGCTGCTCTGCGGCCGGTGGAGCTGATAGGAGATATCGTGGCCGAGGGAGCTTCGGAAGTTTTCCCGCCAACACAGAGCATCTTTGCCGCAGTTATGTATCTTATTAATGCTGCGCACGATGTTTCAGCTATGTACGACTCAATATTGGACCTATTTGAGAAACTAAAAGTAAGCGGATTTATTCGTCCCGCCTATGCCTTCGACCCAGAAATTAACGTGCAATAGGACTTCACATCGAGGCTGGACGTGTACTTGAACCACACCCTGAGCCCGGCGCTGTACGAGAAACTGGTCACCATTCTGGCAACGCTATTTGAAGTTCTTGTTATTGCTACCAAAGCCGCACACAATGGCAGGCTGAAGGCATACTTCAAAAAGCTCATAGGCATTGAAAGTCCTGTCCAGGCGGCGCTTCAGAAGCTGAACGACTTAACGCTGGGAGAGGAGCGACAGGCTATTGCAGAGACGCACGGGGGTGTTGCTGAGCTTAACGTCAAGTCAGACCGAGTGGAGGATATGATTGCCCAGATGAGCCAGAATATCCTGGACTTGCGTTTGGGGCAGCAGCGAAATAGCGGCCTTGTCTTTCGAGAGAAGCTGCGAGAGATTTTGGAGCCCACTCCATATGCAGAAGACTCCTACGCGGCATTCGCGAAGCACAGAGTTCCAGGAACTGGAGACTGGCTGCTGGAAGACGAGGGTATGAAGGCTTGGCTTCAAGAGGAATCTCAGTATCTGTGGATATGTGGCAATCCTGGTAAGAACGCTCTTCAATCCTCAGCTATACATTAAGATGCGCGTAATCTTATTAACTTTGCTAGGCACTGGAAAATCTTTCTTGACATCGCGCGTCATCACTTGGGGCCTTGAAAACCTTCCACATCTAGGCTACTTCTTCTTTTCCGCCAACGATCCGGAGACGCGATCCGTGCTGCAGGCACTGCGAGACGTCGCCTATCAGCTTAGCGAAAACGATGCCATGTATGCTGAGAAACTTTCAAGACAGCTTCGAAGCAGCGACGAAATCAAGACCATTCCCAGTGCATTTAGGAGACTGTTTGTGCAACCACTACAGGAGGACAACCGCGACACAACTTTATACATATTCTTCGACGGTATAGACGAAGCGGAGCAGAGCGATGTGGAACAACTTTTGTCTCTTCTTGCACCTGGAGATGACGCAGAATCAGAACAACGGCTTAAGCTGCAGTTTGCTTTTACTGGAAGGAGTTATTTGGCTGAAACGGTGTCTGCTGCATTGGATCCAAATTCAGCCGGCCAGGTGTTTACGACCATTTATGTAACACCGGAGTGCATTGCAGACGATGTGAGCGCCTTTATTACTGATGGCGTGCGACGCTCAAGAATTCTCAGCCGGTCTCCAGAAGATTTCAAGCAGGAGGTCATCGAATCGATGAAGAAGCAAGTCGACGGCCTCTTCATCTTGGCCAAATTCATGTTGAATGAGATCAATCAGAAGCGACACCCAAGTTCAATTCTTAGAAGCCTCAAATCGTTTCCGAAAGAAATCAACGGCATGCTCAACGAGACACTTGCCAATCTCTCTGTCACCATCTCGGAGGAGGATGCTCGCGACCTCACCGAGATGCTGCGATGGGTATCTTGTGCTGAGGAATCGCTCACGCTCGAGCAATTGGAGGCTGCGCTCATTATGAGGTTTGGAGATCCTCCGCTGCGACTTGAGGAATCACTTCGAGGTCAATATGCGTGCTTTTTTGCGCTTGAACGTGAAGACGGCTTAACCACAGATGACCTGGTCAAGGACTTTGCTAGAACGCAGCGAGAGGCGCACCCAGAAGGAAGCCATAGCCCGAGTCCAAGTCCGCGTCTTCGTGCTCTGAGCGGTTCTAGTACAAGCAGTCCCAGGCGTGGAGTGAGTCCTATGGGCCGAGATTCATTTGGCCTAGGCACCAGTCCGCCTACGGCTGAATTGCCCAGTCCCCGACATTTCAGCCCAGCACGGAGCCCTGGAATTCTTGATACGTCCAATGAGATTGAGTTTCGATCGAACCCCTCAACGACGTATGTGACTTTCTGCCATGCATCAGTGCGGCAGTTCTTTCGTGATAGCAACGCAAACATTACCCATGCTACGAAGGGAGGCGTTGCGATTGGCTTTGATCTCAAGACGGCACGTATCAATATTTTGAAGACTTGTCTACGAATCTTTAATGATAAAGCATGGTTTGATAAGCTGGAGTTGGATCATGGGAAAGAAGCTATAAAGCAGTATGCTGCTTGGTACTGGCAAGAACATTTGGCGGCGCTTGATCCGGCGATTGTTCCGTTGGAAGACAAGAAAGAACTGGGCATGCGCATATTCAACATGCTGACGATGGAGAATGTCATATATGATTGGAGTATCATGTATGAGAAGAATGATGAAGGACTGGAGGTGCTTACCGACTCTAATATCCAAGCGCTTCATAAATGGCTTAATGACCCTGAAATTCTCATGGGCCTCACAGCAGAAGCAAAAGACTTTGTCACAAACCAGGCGAAGGAGGATCTCGGAATTTGCCAAGCAATTGGTAGATTCTATGCAAAACAGTGGCTGTCCAAAGACTTTATCAGTTATGTTCCAACTCTATTCTGCTTCAACATTGTCCAGAATGTGGCTTTCATGAGCGACGGGCATCCCTGGTCTCAAGCGCAGATTCGTTGGTCTGAGACGCCAATCGAGGATAGAGTGCGGAGAGCCATTGAATGGGCAAATTATCCTCCAACAGCTCACTCGCATCGACGCCTAGGGAGCACGTATCTGATGCTCGAGCGCTACAGCGACGCTTTGATGCAATACAACAAGGCGCTGGAACTGGATCCCAACAATGTCGGGACTGCAGGTCGCATTGCCTACTGTTTATCCAAGTATGGGCATTACAGTGAGGCTTTGACCCAGGCTCTCAAGTGTGCAGAGATTGAAGAGAATAGTATTCGTGATGGAAGTCTGCAGGGGTTTGCTTTAACTAGCAGCAATTGGCGTCTCTACAAAGACTATCTGCTTATTGCACGATGCTCATATTTCACGGGGAAAATGGAGCCTGCGCTCCAGTACTTCCGCAAGGCGATTGATAGTGCACCAAACGCAAATCTCAAACCCTCTGAGCGTTTTGAGGCCGAGGTCGAATATCTAGGAGTGCTGGCGAACGCAAACCTACATTCTGAGATGATGAGTCTGCTTCAAGAGATAGCAAATAAAGCTGATGGCAAGGGTAAAGAACCAGACTACTTGACAGACCTTCTTCTCCAGAACTGCGATAAGCCGCTTGTCATGGACTTGATCCCCAAGGCAGCCTGTAAGACGGGTAAAGTAGAGCTCATACTGAACCAGTTCGACAAAGCCATCGAGACTGCTCGCGGGAGCAATCAAATGGGCGTGCTCTATTTGCGTCTGGCATATGGAACCACTCTAGCATACAATCGTGACCTGGATGATTCCATCGAGATTTTCGAACGGATTTCCTTGGTTGAGTACAGGCCAAGAGGCAATGTTCCAACACGCCATGGACATGCGACGTCGTTTCAAAAGCTATCTGCCCTCTACAAACAAAAGATTCTCCAAACCGACCTCAAGTCATCCGAAGCCATGGAGTGGATACAGAAGCTGGAGCAAATCCAGGAGAAGCAGAGCAAGAACCAGAATTTTGAAGTGCCTGCGGACAAATACGGCTCAGACGTCAATATAGCTTCCGTTTATCTGGCGTTGTTTTATCGCCTTCAAAAGGAGGAGCCGAAGGCAAGGCAGCTCCTTGGGAATCTGGTCATCAATAGCCTCGACCTTTTACTAGACGATGAGCCACGGAATGACCAGTATGCTGTTGAAAACTTGTTACAGGCATTCATCGCAGCCAACGACACTGAAGACGCGCAGGCGCTGGCTCGGTCCATGAGAAAAGTCAATCGTGTAGTTGCAATGGCGACTCCTCTGGCTTCTCCTACGCTCACGCGAATCGAGCCGAAGCTTCCCGACATCCAGTCTGTTGATAAGTGGTGTGCGCAATGTTTGAACAACATCTCCACAACTGAAAACATGTACCTGTGTCGGTTCTGCGTAGACGCCTATTGTGAAACATGTTTGAAGGGAACAATCCGGCAGCCTGGGAACAAGACTTGCGACCGCCGGACAGACACTGTATGCCGTAGTGACCACGATTGGTTTACGATACAGCCATTGAACCAGTTCTTGCATACGGGGGAGATTCTCTGGGGCGATGGAATGGTGAAGGATTTTAGAGAGTGGGAGAATGCATTGAGGGAGAGATGGCATGATGTTGGTGTAAGAAACGGGACTGTGCGATCTGAAGCATGTTAGCGGGATGTTTTTCTGAGTGTTTGATACCAAATAGATAGAATAGATTGTGTGCATTAAGGCGAATAGACTAGATTTGTTTTCACCAAAAAGAATTGAATAGAGAACGAGGATATTATGCAAGTGAAATCGCGCAAAAAGCAAAAAAGAAATACCCTTTGAAAGGGTGGCGCTCTCCCGCCGGGAATTGAACCCGGGTCTCAAGCGTGACAAGCTTGCATACTGACCACTATACTACGGAAGATGTAACGGCTTGAAGCCGTTGTAGCAGGTTCTGATGGCAAGTGTGTTAGTTTGTTATATAAGCTAGGGTTAGTCAGACCCTAGGTCAAGAGTTCCCCCCTTCAATGTGTGCTTCGAAGTCCCATTTTGTCAGCCAGCTTCATATCGCGCAGACGCAAGGGCAGATGCTGGTATATTTAGAGCTCAGGATAATATCTGCACTCGGACTGGGTCCTCATATATCGTGATATTTGCCTAAACTGAGGCGCGCGTGGAGCCATGGCATCTGCAGTCAGCTGGATCAGGCAACGGCATTCTCGAAATAGGGTATTGGATAGACTATGCTTCAGGGTTGGTTGATCAAGTTCCGCTTATTAAGGGTGTTAAAGGCAGGAATTATTTCTGCCTTTGCTTGGTACTTGAGTAAATCTCTGTGAAGCCACGCTGCTCATTCACTGGCTTTGTATGAACCAATAGGAAAGCCATTCGGAATGGTCGAATTAATAGTTCGATTACTCAGATGCTAGGGTTAGTTGTTAATACAATAGCATTGGTGCGATTCAAATATAATTACTCCATACGGAGTAGTTCTGTATTTGCGGGCTGTAGTCATGTAGGGGTGGCATTCTTTATCGGTTTAGTCCCTGCTGCTCTACGCACACGGGATACTTATTTGGAGTAGCTTCGCTCGACTCGTGGAATCATCATCGGGATGTGCTAGGGTGCGCTCATGGATTCGACCAACAAATTCCGCACGTACGTTGCATTGACCTCGGGATATATAATGGAGCCTGGAAGAAATGCGCGGGGGTTAAGATATGGAGAGAGTTGCAGAATGGCCATAGATGAAGCTCCTTGCACTTGGAGAGCGATTTCTTGACTCTATTGACCTATGCTGCTACCAGTATTGAGGAAACCTGCAGTTTGCTCGGCTAACTCGCTAATACACCATGATATATTCGCATCCAAGACGATTGGAGTATCCAGATGTCGATCTTCTCACATTTCTGTTTGGTAGGTCGACATTGAGCTTCAACGCGTGATGGCATCTCTGTCCGCTCTCAGCGCTACAATTCTTCATTTTGGTTTGTACAGCTAACATGACTTGTCACAGACTACGAAGGGTGCCAAGCAAAAGAAGACACTCCAATCTTCGCGGAAGCTAAACATCCTACCAAAGTCATCACCAAAGCCAAAGCTCGCGATCTAGCTCGTCAGATTGCTTACTTTCTTCGCCACCAATACGGAATTGGTAAAAAGGGTCCTGATAAAGACATAGTTGTTTCGATATCCACGGGACAGTCCGCGCTTGCTTGCATCTTTTACGCTGTCCTTGCTGCTGAAGGCATCTACTCAGCGGCATCGCCATCTTCTACGACGTCGGACCTGACAAGGCAGATTCATGATGGACCTGCTAAGCTTCTTATATGCAGCGAAGATCTGAAAGATGTTGCTTTGAGTGGCGCCCACGATGCCGGAGTCCCTGCCAGAAATGTTCTGGTGCTCAGTTCGTACCCAGAGATTCAGCTGAAGAGCGCAGATGGAACAGTCGAATGTGATTTTGAGGGTTCTCTGGATTGGAGGCGTATAACTGATCCAAAAGAGCTGGAGTACAGCAAAGCGTGTATTCTGTACTCGTCAGGGACCACTGGGCTGCCCAAAGGTAGACAAAAGTATCACATAAAATACCGTTGCAATAGCTTACTATATACTGATCCGTATAGGTGTTCTCATATCTCATCAAAATCTGGTTTCTGTATGTTATTTTCCTGCTCTTTTGGATCTGGAAGGTTGGAAAAGAGTAGGCCATATTTTTCCCAGATCTACTCTCGGTCACTTGCCTGCAGCGCACATTGCCGGCATACTCAGCTACTTCATAAAATGTTTTTATGATGGAGGAATCGTTTACTGGATGCCAAAGTTCAATATCGACGATTTCATCCGGCATACTGCAGAACTCAAAGTGACCTATTTCTTTACTGTACCGCCTGTATGGATGGCTATTGCAAAGAACCCAGCGGTGATGGATCAGTTCAAGAGCGTTGAATACGGCGTTGCTGGTGCTGCTCCTATGAGCTACGACCTACAACAATCGGCTACCAACAAGTTAAAAGGCGAGATTACTCAAGTATGGGGAATGAGCGAAACGACTGGCGTTGTAACGTATACTCCGCCAGATCGTCATGATACAGTGGGGTCTTTGAGTCCATTAATGCCCAACGTCGACATGAGGCAAGTAACGTTGATCAAAGAATTGATACAAAGCTTGCTGCTAACCTACTTCTTAGACTAGTAGATGAAAATGATAATGACGTTGAGATTGGACAGCCAGGCGAGGCGCTACTGAAAGGCCCAATGATCACCAAAGGTTATCACAACAACCCTGAAGCTACCAAGTCATCTTTCACTGCGGATGGATATTTACGAACTGGGGATATCCTTAGAGTTGAAGGAGATTTGCTCTACATAGTAGACAGGAAAAAGGTAAGCAACTCAACTGTGACTTCACATGGTTATAGTGACGCAAATCTGACTTTCGACATCATAGGAGCTTATCAAATACAAAGGGATGCAAGTCGCGCCAGCCGAGCTAGAGGGCGTTCTTATTGCGCACCCATCCGTCTTTGATGCTGGCGTGATTGCAACACAGCGAGGAGATGAAGAAGTACCGATGGCATATGTGGTCCTTGTGCCTGGGGCAGAAGGGAAAGTATCGGAAACCGAGCTGGTCGACTATGTCGGGAGTAAAGTCGCAAATCACAAGCGCTTGAGAGGCGGTGTTGCCTTTACCGATGTTATACCAAGAAATCCAACAGGCAAGATATTGAGACGAGAGTTGAGAGCATTACACAATCGTCGGTCAAAGCTCTAAAGGTGTATGGCCTATAACAGGAAAAATTCCACAGAGTTTTCTCATTCATCGACTAATTTTACATCTGTTTGTTGTGCTTAAATGAAAGATCTTGTATTATGCATGATTTACACGGATTTGATGCCATTTGCAAATTGAACAATAGCGTCCCCAACTTGATCAGGCGATTCAATGCAGTACCAGTGGCCCGTTTTTTCAAGAACTTGTAGGCGTTTATCCGTCGATCCCCAGCTTTAATATATAACAAGTAAGTGATGGATTTGCGACACGTTGATTAAGAGACATGTAAAAGTAGTGACACGTACCTGTCGTGAATTTTCTGCGAGAGCTCAATTGGACATACCATATCCTCAGCGCCAGCGACTAACAAGAGTGGAGACTTTATCTCCTTATAATTTGGCACCGAAGCATTTATAATTGCTCTACAGTTTGCAATATAGCCTTCAGGACTTTGGGCAAGAAGAAGGGTACGAATGAATGCTCGTTGCAGTGCGGTGGCGGTAGATGCTGTTGCAGCCTTGGGTAAGATATCTGCTAGGCCGTCCATGCCGTCTTAGAGCGGTCAGTATATCAAGCAGAGCTTCAATCACACTTTGGACTTCTCAATGACGGATTGCGCGTTTGTTTCTGCTTACTCTGTTGGACCTTTTGGATCCTGTCTTCCATAGCCTTTCCGAGACCCTCGTTGGGATACACGGGGCCTAAGAGAACAGACCCGGCGAATTGGTATCGGAGTGTCGCTTCAGGAGCGACAATACCGCCCATGGAGTGTCCTACTATGATCGTTTGGCTAGGGGATATTTTGAGTGCCGATACGGCGGCGCCGATATCCTGAATTATCGTTTCAAGGTCGCCGCCCTGGCCAGTTAATTTGGTCAACGCAGAGCCTTTTGATAATAAACCATGTCAGCTAGAATACATTATGTGAAAGTAAAAAGCAGAACTGGGGCATAAAGACGGACCATGGGAATCAAGTGCCAAACAACGATATCCTGCATCTACGAGCTTGGGAATGACAGGTGCATAATAAGAACTAGAAGATCCGAGACCATGGATAAGAATAATAGTTGTTATCTTGGACGAAGATGCTGCCGCCGTTGGCGAAGTCAACGTGTAGTAAAGCTGCCGGTCTCGGTCTTCTAGCTTGAGGAATGGCATGGCTGTGGCTTATCAGATTGTATTACCTATATCGAAATCGTCCTCTTTCCGTCAAATGCATGCATAAACTGAGCTAGTTAGCGCCTCAATTCACCACCCAGGGTCAGGATAGCTTTGCTTCTAGATAAGATACAGAAGACACGGACCTGACCGGATAGATGCGGTATAATGAGGATTCTATCACAAGACTTCGCAGCAACCTTTAAATGAGGGGAGATGCAAGTGATGTCAGACAAAGAGGGCGTCGGTTAAGGGCGCGGCCCCACTGTTGCAATTATCGGAGGCCGGGATTTGGGAATCGGATGTGGGCGGGATGGACCCGAGTCGGGATCTGGTATGAGAAGTTGTTGAGCGGCAATTACTCTCACCCGTACCCGGTAAATTCCAGATGATTTTAAATCATTTGTCTTTATTGATTTAATATGCATCCTTCGGCGGAGTTTAGATTGGGTTGCCGATTTATGAGTAGGTTGTAAGGGCAGATTTGCATTAACAAACGACATAAAGCCGACCTGGACGATTGTATAAAATTCTTGAGAACAGATATGGTTTAACCATTCAATTATTCTGGAATTATAAGATCATGTCGACCATAATGAACAGCAAACCAGCTACCGCATACTCTTCCAAAGAGGAGGCTCATAATATTTTGCAATATCTCTGCAATGCGTTTGACTCCATATCGCTGCCATGCGGAGTAGCAAGCAGAGCCGATCGTATTCAATTCGTCGCACAGCGCGACCAACCATACTTCCCCATTCCATTCAAGGAGACGGAAACAACAGCAGCACTAAAGGCTGTCGAGGCATCAGTTGCATCTCTCCTCGCGGATACAAGGCAGGGTGATGCGCCGTCGCCGGCACAGAGGGAAATCGTGATCAATCTTGAGAAGACAACAGCATTCTTATTTCAAGCGTATTTGGCCCGAGTTGGTGGGTATGGAAAGCTTGATAAACAAGTTAAAAGCCTCTTAAAAGGTTTGTATAACCCACAGCTGATCCAATTCTTTATTCGTATACTAATGGCGCACGCATAGATACGGATTTGCTTCACGCGCAATCTGATGCTTATCGTCGCATGTCCGCAAACTTATATGCCACGAAAACGCCCAACGAGTATTACCATATTCATGGATCACTAGAAGCGTCAACAACGCTGAAAATGATTGGGTTGGAGCCGTTTCGACCGGATCTGGCAACACATGAACAGATTGTGGAAACTATTGAGTCTGCTGTGAAGAAATTTACGGTAGCAGACTTGGAGAAGTTGAATGCACAGCACAGGCAAGCAGGCGTTCAAGCCTTTCCGCACACCGAGTTTCTGAAAACACCCCATGTAAGTCAAAGCACAGAAAGCTGATCGTACAAAAAGAGGAGTGGCATTGGCTGACACCATTGACAGGGAAAAGCAAACATTGGACTTTCGCCTTGGTCAGTTGAGAATATAGAAGACAAAACGCCAAAGATCCCTCTTCCGAGCCATAACAACAATCGATTACTCTCAGGCATCAAGGTTCTCGAACTATGTCGCATCATTGCCGGCCCTACAGTCACCAGAATTCTAGGCGAGTATGGTGCCGAAGTCATCAAGGTGACAAGTCCAAATCTTAGTGACGTGCCGTTCTTCCAAGTAGACGGCAACATGGGCAAACGAGCAACGGATCTAGACCTCAAGACACCAGAAGGAAGGGAAACGTTTGAGAAGCTCTTGGCCGAAGCTGATGTCGTAGTTGATGGGTATCGTCCCGAAGCTATCGCAAAACTGGGATATGGTCCCCGGCAGCTTGCAGAGCTAGCTTCTAAGAGGGGCAAAGGGTTCGTCTACGTCAATGAGAATTGTTTTGGATACGAAGGCGAGTGGGCAAATCGGGCTGGATGGCAGCAAATTGCAGACTGTGTAAGAATCCCATGGTCCGAAATGGATCATCTCTCAGTCTTCATTCACTAACAGGGCACTTTCAGGTGACGGGAGTTGCGTGGGAGCAAGGCAAGTTCATGGGTCGCGACGAGCCTATGGTGCCACCGTTCCCCATTTCCGATTACGGCACCGGCTGCATCGGTGCAATCACAGCTCTCGTCGGGCTCTATCACCGGGCAACTCGCGGTGGGTCGTGGCACGGGAAAGCCAGCCTCTTGCACTACGATCTTCTGCTGTTCAAGGTCGGCTTACTGCCCGAACATGTCCAGCAGAGTCTCCGGGAAACAATGGGTCCCGAGGTTCTGGCGCTACGGTACCATAACAGCGTGGATCAGATTTCGGGAACGGTGCTGCGTCGTATGCGAGAAGTATTTCCCGAATTCGTGGATAATCCGAAATACGTGGATAAGTGGTATTCTGATAAGTACAAGGCTGAAGTATGTGCAGTAAAGCCAGTGGCGGAAATTGAAGGTTTGGAGATTGGGTTTCGCAGAGCAAGTCGACCGAACGGCTCGGATGAGGCAAAGTGGGAAGTGGACGAGGAAAAGGATTATCGGCTAGAATAGACTGAGGATGGGTTTACTCTTTCACCTAACTCTATAGAAGATTTCGTACATCAAAATTCAATGGAATATACCTAACTTTACTACTTGTTTAAGGAATAAAGTATTCGTGATTGGCGCCTCCAGATTTTTACTAGGCTGAGATCTTACAGAACAGCCCCCAGGTTTTTCGGGTGGCTGGATTCGACCCGAATGGACAACTCGTTACGATGGACTAGAACGCCTTAGTAGTATAACTTTTGGTTCACTACCGAGCCATCAGTGCTAACATGTTCGCGGGAAGATCGTAGGCTCTGTAAGGCGTCGGGATCGGGATATATTCCGACAATGCAGCCACTTGCGGATCTACGGGGACCCCACGGGCGGATAACGCACCACGGCATAGACGGAGCGAAGGAATCGAATGATACAACCCACCCTTTGAGGCTTATTCATTTGTGAATAATCGTCGTATCTAATTGGATGAGTGCCGAGGAATTTCCTGAGTTCTAAGATATAAGACTGCAGCTACAGTATATTCATCCTTACCAGAAGAAGCCTCGAAATCCGTAAGACAATCTCGCGCGCGCATACAAACGATCAACTCTTATATATCTGCTCTCTCGAATATCTCAGGTTTACAACTTCAATCTATCACAACTAATACTCCGACTTCATCAAAATATCCAAGATGGGTTCTACAGCCAACGGCGACGTTCTCGGCCAGGAGTTCACCGACCATGTCATCCAAGCCATGGGTCCAGATACCACACCCAGAATGCGGACAGTAATGACTGCTCTTATTCAGCACGTTCATGATTTTGCACGAGAGGTCAATTTGACGACAGAAGAGTGGCTAGCAGGCGTTGCCATGCTCAACTGGGCGGGACAGATGAGCAACGACAAGCGTAATGAGGGGCAGCTAGTGTGCGACGTTATCGGTCTAGAGTCGTATGTTACTCTCCATCTTATTTGACAGGTTCATGTACAGGAATGGCTAATAAGACGCCGATTGCCAGACTTGTGGATGATATCACATACAGAGAAGCCAGCAAGGCTGATAAACCTCCTACATCATCCGCCATTCTTGGACCGTTTTGGCGAGCTGATGCGCCAGTTCGGGAGAACGGCACTACCATCACATTCAACACCCCAAAAGATGCAATGGTAGCTTATATGCACGGCCAAGTTACATCCGCGGAGACGGGCAAGCCCCTTGCAAATGCTACGGTGGATGTCTGGCAAGCCTCTACAAACGGTAAGCTAATTCGAGCATTCTAAACGCGAATGGCCGCTGATGTTGAGTGCATTAGGTCTGTATGAGCAGCAGGACGATGATCAGATTGACTGCAATCTACGAGGCAAATTCGTTACCGACGCAGA